TAAATTTTTTATTCTTAATACTACTAATACTATTTATATAAAAACTTTTAGTAACTTTTAAAATTAATAATAATATTATAATAATCTTTTAAGTTTATATAAAGTTAAAAGAGATACTATTTAAATTTAACTTAAAATTTATTAATATATTATAAGAGTTAAATAATAACTTTATTATATTTTATAAAACTATTATTATTTTTATATTAATTATTAACTTATTTATTATTAATATAAATATATTATTTATTTTAATTATATTTTTAATATTTTATAATTTTATAATAAATTAAAAGTAATATTTTTATTTTAAATTTATATTATTAATAATTAATTTTATTTTAAATTAATTTTACCTATATTAAATATAATTATTATTATTATTTAAAATAAAATAAAAGATTAATTATAATAAATTATTAATTATAAATATTATATAATCTTTTAGATAACCTTTATAAGTTTTATTAAATATAAAAGAGAACTTTAAATAAGGTTAATATTACTATATACTTTTAATTTATAAAACTATACTTTTATATAATATTATTATTAGAATATTTAAGTAGCTTAAAATATAAATAATAGACTTTTAAAACTATAAATATAATAATATTTTATAAAAGGAGAAAAACTACCTTATATTTATATATTTAAAGAAATTTAATATACTAATTAATAACTTTTAATTAATTAATAAACTAATATTATATAAATAATAATTAAAATATAATATTAAATATTAATATTTTTAATAAATATATTATAAATATAAATTAAATTTTAAAAATACTATTATTAAAATTACTTATTATTAAATATAAAAGTTTTAAGTAAATTATTTTTATAAATTAAAAATAAAATTTAATTTTAAAATATTTTAAAAATTATTAATCTTAATATAAAACCTTTATTTTATAATATTCTTATTATATTATTTATTTTTAATAATTAATATTAATAGCTTTATATATTAAAAATAATAGCTTTATTTACTTTAATATATTTAAAATTTATAAAAATATTAACCCTATTTTATTAAATAACTTATTATAAAAAAAAGCTTTATTTTATTATTATATTTATTTTTATTTTATTTTTACTTTAATTTACTTTAAAATATATATAAAGAAATAATAATATTTAAATTAAATATAAAAGGTTATATTTTTATATTTTTAACTTTTATAATTTTATAATAAATTAAAATAATAATAATTAATAATAAATTTAATATTTTATTAAAAATTAATATAAAATATAATTTTATTTTTAATATAAAAATTACTTATTTTAATTATAATAATAATAATAAACTATTATATTAATATTTAATAACTTTAAAATTTAAGTATTTTTATTTAATAAAACTAATTATTATAATTTAATATTATTATTTTAAATTATTATAAACCTAACTTTATTAATAAAATTTACCTTATAATTTATATATTTAAATAGTAATATAAAGGCTATATAATATTTATTTAATACTTTTAAATATATAATAGTATTTTTAAGTAGTTTATATATAACTAATATATTTTTTAAGTTTATAAAGATTATATTTAATTTTAAATTATTTAATATATTAACTTAAAGCTTAATTATAAGGTTAATATTAAAAATAATAATAATATTATTATATTTATTAAAAGTTTTAAACCTTTATAATATTTAAAATTATTTTTAACTTTTTATACTTTTTTATAATAATTAATTATAATAAATACTATTATATATAAATATTATATATAATTAATTATTTAATATAGGTTTAAATAGAGTAAATAAGTAGAAAAATAAATAAAAAATAAAGTTAAAAAGGCTAGATTTCCTTTTAGAAATAGTTTATTTATATATTAGATAGAATAAACTATTAAAATAGGTAAAAGCTTTTATAAAAATAGGAAATCTTTTACTCTTAAAGTTAAAGAGCTTGTAGATAGGTTGTGGATTCGAGGATCCGATCCGATGGGTCTCTAAGGAGATCTGCGATAAGAAACTGGAGGTGCAGGCGAATGACTGAAAATGCCTACCTGTAGTCGTGTTTTCACTAAGCCTGTCAAGCCACTCTACTCAGAGCATGAGCTAAAATGAGACCGGAAGCGATTCTAAGAAGAATGACAAACTTGAAACTAGCAAATCGACATGATTCTGATCGGCCGTCTCTCGCCGTAGCCACGGGTTTTCAAAATTTACATAAGCGGAGGCTTGTGAAGCCGCTGAGTCATCTGGAGTTCCCCTGCGGCATATCACCGGACGTTGTGTCAGCGGCGGCCGCGGCGTTTCATCCTTGCACCGTGTGACCCTCCCTCGTTCAGAATCGTCGCGCCCATGGTGTCTGACTCTTGCGTAAGATGCCCAAGAAGCGAGCATGTGACGCATGCTATCGACGCAAAGTATGCTGTTAGCCTCCACACAGAAAGAAGCAAAGGTACTGACGAAATGTTGAACATTAGATAGAATGTGTTGTAGCCGCGCAGGGCACTCCGTGCGATTGGTGTCAGCATCATAGTCTTGAGTGTACGTTTGTTCGGGAGCGGCCGACGCGAAAACATCGGAAAAGGTCAGTCATCCTAACAAGCGAGATATCTTCTATAGCGCAGATTCTCGGTCGAACCCAGCGTTTCTGACTTTACTAGGGCCCAGTCTCGCGATGTCCAGGAACTCGCCCGTCGGGTGGCACAACTCGAGGGTGCTCTGCCTCAGCCGGTTGCCTCGGACGTGGCAAGTAACACTGCGTCCCCATCACTCGTTGTCACGCCAGAGACAACGACAGCTTCGAGAAGCTCAGCGCGGGATGAGAATACCCCAACCCCAGCAGAGTCTCAAGTGACGACTCCTTGCAATGTCTCTCCCTCGACTGGACCACTCCATTCGGTCGCGAAGCACCTCGGCCCACACTGGTTCTTCAACGGCGTTCCGATATTCTCCGATAAAGGCCAACAATGGGTCTCATCAAGGACCGGACAGCTGGTACAATGGGGTGATTTCCGCTTTCCCATGTACAGGCCCACGCCGCACGCATCATTGAGTCTCAATGAGGGGGACGCGAACTTTCTGGATTTGATAGACCGGAATTCGGCTGATCGGATCATCGGGACCTTGTTTAGCTCGCATGCTACAGGTGCATTTCCTGTCATCGATTCTGTCCTGCTCGGGACAACGATTGAGAAAGCTTACGAGAATGTTGACAGTCCTTTGCCATCACCGAAGCACGTTTCTGCAAGGGCTTGCATTCTGGCAGCTCTGTCGGTGGCGACTCAGCTAGGGGCTTCATGTACCGGTTTGTCGTGTGCTGATACAGAAAGGCTGTACCACAAAGCACAGCGAATTCTGGCACTTCACCCTGGATACATGAATTTCGACACTCTAGTTACGGCTCTTCTGCTGGTAAGATGACCTACCTGCAGCAATTCCAGTTACCTTTAACCGAGTGAGAACACTGACGACAGTTTGAAAAGCGGACAAAATGCACATTAAGTGCCAATTGGCAGGACGCGGCCTTTTACCACACTATCGCCTGTCGCACTGCTTGTGCTTTGGGATATCACACGAACATCCCTCCGCATTGTGATACGGTGGACCCATCTGTGGAGGACCGGAAGAGACGACATGGCCGCAAGCTCTTTTGGCTTTGCTACACGTTCGATAAAGATATCTCACTCCATACCGGTATCCCTCCTCTGCTTATAGATGACTTTTGTGATCTTACATCGTCACCCGGCTGTCGAAGCAACACCACGGTCATTCCTAGCTCGGCGACGTCTTCTGGATGCAATCAGCCAGAAGATGCCTTTAGAATCCCGATACCTACCTTTCCCGGAGATGACGATTTAGCCCGAATCAAAGAACGAGTATGCCGACTTTTGTACTCGCCAAAATCCTTCAGGGACTCCGATATCCAAGTCCTCCACAATATTCGTTGCCTGGATGACGAAATCGAGCAGTGGCGCCTGTCTATTTCAGCTCGGCGGCGTCCGGCTCTGGTTTCGTCTTCGTTCTTAAATTCCCTCAGCTCTGCAGCCAAGGAGTTGCATCGCATTCTCTTAAAACTTGAGTATCTCTATTTGATGACTGTCTTGCACATGGCAGTCAGACGATTCAGAGTCACCAACACAGATACAAGCGACATCGCCGAAGATCATCACCGGCTGATCCATTCGAGTGTGGACATCTCGCTTGAGGCAAGTCGCTCAACCCTTGCATGCCTCAGAGTCATGGTTGATGCGCTGGCACATCAAGCTTTCTGGTATGTGCCTTTCTTTCCTTTGTGTGTTACCGAACCTCGGCGGACACATCACTCTCACTGAAACTAGCACCTGGCACTCACAAATATTGCAATTTCAGTCCGGTCGGTCGCTACGCCACACCTGCTGCTATTACGATTCTGCTTGAAATGCTTGTTCATCCCCGAAGTGAGCAAGTGCAAAGTGATTTGGAACTTTTGATTGCGGCTAGCAACTCCATCCGCCGTATGGCGAATAGTATCTCGGTGCCTAGCGAGGTTCAATACATTAAGGATACGAGCTCTTTCATTATGGAGCTTGTATTCTTGGGGACCTGTGCGATTAGGAAGGCGGGCAGAGTTGAAGCAGATCACGACAGCTAAGACTGCCGAGTGAACTCTGAGCATTCTTGACGAGTTTTTGTGCGTTTCCTGTCCCCTCTAGGTACGAATAATACATGCTACGGCGTCTGGATAAGAGCCCTGTGTGCTTAAGTCCAGAGTTGCAGGCACAGGGGGTAGCATTTTCACCGTGCGAACTCAAGAGCCCGTGAAACACTTCAATGACTAAGCGGAGGTTTTCCTTTCTAATCACCTCGAGCTTCAAGGATCACACAGCGGGCAAGGCCTGCTCCTCGCCCTCATTGGCTACCTGGTTTATTCGATGATACAATAAAGGCATAGCATCGCCTGTCTCTTACTTACTCAACTTTACAGCTAACCATCTTTACTTGAATCTTCCAACAATTTCGACACCTGCATCAACACCATGGCGAAGCTCAAGGCCACTTGGAGTCAGCTCATTCAGAGCACACGCCTCCAGCGCTCCTCTCAATGCTTCTCTGTACTGGGTTCCCAAGGGATCATCTTTGGCGGAGAAGTGATCCCTCGCCAGCCCGTCGACAACCGACTGGACGTCATAAGCCTGGGCACATCTCGAGGTGACTGGCACCTTCTCTGAGTCTCATGACCGCCGCTGACCATCTCCAGGCTCAACCGAGGCCTCAACGCTCGATGCTCCGCCAGAAGCCCCGACCCCACGCGTCGGCTCGGCCAGCGCCGTCATCAAAGACTCGCTGTACTTGTTCTCAGGCCGCGGCGGCATCGCGATGGCACCCGTGGAGGAGAACGGCGCCGTCTGGCGCTACACGCCGTCCCAGTCGGCCTGGAAGCGCTTGGAGCCAGCGGACCCGGAGAAGCCCTTCCCTGCTGGCCGCAGCTATCACGCCATGGCCTCGGACGGGTGCGATCTCCTCTTCGTTCACGCAGGCTGCCCTGAGAAGGGCCGCATGCAAGACCTCTGGTCTTTCAGGCTCAGCTCGCAGACATGGAGGGGGCTTGCTGCGGCGCCGGGGCCGTCGAGGGGCGGGGCCAGCTTAGCATACTTGGGCGGGAAGCTGTACCGGATGAATGGGTTTGATGGTACGACCGAGCAGGGCGGATCGGTCGATATGTATGATCTCGCCACGGATGACTGGTCCTCTGTTGCATTCAGACCCGACGGGAAGGATGGACCTGGACCAAGAAGTGTGTCTGCGCTTGTGGCCGCTTCAGTCAGCGGGAAGCATTATCTTGTCACCATGTTTGGAGAGTGTGATCCTAGCTCGCTCGGTCATGGTGGTGCTGGGAAGATGCGCTCGGATGTGTGGGCTTTCGATGTCAATGAGCAATACTGGCTGGAAGTCGAAACGACTGGGGACGGCCCTGCTGCAAGGGGTTGGTTCGATGCTGACGTGTTCAGAGGAGATGAGCAGGATGCTATTGTCGTCCACGGTGGTCTCGCGGAGGACAACTCACGGCTGGGTGACATCTGGAGGCTGGACTTTATATGAACAGAATATATAGCGAGCCTTATGAAGGCAGTAAGGAAAAAGTCGACTTGGTTGTGCACGGATAAGGTATCGGTTACAGGCATCATATTCAATGTTGCACGTTCCCAATTACAGAATTTCCTATGGTGAACTTTGCATTCCAAGGTTATTGCATCAGATTATCATTATTGTTTTATGACGGCATGGGTATCTCCCTCTACTCAACATTTGAGGCACATCAGATTCGTTCAAGATTGAGGCCTCAGGATGACTCGCTTATACGAAGACAGCTTCATAGGCTGGTCGTCACGGACAGTCAGGACAATGTGGAAGGTCTGTGTAAGTAACAGTCAGCATGTGATGTCGCAATTTCATACAGGTGCCATGGCTATCAAGCTTACCTCATTGTTATTGGGCGTCACATTCACCACGGAACCTGTCGCATCCAGGGCATCAAAGGTCACATTCGGTGAGATGCGCGGGATATCACCCTCGAGGCGGAACGTAGGCTCCCGGTAGTGGAACCAGTCGAACGACAGATCATCTCCATCCGGATCCCAGGACTCCGAGGCATCAAGCACGACAGACTCTCCGAACGAGTAGGGGATCTCAAGGATACCACACGACCCATTGACCACGGCCACAGGCTGGTGGTTAGGCTTCGCAGTCGAGTTGGCGGCGTTGTTGACAGTCCACTGCATGCGGGCAGCAAAGTCGTACTGGTAGGCCTCCCTCCAGCGCCAGATGCTAGCGAACTGGCTAAAGTAAGTCTCATTGTTAACACCGATAGCCCAGTCAGCAGCGTCGCTGAAGGTGCCCTGCGCGCCTGACGACACCATCAGGATGTAGCGGCCGCCCCAGCCGCCCCACTCCGGGTGCTCGGGGGCGTTGAGGCCGTTGGGGATGAGGCCCAGGAAGGACGGGGTGTCGCCCTCCATGATGTACGACCAGTTCAGGTAGTGCGCGCCCAGGGGTCCGATGCGGATGTGCTCCTGGAGCCACTCGTTGCTCACCAGGGACGAGTCGGGGCCGCCCTTGTCGAAATGCCTAAGGCCCTCGCCTGAGATTCCCTGTCGATTTGGTCAGTTCTACGTCCAGGATTCTGTGCGGGTATCGTTTGACTTACGTTCCAGGTGGCAATAGCATACTCGCTGAAGCCGTGGATAGACACGATGTAGAAAAGAGTGGGGAAGTTGGTCCGGATCCAAGCACCAGCGTCGTCCTGGTCCGAGATGGAGTACACCCGCAGCTTACGGACGAAGGCTGCAACCTCATCCTCGCTCCTGTCGTTCCTGACCTGGTTCAGGGCCTCGGCCAGTACATTGGCTCCGCCCCAGGCGAGCACCCAGAGCGGCTCCTCACTGGCATCCACGCCTGCAACCAGCGCCGTCGACGCGTTACTCGGGGTCGGCTCGTCCAGAGCAGCCAAGCCGTACACCGAGTGTCCAGTGACGACCTTGGCGGCAACCTCGTCTGCTGGAGGGTAGACGCCGGCCTCGGGGACGTGGCTGTTGAGGTTTCCCAGGACCTGGCGGTAGCCGTCGATGACACCGTAGGTGGACGGCGTGTCGATGGAGTCGTTCTTCCAGGTTGAAGTCACGACAGCGATGTTGACGATGTCGAGCTCGTTTGCGTAGGTCAGGAAGCGGACCAGACTCATCTGGTCGTCTGGCTCGTTGGAGATATCCGTCATGACAAAAACCCGCGTCTTGTTCTCGTACTTGGCCGTCTCGCACAGGTTCTCGCTCTGGCGGGTCCGGATGTTGCCGGCGAGCGCCGAGAGGGCGAGGCCGGACACGGCAAGAAGCCCCCGGAGGGAGATAGCAGCACCGCCCATTGTTGCTATGGTCAGCTTGTCAATACGGGCAACAGGTGCAACAGCTCGCGAGAAGACTGACCCTCAAATGCGGAGCGAGCCACGGTGCCATTTATACCTGCGAGACCGAGGCCATCAACCCATAACTCCATGATTATTACTCGCGCAACGCAAGACTCGACAGGATCTCCTCCCGCCTCCTCTCCTCCCGAGCTCGGTACATGCTAGCTCGTGGTTTGGGGGCTTCCCGTCGGCAAATTACGTGGTGTTAGTAGTCTCCCAGGGGCTGTCTGGCCTAGGTACAGTAGTGTGTGTGGTACCCGAGGAGCACCCACTCACCCAAGAAAACGCGGGCCGATTACAGCAGGCGACCATGACAATGGGCTCACGGGACCGACCTGCAAGAAGAGCCTTTCCGATTTCCCCACATATCCCCGCGTCTTTGCCAGGAACAAGTGTGGGGTGCAGCATGATGGCTTGGATGGTTCCCCGTACGGAGTACTTTTTTAGCACCATGTTCCTGGCGGTGACGAAATTGCGGGAATACTTCTAGGCCACCTTGGGGGGGCAGTATCCGGTCCTCGGCATGCCCCAAGAGATCCACCCGGTATCCGCAATTTTCAACGAGTATGCTGGTGACTGGACGCATGTCATGAACCCATAATCACCGCATCTGGGCTTTTGTCGGCTTGCCCGGCCGGATAAAGTCCGTCGTCCCGACTGAACATCGTCCGACTTACCTAGGTGTTTGTCTCTGTCACAGAGCTGTACGATGCGAGGAGGCACTCGAACGCGTGATTGATTGTATAGCTAGTAGGTATGACCCGTATGATGTGGTCTACTTATAAACACGGTTGTTCCGGTCTATCCCCGCATGAACCCTACGTCTATTCCGTCTTGTTCCGCGCGACTCATTCCAACATTAATGATCTGAACTCCACAAGCATGCCCCGGGGTGGCTTTAAAGTCTATACGTGTATAGCCTGTACCCGATGTTTCCGTCCTGCGCCATTTAGTTGCCTATCACGTCAAAGCCCCATTGCCCTCATCCACACAGGCTCTGTTTCTAGTCTGGGTTTGTGCAGATCGTTCGCCGTCACGGGACTGTCGTGAACACCTCGGTCGTAGATGTCGTAGTCACTGTTACATAGTCAGCGCTGCCAGATCATTGGAGTGACTCATCGTCAGGTCACGCCACTCACAACGAGAAGCAGTCGATCTCATCTCGCCTTGAGGCTTGCCTGTTCACCCATACTGCTGCACTCCTCGGTCCAGCAGCAAAGACACCCCATCCTTCGCGGTCGATCACGACCTCGCCCCAGCAACCGCCCAAGACGTCCGTCCATCTCTCGCCGGCATGCTCGGGACCAACAAACATCGGTTTTGTCGTGTGTGTCCAGCCATTGGTCATGACCACGGCCATTCCCGCCGTTCCGTATTGTGGGAAGCCCAGTCTTGTAAAGCCGATCGAGTGGGGATGGTCGAAGTAGTCGATCTGGGGCCCGTACGCGAAGAGCTTGCGTGCCTGGACGATCTTGGGCAGGAGCTTCCCTGCAAATGGGGGCTCGTTGAAGCCGTTGCCGTCCGGACGGGGATAGCCATATAAGTGGCCGTAGAACACGCATGGGGTGCCGCAGTCGGCGCGGAGAAGAATGAGAGAGTATGCCAAGGGCAGGAAATACTCCGCGATAGGAGCTGCCAGTGACTGGCCTTCCATCTGAGTTTGGGTCAGTATGATTACGACACAAGCGTCTTATCAACTCAACGAACCGTATCGTGATTTGCGACAAATGTCTAAAGGTTTGTAAGCCAACGTGTCTCGTAAGCCCGGGCCAAGATGCTTACCACAGCGTGCCGGGGCCTGATCGACGCCAACGAGCCATCGAAGACCGTGCGAAGATCCGCTCTGTCTTGGAAGGACAATCTCGAGAAGTTGTTAACGAGCCTCACATCGAAAAGCGAGATGCGGTCTCCCATGAAGCTGATGAATTTGGACAGCACATTCGAGTCATCTCGCCAATACTCGCCAACAATGAACCAGTCCCTGCCGACAGTGCGATCAATGTGATGGACAAGATCTCGCAGGAAGCTCGCGGAGTAGTGCTTGACGGCGTCCAGGCGCAGACCGCCCAGCCTGACCTGGGAAGCGAGCCACGTCACCCAGTAGAACAGGTCTCGCCGGACCTCTGGGTGGTTGTGATCCACATCGGCGAACATGCTACAAGAGAGGCCGTTAGTGATGAAGATTCCAGCCGGGCGGCTTTGCGCGCATACAGGTAATCATAGCTCCCGAGCTCCTCATCGACGTCCTGCGCCCACTCCTTGCCCTCAAACTTCCAGACGCCTTTTGATTGCGTCCTGTGGTCATAGTCAATCCCGGTGAAGTGCTCCTTGTTCCACTTCAGAGGGCTATAAGCGGAGCCTCGTCCAGGAAATTCGTAGCCGCACCACGCCTCAATCACACACGACTCTTCGTTGACCTTGGTCCGATCTTGGTCCTATTTCAGCAAACTGAGCCTACAGCCCCGTACTCGGAGGCAGGAGAGTCCTCCCAGGCCTCCTTTTCACACGTGGCAAAAACAAACTCACCTTCGCCTTCGTATTTGGTAGCTGCAACCTCCTCGCTGTAGTCCGCCGCGGCCTTGTGGTTCAACACCGCGTCGAACAGAATCCGGATCCCATAACGCCCGGCGCTCTCGGCCATCGCCACAAGCTCCTCCTTAGTGCCCCACTTGGTGTGCCGGGAGCCCTTTTGGTCAAACTCGCCCAGATCGTAAAGGTCATATATGTCGTAACCGTTGCCCGTGTACCAGCTCGCCTTGCACGCCGGAGGGATCCACATGCTTGTGATGCCGAGGGCCGCGAGGGCGGGCGACGCCTTCTCCAGCCGGCGCCAGTGCTGATGATCCGCCGGGACGTACCACTCGAAGCCCTGGAACATGGTCTGGTTCTTTGCACCCGGCGGTGGGACGCCAACCGGCGGCCGTGGTGGTATCGGCGGCTGTCCTCCATGGAAAGGGGGGCCGAAGCCCTGCTGCTGGCCGTTCATGGTTGTGAGATGAGCAGGCGATGGCTCATGTCTTCCCAGATGACTGGCAGGTAGATCATGGAGGATCGATAAAGGGTAGCAGCGGAGACTGGACCAGGGGACGTGAGCTAATAAATATGGCCGTCGGCGGAATTCGAGCGAGAGATTTGCGGCGGCTGAGGTTCGAGACAACCTTGGAAGACAGCTCTCCAATAGTCGTCTCCAAAGGTCTGACGTGAGATGCGATAACGTAATCAGGCGGCGCCGGGCTGCACCGTGGACCGCCCCCTGAGCTTTTTGTTGACGTGTTTCTACGTAGAATGCAAAGACCATTTCAAGACTGTGGAACAAGTGACGTTAAACTGACTCGTTCTCCATTTCTTGACCGCTGGACCAAGACAATCAATGGGTACCCAGGCACGCTTCCAAGGTTGTTAAGTTGAAGATTATTCAATCTGGCAACCGAACATCGTATTTCTGTCAACGCGCTAGTACACAAGTAGCTTGCTGCGAGGTACTTTCGTGGAACTCCCTCACAGTTTTATGTCGCTCTCGGCACGATGATCCGATCAGAAATCCACGCACAACGATCAGCCTTTAACTGCACGTGATTGCAGCTCAATGTGGAGGAAGAACTTATGTACGGCTGACATCTTGTGCAATTAGTTACCTACCTAGGTACCTAGGTAGGTAAGTTGGGTCATTAATACTGGTTATTGCAGTGCGAGGCTTCAATACTGCAATCGGGACATCTGGAGTGAGCGCAAGGCAGAAAGCGCGACATTTCTTACTTCTTCAGATGAATATAGATGCAGGAGTGCACAAAATGAAAATTTTGTCTCATTCATTTTCATAGTTCTCAAGTGCCCCCAAGGAATGCACATGTTTTTGCTGGACGCCACCAAGTCTGCCACTCCTCCCCTGTGCAGACCTTCAAAATATTCGTACGATTTCTGGTGAAACTCCTCTTCAAAAACCAATACTGTGGTTCCTATCATGAAGCACTAGTACACCCTCTACTGGCCTGGGGCTGATAGCATCGATGGTCGGCGTCGGTAAGTTAAACGTCGTGTTGCCTTCTTCACTAAATTGCGTGTCCCGGGCTGAGCCGGGGCAGTGCTGTAAGAGCTAGGTCGGCTGCAGCCCAGTACATGCCAACCTTTTAGCTGATATGAGTTGACTTGGCACACCTGACAGGTTGGTCGCAGCCGGAAGGATCATTGCCGACAGCTAGAACCGCTCAAAAACGGACATCCACGCCAAGTTCCATGGAATGTCAGGCCGATGCAAGGCAATTGGGATTTCAATCTATCCGACCACCGTAGAATCGGGCTGTCTCTTGCCATTTGGCATGGTGATCGGAGCAACATAGCGAAAGGAAACACTGAGTGTCGACTCTGGAGCATTCATGAAGGGACGAGGGCATGACTTCTACAGAAAAAGACTGTGGTATAAAGGTTGCCTCATTACCGGTAGTTCTAATAAGACAAAAGACTTTCAAAAACATTTCGAGTACCCCTGGTGCCTCTCAAACTTGAAGCGTCCGAGAAATCTAACCACTTGTGACATAAACAATTCCGCTCCTGAGATGATGTCCCTGCAAGTTCTATTCGCGGCAGCAGTGCTAGCACTGGGAGCACATTCCCTTGTGGACTCAACGTTCGCCAAACTCAACGCAAGCACCACCTGCGACGACGTCTGCAAGGAGCTTGTCTTCCGCGCCTCGTCCTGGGAGGCGGAGCAGAGAGCCTCAGACTCCACCTTTTACACCGTGCCCAGCAACTACTCCAATGAACTTAGCCCAGGAATTGTACTGAAGCTCGAAGAGACAACAAATCTGACAAATTACACTGTTCCGGCCCCGCTGACTATGTCACGGATGCTCTACACCACCGAAGACCTCAACGGCACTGTCATCCCAACGTCGGCCTACGTTCTGTGGCCATCAAGCCCGCTCAAATTGCCTTCATCTGACCCATCATCGAACATGACCCACTGGCCCCTGGTCGCATGGGCTCATGGCACTTCTGGAGGTCTATCTCCCTGCGCTCCGAGCAACTACCGCAGTCTGCAATACCACTTTCAAGTTCCTTTCACGCTGGCCCTGCAGGGCTACGTTGTCGTGGCGCCGGATTACGCGGGGCTAGGCGTAGGGAGACTACCAAACGGCGAGGAGATAATGCACCCGTGGGCAGCATGGCCGGCACACGCGAACGACATCGCGAACGCTATCACGGCGGCACGCAATGCCTTTCCCCGGTTTCTCGACGCCAGTGGGCCATTCATCGCCATGGGCCACTCCCAGGGTGCTGCATCTGTATGGTCTTTCGCAGAGCGCCAGATCACCAAGCCTGTGCCGGGATACAAAGGCGCTGTTGCCATCGCCCCGCCAACAGGTATCATCGAGCAGGCCAGAAAAGCCCGTGCTGACCACGAAGCCAACCAAACGCAGCTCTGGACCAATCCGTTGCTGAGCTTCCAATTACCTCTAATTAAGGGCGTCACCGCCGTTTACCCGTCCCTCAACCTGTCTGGCATGACCGAGCTTGGCCGGGACAGGTGGGTCAATGTCCAGGAGGCTGTGCAGGGCTGCTTGCCTACTAAACAGGTGTCGGGCCTCGGTGCCCCTCTGGGGGACATGGCTTATCGGAACTGGACTGAACAACCTGCTGTTCTCGAATTCGAGAGGAGGACTGCGGTTGGGCGAAGGCTGTTCAAAGGTCCTATGTTGGTCATCTCTGGGAGCCTAGACGCAGTCACTGACATCAACAACTTGAGGGAGACCGTCAACGATACTTGCGAGGCTATCGAGTTGAGTGAATCACCGCAGAGTCTGCACTTCGCCGAGTACACTGGTTTGAACCATTTCCCGGTCATTCAGGCGAGCCAGAGCAAGTGGCTTGGCTGGGTCACGCAGCGGTTCTTTTCAGGCGGAGCTTCCGAGACTGGCTGCGTAGCAGAGATCATCGAGGGTTTCAGAGGCAATGATGCCAGTGCCATTAGTTCGGTTTTCCCAAACTTCCTCCTTGAGACAGCGGGAGCTGATGACAAGTGGAAGTATGCCCTGTAATTCATCTTTTGTCAAAATTCTTAATAATATGAGCCTCTGCCAGGCTCAAATAGCTTAACGATCCAGGTACCTTCTCCATAGACCTTTAATAAATTTGATTCTTTTGGTAGCCAGTGCCGTATGCCTGCCCGGGAACTATTCTTTGTGAACCTGATTGAGCGAAATAGATAATGAAAGGCAGTGAATCTCTTCGGCTAGTAGTTTCGTTTTTAATCCCTATATATATAAAATATATATAGTGCCTTTATATAGTAGTAAACACTTAAAACCTAATATTTAAAAAAATATAATATTAATAATAGTAGAAAGAAAATATAATATATAGGTATATAGTTAAACTTTATACTATATAAATAAAGTTAGAAAGTATTACTTCTAATAATACTATATTAAAATTATTAATATAAATAGCTTAAAGGTTAATAATTAGTAAAGTAGTTATATAATAAGATTAAAATAATTTTAAAATAACCTCTATAAAAGAAGAATTCTATAAAGTAAAACTTAATAAACTAACTCTTCTTTATTAATATACTTAATAACTATTTAAATCTACCCTTATTAAATAAATTAAATATATTATAATCTTTATTTTAAATATATAACTAATAGAATAATAATATTATAATAATAAATTTATTTAAAAATCTTTTATATAAATTTTATAAAAAATTAAAACTTTTTAAAAATTAAATAGAGTTTATTTATTATATATTAAATAAATATTATATAAAGAAAATAAAAGTTTAAATATTTAAAAATTAAATCTTCCTTTTAAGTATATTATTTTATTATTAAAAATTTATTTACTTCTATATAATATATAAAGAATATAATAAAAAAAGAAGCTTTATAAAGAAAGTTAATAATTCTATATATAAATAAGTTTAAAAGTATATAATAAGTAATTACTAACTTTATATTTAAAGTATAAGTTAATAGTTAGTTTAAAAGTTAAGAAGATAATAAATAAATAAATAAATAGTTAAATAAAAAATATAATGTAGTTAAAGCCTCTCTTCGGCTATGGCTCCTTCATACCTAGGTACTTTAGCTTACCGGTCAAGAAGCGTTATAAAAAATCGTTTCATTCGCCACAACCACGGCAGGAATAAAGCACAATGTTGCCACAATTTAGCCCTGGAGCCTCAAATGATAGAAAAACATAAATCTTTACGCAGAACGGTTTCTCTATATTGAGTGACGATGATTATATCCGGTCCGAGCATGAATAGGCCATCAGTCTGGCAAACACCACTCTCATGAAATCTGGCCCAAGCCTCGAGAGGCAGCAAGTCGCCTAGCATGCCAAGGCCACATACAGGGGCTCGACTTAGAGTAATTTTGGGCATGTTGTTCGTAGTCGCCTGTATGCGTCTATAAAAGAAATTATCGTTGGGGGCTGTATGGGGGCTAAAAGAGTCTTGTCTCATTTCAACAGCCAGTCATTGGCTTGAATCTTCTCTGTGCATATGCAGGCCTCTCAGCTGAATGTGCTGGGTGCAACGTGAAACGACCCGTACCGGCTATGTCGGCCTCTGGTCATTTCTGTTGTAGGTAGATAAGCCTTCCACTTACCACTTTTCTCGCGCACAGAAATTTGCCCTGTTATCCTCTCGCTTATCTTGGGCCGCTGAATGCGTGCCACATCCAAATCCAACCGTCAGCATCTTGATTGTGTACCTAGGTATCAGCTCTCAGTGATCAAACCTCACGATGGAAACAATCACAGCACCACCGACGCTACCAGCGAGCTGGAAACCGACCGGTACCGCTTGCCTCACCTCTGATGACTACTGGATAATATGGGATTACGGTCAAGATGACAGTCAATTGGTGCTCGGGGGCCCATCGCAGACGACAGACTGTCTGCCGACGCCCTGGGCGGTCGACGTTGTATTTAACGGAGAGGACTGCCCCCAAGGATATACTTCGGCGTGTAAGGGTGCAGATTCCCGTGGCGAGGTCACCTGCTGCCCCAGGTACATTACATCCACGAATCCATATCCTCATCACAAGCCCGAAGGAGACACTAACATTCTTTTTTTGACGATTTACAGCCTCCACAGTTATAAATTCACATGCCGTTCTCAGATTCCATTCACGAATCACGAGTCCCAGTACCCTTGTCTATCCCATTGGTGGACGTTCACAACGGTAAATGTATCGCGTACACGATTTGACGGGAACCCGCCCAGCCAAGAGGCAGCAACTAAAAGTACACAAAACGTCCTGCGCGCTATGGCGGTGAAGTACACAACTTCGGTATGTGAGAAGAGAGTATCCGGTTTCAGTGACTTTATTGAGGCTGACTGACAACATCCATATAGAAGTTCCTTCACGATGCCGGCGCTACCGCCCAGGCTACCGCTCAGACTCCGGTGTCACCAGTGGCCCCAGCAACAATCACACTAACAGCTCCCGTTCAGAGCTCTGCGGAAACCTCCGCAGAGTCTGGGCTCAGCGCAGGTGCTTCGGCTGGAATCGGCGTCGGCGCTGCGGCGGGTACTGCTCTCTTGTTGTTCGTTCTGTGGTACATGTACCGCTTAAGAAGGTCTCACAAGAAACCCACTGGGCAGGATGCCGATTGCTTTCAGAGCTTTCACGAAAGATTAGCAAAGCATCCAATGGACACCCCAGAGAATGCAACACAAGTTTGGGTTGAAATGCCAGCAAACAGCTCGGCACGCCGGGAGCTACCTTCCTCGGAGGTAGGACATTGGAAATAAACGCAGATTCTTAATTGGTCTCGTGGATGGATTGATTAATGGGGAGGGTGTTAAAGAAATTGTGATTGGATTTGCCGGCTTCGATCTGGTGATCAATTGTAATAATAGATATTCTACGCCGGTCGACAGCGTCTAGAGAATCCCGGGATATTTATATAATATGGGAGACTAGACACCTCTATCGCTTAGGCGTCACATAATAAGACTGCTATTTCCTTGATTAAGAGGATAATCAGTATCCGATACCAATGGACAAAGCACCTTGATAAGTCCAATGATTACAATTCGGAAAGTAAAGTCCCATCACGCGACAGGAGCGTGAAAGAACTAAAGGCATCCAAAGTAGCACCAATTCAAATAGCTAATAAGGTGGTACTTGTTTAATTCGGAGCGGCAGTTCTCAGATGATGCAGAGTCCTCGGAGACAATGATTACTCAGAGGCCGACCAACGGCCTAGAAAAATGCAGTATTTCAAAGCCAGGTACTTCAAATGCAGGTCTATGACTGCGCCAGTGAGATCCCTCTTCAATTTTTAGGAAGTCATATCTCAACCTGCTTTCCGTACAGCTCTGTAGAATTTTGCTGTTTGAAATTGCAGTAGAAGTTTCTGTCCATAGCCTTGCTCGAAATACTTTGGACGATCTCCTCGAGCCATCACCCGACGGAACCACCCATGTTTCAGTAGCCTGTCCACCGGCACCAGAAATTAAAATAGTTCTTCATTCGTATCATGCCAGCCGGATACCGACCGGATTATGAGGTAAAGGAACGTTTCAACGTGTGCCTTTCTCGACACCGAGGATGATTGCAATGGCTCCATCGAGAAGTTCCCGTATGGCGCAGTGGAGAAAAATTGAAAGAAATTGCGGGGGACACCAGCGCCGTTAACATCTGAATGATTGGCCATTGCAAGCGTGTCGGTTTTTACCCCATGATAGTATCTACGCAGCAAGATGTGACTAGGGAGGTTCACTATAGCGTCGTGTGAAAGGCTGCCCCACATTCCTTATCATTGAGGAAATTACTATTTCGGCTCAGCTTCTACCGAGTCCCTGTCAAACGAGAGCTATGGTCAAGGCTAGCTATTGGCCCCCTTGGCTTGAACATGTATTTGACTCATGGCTCCACGGCTACGACGAGGAGTATTAAGTTGCCTTTAGAGTGAAGGCGGTAATTCGGGCATTTTGTGGTCATCTAGTGAAAGCCCATCATGTTTTGCTGGCGAATAAAATCGGAAAACTTCTCGTGATTCGATTTATTTGCCGTTGTTCGAGGCCTCTGGCCAAGACCAAGTTGGATCCGCTACTATCGTACTAGTAATGCAGCAAGGTTACATATATCCGCCGCTAATATCGCGAGTGGCTGGCAAGGTTGTAAGGGGTTCGTGTAGGGCTTACTGGCTCGGGCCATCAAATAATCTAAATTTTCACATCATTTATAGTCAGAGGTGCTCACTGCTTCATGGGCACTACTCTCTCCTCGAAGAGATAGCAAAGCCAGTTGTACACCATATTGATATATCAAGCGCCGTGTTGTTATAAGATACGATGAGGTGGGAATTTCTCGGACTGCTAGTCCAACTTGTGGCGGCTGAGGGGACTGGCAATCCTGCGGTAAATAAGGATACTGAGTACGCCCGATGAATCTGTTCGACGCTGACGAGTATCTTCTCTAGTGTGATGCCCTGGTGTCCGCTGGGCTGGGCTCACGTTTACTCACAGCTCTCGACCCAGCTTACCAGGAACGTGTCGAGTCTTACTGGTCTGCCAGTGCCCGTCTGAACCCGTGGTGCTTCGTTCAACCACAGACCGTCGGCGAGGTTTCACTTGCCCTGACGGCCCTCACAGCTGCCGGTCAAGGTGCTGGGGACTGGCATATTGCTATTCGTGGAGGGGGGCATTACTTTTCCCCGGGTGTTAACAATGTTCAAAATGGTGTCACTATCGATATGGGATCTTTCAACAAGACCACTTACAATTCCGTAAATGGACTCGCCTCGGTCGGACCTGGTGGCCACTGGACCGGAGCATACAACAAGCTCGCGAGGAGCAACGTCACAGTTGTAGGCGGTCGAGAAGGTCAGGTTGGAATCGGTGGTTTTCTTCTCGGCGGTGGCGTATGTGTTACTTTCCTTTTGCTGACCCACCCATATACTGCGAACTGTGAATACGTATGTGAACTAACAAATGGCTGCAGAATTCGTACTACACTTTCCGCCAAGGGTTTGGGTGTGACAACGTGGTAAACTTCGAGGTCGTCCTGGCCAACGGGAGTGTTGTTGACGCCAATTCCAGCTCTCATTACGATCTTTACAAGGCACTCAAGGGAGGAAGTAGCAACTTCGGCATTGTTACACGCTTCGACCTCAAAACCCTGCCTAATACCCCAATGTGGGGCGGTATACGGACATATGATTACAACCTATATGCCGACGTCGCTCTAGAAAGCATTGTTGATTTTGCGAACTCAGACGACTCCCAAGGCGACAATGCCCTAATTGTGCTGATTGTGACCAGTGGGGATAACACCATCTCCCTTCTCACTAATCCCGTCAACACACAAGGCGTGACAGACCCACCCAACTTCGCAAAGCTGTCTGCACTGCCTGCTTTGACAGACTCTACGAAAATAGCAACCGTGGGGGATCTCACGGCCGGAGGAACGCCCGCTGGATTAAGGTTCGTGCACCTGATTGAGGATTCGGGACTAGAACTTGAATTGACCATGTGCACAGAAATGTGTGGTTCACAGCCACTTTTGGTGCAGATGTCGACCTACTCAAAACTATCAAGGGGCTGTATGAAGACTTCCTTGCGGACTTGTGGTCATTGCTACCAGCCGAAGCCTTCGAAACCCAAATAGTCTTCCAGCCTATCCCTTCCTATCTGGCGCAGGTCGGCGACAGGAACGGAGGCAATGTTCTCGGTCTTGATTCTTCATTGACGAAGAACGCTGTCCTCTTTCTGCTCACTTTGAAAACACACACAGAGGCGGATGAGGCAGTGATACACGCAAGAGGTGGTGTGTTCTTTGCCAAGGTGGAAGAGTCCGTGGAAACTTCGGGAAACAGTCTTCCTTTTGTCTACCTCAACTACGCCAACCCCAGTCAAGACCCCTTAGGGAGCTACGGCGCTGAGAACGTCGCGTTTATGCGAGATGTCTCTGCCAAGTATGATCCGCAGGGTATCTTTCAACAACGTGTACCAGGAGGGTTCAAGATCTCTCGTGTGATTTGATGTACCGAGTAATATTGGTCCTGGATTCCTATCGCCGAAGACGATCAGAACTCCGTACATACCTGGGTATGTCTGTAAGGTCGATATATAGAACCCGAGTGTTACCAGTAACTATTAAAATTGAATACCTTCAATGTGTTTACTGCATCCCCAGATGAGAACGATCCCTTGCCAGCCACTAAATCGCCCCGAACGGGAACATTAAAATCACATGCAGTCCTCTTGGTACAGTTTTTCAATGATTGTTCGATTATTATGATTCATTCTCCAGAGGTACCATTTAAAGCAACGTTCAGTACATCCCTCGAAGCTTTCCGACATCAGTCAAATTGCCGATGTTGGTGAACGCGTCATATGCCCGAACAGCTCTTTCGTTCCCAATGGCACCGGCCACCTGGTCCATGAACTTTTTCTTCAGATCGTCGACGGTGAGCGGATTCTCTTGACTTCCAATAGCGTGCACGATGTGCCTTTCAAGCTTACTGCCATCCTTGAAATTCACCGTCACATACCCTTGCGCGTTGTCCACAGCGGCGTCGGTCGTGACGTTGACCATCTTTCGCAAGCTCACCACAGTCGCGTTCTTGACCACATCATCGGTGAATTGCTTCGGCGTCGCTTCACCATAAAGCAGACCGATAGCAGTGGCATGGAATATGCTGAACTTGCCTTCCAAACCTGTCTGCGGATCCGTCTTGCCTGTAAGCACGAGTACCTGCGGGTTCACGCGGAGCTGCACAGACTCTATCTCAGCGATGGACTTGCCCTCCTCAAGCGCCTGATTGTGCAGTTGGATAGCGCCGTCGATAGATGGGTGCATCACAATTCCGCAGGGGAAGGGTTTGAAGGTGTTCTTGAGGACCTCCCACGTCTCGCCGAGCTGGTCGAAGTAGGCCGTTGCGTTCGCACGTGTGCTGACGACATGCAGCCAGCCGAACTTAGCCTCGAGGCCTTGCAGTGAGCTGGTGTAGTTGTTCTTGGCGAGAAGGGCGGCGAGCATGCCGCCTTGGGCGGCCCGGCCAACGTGAAAGGACTTTGTGTCTGAGCCGAAGTATTCCTGCATGCCGACAACTTGAGTCGCCGCGATGCCGATGGCGTTTTGAATGGTGATGGTATCGGATCCCAGCAGCTTGCTCACTGCGACTGCAGCGCCGATCGAGCCGGTTGTGCTTGTAATGTGCCATCCCACGTCGTAATGCTCGGGATAGACGGAGAGACCCAGCTTGCATTCTGCTTCGACACCAGCGACGAATGCTGTGATGAAGTCATACCCTGAGACTGGGGCTTTCCACTCCGCCACGGCGAAGAGCGCGCTAGCAACTGGTCCAGCAGGATGGATGATCGTCTCGAGGTGAGTGTCGTCATAATCATCGACATGCGAGGCAATCCCATTGATCAGAGCCGCCGTCTGAGCATCTGCATACCCGACGCTGATAGACCCGTTAGCACCCAAAATGCTAGACGTTGGAGGTCCGCTAAATGCGGCAAGAGTTGTGTTCTGCGCTATTTGGGGCGCATCTTGTATATAGCCTCCAATAGCACATCCAGCCCAGTTGTAAAGGCTTTTCACGGCAGCATCAACTACGCCAGTCGTGAGATTAGCATAAGTCAGGTTTGTGGTCCATGCAGCGAGCTGAAGTGTGGCCATTTTGGAGCGTTGCGGAGAATCTTTGATATCTTCGAATTCCAACTTCGTCGTATGCGTCCGGCATTTATACAGCGGAAAATCGGCTCTCTGGGATACCTGATGTCACCCGAATCCTTGAGTATACAGTCAGGGAGCAACTTCAAAGTTACCTAGGAATGGAGATTTCGGTAATCGACAGACATCGAGCTTGAGTGGCAGCGATCTCTTCGGTCTAGGAAGGCAACCTTGGAAGGCAGGCCACACGTCGTAAGGAACGAACTCCCATTCTTTAAAATGCTGTCATGGCGGGGTAAATTTCTCGATGACACTATTTGTGCTGCCTCTGGAATCGTTATTCCCGGATGAATCGGGGTAGTAGTCGATCTCGTCGATGGGAGTGGCGAGTGGCATCACTTAGTGCTAATTGGGCAATTCTCGGCTTTGAGTCGGAGTCTGCTCACGTCTCCTCCTACTCACCCCAACTAAGTCTTCTACATAAACTGACAAATAATTACTTCACCTGGTTTCACAAGAAGATAAGTACGGGCCATTATGAGTTGCCGTGTCCAATCCTGGCCATTTGAGTATTGGTACATTCTTCACATGTGCAATCGGTGGGAACTGCACGCTACCAGATGTTCTCCCCATAACCTTGGAATATTTCGTGCAGGACATTCACTAGCTCGGAGGTCACCATACAAAGTCTTGACAGTTACTACAAATCCAATGAGATGGATTTCTTCTATATTCTTCCCTCATGTTTTGGTCCAGTTCTTGCATCTCTACAGCGCACAGATGTCTGCATATTTCCGCACAGATAATGGATACGATCCACTTTGCGTTTGATGGGCGGAAGTAATATACCCGAAGTGTCAAGACTCGGAGCTGATGTTCCCTTCAGGACAGCCGCAGAATGACAACTCGAACGTGAGGAAGTCCCTTCAGCAGAACAATACCTCAACAAAAAAAAAAAAAAGCCGCGGGCTGTTACTTCACACAAGCCTTTCACTTGGTATAAAATACTGAAACCAGAGTAATTAGCCACCGAGGCTTCCCCTCCGTCACCAGATATACCAGGAATTGTCGGAAAGGATCTGATTCGTTATTTCACCTATGGCACGACCGTTCGTGGCAGTGAACGGTCGGTGGGCTGGCGCGAGTATATTAGTATAGGGCAAAGAATATCCATAATGAGGACCAGCCATACTATTACCGAGCCAGTGATAGTATCTGGCGATAACATCGAGCTCCATCTAACCCAGGGATGTGTGCTAGATTGAAGTCTCTGCAGTCGCTGTGCGGTGCACCGTGCAGCGTGGAGCCATACGACGGTATAAAATTCCGAGGCCCTCGCCAACAGGTCCCACTTCACTGCTACCTTAGGGTGCATTTGATCTGCGAGCTGTGCATATACAGATATCCTTCCAATAAGTCTTTACCGCCAAGGAGCAAGGGGGGCTATATCCCTTCTATTTATGCAGTCATCTGGCTGTACCAATAGATCAGGACCAGCCCCCTGAAAGTAGCGTATATTAAAAAATTCAAGCTGGGGACTAGTTAGAAGTAGTGAAGCCTAAAGTACTTATCTAATGTATTCTACGTATCGGGGGTCGGTATCCATAGACTTTCTAGTAGCTAAGACAGCCCCCCCTGCTCCTTGGCGGTAAAGATTTATTGGAAGAACCTCCGTATACTTGAGACCAACCGTCACCAACTTGCATATTATTAGCCCCAACACCTGGCGCCAAGAACCAAGTCCAAGGTTGTCACTTTCTTGACTGACTGACGACGACCTTCCAGGTCAGATGTGCTCTCCCATGCGAGCTACAAATAGGACCTCCTCTTCCAGAAATTCCCACCTGTTGTTCCACACACCTGCTTCTTTGACGTGATTACGTATATCTCAGCATCCAGCTTCAAGATGGGTAGTCAGGTAGCCCAGGCCATCTCAGCCATTCGGCATGTCTTGCCAAATGCTCACCTCGTCACTCCCGAGGCGGACGAAGAATACAACTTGCTAAACAACAGCTACCTTTCGGGCTTTGAGAGTGACTTGCGTCCTGCCTGCATATTTCTCCCGCGCTCGAAAGAAGAGGTTGCTGCCTTCATCCGTGCCGTCAGCCCATTCAATGGTGAGGTCCAGTTTGCGATCCGGGCTGGCGGGCGACAGCCGCTGCCCGGTTGTGCGAATGTCAACGGCGGCATTACTGTTGACCTCCGGTCGCTTAAAGGTCTTCACCTTCAAGACGGCCAGGTCCAGGTTGCTGCCGGGCAGGACTGGGGATCGGTCTACGAGTACCTAGAGCCGCATGGGCTGGCCGTCACTGGGGGTATGTCGACAACCGGTGGCATTGGGGGTCTCGCCACACAAGGTATGCATGCACTACAAGTAGTTACCATGAGATTGTGAAGCTGACATGAACTTGTCCTTGATAACTAAGGCGGTCTCTCGTTCTACTCGTCTCGGGAGGGCTTCATTTGCGACAACGTTGTGAACTACGAGGTTGTTGTGGCTTCAGGCGAGATCTTGAATGCCAATGCCAAGGAGAACTCGGACCTCTGGGTCGCGTTACGGGGTGGTGGGAACAACCTAGGTAAGAAGCCCTACTTGAAGTTACTCACAGAGAACATCTCTCGGGCACAATGAACGGCCACCTGCCATTCGTACTGACGAGTCGAATTTCCAAGGAATCGTCACTCGCTTCGACTTCCGCACATTCAAGCAAGGTCCCATTTACGCGGGCATGGTTTGGTACTTCAAGCCGAGCTTCGCAGACCAGATGAAAGCCCTGGTGAAAGAGCTCAATGCGCCTGATGCCAGTGTTGAGACGCACCTTATGCTCAGTATCGCTTACGCGCAGGTCTTTGGCAACGGCAACGATGTGGTGTGCCTCAACCAACTCTACTATACGCAGCCAGTCGATGATCCCCCTGCTCTGGCGCCCTTCACACACGTCCAACCGCAGAGGGCAGAAATGAACAGTATGAAAATCCAGACGCTTGTCGAGGCGTCGACGGAGCAGTCGGCAGCAGGACAGAGCATGATCAGGTACGCTGTAGATACTCACAGATCCTATGTTGAAGCTCCGGATCAGGCTAACAATTGAGGTGTCTGATAGATGTCTCTACATGAATGTGAACGTCAAAGCTGATGTTGAGACGCTCATCACAGGGGGTGACATCTGGTGCGAGGAATTGGAGGCGGTCAAGGACGTCGCCGGGCTCATGTGCTCTTACACCCTGCAGCCGTACCCAGTGTCACAACTTAAGAAGACCCGTGAGCACGGTGGAAATGTATTGGGCTTGGATCCCAGTGGCGGGCCTGTTGTCAATGTCCTGCTCCTGTCATACTGGGCAGACAAGAAAGATGATGAGCGGATGATGGCTTTTATGAAGAAGGCCTTGAAGCGAATTGAAGAGAACGCGGAGGCTCGAGGTCAGCTGATTCCCTTCATCTACTGGAACTATGCATTTTCTCACCAAGACCCTCTGAGGTCATATGGTGAGGATAATGTGCGTAAATTGCGAGATGCTAGCAAGAAGTATGATCCCAAGGGATTGTTCCAGGTAGCATGTCCTGGTGGTTTCAAGCTTTTCAAATAGATAGATGCACCAATCGTCTGGGACACAAGCCTGGGCAGCTACATACAATTATTAAATTGTAATTAACCATCATCAATGCGCATCAGGATGTCCGTTATGATCTTACATTCCAGAACACCAATGATGTTCCCACATGTGGACCCTGTTGCTATTGATGACCTCCATCGATCCAACCCCAGCTTCGGCACTCCACCGTTGTTATCAGCAGTGGACATATTCACCATTCACATCATGTTCCGTTATTGGTCCTCGGTGTAAGACACTGAATACGATGACAACACATGTACTACATGAGCTTTCACAGTAGCTTGACACGACTCTAAATCGTCCGGGAGTTTCTGACCTCAGCTTCAATACCATCCCACCACTCTAAATGTCGTCGGAAATCGTCCTTATTTTCGTTCTGACTGTAGTGCAAACAATCAAGTTCTCTCTCGTATGATCCGGCAGACAATCGAGGGTCCCAAGCGCGAAACCTTCTGTGAAGGTGTAGCCAATCGAAGAATCGACTCATGCTCTCCATAGAGAAATGTATCTCCTCGATGCCTATGCCGCTCCCCCCTCTTGCAGCAATGCGCTTCCTCAGTCCTTCGCTGAGATAGCTGAGCATAACCGGCAAGGCCGACCTCAGGATCGCTCGGCCATATCCATAGATTCGCCATTTACCAGGTGTGAAGCGCCATTTGTAGTGCACCGCCACCTCTCGATCAGTGATGACGCCCACGTCCAAGATAATCGGCAGGACTCCTCCGGACCATACTCTAATACATCTGAACTCTATGCGCGTCTCACGCAGCCACTGCTCTGTCGAAGCACTGAGGGGAGACTCGTCGTTGTGGCCCAGGCTTGTGGGGATCAATATCCGGGTGCGAGAGGCAAGGAGAGCTTCGACGTCAAGTTGGATCTGCGTGTGGACAAAGAGGGGTCTAGGGTCAAGATGATGGAGTCTGTAGATGGGAATCGTGGGGCTGTATAGCATGGGCCTGACACGAGGGAGGGAGCGGAGGATGAGGCGGTAGATCTGCTCGCGGAGCTCGAAAGAGAGAGATAGAAAGGAGGTTGGCGGCATTGACCCGACCAGGACACGACGCGACTGCATGGCAATGATTCTGCGTTGAGATTCTAGGTTCTCGCACCTATTACATCAGAGAGACGAGCATTTTGGGACGTATATTGATGACAAGGTGTTTACAGGCCGGTTCATTAACAGGATATTAAAGGTACTTGGGGTTGCTGCCTGCTTCCCAATGCTGCTTAGTCACCTAGTGTCAACTGGTGGCCAATTTGATAGCTGCCACTTATTAGGTATTCGGATGCTGTTAACTCCAATGTCGCCCGGGGCCCTTACTTACCAATGCCAGGTTGCCATTAAGCGCTTGCTGATGCAGCTGGAGTGGGCTCCCAACCTTGAGGTCATCAATATCTCGTCCGCGTTAAGATCATTGTCAGGTAAGACACTTCGCAATTTCTTGTTGCATCTAAAGGCAATTTTGTGCTGGTCAGTCATTCATTCGGTCTCTTCTTGGGTTATCGGGCTGCAAAAAGCGCTCTAGTCAACCAAGCTTCAGCGACTTTGGCCCAGGAATGGGGAAAAGAAGGCCGGAAGACTACCATCATCTGCGTCGAGCCAGGCTTCCTCTCCACAGGCCTCATTTCAATGGAAAAGACTATATGTAAATGTGCATCGCGGGTTTGATGAAAGTGTTCGACGGCATTACTCCCAAGGACAACCGTCTTTTCTGAAATGGGACGGTACTACTATTCCTTTCTGACCTGGAGGTTGACTATGCCATGGACTCGGATAGTTTTGATGTTTCAACGACCACCAAATTTCAGATGCTGGCCGAGCAAATGAGATGGTGCAGAAGCTCTCACTGCATAACAATCTTCAGGGAGCACACTGTCGGCATATTGAAGAAGGAAAAGTACTGTGACTTTGCGATTGACTAGAGCATATTGACATTGCTCTCAACCGCCAACACCAGCTCCCTAGGTAAACTACAAGTAAACGGACAGATGGGTCATGCAGGTTTGCATTGAGTCCGGCCCCTACATGGGTACCTCTTTTACCCAGGAAATACAGATTATAGACTTCTCGAGAAAGTAAATATACTGAGACGCCTGACAAGTATTCTATGCTCGAGGGAACGCTCGACTTAGGCGGATGATTTTCAGAACGAGAGGGCCCAGAGGTGTTGTAGGCTCATTGCTACGTAGATGCAGGACCAAAATCAGTCCGTTGGTTGGTGTAACATTTCGTCCAAAGACTCTGATTTGGCTCTCACATGTCAATTTGGTCAGTCTCACCCCATTCTGCAGTTGCCCAGCCAGTCAATAGTTCGGGATCTATTCCAAAAACAAATTCATGCACTTTGGGGGAGCACTGCCGAGTGACAAATGGAAGAGCTGCACCCCAAGCTACCTGAGTACACTTCGGAGTCACTTGCTAGCCTCGCTATCTCTTTCCTTGGTTCTATTTAGGCAACCATGCATGGTTCTCTATGAGCCAATCCTACAGTGATTCTGTGCCGTGGCCGCCATATCACTTCTACTGGTCTTTGAAACCACCCTGGGGTATTTTTCAACATCAATTAGTGCTTATCTTTCGTTCCTATGAACTCTTCTATTCTGACCTACCGTGCAACACCTTGCAACTGTACATCCCGCTTGCTTTAGCTATTCCACTATGCTCCAATAGTATGCTCGAATGCCATATTTTACTCTAAGCTGATTTCTTATCTTAACGGACTAGTTGTGGTCCAGTATCCACGGCCCGGGGGTTTTATGCCCACGCCGATTCGGAAGGAAACAAGTTTGCCCTTGGTCACCAGATTATGGCCAGCCAACGAGCTCAGGGTCAAAGTGTTTCTGAAATAGGATGTGAATTGTATGAATACCACCCGTTTCACTCCAGTGACCAGTATATTCGACAATTGATTCTTGACCCGGGACAAGGCGATAACCCTCTGAGGGGAAGTCTGGTGACGGCCAAGCTTCTTGATGCACCATCATTCGAGGCTATCTCCTATGTGTGGGGCTCGAAAACCCGGAACCGGTGGATTATTGTGGATGGCCGACGGCTTCCTATCACTTCAAGTATGGAAGACGCCCTTCGACAAACAAGACTGCCAGCGCATGCGCGGACCCTGTGGGCAGACTCCATCTGCATCAATCAAGAGAACCGTGTGGAGAAGGGGCATCAAGTTGCCATGATGGGCAGAATTTACGCCAGATCGAATCGCACACTCATATGCCTTGGCCTCTGTCCACAGTTCCAACAATGCTCCCAGGACGTGGTCGGTTTGGTCGACGAAGTGAACAATATGATGGACTCGACCTTTGCCGGCTCCTTATTTTCATGGGACTGGGGAAGCTTTCCGTTCCCCAGTGAAGATGATACCTTACTCCACGACAATAGATGGGTGTCATGGGAAGAATTCGGGAAATGTGCCTGGTTCGGAAGGGGCTGGGTCGTGCAAGAAGCTGCTTTGGCACGCGAGGCCGTCGTACTTTGGGCAGGAGCTGAAATACCATGGATCAGGATTCTGCGGAGCTATGAATGGCTGGTGCAGCGTGTGCGCCATTTGATGCCAACCAGCAGATTGCTCATGATACCAAATCCTCATCGGCGAACATATACCACGCGACGGCCGTGGGAAGCGAGAACGCTTCACTTTGAAAGAAACCAGGAGCTACTAGAGCACATGCCAACTCTTGAGGTGCTCAATACTGCCCGGACGTTGGATGTATCGGAGCCCAAGGATCTCATCTACGCATTCATGTCGATTCCGACCTCAGACAAGGTTTTCACTGGGCTCGATATAAGACCGGATTATTCGAGGGATGTTTCCCATCTGGATGTCTATCGAGACTTCGCCGTCAGATATTTACAAAGGACCCAGAACCCGGACCTTTTGAGTTATGTGGATCATGAAGAGAGTGACTTAGAGGCCAAACGCGAGGTTGACGGGTTGGGCTCCTCCTCGGTCTTTTACTTTCCATCGTGGATTCCGCGCTGGGATCGAGGCCTAACGCTTCTGCGTGAGGTGGCATACTGGCTTAATGCCACGGCACCAAAGGTTGAGATCAACGATAACCACATCTCGCATGTCCTCACCATACATGACGCCTCAATCATCGAAGTGAGAGCCATCGTTTTCGATTCCGTCCAATATGTCTCCGAGAGATTGTCATGGTTAGATGACTGCACCCCAACACAATGCACTCAAGAAGTGGTTTCACTTTGGCGACAAGTCTCGCCAGAATCGCGTAGGCTCCCAGGGCTACTTGACAAGGATCCACTAGATGAGGCACTGGCCTTTCTGAGCACACTTTGTCGAAACTTCTTTGACGGTGATCGTGAGGAGTTCTGGCACTCACTAAAGGCGTTTGCAGGACTCCTCCAGGATGATAGGCCAACGCGGTCTATCGACTTGTATCTCACGAATAAGGAGGCTCGGCGAATATCGACATTTGCTATCAAGTCATGTCAAAGCCGTCGTTTCATTCTGCTGAATGGTGGTCTCTACGGAATGGCACCCACCATCACCCGTAGCGGCGATACGTGTGCAGTCATCCCCGGAACAAGATTCCCCTTTATCCTCCGAAACGTTGCTGGAAAGGAAAATCATTACCAAGTGATAGGACGTGCATACATTCAAACCAAGGCTTGGCCTCTGGTGCAGTCTGGGCATCCTCCGCCGCTGGGCAGTTCGGACCAAAGCAGAAGCTGGAAGGACTATGTTATGCAAGGAAAGTCTATTTATCTTTGTTGAGAAACCGAGAATCCCTTGGCCTCCGAGTCCAGGGCAGTGGATCTTTGTATGCGTTCAAGTAGTTCTATACGAGATGTTCAGAGTGTGAACGTAGAAATAGCTGGTGCTGTAAGACTGGTGGCCTGGACGGCTGTTGTATAGAAATCAACATGGGACGACATGTGGGTGTATTAGAATAGGTCTGCGGCCCAACGCAGCAGCGAGAACGGGCTGAAGGACCTTCGCGTAGACACCATTCAGTCACATTTGTTTCATCCAGTGCGGGACGAATGAGTGCTTTATCCCCTGGTCAATGTGCATCCAGAAGGCGTACGGTCCCTTAATATAGTGGTAAACGCTCAAAACGCGGGATGAATGAGTTCCAGGGTTCTGAAGAGCGTAACGTGGCTCTTGGCCACCTTCCCACCTGGGCACTTTTCCTCTGGGTATCCGTCCACTCATCTACGCCTGGACTTCTCTCGGACTCAGATTTGAGTCCTCATTCCGCCAATCATCACCGGGAAATTTCAGTCACTGTAAAACCTTCGCAGAAATGCATGAGAACTATGACCCACACAGCCACAGGGCCAGCTGCAAAAGTGTCTCACATCTGAAAATATACCATACAGTCTTAAATGTCTCTCGCAATTCGCTATTCAGCAAGATCGGGGTAGATATTATTTTCCTCGATATTTGTTACATTTGTTCAACAAACAGGAAGCACGAGATGGCACGAAGTGCAACTAGTATTTTTTTGTAACAGGGCGCCTGAGGTCGTAAGCCATCCTCTGGTCCTGGGACACTAACCATCATGTGTAGTCTTGATTCGACTCGGAAGTACCTGAGTGATTAGCTGCTCGAAGTGCTCGGTGTTCCTAGTACCTTACAACACTCCAGATAGGGAACAGAAGGAAATGCTGGCGCCAGACAGCGGCCGGGGCCACATGCCTCCAACCAGGCGCCAGGCAGGTGTTCCTCGGCGCCCAGATGTGTACGGGGGCAAGCGTTGTTGCATTGCTCATCAAGGGGGGATGCTGATATAGTAAGTGCCGGAAGAAAACCAAGGGGCTCACAATCTCCTAGGCCAATCGGTACCCGCCCGGACGGCTTCGATTCCAGATTCTAGCCGCAGGCAGGTTACGACCAGATAGTGGCATTGCCAAAATTGAATTCCATTTCTTGAGCCATATCATAATCAAGACCACGTGGGGAGTGGCTAGTTATGTGGACACAGCACGAAAATCGTTCTCAGAGGGCGTTTGTTTGATCCGCATGCCATCCCGCCACTGAAGACATCCCCCAGGGACTGTCTTGCTCACTGCCGAAGGTGGTGCGGTCTCTTTTCGTCGCTCTTGCAGGTCTTGACGCATTCAATATATCTTGGGCGGCACGAGTTGGACTCAATTGGCAGGATAAGGTTATGCTGGGGGACCTCGGGATTCAAAGGTTCAAACGAGGAAACATGATTTGCGAGCAGACGTTGCAGCCACCTCAGCCTAAATTCGTCAATATAGTAGGGAGCAAAAGATCAAATGTTGATCCACTGTCAGACGGCATGTGAACTAAGTCTTTTCATGGGAAAATGAAAGCAGAGTCGAATTGTATTTAGGAAAATCGGCGCAGTAGGTATGTTTGAGATGTCTCCCCGTCTTCTACCTCGAACGCCCAACTCGAGTGAACCCTGGGAAGCCAGTTGCTCAACTCAGACACGATGAAGTTGAAAGTTCTTTCCCTGGCGCTGCTAGCCAATCATGTTTCGGCTCAACCACCAATCAATCGTATGCCGATGTTGCGATTCGAGTGCTCGCAGCTGGTCATCGAAAGGCTCGACCCCCTCGTGAACCCAGGCATGATCCCATCGCCTCACGTACACCAAATCGTAGGTGAGTCATCGCGAGAGATTATCACACCGACAAAGATGGTTCTTCTTCAAGAAGTAAGACCCGCTTTGAGGCACATATCATTGATACTGACTTCGCTTTCGTGGGCCAGGGGGTAATTCTTTCAACGCCTCTATGGATCCAGTCACGCACGACCTTCCTTCGGCCTCAACTTGCACCAGCTGCACATTCTCAGAGGACTTCTCCAATTATTGGACTGCGGTCCTCTACTTCCGAGCCCGCAATGGGACGTACAAACGCGTGCCTCAATACCCAAGCGAAGGGCTGACCGGGGACGGCGGCATCACGATCTATTACATCGCATCGCCAGACGCGTCCGTAAACGTCACCGCGTTCCGGCCCGGCTTCCGTATGCTTGTCGGCGACGCCGCGGCGGATTCTCCGACCGCAGAACCCAAGGTGTGCCACAGATGCATGCCCAAGTCGGGCGACAACCGCTGGCTGAACTGTGCATCGCCCGACAACCAGACCCTGCCCACCGGGTTCTGTGTCGGCGGTATCCGATCCGTCATCACCTTCCCGTCGTGCTGGGACGGGAAGAACCTGGACAGCGCAGACCACATGAGCCACATTGCCTACCAGATCCCAGACCCTTCGCACAACGGAGTCGGCGCTGAGGGCGTCTGCCCGTCATCCCACCCCGTCAAGATCCCCCAGGTCATGTACGAGGTTATGTGGGACACGCGGCCCTTCAATGACAAGAACCTGTGGCCTGAGGATGGGTCACAGCCATTCGTCTGGAGCACTGGTGACAAGCAAGTTTCTCTCTAGGATTGATGACTGCCGGGATGACCCCATTGCTAACTCATGTACTCTCAGGCACGGCTATTCGCAGCATGGTGACTACGTCTTCGGCTGGAAGGATGATTCCCTCCAGCGTGCAATGGACCTCCGGTGTGACGGCGACGTCTGCAGCGGGTTGGCAAGACAAGACCCAGCAGAAGCGATGAAGTGCACCAAGGCACGGGTCACTGATGAGGATATTGATGGCTGTAAGCCTACGCGTCGGGACCAGATCCAGCGTGCCATGCTAACCACTGTTCAGGGCTTACCGAAATCCCGGGTGTTTGAAGTTTCCATGTCTGCTTAGGACCATTGAATCTCAGAGAAGGACAGTCATTCGCTAATATAGGTTACGAGCTCCAGCTCGGTCGTAATTAAATTGAAATGAATCCTCCGGTCAGGGGGCGCGAAATGACGTTTAGTGTCAATTTCTGTCTAAAACCTCTTGTGCTCGGAGTTACGACTGGTTTCACATAATGAGAAAGTACAAGACTTTAAATACTGCTTCCGCTGAATGAGTGACAAGAATGGGCGAATATATACAGCTCCACGACTCTTGCGATATGCACCACCATTCGCTCCTCATCAAAGACCGCTGACATGATGAAACACACCGCTCATCCCTTGCAGACCTTCTTCAAAAGTTATGGTCTCGCACCTAGCAATACCGCCCCCCAATGCGAGGGAGTTTTGCAAGCCCTCAGGCAAGTCTTAGCGCCTCCACTGCCATCTTAGAAGCTGAGCTTCTGGCCAGCGTTAGCAACGACGCTGCTCTTGACGTTGCCGGAGCCGAGCTTGGAGTACGAGTATGGGACGCTCTTGAGGGTTCCGGCGCCGGCCGTGTTGGCGGAGCCTCCGAGGTTCACGTCGTTGACAACAGCATAGCCAACGGTGTCGCTGTCAGCCGAGTAGATAGCCTTGGATCCGCTGTTCTCGAAGACAGATGACTCGACCAGGAGCTGCGCGCCCATGCGGGTGTTGATGCCGGTGCTGACGGAGGAGAAGTAGCTGCTGTATTCGGGGAAACCATGACCTTGGTCAGCCATCTGGTCGCTCACGTAGACTCGTGTTGAGATGGACAGGGAGGAGGGGAGCCTGAGGCGCCTTCACAAATTACTTACTTGAAGATGTGTCCAGTTCCAAATCGGAAAGATGGCGCACGCGAGTTGATGTTGCTCCAGTAGTTGTTGGCATAGGTCACGTGCAAGTGGCCGGTGTCTTCAGCACTGTTGGAGTCGGAGTGACCGACGAGAGAAGCCTTGTACTGTATAGATGTAGCCATTGTAAGCATGATGCAAGGTTTTCGTAATTTTGAGCGAATGTGCACTTCAGTCATTCCAAATACAGGGTATGCGGATACTTACGTGGTCGTGAATATAGGTGTTGGAGATTGTCACCCACTCCGAAGCATGTGTTACATCGATCAGGCCATCGTAGTAGTCCTTGTCATGGTCGAGATCGCTCGAAACGTCAACATGATCCACCCACACGTTGTTGGATGCTTGGATCGTGATGGCATCTCCATTGTCCGCAAGGACCTTCGAAATCTTCAAATTTCGCACAATGACGTTGCTTTGCTTGTTGATGGTCAGGCCGATTCCAGTCAGGGCTGCCGTCGTTCGACGGTTAGTCATGCCACCGAACCTTTGCTTTCCAGTATGCACTGGCAGGGGCTACACGTACAGCTACCAGACTTTCCAATGATGGACTTGTTCGAGGTGACCTTGACCTTGGCGGATCCTGAGATGGCTCCGCTGACGACGACGATAGCCGCGCTGCTGGAACCGACAGCTGCCGTGAACTGGGCCAGTGTGGACACAGTAGTGGTGGTTCCACCGCGGCCTCCAGTAGTCCTTGAAAAGAAAACACGTCAGGCTTCACCAACAACTGCAATCACCGCGAAGGAATACACGTACCCTCCATTCTGAGTGGCGTATCCGACATCCGCCGCGTCAGTAATTGCAGCCCTCTTCTCAATGCTGCGTGGGTCTACAATGGCGTCATCATGGACAGTGGGAGTAGGCGAGGCTGAGACGCAAGACGCCAGAAAAGCCAAGGTGGACAGGATCAGAGTCTGCTTCATCTTTGCTGTTGCGGGAAAAGAGTTCTGATGTTGAAAAGAATGTTCAGCAGGAGATGGCCAGTTTACTAGTCTGAGGGTTACTAGATATCCTGAAGTCTATCGGTCATGGAAGGCATATCCCTGGCTCTTATATATTCCCTGTGAAGTCCTCTCGCTGACATTCTTGGCCAGCCTGGCTCGCAAGTACACAAGCGCCGTAATCAAGATGATGTCTGCTTCGCAGCCCATTTCGCGAACTGGCGGGCGTCAATCTTGCACGAATAAGAAGATCTTCCAGGGGTGGCTTTCATTGCCGCCTTCTAACGAGGCGAGCACGACAGCACCAGCAGTGATCATCTGCAGCCGCGGAACCTCCTCAGCTGGACGCGTCGACTACAACAGGGCCTGCCGACTTGGGTAGCAGCGCCTCACTGAAGTTGCTGGAGGCGAGGCCCACACTTTGACGGCCTGTTACATTCCGAGGTTCGGTGGGTGGGCGGGGTGGAAATTCGAGATGTCAGCTTGATGTTATGGGAAGGTTGTACTGACAACACCCAGGAAACCCCGGAAAAGGGGACCACTTGGACGGAATCCGGCACCACTGCTCGGCCATTGAGAGGCCAATTGGTCATGCGCAAAATCTAGCCCATCTGGCTCGGCTGCAACGGTATGCGGGTTGAATGAATCCAGGTGACTGAGAGCCTGTTGTGCAAGTCTTGGCATACTTCTAGAGCCGGGTCCCCATGCCAATATAGACATCAAGCATTGAAGATGAAACATGGTGGCTACCTTGTCATACCACCTCTAATTCCCATGATGGATGTTCTTTGTTTTTCTTCCCAAGACTCGGATACTAGATCAGAAGCCTCTGAGAGTTGATAATATTCAAATGTTGAAATTTCGTTGACAAATGCCACATGTGCCCACATGTGCATTTCGCAGTGGACAATAGAATATTGGCGAAGTTCTGGGAGTGGCTTCTCTCAACATCACCGGCAGTCAAGACAGTATGCAGGGCGAAAATCAAATGATCAAGGTCCCTTGACATGGATCTTTTCTGACGGTACTATCACAAGTACCTAGGTAGCGATTCAAAGTTAGAACTATGCTTATTGAACAAGCGGAGGCTGCATGCCGACGGGTTCGATTGCGGGGAAGAATGCGAAGATGTCGTTGGAGGAGAATTTGTCCACCGTTTATTGCTGGCACACTAGCCGTCGATTTGCAGTGGCTAACATGTTCGTCCTAGCGATGGCACCTAATAACTAGCAGATCTGACACGATCACAGATGATACCACACCACGCGGCCCGATGCCCTCAAGGGCGTCAGAAATCCGGTTACCTAGATATTGGTTCCTGGTGGCGTACACATTTCAGGGCTCTACGATATTGGGCGTCGGTGACGTTCTACTTGACCCTGCAGGTGGCCTTCGATCAAGCCGTTTGCAGAAGTGCATTGTCACGAGTCTCACGATATTCGCCCAGAAAGATCATTCGTGTCGCAGATTCAAATGTTCCTTGATGTATGCACTAGGAGTAGCAACAAGCCAGCCTTGGAGTATACCTAGGTAGGGCTCCAGGGGCCCATGAGAACAGCATGTCTTGAACACACCGAGCTGCGAGCCGCTTATTTTGCGAGCTCTGCGGTCCTATGAACACGATAGGGCAGACTTCGAGTAACACCTAGATTCTAGACCCTCGCTGCACAGGTGGTCTATTGGAGAGACGCAGGTGTAGGCAATAGCTTGAACTGGACTGTGCACATGTGCACGATGACGACCTCGCGACTTGATGTCACATCTCCTGAACCCGAAGTCAGCGGATCCCGTGCTGGATATGACATGGCGCAGTGGGCGTTGAGCCTTGAGCATTGGCTCTTCCCCAGCTCTTGCCGCCGGCCTACCTCCCGAGGCCTTGCCCACGGCGATGCCACCCAAGTACGGTTGGCTACATTCTCCAACAGCCTCCCGACTGTTGGTTCCTACAAGTTTCAGAGCAGCCTGCCCTGGACCATTCGCTGGTCAAACTTTGGTCCTTACCCTTACCGGGAGAAAACCTGCACAGCTCATGGGATAAACAGCTGCTTCGATATGTATAAAAAACAGTCAGCTCGCCGCAGATTTCAGTCACTTCATCCTACATCCTACTGCAAGGTCACATGACATGGCTGACATACCGCCCAGGAATTCGACAGCGAGTTAAAGAGTTCAAAGGTCGAGTCAGAAAATAATTTGAAAGGAGGATGGCTGAGTCGCCGGGCTTATCCATGAGAGCCCTACGAGTCTGACTCCAATTCTCGGGGCGAACGAACCCTGGCTTCTGACCAATCCTCCTCGGGTCCGTGGCGGCTGACCTTTTGGTGCTCATGCTTGGGTCATAGGGCTGAGCGCAGGTCACCCCGCGGCTGCTCGGCCCCAAAGGAGTCTCATACAGACTGTTGGCAGATTCCTCGACACATTTGTTACACTTTGGCTGTACGGGTCCCAAAGGAATTGTGGGTCTTTCTGGGCAATCTGGGGGTTGTTGGCACCTCCGGGCGGGTTTGAAGGGCCTGTTGTGGTCGACCAAGTGGACGAAACGGGTCGCTGCAGTGGTGGCTGTGCCCGCGCCAACCGTTAGTTGGACCACCAAAGGTTAATTAGACCACTGTAGCCGCCTAGCCTAACCATCAGCAGGCAGTCAGCCAGGCTTTCTCTTCACGGTGTAATAAAGACAGACGTGAATACTTAAGAAATTCTGAGCCCCCAAATGAAGATTCCGTTCACGATGGCCATCAAACGACATCTCCTGCAAAGAGTAAACATTGCTCGCGACTTACAACTAGTCACTGGTTGACCAGTGCCACAATTATCCAGTCCGCACGATTCCGACCAACCTACATCACCGGCAGCATCCAAAACCTCTACATCTATACTACAGTCTGCTGGAGACAATGCCCAACCAACAGCATCGTCAGGGATCTGGTCAGCTGAACAAGTCGACACAGGTCGTGAGAACGGCGACCACCTCATCGAACAACGAAACACAAAAGGCCATCATAATATGTGGTTTTGCCGCGATCGGGAAGTCCACCTTCTTGGGAAGCGGGTCTTACAACGGATATACGGTGGATGACCTCGACTCGAGTGGATTCTCAAAAGAGCCGGAATGGCCAAAAAATTATCTCGACGAGATCAAAAAGAAGCGTTACCAGAAGACCATTCTCATGATATCAACACACAAGGCAGTCTACACTCAACTTCTAAAAGAGGGCGTCGACCTCATCCTGGTTTATCCCAAGCGGGAACTCAGATCAGAATGGGAGGCGAGAATAAAGGGGCGCGAAAACCGCCTTACGAAGAAGCCCTCCGTTAGTATGTGGGATGGTGTGGGCCCCAACTGGGACAAATGGATCAATGAGTATGAGCAGCAGAAGTGCCCGCGGTACGAAATGTCTCAAGGTAAATATCTCGAAGACGTGGCGAGCAATATTATACAGCGTTTCAGACAGGCTCAAGGAGCTCAAAATGAAAGGCGTCCGACAAAGTGATGGAATGAAGATGATTGATGGGCGCGTCTTCACATGGCATGGCGTTGGGGATTGCACGAGGTTTTATGACAAGAGTAGACCAGATAGCTTCACAGCGACGACAGTTCGAGGTGACAAATCAAAACATCTAGTTTTCTACTCCTACAAAATAGCTGGGAGTGCGTGTGGTCTTTGAGCGTCTCGTAAGTGTCTCTTAGAGGATCAGACAGACGTACGAGGGAGGAACAAAATTCAAACCGAAATACTATACAGAAGCCATGGCTGCTTTTATTCAACTCGCTATGCAGCCGTTCTCGAAAACTCATCTGCAGTGGACTGTGTGTTCACATTTTTGGTATTCATCTCAGATCAGTCAGGTCCTCGAAAATTCTACTCCTCTTCAGGTCCGGTCCCTTCCATTCCCGCTTCAATTGTTCGGCAACAACCAGGCTTCAATCTAATGCGACACTGTTCCTCGCTTTAGTCAACGGATCTCAAAGCCGTAACCCACTGCTAGTAGCAAGCACCGACTCCACCATGTATCTCAAGCTTAGGCCTGGGCCAGAAGGACTTCGGTGCCCAGCTTATGGGTCCCAGTGAACTTCGAGGAATGACAGGTTCGAGTCGACGTTCTCAAGTACTCGATGAAGGACGAATCGCTTATCTGCAGCTGTGAGAAGCGCTTTCCACTCGTCCAGATGTCTGTCGTAGCTGTTGAAGTAGAATTTCAACGCCATGTCAACCGACCTTGAGGTTTTGTCAGTCAGCATAAGAGTTTGGAGGCTGCATGGCTTAGTTACATACCTCAGAAGCCGCTCTCTCCACAATGGGCCGTCACTGTCCGGCCCTGGCAGGATGGCGTCTTGAATGAGGATCTTTGCTCCGGGCCGGAGGGCCGGAATCTGAGCTCGCAGGATCTTGACGGCGTGCCCATCGCCCCAAGAGCGGAGGATCATTCGGAAGAAATAGACGTCTGCCTTCTCCGTCTGAGTATCAAAGAGTTCGTGTGGCATGAACTGGACGCGCTCCCTCAACGAGTCGGGGACGGCCGAGCTGGCGCCTTCGATAACCGGGGGCGAGTCCTGGACAAGCAGCTTGATGTTCTCAAACTGGCCTGCTAGGTCTATTGCGACTGATCCTCGTTGCCCACCCACATTCACGACGTAGGCATCTCCGAGGGAAGCCCAATCGTAGGACTTGGCAACAAAGGCGTCTCCGCAACCCGGAACGTGATCTAGGGACTTCATCCCGCCGGCGAAACGCATCGCCGCATCGGGGTCTGAGCCAAGGACTTCGTAGACCGACTTACCCCCATTCGCAAGGGCGTAGGCCTGGGTTTATTAGTCCAGAGAGCAGGTTGAGTTTGGGGTGTTCTGTGGTGGCGTGGATCAGACATTGAACACGGCGTGGACTCACAGTCTCATTAGCCTCTTCGGAGTGCGGCCACTTCTCTATCGCTTCTCCAACCTGGTGGGGTGGTCAGTGTCAGAATAAGGTTCTCCATGCTTTGCGGAAACCGGGGCCGTACTCTTGGAATAGCTGGCCAGGTGTCGTGGCTTTCAAATGCGACCCAGGCTCCTATATATGGAATGGCTAGGAACTTGGAGGTCTTGGTATGTGCCACCACATCTGGTTCAGGTTCGGTAAGAATACGCATAGAGATTGCGTATCGAAGCAGGCGTCTGATGAGCCTCTTGTCGAGGTTTGTCTTCTTGGCAATCTCGTCAAAGGAGGCCTGGCCGCCAGGGGGGATCATCTCCAGAATCTTGAAGCGAACAATCGAGTCGATGCTGACGACATTCGCGACCTGGACGACATTAGTTCCTGGGCATCGAGCTGGAGCTGATGGGTCGTTACCCCGGCAAACTTGTAGATCAGCATCAGAGGTTCCAAGAGAACCTCGTGGAGCTCAGCAGTTGCGTCCAACACATCGTCACGAAGGTGGTGGACATCGGAAGGGAGGGCTGGAGGGCTATCCTCGGCAAAGGATGGAGATTCGATCCCCTGAGCTGACAGGCACGCCTGTAGCTCTGAGACCGAGGTGCTTATCTTTGCAGCGAGTTCGATGATTCGGGGGGTTGCGCCGGCTGGTGCCATTCTGGTCGAGAAGCACGATGGCGAAATGTTCAGGCGTAGGTGGTCGTGGTAGATGAGGTGCAGTATCTGATTTCGCAGAGGTCAGATTGATCAGGATTGGGGTAGGTACTTAAGTAGGTAGGAAGGACTGTTGGCAGTCCGGAGATGGACAGCCAAGAGCCAACAGCCAACAGCCAACAGCCAACATAATGGAGCGGCATTTACGGCATCCGTGTGTATCTTACACAGTACCTACCTCACCTGAGCTGCACGTCGCCTGTACCGTCCCCAAGAGCGTCAGAAGCGTTGGTCTCCAAACTTGGAAGCAAGGGAGCACATTCGCTTCCGCCTCACCTTCCTCTCATCAGCCAGACTACCGATAGACAGGACTACGAGGTTGCAATATTGAAAGCTAGCTGCCAGGGCGAACTGCATAGTGACCAGTTGACCTGCCAGCCTGCCTTACCTGCTTACAAACAGCTCACATGGAGGGGGAGGGGGAGGGGCAGGGGCAGGTAGGCACAGAATCAAGAGTAATACCATCTCATCGTTTTACAATGCGTAGACACCTATTATTAGGCTCACTCCATTCTAACATTGTTTCAGGAACTGGGATTTGGGCAAACTGTCGTAAAAATTGAGTATGTTTTGCGTCGTAAACGGGGGTTTGACTCTCCCGATCTTCATATATGTACTGGGAGCCTAAGGACCAAACACCCAGCCTACTGATCCCATAGGAGAGAAAAGTCGGCTCTGGTAATCACAGTCTCTCTGCCGCTCTGACCTGCGTCTACCTGTAAGCAGTGCAAGTTCTTGGCCTGCCATCCAGTCCGTGAGGTTGGTAATACTTGAGATGATAGCATGAACTAACACCTCTGTAAGTGTATTACAAAGGTATAGGAATGTTTACTGTGTTTCATTTTGCAAATCTCCTTTTCCTGTTGACGCGGACGAGGGACATTCGGATAAATGCCCACTTTCTGGCAACGGCCAAGGCTCCGTGCATCTCAATGAGCACCCAGCTCAAACTTGATAACTGGCTCCGGTATTATTTCGTATTTATACATCCACCTGGAGGTTTGTCTAAATTTGCTGCAAGAACGATCTATTGCGCGAAGAGTGGTGCCCCACGTCGGCGTCAACTGGATCATCTTCTACACGTCAGCGAAGTCTTGCATTTATGTGATCATCTTGTACGAGACCGAGACCAAGCGAGACTTAAGAGCGCCGGGAGATTGATTTACAGATGGGCTGCTTCCACGGTCTCGAGTAGGAATATGTGCGGAGACTCGGTGTATTTGCTTTTTGCCGCATCATCGAAGCCCGCGGAGTGTGTCACACTTCACCTCTAATACAACTCTTTCCTTTTGATACAGGTCCTCCCTCGCCTTGTTAGATTTCTAAAAAATCGCCTGGCCTTGTGCTTGGAATGAGGCAGACGGTGTGGAATGCTGTTCTGTGCAAGGTTGAGGGCGCAACCCGAGCAATGGGTGAACAACAGGCACCCCATTCAAGCGAGGACGCGTGCCTCGCACAGACCGCAACCTTTTTCCTCAGAGAAGAAAAAGTCGGAATATTGGGCTGATGCGGCTTCGGCCACACTGTATTTTTCCTTTACACTATATAACCACTCGTTTCTTCCCTCTAAAGCTCATATATAAAGTCTTCAACAGCTTTATATATATTCTTATAATCCTTTTAAAAAGGAATTTTAAATCCACTTTTTTTTTTATTTTTATTATACTTTTTTATATTATTAAAGAGTTAATAATTATTAATAATAAAAATATAGACTTAAAGGAAGATAAGCTTATTATACCCTCCCTTTATCTTTTTATAAATTACTTTTAAAACTCTTTTTAAAAGTTTTAATACTTTATTATAAAAGTCTTAAAGATAATATATTATAAATTATTTCTTTATCTTAAATTCTTTTAAAGTTAATAATTATATATTTAAATAAAGATTATAATATTTATTTAATAAAAGTTTTATTAATATATATATATATATATATTTAAAGGAATAATTTTAATTAAGTTTTTAATATAATTTATTTATATAATAACTATTTTAAAACTTAATCTTATTATATAACTCCTTTATAATATTTAAGTTAATATTATTATTAAAATAATACCTTTTAACTTTATTTATATATTATAAAATTAAAATTATAAATATTTATTATATTATAATTATTATTAATAATATTATATTCTTTTTAAATATTAAGTTTTAAGTATTTACTACTATATAAAGGCGTTATATATATCCTTAAATATATATAGAATAGAAGTAAAACTATATTAGGTTGATATATATAGGTATAAATGTAGTGTTTGGCTGGACTTCCTGTCTTGCCAGGCTTGCTTCCAAGGTTGGTGGCATAAACCCGCGCAGCTTCATCATTGCCGCCGGAGCTCTGATGGCAGCCTCATTGAATGCAGTCAGGAATCTTATAAAGGCTCATGGGCAAGTAGAACCATCTTTCTGCAGACCATTAGCCCCACTGCAAAGGTTGTTGTGCGCAACTCCTAACTACAAAACGTGCCACTCTAAATATCAGGAGTGCTGCTTTCCGAGGTGCAGCGCCCTGGGGGAAGAAGACCAGCTCTATGCAGTGCCGCTCATGTGAATAGGAATTTTTGTCCAGAGGTCGGCATGGATATTTATCAAAGACTGCAGTCGGTTTTCCAAATTTCTGTGGTGTGCTTAAGTCAGTCTGTCCTATGTACTGGCGCGTTGTATGCAGATAAAGAACAAAACCCTCCATAACCGGTAACTAAATCCAGAGTTGCCAGATCTTTTTTTTTTTTTAAGAAATCCCAGCGAAGCAATAGAAACAAACATCAAAGTGCGTTCTTCAGGCGGCGAGGGCAGACCACCCCGCCGACCACCATGAGAATCCTCTCAAAGTCCAACAACTCATGCCGTGGATCCGGAGGGCCACGACCCAACTAATCTGCATACGCGCCCTGTGTAGATACGCGACATCATGGTCAAAACAGACTGGATAAAAGAGAACAAGGGCTCGGTCGAAAAGCAAGCTGGTGCCCAGGACAGAGTGACCGCGACCGGAGAGGTTTCAACGATAATTACACTTTCGCCCTGCCCACTCGTTCCCTCACATCATCACATATTAGGCAACGGCGCCAAGACCGCTTGATGAGAGCCTAAAAACACGCCTCACAGATCGCCTACCTAGTGTACACAGCAGGCCGGCCTGCCCCAGACGAAGGACTTGTCGCTGGCCAGGGCATCCTTCTACTGCCCGTTCAGGGCAGGACGTTGGCACACATCAATACTGCGTGTGGGGGCTGGTGGAGTTGAGCCCGTGGGGAGGGGAAACCCCCCAAAGACACCTGCTACCGGCCCAGGAGGAGCCAGCGCCGGGATTGCACGACGAACACAGTCACAGTACACGCCGAGACGGAGGCAGACGGATGCACGGCAGCGAGAGTTATTTTCCATCTACACTACAGACGCAAGCACCGGGGGGGGGGGCGTCAAGCATGTTGCTCCTCCGACCAACTGTGCAGGGGACGTTGGAAACAGCGCCCGGCCAGCTGGCCCACAGCTGCCGGTGACGAGTGGCCAGGCTCGATGGAGGAAGAAGGCCAGCCAGCAAAGGCCAGGCAAAACCGGAAGCCGGAACGACGAGATACCGCCATGAGCTCCCCATCCTCCTCGGCACTTTCTTACTGTGTAGACTGGACTAGATACTCAAGTACACTAGTTTTAGCTTTGCTAGTCAGGCACGCGCACGTTACGACAGGTCAACACGGGAAGCGGCCAGACGCGCCTGGGCAGAGGGGGGGCAAAAAGGCAAAGGGCGCTGGTGCCGCATGAACGGTGAGAATTGAGTTTGATAAGGCGGGTACGAGGCTAGGCGGTCGTGGTGATGGTGCCACCAGGGCCCTTCGGTGCGCAAGGGCCGGGCAGCAGCAAGCACATTGAGTTCCTCTTGGCAGCGGGCGGGCAGACACAAGCCTCCCGCTGCGCGACCGCCGACCGGTGGTGCGAGGTTTTTTTTCTCCTAGGACGTAGTCATGAACCCTGGTGATGACCGAGGGGTTCGAGGGGGGCCCCGACGCGTGGTGATGGTGCGTATGCAGTTGTGGCCACCCCCACCCCCCGGGCGCGCGGGTGCTACTGTACCAGACTCGGGTATGGTGCCATGATGGATGGACATGGGGATATGCGACAAACACCCTATCACGTGCTCTGCGAAATGCGAGAGATTTCAATGTTTTGATCTCTTTCCGTCGAGGTGCTCTGCCTTTGCTCTCCAGAGTGCGATTTATTCGGTGGCCAGTACAGTAATCAGTGATCGCCCAGGAGCTTTTTTTCATATTCCTAGGATCACGATGTGCACGAATGTGCAGGATGTGCAGGAGACCGGAAGCTATGGAGCTGATCGGCACTCTCGATCTCTGCTGCGCCATGTGAGAGGGTCCCGGAGAGGGGTCTTTGAGAGGAGTCTCAAGGAGGAGTCTCAAGGAGGAGCCGTTGCTGTGCATTGCATGCATGCATTGCGGGCGCACGCACGCTCGGCAGGGCTGGGGGAGCCCACTGTTGATGGGGCCTGATTCACCGGGAGTGATGTCGGACCGTGGAAACCCACGGGCTGACAGGCTGGGGACCCTTTCGTCGAAGAAAAATTGAGAGACAGGCCTGGCGGGCTGAACTGACTGGCTGGCTGACTGACTGACTGGGGAGTCGACTGACTTACAAACTGGGGACCCAGCCCAGGAGAGAGCGAAGTGAACAGTACAGTACTTTACTGTTAGAGACAGGCAGAGGCAGAGGCGGCGGCGGCGGTAGTAATTTCGGCGATGTTGGAGCGAGCGGTTTGATTGGCGGGGCCGGGGAAATAAGCTGACCTCCTTTTCACAGCGACAGTTGGGCGCCGGCGCATGGCGGATGGGTGGGAGAGAGAGGTAGGGGTTAGGACTCAGGAGGGGGAGGAGCAGAGGAGTTGAGAGGCCAGGCGAGGCGCGGCGGCCGGCGCCAAAGTAGCTGATATCACCGGTAATTTCGGGAGTCCTTTCGGTACTGACGAGGTCTCCCGATCCATGATTCCAGGAGGGTGGAAGCGAGATTTTCTGGACGGGTGACGGGCGACGGGCTGGCCAGCACAAGAATTCTGGTAGAGAGAAGAGACTGCCGTGGAGTCGGATTGAGCACGGATGGAGGGCTGGCCATGACGTTTGAGGTGGCTTTCACCAGGGCAACCTCGAGGCTCGAGGCTCGGGGCTCAGCAGCATTTCTTCGAGTGCCCGCAGTCCGAAGTTTGGTGGGATTATTAGACGCCCAAAGCAGGCTAGCAGAGATTGTTCGTGAGGCATGCCCATCTGGTCTGCTGGTGTTGTGACCCCAATCCCGGACAGTTGTGCCTTGGACCTGGACCTGGGCCTGGGCCTGGGACCTGGGCAGCTGGGCAGCTGGTCCCTGCCGGTAGACTGCCAACGCAGCAGTGTCAAAGCCTAATTTCATCATGAATTCCATCATAGGTATCATCCGTGCTGCCGTGCAGGATCCAGGCACAATGCACGGCTGGGTCTGGGCGGCCGTTGCTTGTCTAACGCTGGCAGCCACTCCCGCCGACGGCGTCGTCGAGAGGGCTGCCGATGACCGAAGAAAGAAACAAATCAGTCTGGACCTGGACCAGGCCACAGCCAAAAGTTGGGGGCCGATGAGAGCAGGAAATAAGAAGAGAGCTAGGCCCGTCGATGGGCCCCCATCTTGTGTGGGCGGGCGGAGGGTGTTCTGGAACGTCGCTTACTGCAGGCGGTATCCATCTGGGCGGGAAGCTTGATTACCGTTGAATGATGGTGCGTTTTTTACTTCCAGGGGGGCCCGTCGGTGTCAGTCGTCAGTGCTGTTGTGCCTCGTCGATGCATTTCGTATCTCCTTTGCCCAGGCAGGTAGGCAGGAAGTACCGTACTCCGTACCGTTCTGCAGATACGGACCTCGGGATGCTCCTGCAGTACAGTAACATAACGTCACCGTTCGGGCTGGGACGGATAGACTAGAAGGGGGATCCGGCACGGGGGTAACACCGTCCCATCTCCAACTGATCCGCGCCACCCGCGACATCACCGTCTGAACTTTGTTGCTTGCTCGAGGGACTCGAAGGACTTGAGGGATGCCTGGATCGCCGGCACCTTCATGCATGTTGTAATATGGTCAAATTAAACTAGCACTGTAAGCACCCAAATGTCATCCATCAGTGAGCAGTCTAGCATCTAGTGCAGTCTGTCTGGTAGTGCAGGCAAGCAGGCAAGCAGGGCAGGAAAACACAAGTGGGCCCAATCGGCGATGCAGGATTGCAGGACGGATTGCGGGTTTGCAGACAAGAGCAAGAGCACATAGCCTGGCAGCCTGGATGTCCCCGACACACACCTGTGCCTGGCCCGTGCACGCTACTGCACAACACCACACCGTAATTTGGACTGGCCTTGCTGCCAGGCTGCTGGTTCTTGCCTGTCAGCCCGCCTGGGAGGGCAACGGGCTGGACGGGCTTTTTGAGTGGGTCGCCGCTGGCCTTTGGCTCCACTGCTCCACTGCTCCACTGCTCCACCGCTCCATGCCCTCGACTCCCCCTGTGCCTGGTTTTCTGGGTCAGGGCCCAGGTTCTGGGTCTCTTCCAGCAAGGACGGAGCAGGACGGTAATGGACGGGCACTGCACATTCCCCCGTCCTGATCCTGACGTGCGGGTCTTATCTTTTTGGCCTGTTGCTGAAGACAGTGGGGTGGGAAGGAGACAAGCCTGACAAGGAGGAAGAATCAAGTGTGAAGAAGCAAGAAGAGGGGGTTGAAGGAGCCAGGAGAGGAGACAGAAAGGTGACCTAGCTAGTGCACGCCCCCATTACACCGTACCCCCGTACCAACGTACCCCCGTTACCCCCGTACCTGCTACCCCATGCTATGCTGTGCGGCCTTGTGCTGTGTGTTGCTCCTGCTTGTTGTTGCTGCTGCTGCTGCTGCCACCAACGCTGGTTGAATGAGACTTGGGCTGGCTGCTCGACCCATTGATTGATTGATTGATTGATTGATTGATTGATTGATTGATTGATTGAATGATTGATTACCTGCTTATGACATTTCCCATTTCCCTCACGATCTACACCACCACCTCCTCCTTCTCCCCCTCCCCCTCCAGCCTCCAACCTCACCTTACCTCACCCTCGCCTTGCCTCTCTTCTCCCCCTCTACGCACCTCTTTTCACCTCCCTCATCCTTCACGCCAACCTCTTGTCATTCGTTTCCACCCTTTGTCCGTTCTTGGGCCTCTCCTCCTCCAACCATAACCAACCACCCCCCTTCTTCACCTCTTCTTACGGATAGCTCGGAATTGCCAGAGTAATAGTTGTTGTTGTTGCAGTCGTTGTTCACCTCCGCCAAAAATAACATCACCATCAGCGTAAATCTAACCCTAATTCTATTCCGTCCACCTTCCACCTTTTCGTCCTTCTTCTATGATCGCTTAGACGACAACTACAACCACGCTTTATACAACCCACGCTCGCTCGTATCTTTCTCTTCCTTGCTACGATCCGATTAGACGGATGAACAGCACTATTTCCCGACTCATCCAGTCGTCGGCTCTACTTTAGCGCTCGTCTCATCAGGCAATCGCTTGCCCGCTCGCACGCGCACTCCCACGTCAGTCCAGTCGACTCGGCTCGTGAGCCAAACCCTGCACAGATCAGATCGCCGGGGATCGTGAGACACTCAGACTGCCCCAAACACCCGCAATCCCTCCGTGCCACGAGCTAGGGGTCTCAAGTCCAGCCGCATTCCCCTGCGCCTCTTGCGTCTGTCGTCCCATCTTCAACCTTACCGACAACCAGCATTGCAGCCCCCTGCTACCAATTGACCCTCCCCGACTCGATTCCAGTCGGTCAATCCGGTGCTGTGGTAGTCACAAGTCCAAGGAAGGCCTCCACCACGTCAGCGTTTCCTCTAGCGAACCGGCACATCGGAGAGGGCATAGGGCACTATCAACGCCGTTCCCCAGACCTTAAACTCGCAAAACAGCGTGCACATACTCTCCGACCTACCCACGCGACAACTCGTCATTCCTGCTCCTGACCGACGGTATAGATTTATCCTGGGGAAAATCAGGGTCGCAGCCGGCTTGACTCGTCCACTACCGCAGGAAAACATCCGGTTCAGGGGACTTCCTGTTCTCAGTTCCTCGACCTCCAACAGGATCACCACCGATACCTGCAACCTCAACCTCGACATACTCTCTCCCCGGCAAATAATGTCAAGATGATGATATACGAGCGACCCGTTGTTGAAGAGCCTGCCGCTCTGCCTGGCTCTGGCTCGCCTCCCGGCCTGACCACCTCCAAATCCTCCAAGTCGTCCTCCTTCCACTCCTCCTTTTCCGACCGCGACAGCGTCCTCACCGATGTGAGCAACTTCGAGGATATCGGCCTCGAAGACGATGCACCCCATTTTGATCGGGACCTGCAACAGCCCAAGCGCGACCCCAGTCCCTACGACGCCTCCTACGCCTCCGACTTGCGTGCCAAATCCATGACTAGCCTTTCAAAACCACAACAACAGCAGCGGTCTTTGTCCAAGCCGCGTAGCCCTCAAGTGTCACAGCGCGAGATAACGACAAAGAAGAGACGGCCCAGTGCTCCGGCGTTGCAGCCTCACAACCTGAGGACTAATGTCCGCACCACCAACACCAACCAACTGCTCTCCGAGTCATACATCACCTCGCAACCGCGAAGCAACAATGGACGCCCCAACAGCCGACCTTCCGTCCCCGCCTCCAGGGGCAGCCGAACACCTAGCCCTAACATGCGCCAACTTCGACCGAGCCTTTCGATCAAGCCCAGCTCCTCCAGCATGACGCTGAGGCCGCGCAGCAGCTGGCAGTCCACACGCGAGCGCAAGACCGAGGCCGAGCTGGAGCGGGAATGCGACGAGGACGATGGTGACGACATTCCCGAGGGCTTTGTGCTCGACAATGTTCCTTTGTCGCCGCGCCCCCACTCCGAGCGCACAATGAGCCGGCCGACTTCCAAATCGAATTCCCCCGAGCGTTCACCTAAGCCTAGAATCAGGAGCGTCGGCAATGGCACCCCTGCAAGTGGCGGCGAAAGCGGCTCCATTGGTGCACTGCGTTCGCCATCCTGGAAGTCTGAAACCGCCTTGTCTGCGCTCAAGTCTCCTCTGTCCGAAGGCAGCTTGAGCCCTCACCTGACACGCGCCAGCAGCTGGAATGTTTCCATGGCTGCCCTCAACAAGGAAGCTCAAGAGCTCACCGAGAAGCTGGAAGAGCACGCCGAGGAACTCGAGGTCAAGTCACAGAGGTCGAGCACTGGCTCGATACCCAAGCCCCGCCGGGCGAGTACCACCGAGGTCTCGCGGCCAAAGCATAAGTCTGCCCTCGCAGAGCTGCCACCTCTGCGCCGCAGCAACATTATGATCGATCCTCTTCCTATCTCGAAAGAGAAGGAGGCAGTTCTCTCCCGCACACGTCCCTCGTGGCTGCCACCCAAGGACCCCGCCGAGGAACGTCGTCATCTGAAGGAATACCAGAAGATGATGCAAAGGAGCGCCGAGAACGAGCGTCGCAGGGAGGAGCAGAAGAAGGCCATGTCCAAGAACAAAGACACGGCGGCCGATAGCATCATGCAGATCTGGGAACACGAGATCGTCCCACGCTGGAACGATGCTATCCGCGAGCGCCGCACCCGCGAGCTCTGGTGGAGGGGCGTCGCCTCCCGGAGTCGCGGTGTTGTCTGGACCAAGGCGATTGGCAATGATCTCGGTCTCTCCGAGAAGTCGTTCGAGGCCGCCTTGGCCAGGGCCCAGGAGGCCGAGGCCCGTGAGAAGGCCGGCCACGGCAGCCCGGAAGATCACAAGGTGGTGGGCTGGATGCGCACCATCCGCAAGGATGTGGAAGCACAGACCTGGCGGGACCTGAAGATCTTCCAGGCTGGTGGACCCCTGCACCAAGGCCTGCTCGACGTGCTGAGTGCCTATGCCATGTACCGCAGTGATATTGGTTACGTCACTGGTTGCAATGTGAGTGTTTCTCGAAGAAACCGTGGTTACACGAAAATAAAATCCCCCGACCGCTAACACTTGTTCCAGACCATTGCGGCGCTACTTCTGCTTAACCTCCCGAACCCCACCGCGGCCTTCATTGCCCTGGCCAACCTGCTCAACCGCTCTCTCCCACTCAGCTTCTACTCCGATGACCAGGGTGCCAAGTCGTCCGCTTACAACCTCCTGCTCCAAACCCTCGCGACGAAATCGCCGAAGCTTCACGCCCACCTGACAGCTCTACCTGACCACGATGCAGACGTGTATCTGGGAGACATCTTCACCTCGCTCTTCACCGGGCACGTCGCGCTGGACGAGGCATCGCGGTTGTGGGATGTATATGTCTTCGAGGGCGATTCTGTACTTGTCAGGGCCGGCGTCGCAGTCCTTCTGGAGCACGAGATGGCCCTGCTCAGCACCAAGAACATGGACGAGGTCAAGACGGCCATCTGTGGCAAGAAGCAGAAGCTGGTCGGCAAGCCAGGGGACGAAGACCGATGGATGAAGTCGGTCCGCGAGGCCGGAAAGCACAACTCTTAGAGGAGCTCAAGCCCGTCAGCCTGGAGCTGGGATGCATTTACCCGACGATCCACGAAGCCGCAATCATCGTACAAGAGTCATGGTCCCACGACCATCGCAACAACAACAACAATCATCTCCATTTGTGTTTCTTCCTTTGCATAACCGTAATGAGGAACGACTCGACACGGTCTCATCCCTGTTTTATACACAACTTCATATCTTCTTCCAACACCCTATTTTTTAATATCCTAATCCTCGCCCAGCGGGCGATCTGGAGGCGGAGAGGCAGCATGAAAGAGAGCATTTGGCTCGGCGGCGGTTTGGGGATATTTCGAAGCGAATTTTTTAACTAGAGAGAGGTGAAGCAGCATCTACGGAAATCTTTGGGCTCGGTCGTATTGCTTGACGCACAGCATTTTCTTTCTCTCCACAAGCAACATATATGGCGCCTTTGTGTGGCCTTTTGGGAATTCTTTTGTCATTTCACACCCCGAGGTCGTCTCCGCCACTCAAGTGCTGAGCGGACATGGAGACGACGCCAGGAGGAAGTCAGCAAGCATCTTGCGGCCCTTGATCATTTTTTTTGCCTATCAGGGAACCAACCAGCCACGGAGGAGAGCGAGGGAGGAGAGACAGAGACATAACAGGAACACGTACATACTTGTAGTACGGACTCGAAGTCATACCGACCGAGAACGTGCACGCCTGTGTACATGGAACACCAACCAACCCATGCGGTGCGGAGGGGTTTTTGGTGTGAGGGATGTATATGCCGAGCGACGGGAGGTGTAGAAGACCGGTATATACATAAAGAGGGAGGAAGGAAAACCTGCGTGGGGGGCCAAAGCCGAGCGGGGCCCGCGAAAAAAAGGATTTGGTTTATTAGGATCAGGCGAGGGGAACGGGAGAAGGGCCGGGTGGGTGGATCGGGGTTGTATTTATGTCTTTGGGCCCGGTGAGGCGTGGAAATGCCGCCGGGGGCCGGCCTGGAAATATATTCCGTTGGATACCACTTTTGCTGTGTCTGGATGCTTTATATGTGCCTGTGTGACTTGTGTGCTGAACGATTCGTGGTTGTTCTCAGTTGATTCGAAAGAGTTGAAGCTGGAAAGATGACGAACGGACGCAGAGAGCAAGTCACACAAGCCCCGCCAGTGGGCATAGAGAGACAAGTCGTAACTCGAATAGCTGAGTACTTTGCTTGTTCCCTAAAGAAAGCCTGAGTAGGCTTTATTCTTTCGTGCTATGATTGATGTATGTGTAGTCTGTGTTTCCATGGGACAATGCTACCGAGCAATACATCTGTCCCGCAGGCCGGGCGTTGTCGCGCACGTTATTAATACTGGCACAATGTGGTTTCGCTTCTATTCCGTATACGTCCGAGGACATACATGGTGCTTTCATACGGTGGTAAGCGCTCAAGACCCAGCGCTTGAAAAGAACACGCTGTCAATAAAGATAGTCATAATACGGTAGGTGCTTGTGGCCTCAGCCTCGCGACGTGTAGGCAAGGCTAAGGGGCACCGTCTGATATGATGTGTATCATGGGGCACATTCGGACGGGACAGGTAAAACTAACATAAATACATTATTAGGAAATCGTCTTTCACCTTTCAAGCTCATTAAGTAGATAGCGTTGAAAAAATCAATATGTGAATATAATTGTGAGCCTTGGGAGCCTTGTGATGCTCCACAGACGACTCCAGGAGGCTAGTTGAGACCGGCCGCAGACCAGAATCCGTCGACACAAGTAGCCCATCACTAGCCTACGCCAGTTTTGGGCAATCAGTCACGCGGAGAGCGATCTAGTTGCACAAAAGCCTCTTACTTGAATATAAATAGACCTGATGGCTGCAGTCCCGGCTGACTTCTCATCATCCCACATCCACACACACACACTCTCTCTCGAAAAAAAAGACTATCTGAAGAAATCGCAAGATCACACAGGCCCTCGAAGAAGCCCTCGCCACGATACGACTGAAGAGACCACAGCCACAATGCAACCAACTTCTTCAATGGGTGATGAATACGAGATGTACGACCAACTGGTCGCAGGTCTCAGCTACCGACCGCGGACCCCGGCGACGCAAGTGGCTTTCCACGTTATAAACACTATCGTGGCCCAGAAACTAGGCGACGTATCGCAAGCAATTGTGCGCAGTGCTGCCGACGCCGTATTGGAGTACCTAAAGGACGAGGATCTCAAGGACTCTGCCAAAAAGTTGGAAATTGACGATCTTCTCGGAGCCACTCTGAGTCCGGAGGAATTCGACGAGCTGGTCAGCCTCGGCAAGAAAATCACGGATTACGATGAGGAGGATTAGCCGGCAATGTTGACCAATAACGCTTTGTGACTGGTCTACGACAACGTTTTCTGCAAGTGGAGGCTGCCCGTCACCCATCCAAAACCCAATACCAGTCTTTCAATCATTCCAGGAGATTGGTCACTCACCCAGAATCACATTACCAGTCACTTCACAAACACGAGGGCCCTGCATACCAGTCACGCCTCTTCCAGGTAGTCCCGCCCGTCGTTCGACGCCACTCTTGTTCTTAGCCACATATAAAATAATATCTGAGCCACAAAAAAAAAAAAAACTTTGATTTCAGGCCCAGAAGCTTTCAATCTCCACCGAGGCGTATCATGAGCATGTCTACACCCCAGCCTGGAGTAAAAATTGGGACGACAGGAAACACAGTCAGTCGTGCTAATAATAAACATTCAAGCAAGTAATTTCTGCTGCGACTGCCCGGGATCGGTTGTCTGCCCTTATTGTGCCTCTTGTTGAAGGTGCCTAAAACAGCTTTATTACTAGAAAGACTTTTTTTGTCGCGTGACTGGACCGGACCACGCACTTCCTACACCACACCACGAATGTCGGCAGAGTTAGTTGTTGAAGAAACCAACACCGCCGCGCCGGACAGGTTCAAGTAAGAACCTTAGAAACAAAGACCACGGTAGCCACAACGAAGGCGAGCCGGACGCACAACGGCCTGAATGCCTGATCCACGCCAGAGATCGAAGTTGCTGCTAGTAGCAATCGGACGGCCACCGTCGCAGGATCAATACATGTGTCACATCCAAGACCCCAGCGAGCGCACGCCGTGTTCCGATCCGTTCTGCGCGGTTCCAACGACCCGGCCGCTCGCGGCGCTGAAGTCGGCAATGGTCGCGGCGATGTCGTCGCAGGCCGCGCTGTACTTGGCCTGGTCGTGATTGGGCCGTGACCAAGCATGTAATATTGATACCCTACTGTTGTCGCGCCGGCAAAGGTCTCCTCCAATGTGCTTCCATATTCGACTTACACGGCTCGTGGCGCTGCCGACTGTTAGAACAGTTCCGCTGGCCTGGGACGGACGCACAAAGAGGCTGGCCTCACGGATCTCTCGCTCGCCGCGCCCGTGGCCTGTGCCAAGGCCGTGGTCGCCCGAGGGGAATCTCACACCACAGCTGGGAAGGCACATGATGGACGAGGCGGCGGGGACGTTGTTGAGTTCATCAGCCCGGTTCGAAGATGCGCGTCCGATGTGGGCAGCCCACAGGTCGGGGGCGGTGCAACAGAGGATAGCCGTGGCATCAGGGCGGGCGGTGCCGAAGACAGCCGCCATGTGCCGGCACTCTCACGGCGCTGCTATATATATCGTTTGGTCAGCTTGCTGCCCTGTATTTATTGACGAGTGTAGGGCGCGAGTGTGTTGCCCTGGGTGTGGACGCTTCGCTGTAGCTGGGTCGATCGACGGGTCCCAGGCCGAGGACCAAGGGAACGAGATCGTCCGTCGTTGTATTGTGCCCCTTGACTGCCAATCTCGATATGTGTTTCTTGCCCCTGTCCTCGGTCCTTGGTGCCGGGCACTTGCCCCTCCCTTCTGCCGCCACACGAATCTGGTTCCTGCTGGACTTGTGTCCAATCCAAGATTCCTAACTGAAGTGACTCGGGAGTCGAAAGCGAAAGGGTGAGGCTTGGATATTAGCGATTCTACCCAAAGACCAGCCTTGGACTATTCTTGTAACGCTGATTGATATTGAACCAGGTTTCGCGGAGACACTGGTGGTTATGATATCGATCTTTTCACAGTTGGTTATTGAGGAGCCCCTCACCGTTCGTGTTTATCCCCCCAAGGCTATGACTGACATCCTCGAGTAGGAAAGCACAAGTTCCAAGGTCATGCCATGCCACCTGCCCAAGACTCCGCTGGGTAGATTCGATATCAGGCAGCAGCTGTGTACGCGATCACCAGCCGCCTCGGCCACCTTGAAGCCCGTCGCAACTGGCGCAGCGTGAACGCAATCAAGAGTTGGAGCAATATAGGCGAGTCCACTGGGACAGGCCCAAGGCTCTCTGTCTCATAGAGGCTGACGCCTCTTTGCAGAACGCCTCCTCAAGATTCCCGAACTTCATTTCTGTGCGCGGCCCAGCGGTCGTCACCTTTGCTGCGAGGCAGTGAACCTGGTCCGACGACCTACACGCGCCTGTCACTAACAGGCACGGGTTGTTTGTCAAAAAGAGACCCACAAAATACATGTACAACTCAGTGGGCTCGAGTTTCCGGGCAACTGGATAACTTCTGAAGCTGGCTTCCGAGCAGACCCGGGACCGGGTCCAGTGCGCCGAGAGAAAGACCATCATTCAACACGGTGCTCGGTGTGCGCTGGCACTACGGAGTACGGGTTGGAGAATAGAACAAGATCAAAAACGGGTCATCGTCACAAGTCAAGCTTTGACCTCGTTGAAGCGAAACCGAGGCTCGTCGAGTCACGCTGCTTCTTGCAAGGTCCACGCCCGGAAGCGCTGCAACTCTGCAAGCAATCCTATGGGATTGGGTTCGACCAATGTGCTTGTGCGACGAGAACGGTCATGGGCTCAGCGACCCCTGCTGGCCATGCCGGTCAAGCTGGTTGAGGTGACCGGTCGACAGCGGCACGGAGGCGCAAATGCAAGCACAGCCTTGGGAACGGAGACAGATGGGTTGAACGTAGGGGTCCCGAGGCCACGATCATCCAATGATCAAAGCGCACAGCGGGAAGCAAGGTAAGATGGTGACAACGCTGGCATGGCCATTGGGTAAAATATTGCCGTCCCACAGTGGTGCCGTTGACGCTTCACGCAATTCCGTAAGATGGCCGAGGGCGGCCGCGGAGAGGTGGACAAAACTCGGAGGAGGGCCGTTGGCTCGATGTTAGTGCACATGCCAGGTAGCACCGCTAATAATGAACCCAGGACGGCCAAAAAAGGGCCACAGAGAGAGAGCACAACGAACCCCACCCCCGCGAGCTTTTTGCTCTTGGCCTTTTGGGGGTGTTGGTTAAGTGGCCCGAAAAGGGAACCTCTGTTGCCAAGTCGAGGGCCCTGGCACGCGCACATGGAAGGGGGAGGCTCAACAAATCGGGGTTCCCAACAAATCCCACAGCGTGCGCAGATCTGTCAGGACCCTGCAGCAGTAGCTGGGGAAGAAGACAGCAAAATTTAATACTCACGCCCGGACAGCGCTCTGCCAACACCGGGTCAATGCCACCCGTCACCTGATAGATTTCCCCTTGAGTATGGCGCTCGTCTGACATGGCATCATGATCTGTCGACACCACGGGCAAACTCGCAAAAAAAGAGGCGACGATGCTTATTTTGATGGGCGCCGGTTGGGCGTTGAAGGAGGTTCAAAGGATCCAAGGCTAAGGGACACAGGAGGGTCGTGAAAATAAATCCTGGTCCCCCACATTTTCGGTTGGAGGACCCCTGGAGCCTCTCTCGACGGACGGATAAGATAAGATGGGCTGCAGCCAAAGTCAGCAGGGGAGGAAAAAAAAAGTTGCGGGAGGTGTGTTTGGCATGTGAGAGAGGGCAGGTCAATGCAAGCTAACCAGGCCTGACCTGGCCTGACACAGGACAGCGTCACGGCCCACGAACGGCGGCAGTGCTAATAAGGCACAACGCTTTCGAGTTTCGTCAATCGCGGGATGTCGCAGACAAAGGTTGTTCGTTCCAAGGCTAGAGCTGCAGCATCTGTTCCCGTGATGACGGTGATCCGCGATCGGGGGAAAAGACGGCGGCAGCAGTGAACCAGCTGCGGGACGATCCGGGCAGCAAGGAGGCCTATGATACGCCGTTGGCCCCCTTCAGCTGTGGTGGTCCCAGACAGCCTAGCTTTGTGTGAACGGGGCTTGCATGTGATATCGCAGGTAGCTTGGAGGAGCTGCTGCAAGTGCAACAGTGCTGCTGGTGGTGCTTGCTGCGGTACGTTGTGAGGCTGAGACGGCAATGGCCTCCTACGGGAGGCGGTGAGGGCGTCAGGGAGGTCTGGAGCAGCGTCTGCCGAGACACCAATTTTCGTAGGGCGGCCGGTGGCAACGCACAGAGACATCGGATGGGGGTCTTCTGTCTGGCCAGTGTGCGGAATCCAAAATAGGAGAGACGCTAGAAGCTCTGGGCTGTTTTCCATCCCTCGATCGAAGTGTGGCCCACGGCCACATTGATAATTTGCCTCGCTGTTAGTGGCAGAGTGGCAGAGTGGATGCGTAATTGAGCCGTTGATAGGGTCGCAGGGTCGATGCTCGCAAGCTCGTTTCGGCAGTCTGCTGTTGATGTGCGGTGGCGAGAATAGGCGAGACGCCAGGACGCCAGACCCTGCGATGGAGCCTGTCAATGGACTCGTTGACTCGGTACTGTGTAGACCAATGGAGAAGCTCGCCCAAGCCCGTGACGATCAGCATTGGACAGGCTGACAGGCTGGTACGGAGTAGAGGACCAGCTGTAGCCAGACAGCCAGATGGAACTGATGGACCGAGGGGAGATGGCAAGACGGCAAGCAACCAAGAAGGCATGACATGTGTCAGCTCCAGCTCGACGTGCAGGTGCAGACACAGTACTCGAGAGTGACTGACTATGCCTCTGATGCTCACCTCAGCGTCAGCATCAGCACCAGCACTGGTTGTTGATTCCGCCCGTCCGTTCTGGCAGTTCTGGGCCGTTTGTGAGAACGGTGTGCCGGTACCGTAACCGCACGGGGGTGCACCTTCCATCGTGTGGTCTGTGCCGCTGGATTGCAGACCCTTTCTGACCCTTTTGTCCATTACGGATACTGCCCAAGGCTGAAGAAGAAAGGGTGACCGAGACACAGGCAGCCAGGCCGGGAATTGAAACTCGAAGGGCCCCCACATGCATTTTGCCATCCGGCCGGGGCGATCCCCAACAGAAATAAATCCCTGGCCCGGGATGATCGAGCCCCCAATTGCTGCAGATTTCTCTGCCAGCACGGATGGGTTTGCCGTGCAATGGAAAAAGAAACATGTAGTAGCCTCGTAGCATACACAGCACACATGCAAAGGGAATCACAATGGGACACGACAAGAGAAGAGTGGCTGGCTGGCTGGCTGGCTGGCTGAGCGGTTGACCGTGGTTGACTAAAAAGACGGGGTGTGAAGGAGGAGGAGGGAGGAAGGAGGAGGGACCCCTGTTTAGAGAGCCCGGGCGTACCTGAATCTAAAAGTATACCACCCTCCTCTACAGATCTGGCTGGTCCAGGGTTGTACCTCGATACATGTGTGTACCCTGCACCCGCGCTACTACACGCCAAAAGAGGACAGACCTGGCTGGCTGCCAAACGGCACACCGCACCACACACTGGCATCGGCACTGGCACCCAAAGTATGGCACAACAAGTTGGAAGTTTTTATCCTGCTCGTTCCTGCCGCCACTTGTCGGTACTGTACTTTTCCCTCCCACGCTCTCAAACATCCTCGGCCCAGCCGTGTGTCTAGCCTAGCCTCTCCCCTATTCACCCAATTTATTATTCCTCTCTCCCGGAGCCGAGACACCACCCAAGTACTCTGCTCTCCTTCTTCGACTGGCCCCTCCCTTCCCCCTACACTTCCCTCCCTAAAACCTAAAACACCACACCGGCCCTGCCACGCTTTGTCTCCCTCCTACAACTAGAACCCTTTCTTCGAGACACCATCGGTCACACACGGAGTGTTCCTTGGTGCCTCAGTCTAGTTCTGGTCCTTGGTCCCTAGCTCGGCCACACCAAAAGAGCACCGGCCCAGCATCAACACCAACCGGCTGCTGCCCGTCAGTAATAAAATATACCACCACACAAAATGGCTTCCACAGCTGTTCCCTCCAAGGGCAACCCGGCCCTGAGGAGGACAATCACATCTACCACCTGCGACTCGGACTCTGCTCCCTCAACCACCGTCGCCTCCCCCTCCGACTCGCCACGCCCCTCGCCCTCGTCCACCTCGCTGTCCTCCATGGCCTCGGCTGATGCCGTCAAGGACAAGGCCTCGTACGGGAAGCTGATCGACTCGTACGGCAACCCCTTCGAGGTCCCAGATTACACCATCAAGGACATCCGCGACGCCATCCCCAAGCACTGCTTCGAGCGTGATGGTGTCAAGGGCATGGGCTATGTCCTCCGCGACATGGCCTGCCTCGCCGCCACCTTCTACCTCTTCCACAACTTTGTGACGCCCGAGAACATCCCCTCGTACCCCCTCCGCTTCGCCCTCTGGGGGCTGTACACCTTCATGCAGGGCCTCTTTGGCACTGGCCTCTGGGTCCTTGCCCACGAGTGTGGCCACCAGGCCTTCTCCCCCTCAAAGCTGTACAACAACGTCGTCGGCTGGGTCCTGCACTCGGCCCTGCTGGTCCCCTACTTCTCGTGGCAGATGTCCCACAGCAAGCACCACAAGGCCACCGGTCACCTCGAGCGTGACATGGTCTTCGTCCCCCGCACCCGCGAGCAGCAGGCCACCCGCCTCGGCAAGATGGTCCACGAGCTGTCTGAGCTGACCGAGGAGACCCCCATCTACACCCTGCTCATGCTCATCGGCCAGCAGCTCATCGGCTGGCCCAACTACCTCATGACCAACGTCACCGGCCACAACTACCACGAGCGCCAGCGCGAGGGCCGCGGCAAGGGCAAGCACAACGGCTTCGGCGGCAGCGTCAACCACTTCGACCCCCGCTCCCCGCTGTACGAGGAGAAGGATGCCTACCTCGTCGTGCTCAGCGACATTGGTGTCGGCCTGACCATGACCGCCCTGTACTTCCTCGTCCAGAAGTTTGGCTTCACCAACATGCTCGTCTGGTACTTTATCCCATACCTCTGGGTTAACCACTGGCTCGGTGAGTACTTCCCCATCCTGCACCCCCCCGCCCTCTTTTGCTTCTCTTGCACCATGTTCCCCGGCGGAACTCGTCATCGGTGTGGCGTTGATTGGGTGGTCCGCTCGTTCGGTTGTTCGCATTGTTTCGGAGATGCTAACCCTCGTCTTCTTTACAGTTGCCATCACCTTCCTGCAGCACACCGACCCCTCCCTCCCCCACTACACCGGTGAGGAGTGGACCTTTGTCAAGGGCGCCGCCGCAACCATCGACCGCGAGTTCGGCTTCATCGGCCGCCACCTGCTGCACGGCATCATCGAGACCCACGTCCTGCACCACTACGTCAGCACCATCCCCTTCTACAACGCCGACGAGGCTACCGAGGCCATCAAGCCCGTCATGGGCCGCCACTACCGCGCCGACGTCGCCGACGGCCCCATCGGCTTCATCAAGGCCATGTACAAGAGCGCCCGTATGTGCCAGTGGGTCGAGCCCTGCGCAGAGGCCGAGGGCCCTGGCAAGCACGTCATGTTCTTCCGTAACAGGAACGGTCTCGGCCAGAAGCCCGCGAAGCTGGCCCCCGCCAACTAAGTTCCGAATGGGCTGGTCACGACGATGGCTGAGGCTGACAGCAAGAAGAGGGCCTCGCGTGGCTGGGGAGGAGTCTCGATTAGAGTTTCGAATTCAGCTTCATCTTTTCGCTTCGATACGACGCGGTCGGTTCCTTTGCCGAGGGGATGAAGGTGGCAACCAGTTTACTCGCTGCCTGCTACAGTCCCCTTCTCTCCCCTCTTTGACCATTCACACAAGGCGGCCGACACCCGAACACGGGATGGCCGAGAGGAAGAGAATATAACTCTGAAAAATTGAGTATGTTCACAGAAGTAGAAGATGCGAAGAAAGAAGAGAGCAGTTGGATCGGTATTGGGGATGGATCCGCGGTGCTGTTAGAAGCAGAGAAAGTCTAGACAGGATTGATGTATCCAAAGCATGAAAGAAAACAAAACACAAGTTCATAAAGACAGAGACGGGACCGACCCGGGAGAGCCTGAATAGAGAATTATCAAACATCCTTGAGCAGGTGTCCTTCTAAACTCTTTCCAACGCCAGGGTGGTAGTGGCAGTGGGGTCCAACTTCAGTACGAAGCTCTTATCATGTGATAGACCCCCGTAGGTGTGGGGTTCAGCCATGGCGCCGGCCTCCGTAACGAAATTTCGAGGCACGACCAGGTAATTCGTATCGCTGTTGTAGGTGGACAGACGTGTAAAGTTGGAAATCGGGAGGGGGGAGACAACGAGAGGTAAGAAGAAGGTGCGGGGGCAGACACGAGACCTGCCTGACTAATAATAAGTGCGGATAGATAGCACGCGACACCTGTTCACCCTTTTTTACCCATCCTTCTTGGCCACCAGCACCGAATTGTCCCCATATTTCGATTTGATGATGACAGGGTTTTGGACGGAGGAGTATGGGTGGGTGGTAACCGAGTACATGCAACCCATTCCATGTACAGTATGTACCCCGGATCGCCGCAGCGGGCGGAACGGGCGGGATGACGGGTCGCTCCGAGGACCCCGGCGGGCGGGCGGGAGGGAGGGAAACTTTGTCGTACTCGCCCAAGTGCATTAGGTGCGTTACCGGCCAGCCGGCTTGCCTGCCTGCCTGACCTTACACGTGGATGTGGTACGTGGGTGGTTTTGTACCTGTGTCTTTTTTGTTTTGTCGGGAGGGGGCTTATTGGTTCATGATGGCAACTGTGGTGTTCGAGATGATGGGGAGCTCGGGAGCCGTGTTCTTTCTTCCTCTTTTGTCGACGGGTAGGTAACTATGTCATCCATGGATGGTGGGTCCTCTGCTCCAAGGCTCTTGGTTTGATATCCTCTATAAAGAACGGTTTCTTTGGTCTCTTGTTTTTCTCTGTTCCGTGGCCCCGGGAATCCAAGAGTGATGCCCCTGATTATGTGAGAGCGTTGATTAGGTTGTTTAGTAGACATGACCACCCCGACGTCGTTTCAGATTCAGTGATCTTTTTTTTTCTCCTTCTTTTCTTTCCCTCCGCCCCGTCACATCACCAACTTTCACCTCTCCAGCTCCACATCCGCCACCGTACCCCCGCCGTGGCGGTCCAGGCAACACTATACGGACAACGCTGCATAACACGGGCTAGCTCTGTTCCAACTCCTCATTCTCCGCTCCCCACCTCGATTTTGCTGAGAGAAGTAGGTCTGAGACGTCAGGGGTAATAAGTAGTCATCCCGTTAAGGGTGTTCGTTCCTGCGTGCCGCCGGCTTCTGCGCAGATCCCGGGTTGGCTCTCGTGATCACGACCCCCACCCGGCAGTAGAAGCTCATCGTACCTTTCAAGTCTGCGTTGATCTGATTTTTGATATTGCGTGTCCCCTTCCGGTATCAATTCTTTGGGTCAATTGTTTGTTACTTGGAAGTGACGACTGAGGGACCCCTTGATACGTACGACGTAGCGCCACATACCAACATCGAAAACAAAGGGGTACAAGGCAGTGCTGATTTGTATCTTTGGTCTGGTAGATCCGTTTCTTTCGACGAGGGTAAGCCAGATGAATGTTAATATTATGATATGAATACCAAGCAGGTTTCCCTCGTGTGGTTGTAGTTTGAACGTGTGTTCATCCCATATCAGCTCGCTAGCGCACGCAACTGTGAGAAAGGCACGACTCATACTCTGCCGAATTCTTACCGACGGTCGTGAGAACGCTCGGACTGGACGATGGATGGCTACTCTGGGGACTTTTCAAGAGACCGCGAGCTCCTACACTACAATATCTGCTCATCAATTGATATCGATACGTGACTCCCAATCGGGCTACTAAGGTAGTTACTGAAAGCTCGTAAAAGAGGCACCCGTGTGACTGTAAATGGAACATAAAGGATGTAATTATTGCCTGCAACCGGCAAATGTCCAAATATCAAATAACTAGGCCTCCCTCGTTCCGCTCCTTGCGTCAGGACCACAGGTCGTCTCACGACAGTCCACAACAGTCTTGACCGAGATGGCCCCCAGCGGTATCTCATCAGGCCCTACACTCCGGCTCCTGCTGACCTGCGTCTGACATCCGATTCCATAACCCCCCTGCGAGGGCCTCCATCCCCTGCCATCCCATCTATCGCGCCCAGCCTCGACGTCCTCGTCCTGAAGATACTCCAGCGAGTCAAACGACGACAACTCGTACCCCGAAGCCCGAAAGGTGCTCGCCCGGTTGTCGCTCCTCACCATACCCTCGCGGCGAGCCATGCTGCTCGGGGCCATCGATGACCCGCCGATCGTGTTTGACGCGGCGCGGCGCTTGCTGTTTCTGGCGCTGCTGCTGCCGCCACCGGTGCCGGCGCTACCGAGGTACGATGCGAAGGAGCGGTAGAGTTGCGAGGCTAGGAGCATCGTCACCAGCGGCCGCATCACCGGGAGGCAGGCGCAGATGATGGCCATGTCGGGCTCGAGGGTCATCCACAGCTGGGGGTAGAATATGCTCACTGGCAGGAACGGGGTGATCATCAGCATTGGGGGTTGACCGTGTTAGATCCGGCATGAAATCTGTTGAGCGGGAGAAAGGGAAATAGATGCAGGGAAGATAAACCCACTGGCAAGATCCAGGTCCCCAGTCGCCCCAGCCCTCACCAGCTCTAGGTGGTAGTACATCCTCACGCCGCTGGCGGCGCAGACGCCGGCGCCGAGGAGGAACACGCTGCCCAATGCGATCCTCTGGCTCCGCGGCAGGTGTAGCTTTGCGACCTCGAAGGTCGGCAGGGAGAGGATCATGATGTCGATCAGGATGTTGGGGATGATCATGCCGAGGCAGTAGCCTGTCTGTGATATGCAGTCGCCTTCGGTTTCTATGGACGGGTCGAACGCCTTGCTCATCGGCGTGCACTGGAAGACGTCGACGAGCACGCCGGCCGTCGCCCACATGCCCGTCAACGCGGCGAGGACGACACAGCCACGCTTCATGAAGGCGGTCGGGAACAGCCGCCAGTAGAGCGCGAGGATGCTGAGCTTCGCTGTCAGAATCGTGCTTGCGTAGATGATCTGGCCGGCAAATAGGAGCTAAGTTTGTGGCGCTCTGTTAGCAAGCATTGTGATCTATTCTATGTGGTGCCCTCTAAGCAAAGCCCTTACATACTTTGAGGAAGTTTCCCAGCCAGGCCATTGATGGGTCAGCATCTCGATTTACTTCGAAGGGCGTCCCGACTCCTCCTATTTCCACGCTCAGAACAGATACAGTATACATGCCCCAGACTAAAATCAGTGAGGCGAGAATGAACCAGTCGTCGAACCAGAAGCCTGTGCGCCGGAAATACCGCAAGGAGAAGCGAACACCAACAAAAGCAGTGACTAGTACGGCGACAGGCGTGGCGACCTGGATTAGCCGGGGGTCCCCTCGTACCCGTGAGCCGGATGGCATCTTGTGAATTGTTCCAGCCGTGGTGGCAGGTACACAGACTCGGACTGTGGATCTGGTTTCGAAGAAAAGCCCCTGGTCGTCATGAGTAGGCTCACAAGCACGCCCGGGCGTGTAGCTTCAGATGTTGGAATATGAGGCAGAAACGAGCACGAGCTACAGAAACAACACTCAATAGTCGCTTCTGAAAGGACCACCGTCACCCAGAGAGTGAGTGACTCAAGTGATAGAAGAGTAAAAGGCAATGCGGAGCCGTGCCTCTGTCGGATCGATAGGTGGTCGTCCAACAAATGCGCGCAAATGAAATAGCAAATGATGGGGAGGCTTGGGCAAGAGCCCCAGGCCAATCGCCACTCGACACGGTCTTGCGAATGTAACTGGACGACCGCAGATCCCGATTGGCAGCTGCTCAGCAATACTTTCAAGGTTCCAAGGTGCTGAGATGATGGGAGCTCGGTCCCGAGGAGGAGATTCTTTGTGTGGATGAGAGGCACGGGTATGAAATATGATAGGCACTTAGTCGTTAGGCCCAAATTAATATGGGTGACTCTGGATCAGCAGCAGATCATCTGCTGCAGATGTAACAAAAATATGCTATCCTACGCCGGGACGTGTAGGTGGTCATGGTGTTGGAGGCGGGCGAGTCCGCATCTGGACGCTGACACCCGTTCGTGGACTGAGCTTGGCTTCAATTTCGTGTGCTACCGCACAAAAGCCCTCGATCGGCACGGGCACACTTTGGTTAGGTGGTCAGAGGGATTTCAAAAGGACGCATATATGTGTCAGGCAGGTGCGCAGCACGCTTACACACGTCGCACACGCAGCCGAGTTACTTCGCAACCCCCACAACATGCGCCTGGCCTCATTCGCCAGGTTATGTCGATCGCCAGCAGCAGGCTCTATGCTGTGTAACACAGAGACCGGAGCCTTCCTCCTGAGGGATTTGGCCCCAGGTTGGGCATTCTGCTGTCCTGCCTTTGACTCGCGGAAGATTTTCCTATCCTTGACTCAGGATCCGACAGATTTGAGATATTTGAGGCTCTTTTTCTTGTTGAATGCGATTTCCTCGGGATTAGTCGGCCACGCCGCAAGAGTACATGGACTGGGTGAGCACCGCAGCCGAGGAGAAGAGGATGGAAGGGAAGCATGTGACTGATCTACGGTAGTATTCTTGAGGATTCGTCACTGCGAATGAAGTGATTGTGCAATTCGAGGGCAGCATTTTGATTGTTTATTTCTACATCAGTTCCGGGGAGGGGATACAGATGGCTTGGGAAGTGCCGCGAGGTGAATCGAGAAGTGGATATTTTGGTTTAACTACACGACACCTTCATACAGTAGTAGTAGACAATCGAAGACAAAAAACATAATACCAATATTAGTAGTAAAACTATAAAATATATAGTCTTAGCCTTATTACATATAGAAACTTGGCCCTCTACCCCTAACACACACACACACACACTCCCAAGAAAACACAAAATGAGGAAAGAAGACCCTCGCTAAATAAGCTAATACTACAACCGCCATTCAAGCACATAGATATTTCCCAAGGGTTAGTTTAAATCCGAGACATGACTTGATGTAGCAAAGGCTCTTTCAAGTCTTGAATCTTCGTAGGTTTTGGAGTATACTCAAGCATGTATCTGAGTTGAGTGTAGCAACTCTAAAACCCAGTAAAGTCCCTATTTCACTCTGCTGTGCCCTGCTGGGATGCATTGCACTTAAAAATCAAATTGACGCTGTAGAAAAACGAGTCTTTTGTCATGATAAGTGGAAGAGTGCACACAATGTTGCACAATGGTGTCACTCGGAATCCACTATAGCTAAATAACCGCACGTGGCCATCAGCTAAATATAAAGAGATCACACCTACTAAAATAGAGAGTATACTTAAACCTTAAGAGATAATCTTTTATAAAATAACCTTTTATAAGATAACTTTTTATAAAATAACCTTTTATAAAATAACTTTTTATAGAATAATCTTTTATATAGTTTTATTTTTATTTTATATATATTTAAAGATATATATAATATCTTTATATAATAATAAGCACTTTATAGGAATAGTAGGCTGCAGTGGATTAGTTATTATAAGTAATGGTAGATCCGTGTATATGCACAGACTATGCTTAGTTAGTAGGTCTAGCTAACCTATCTAAGTGCTTCACCGCCTAGTTAGGTAGACCTCTAACTATTACTAATATATACTACTTTAACTATTATTTATATATAAGTTAAACTAATTAATACTAATTAGTTATTAATTAGCTTTTAATAATAAAGTAAATTATTTAAGTTATTTAAATATTAAGTTTTTTTAAAGGATAAATTAATAAGATTACTTTATTATTATAGTTTAAAAAGGATAAATTAATAATATTATTATTACTATTATAGCTTAAAAAAGGTAAAGTTTAGGCTATCTAAGTATAAATTTAATTATTAAGTAGAACCCTTTTATTAAATAAGTCTTATAACTTTTTTATAATAACTCTCTCTCTTATAACTAATAATTTAAGCCTACTTATTAGACCTTTAAACTAGTATTTAGCTATCTACTAGTTAACCTATTTACCTACCTTTATATTACTTAAGTAATTAATTAAGTAAGTAACTTTTATATATTTTTTTAACTTTTCTCTCTTTCTTTCTTTTTTATAATATTTAAATAGAATTACTTTAACGTTATAATTACTATAGTTTTAAATTTTTAAAAATAAAATTATTTATAGCTAGTATAAGTATATATTAATATTTTTATTAATATTATTAAAAGAAGTTTAAGTTTAAGAATAAAATAAAGAAATATATTAATAATATCTATAAGGAGGAATATATAGTTATTAAGTTTAATAATAATAAAGTTTAATAATTTATTAATAATCTTATTAATAACTTACTTTTAAGTAACTACTTTAATAAATACTTTTAATACTTTTATAAAATCTTTAAAACTAAATTAAAAAGTACTTTAAGTAAATTAAGTTAGAACTTTTTAAAAACCTTTATAATAACTTTTACTTAAATAGTATTTATATTAAATTAAATATTAAAATACTACTTAAAGCCCTTCTTACTTTTATTTAAATATTTTACTTAAATAAAGAGGAGATACTATAACTATTTATATAGTTAACTAAATAGAAGATAAGACTTTCTAGTAAAATTAAAGATTAATAAAGTAAGTAATAGCCTATATAAATAAAGTAGTGGTATATTTAATAAAGAGGAATTATATTTACTATAAAAAAAGAAGAAACTATTAGAAGGGACTAACTAGTTAAATATAGTTATAGTTAGTAACTAGTTAGTAATAGCCTAATAAGTAATTAGTTAATTAATAATTTAGATTTAATTTTATTTATTAAAGTAATTTAAATTTAAGTGATTTAAATAATTTATAAAATATTAATTTAAAGTGTTTTTATAACGTTTAAATTAAGTAAATTATAATTATATATTTAGTAATAATTTTAAGTAATTTAATAATTTAGTTTAAAAATTACTTTATTAATAAATAAAGTTCTCTAATTAACTAAAAGAAAGGAATATTAGACCTTAATTCTAAAAGATTAAAAAGTTATTAATATAGAAATAGTAGGCTGTAGTAGATTAGTCACTATAAGTAATAGTAGATCCATATATATATATGGGCCACACTTAGTCAGCAGGTCTAGCTAAACCATCTAGGCGCTTTACCACCCAGCCAGGCAGACCTCTAACTATTACTAATATACACTACTTTAACCACCACTTATATATAAGTTAAGCTAACTAATATATTTAAAACTTAGTGTTTAAAAAAATATAATATTAATAATAATAATTATAATATAATAAATGCTTATAACTTTAACTTTATAATATATAAATAAAGTTAAAGGATATTAATATATAATTTAATTATTAATTATTATATTAAAAGGGAGAGGGATTTATTAGTTATTTAAAAGGTTTTTTTATAAGTTTAAATAAGTGGATTAAATCTAATTAAAATCTATTATATTAAGTTTTAAAAGGTATTATATAATAAATACTTTATAATATAATCTTTTATTATTTATAATAAACTATATTATATACTTTTATAATATTTAATTATATAGTTAAGTTTTATTATATTAAATTAACTTTTTAATATAAATAAAAGTTAAACTTTATTTTTTATATTATTAATAGAATATACTTTATATTATATTAAATATATTAAGTTTATAAGTATAGTTCTATTTTTTTAATATAAATAGTTAGTTATAATAATTATTTAATATATAATCTAATTAATTATTATTATATTAAAAGGGAGAGAAACTTACTAATTACTTAGAGGGCTCTTTTATAGACTTAAATAGGTGGATTAAGTCTAATTAAAGTCTATCGCGCTAGGCCTTTAGGGGGTATTATATAATAGGTACTTACTGTCTTAATGATAATAATCTTTTATAGGATAAGCTTTTATAGGAAAACATCCTGTGGGATAACCTTAGAGGATAATTACTTGTGGTTTGGTGCTAAAGTATATAATTTGTTCTCTAAGTTCCCTGGTATGGGTGTACCCTCCGTTTTGGCGGGTGCAAATATCCGATCTCAATATGAAAGCTCTCTTTGAATAGGTCATCAAGCCTTATAACCAGGGCATCATCTGTACTTGTGTCTTATCCAGCCAAGTCACACGAACCTACGTTCAATTTGAGAACACTGCCCCCATTGTCGCTGCAGCCCTTCGTGTAGGACGTCTCCGTGCCTGACGCCGCGGTATCTATGCAACACTAGGTATACGAGATCATGTTAGCTGTGAGTTTCTGGAATCACCTCGTGTTGCAGATTTGACTTGGAACTTGCCCCGGAGAAGATGTTGAATTTTGCGCCGACCGCGCCGCAGATTCCCGCCGAGTTGCTAAGGCTGGAGGAGTCCGCCGCCCGGCAGAAGAAGCTCGTGCCTGGCTCCTTGGGAGGTGTGACTGTTGCTGACGTCGTTTCGGACGATCGGTTCGGGTCTGTTGGTGTTTGTCTGCGAATGATTATTCTCCTCATAAGAATATGTGTATTTCCTTCGTTGCCATGAATTGTAGGACCGATAATGTCTGATACTTACGCAAAGGCGCCATATCCCGCGGCGAGAAGGGTGAGAAAGCTGGTGGAAAGCATTGTTGTTTTTGGTGGCTGTAATTTCGTGCGCAACTTAGAGCAATGGTCATTCGTCCTTCATGAAATGACTTCCAGGGCATCCCTTTTGTATAAGAATTCCTCGATGCATTTGACCCATGGAAGCTGGCTTGCAGGCACCGCGCGCGACTGGGGCAGGGCATGAGTCAGTCCGTATCAAGTATATATAGAGCATCGTGTGACAAGGCTTGGCCCAGACAGACTACCTAGGCACACGCGGACTTATTTCGAGCCCATGAGCCCGCACTAACTTTATACACCTGGCTTGGTTCATAATTCTGGTACGCCATTCATCTGGGCATCTCTCTGGCCGAAAGGCGGGATTGTATCTTTCAGATTTGCCGTCCATCAGAGCTCATCGACAAATACATGTCGGCATCCCAGACGGACCTAAGCATTCAAGTCGTCAAGAACATTGAATCCCGGGTTAACCCGCCACGGGGTTGTACGAATCAAGGCCGCGAACCCCGTCGTTACGTTTTATCACATATCAACAACACCCTTGGCTGGGCCTCGCGTCGGCGAATCGAACTACCCCTCAACCAAAAATCCTTTCCAAATTATGGGCTTCTGCGGAAAGTGGTCTTGATCTTTTTTAGAGAGCTAGGGTAGCTTGAATTCATATGACCGGCAGACGGTCCTCATTTATCAGGCGAGAAGCGAAACTGAATCCAGTTTTCATGTCACCTCTTGTGTGTCCGAACAGAACGGCGGATTGGGGATACAGCGTCACTGAATATAAGAGCATCGCGGCAACCCGTGGACTCAGATGCATGTATGAGTTGTGTTTATTGGCAAGCGGCTGAACTGCTAGTCAAGACAGTTGAACCAAAATCACATGTTGAAGCAACAAACTCAACGCGGTACCAACTACAGGCTTCCCAACCCGCGAGATCACATCTCTCACCAACCAATCCCCAACTTAAGCTGGACCATCAGACAAAATTATCTTATTGATGGCGTCAACTACCCCGCTCGTGGCGGTAAAGTAGGGAGAGTGAGCACTCTCAAGAGTGAAGGTGCGGACATGATGGCCTGCCTTTTCCACGGCCTCAACCATGCTCTGCTGTACGGCATAAGGGACAGCCGCGTCCTTCGTGGTGTGGATATAAGCAACCGGGATCTCTCTCCACGCCTCATTCTTTAGAGGTTCTGTCATAGCTCTTCCATTCCAGCGGCTACAAGTCTGGATATACGCCTCAATCTCGGACTCTTCAATTCCAGGCTCCCTAAGACCCAAGAACGGTTCATGTTTGGAGTCCCTCAGAACAATGGTTCCATCTTCGGCCATATCGAACAACAGGTGCGCATCATCCGCCGAAGCGCCAAATTCACAAAGCTTTCCAAAGGTAGACGTTCCCTTGGGCAGGGCGAAGGCGGCCATGTAGACCAGGGCGCTGACGCCGCCCTCCAGGCCTTGGGCAGAGCGAGCCTTGAGGCCAAGTCCACACAAGGCATTGCTCATGAGTTGACCGCCCCACGAATGGCCGATGGCTACGACATTGCGCCCTGCAGTGACAAGACCCTTGACGTAGCTGCGGATGAAAGCCGTGTCTTCCGCTAGGCCTGCGGTTGGTGGACGGATTTCGCTGTTCGTGGGAATTTGAGGGACGTGGACCTCGTAGCCGTCTGACTCGAGCGCAGTGGCAAGCTTTCCGTAGCTCTTGGGAGTCCCGAAAGCTCCAGAGATGATAATGATTGCTGGTTTGTTGGACATGGTTAATGCGGCCGCGGACCGTGATAATGTTACCGCTCTTGTGGTGATATCTATTATGAAGAGTCCCCGAAGTTCTAGGACTGAAGTTCTGAATTCTCAATGAAAATGGCGTACAATAAGCTAGATACTTGTGACGATCTGGACCACAAATCTGCATCGTGTTCTAGTACTACCCATGGCCCGCCTTATAAGTTAGGAACTTATGAGCGGAATGAACCATAAGCACTAGAACCAATGCGGAAAATGCATCAGGTGAGGGATCTGGAGCTGCCAAGCGGACGAAGTAAAGTACTTATGAAATCTTACTACCAACATACCAACATGCAATTGGACCTAGAGCTGCTTTGGAAATAGTTATGGAATCCATCGGAGGAGTAAACCCCCCAATAGTATGCATGGATAACCACATGTTGTTCTAATCACACTAGATACATCCTGCTTTACCATGATGATCGTACTATCCAATGTTCTCAATCGCCTTGTACCAGCGTCTGGATCCATTCCGAAATCTATAATCGCGATTTGAGTATCATCATACTGCGTCGTAGTTTGGAGTTTTATCAAAAGGAAGCACGACTGCAATCAGACCCTCGTTTCCCTCGCCCTGTTGAAAGATGTTGGCTATTTTCAAGCCGTAGCTTTCTATGAGTTTGTACCACTCATTCTCGGTACACACTTGAGAGGAAGCAAGGGCCATCCTGAAAATTTCCAGGGACGTGTGTTGCCAGGCTTCTTGCTCATTGGCGACGACCTGTGAAACTTCATCAATACCTGGGTATTAGTGTCCATGCAGAAACGCGTGATGGATCGAGTCTAACGTCGCAAAGTATCCCAACGTAGGACCGCCATGAGCAAAATGCTAAAACGATGCTCGAGATGACATTTTTGGGCACTTGCGCAGTCTCTGATAGAACTTCTGGAGTAGCCCGGCTACATAGCATCTTTCAAGTGGTTCAGAATGCGACACTTGTCATCCTACCAGTCGTATAATACAGACCGCATGAAGTATGCACACCCCCCCGTGATTGGCTGCCTGGTAAAGAAATCGTGTGGTTACAGCTCAGAGCAAACTCTCGCTGTGGTATCGTCGTATCCGTCGTCGTGGTGGGGCCTGCGTACTAGGTTCAAAGCCTAGAATGTCCTGGCCCAGGATTTGATCATTGCGCTTTTTTGTTCAGATATTTTCAAGGACTCTAAGACAAGCTTATGAGCATGCAGATGGTGGGGCACTGGCAGCTGACCCGGGGACATACTCGATTGTGAAGGTACAGTCCCTTCTACCCGCCCCCTGACTTTCTGGTACGACGAAATGACAGCTTATGGCCAGTATGAAATAAAATGCTGAATGGAGAGCCCGACCTTTGGAGACAGCTCTGGAAAATAGAGAAGATTTGGTCCAGTGGAAAGAAGTAAAATATGGGAGTGATACCCTTGAACAGCCACAGGGGACGAGCGCGTCATTGACCCTGAGCTAGCTGCACAGGCAAGCGATCATTCTTCACTCTAAAATACGTATGAAAACAATGGAAATCAGCCAAATGCTCTCAGCGATACACCTGTATCTTCTCTGGCCAACCCAGCTTAGAGCATTAGCGACGGGCCAGTCCACGTTGAGACAACTCCAGTGAATTGAACCGTAGCAAGAACGCACTGCAGGCCACCTGTAGAAGTCTCTGGCAAGCTCGGCCCGCGACTCGCTCCGCTGAAGACAACCCGAGAGCTGGAAGCACTCACAGGAGTGAATGTTGATGAACTCAGGTGCGATCTGTGTCTGTGCGCCCACGCACCCATGTAGCCATGTACCCATGTACCCACACTTCGTTTGCTTACATAAGCGAGCCGTTTGGCTGCACCTCAAGTGCTCATTCCCGTTCCCGTTCCCCAGCCACCCAGTTTCGCGCACGGGCCAACAAACCTGCCAGTCACGTTTTCTGGTGACTCCAGCAAAGTCACCTCCTCCCAAGCGACTGCATCGCATCCAGCACTTATCATTATCAGGTCGCTGGCCAGCCGCCTCCACCATCCACCATCCACCATCCTCAAACCAGACAGACTGCTTGACCTCGCAAAGGTCAACTGGATCTGGACCATTCCTTTCCTCGCACACGCACCTCAACTCCTCCCACCTACCACCTCTCGTCGCATGCCCTCCCCCGTCCCTCCTCTCCAGCTGCGCGTCGCGTCAAACCAAACGTCAAATACCCCACCGCACATCGGGGTAGCACTCGACGACTGTTCGTGGTCCGCCCCCATTAGCCAAGCTACAGAGGTCATACGGCTTCTGGGCGTGGGCGGGGCCTTGGGAAAGCTGCCTGTGTTGCGGGCGTCTCGCGATTCTTGCACCTATACCGACCAGGGTGTGACCCTGGGGCGATAGGAAGGGGCTTTCCAAGTGCTGCCGGTTGGCGAACCGCGACAGTCTGCTTGTGCCGTTTGGTTCTTGATACGACCTCCCAGCTTGGAGAGTCGGGACCGCTTCGTTGCCTGCGAGATTGGAGTCCTCTGCCGGTGTCAGCCCTCGGGCCTGACGCGGGGATCTCACGGTCGACCTCGCTGATCCACTGATTTTTGCCTGCTGATGTGCTCATAGGGACGACGCCCAGGACACCGACATGTCCGCCTCTTCGCCAGCACCGGCCGATGCCCGCGAGACGGCGACTCCGGTGGCTGCTGTACTGGAATGGGCTGGACAAGATGGTCAGCCGTGCTATCTGAGCGACTCCGGATCCAATCCCGTGACCGTGACAATCGACCTCGACCGCGCCTCCAAGACCGCCCTGCTCAAGATCCGAATCCAGCTCGAGCTCCGCAAACCCGTGCCTGGGAAGACGAGTCTCTGCCTGTTCATCCCACCCGAGAGAATCCACTCCGTTGCCCTCGACTCTAGCGAGCTGCCTACCGAGTCCAAACGTCTCCAGTGCCACAAGCTTGTGTGCCTGCGGCTGGAGCTGACGAGTGCGGCTGACCTCGCGGCGCGCGACTGGCCTCTACGTCCGAACAACAAGGTTCACGGTGCCGTGCTGGACTCTGCTCAAACACTTGCCCAACAAACGTCTCTCAGTCTACACGTCCCAGATACCGTGTTGGACAAGGCCCAGCTGGACTGGCTCTGTGACTCATTGTGCCGCCATGAGCTACACACTGGAGAACCGGCTACGGAAGGCGGTGGTATCTACGAAGGCCAAGATGGCAGGATCATCAGCCCTGAGCTGCTTGCTCCCCGGAAAGGAGATACAGCCGAGGGCCTTCCGTCATACGAAGAGCTCGAGGGTCCGCCGCCGCCGCCGCCAATAGTGCCTCCAGGCCAAGGTAAGACGGACTGGTCTCCATGCATGAATGTGCTTGTACTAATCCACATTCAGAGTCCGAGTCTGCCTCCAGTTCCAAGAAGAGAAAGCTGAGCGGTTCCGCCACTGAAAGCGTAGAAGTTGGGTTCATTGAGAGGATCTGCAGCAAAATCTTTACGGAGCAGCTGGGACAGATGGAGACCCGCATGAAAGCATGGGTGGACCAGCGGCTGACGGAGCAAGAGAAGAAGTACGACGAGAGGCTAGACAGGCTCGAAGACGAGATCCAAGACATGGACCGGCACGTGGACGAGCGGGTGTGGCTGGAAGTGGACGACCTCCGGACGGGCATTCAGGAAGACTTTGACCAGCTGAGGGCCGAGACGGAAGATTTCATCCAAGAAGAGAACAGGAACGCTGTTGATGTGATTAGGAAGCAGCTGTCGGAAAGCGACGTAAACATCGTAGGAGGGCGGCTAGAAATAACATGATGCATGCTGCTCCACCTCGACTTTGCGCATCCAAACTGTGCGGAATCGCCTCGATGATTCTTGACGCTCCTGTCTGCCCACGACAGACAGTCACCCGGGTCTGCCTCCAATACCGATTAATCGCTCGTATGAAGCGAGCAACCTGGCAGCCCCGGCCCCACCCAAAGGCTGGGCCGTTCCGCTAAGATCCTTGTCGAATGAAGGAGCTCCAGCTCCGAGTCGAGTGGGGCATGACAGCTGTCGCAGCTCGGGGTGATGACGTCTTGGGCAGTCGCACATGGGGAATTGTGAGATTTGCATCCCGAAGAACCTGCCCGGTTTCCAGGATATTTCTGCAACCAGAGCTGACCAAATATGGTTGCCAAACAAACAGTTCCAGTCGGACATCTCTCTGCGCCCTTCAAATGGTGGCTAGGATTCAGACAGACAGGCAGGCCACTCGGGCGGCTGAAGGAGCCTTTCCTGTTCCTATCGCAGCAACGAAACCACTCCTGCAGGCTGTGCCTGTGCCTGCCTGTGCCCTGCACTGCACCAGTGCACCTGTTCCCAACAAACACACAAAGCACCCAAGAAGCCCATCATCTCACCGCATGTCCACGCAGTAGCGCCGCGCAGCAGCCATCCCAAGAAATTGTTCCCGGGCCGCTAGGCATGGTTCTGGTGTTGCACTGGCCTTGCCTGAGCACGTTAGCTCCCAGCCTAGCGTGGGTTTCTTTGGGGGGCCGCCAACGTTGCGTCGAGCCCGGCTGTTTCTTCTTTTTTTTCTAGTGTCTGATTCAGGAATACTGAGGCAATCGTCGATCTCGACTGTGGTGGATGCTTGCTCTTCACGATAGTGTAGCGGGGCATATTCTCTGTCTATGCTCCTAAGGATCACTGGTATCTATCTCGAGGAGCAGGGGGTGTTCGTTCCATCATGCGATACGGGAGTCGTGGCAGGCCGCCATCTCGATCCCGTCTCACCAACCCACCGAGATATCCGTATCTTTCTTTTCTGCTGACAGCCAGAAAAAGATCAATGCCTCTTACCGTGATGAAGAATCAGGCTGGCCCACCCCCATGGGCCCCCCAGTTGAGCTGCTGGCCCCCATGGCTTGGACCGGCCTGGGCTGGCCTGACCTGGCCTGACCTTGCCTGACCTTGGTTTCATCACCCACCACTCCATAGGGCTTACCAGCTCGGCTGACCTCTTGGCAAAAGCTCGGCTGACCTCTTGGCGCCAAGCCACTAGCAGGGATTTCAGACAGTACTTAACATATACCTGGACCCTAACCACTAACCCTAACCCTAGCCCCTAACCCTGACCCTAACCGCAGGGGGAGACCCCCTGCACCCCCCCTAACCCTAACCCTAAGCCCCTCGAACCGGTCTGGAACCAGTTCCAGACCGGTTCGAGGGGGCCCCCCTAAAAATCTCTAAGTCACTTAGAAGTCACTCGCTCATCTGACTAGCGTGATGTCAGATGAGCTCAAATTTTTAAGCCCTCTGATTGGTTGCAGCCACCCCTGTAACGCCCCACAGGTCAGGCTCCACCGGGCCTGACGGTCAGCCGAGCTACCAACCCCACTCCATAGCCATCATCACGATGTACCCTAGTACATACGGTACACTAGTACCTGGAGCTTGGAGCTGGATGGGGCTTGAGCTGAGACTTCATGCCTAGAAGCTTCCTGCACCTGCCCAGATGGATGCATGGCAGGCCGAGTCCTCGCAGCGGGAAGGAAGGAAGCTCGGAAGGGCCTCGAGATCCATGGGCTGGTAACCTGCCTTAGCTCTGCCGGTTTTCCCTTTTCCCTCATGTACCATACATAGTACTCTTCTTTTCCTTGTCCTTGCAATGCAATTCCCACATTGAACGGCGCTACCTGGTCACTGCTACTACCATTACCTACTGGGAAAGGTAGGTACGAAGTACAGCCCGGCATCATCTTCTCTAGCTCCCGCCTGCAAGTCTATTATTCCCTCCCCCCTTCGCTGACAGCATTGTTGTCTCTTACCATTTTAGATCTTGCCTTTTATTTTCTTCCACTCGTCTCTAAACTCTTTCTTCCTATCCTATTTCCTCTCCTGAACCTTCAGTCCTGAATTGGGTTTGCCCTGCACGGTTCCTCTACAGCTGTACGGTCTCCTGCCCCATCCCCCATGACTCCAAACTCTCCATATTAACCCCAGCTAGCCACAGCTCCAGCTCCAGCTCCAGCTCCAGCCCGCTGTTAATCGCCGATCCCCCGACCAACCCCTCGTCCACCTGCCTGGGCTGGGCCACCTGCCAGCAAGCCAGGCCTGCCCCTCCTCTCCAAACACGTGTGGGTGCATGCGCGCATCCCCCCTACTTCCTGCTGCCCAGCTCTGCGCGGGGCAGCTCTCCGTCCTGACAACATGATCCCAAGAACCATGGTGTCTAACGAGGTTCACCTGCTGCCCCTCAACGACGACGGCTCGCCCGACGTGGCCGGCCAGTATGTCTATATTGCGCCAAAGACACACGACCCCATCACCATCCGATTCACAATCGAGGGCACCTCCAGCATATGTCGCCATGGCAGCCTGTGGGTCAACATACCCGAGCAGGGACACGACTTCCAGCGTCACAAGTTCAGGGAGTTCCCGTATGTCATGACCACACTCCAGCAGCCGCCAACAGCTCCATGAGCTACCCCAGTGCTCAATTGACTTCTTGCTGACTGACTCATTTTCCAATTGCACCAGGCTGGTTCCCAATTTCACTCGCGACATAGAGATCTCTATTCCCATCTACCAGCCCGGCCCCTACACCTACTACATCACCTATGCAGCTCTCCCGAAGCTGTCCACCGAGCTCAAGGATGCCTCTGCTGGTGAAGCCAAGCAGAAAACCCCCCTCTACTACATCGATGTGGCCCCTCGCTTGACCTTGGACGGCTCACGGCTGCCGTTGCCCGCATTGTCCGTCTTCTCCATTCTCAGCAAATTCATGGGCAAGTACCCTCATGACTGGGAGAAGCACCTCGCCGGCATCAGCGAGAGGGGCTACAATATGGTCCACTTCACCCCTCTGCAGGTTCGCGGAGAGTCAAACTCGCCGTACAGCCTGTACGACCAGCTCTCATGGGACCCTGCAAGCTTCCCTGACGGCGAGAAGGATGTCCAGAAGCTGGTCGAGAGCCTGGAGCGGAAGCACTCCCTGCTGAGCTTGACGGATATCGTCCTCAACCACACAGCCAACAACACCGACTGGCTGCAGGAACACCCCGATGCTGGTTACAACTTGACCACTGCCCCCTGGTTGGAGTCGGCCTACCTGCTGGACACCAAGCTGCTTGATCTGGGTTATAAGCTGGACAAGCTGGGCCTCCCGACTGAGATCAAGGAGGTTGATGACCTTGTGAAGATCATGGGGTCAGTCAAGGATGTGCTGAGTGAGATTCGGCTCTGGGAGTACTACGTCGTCGATGTTGATCGCGACGCGGATGCTGGTGTCAAGGCGTGGTCTGAGGGGCGGGTCGACGAGGCCTCGCTGAAGCTGCCAACCGGTACCGTTGAGGAACAAGCTGCGTTTCTACGAGCTGGCCTCGACGGTATGAATCACCTCGGCGAGCGATTCAGGAGGAAGCTCAAGCCAGAAGTTGGTGCTGCCTACATAACCGAACTGCTTGGAAAGTTTGAGTCTGCAGATGAGGCGAAGAAGGCCGATGCACGGGCTAAGCTGGCGGCAGGACTGGATGTCATCAATGTCTCTTTCTACCAAGAGTATGACAGCGAGTCGGCCGTGATCCTCGATCAGCTCTACAACAGGATTAAGTACTGCCGCCTGGATGATCACGGTCCTAAGATGGGTCCGATCGGGGCAAAGAGCCCATTGATTGAGTCGTACTTCACCCGATTGCCTGAAAACGAGAAGACAGCCAAGCATAAGAAGGAAGATCTGGCGCTAGCGAACAACGGTTGGGTTTGGGGTGGCAACGCGCTTGTTGACAATGCCGGGCCCGACTCAAGAGTGTACCTCCGCCGTGAGGTCATTGTCTGGGGTGACTGTGTCAAACTGCGATATGGCAGTGCCCCCGAAGACAGCCCTTTCCTTTGGGACCACATGACCAAGTATGCTCGCACCTTGGCCAAGTACTTTGCTGGTTTCCGCATTGACAACTGCCACTCCACTCCGATCCACGTCGCCGAGCATATTCTGGATGAGGCCCGGCGGATCCGCCCAGATCTGTATGTGGTTGCGGAGCTTTTCTCCGGGTCCGAAGAAATGGACTACGTCTTCGTGAAGAGGCTCGGCCTCAGCTCGCTGATTCGTGAGGCGATGCAGGCTTGGAGCACCGGTGAGCTCAGTCGTCTGGTTCATCGGCATGGAGGGCGACCGATTGGCAGTTTCGAGGTGGACGAGATCTCCAGGAACGACAACAGGTCGCCCACCTCCCCAACAGGGCAGAACGGATCATCACAAAATGGTGATGCGGGCTTGACAAGGGAGATCATTCGCCGCATCAAGCCTGTGCCGGTGCAGGCGCTGTTCATGGACTGTACTCACGACAACGAGACACCCGCTCAAAAGCGCGATGCTCGGGACACTCTGCCCAACGCTGCGCTTGTGAACATGTGTGCCAGCGCCACTGGGAGTGTCATGGGCTACGATGAGATCTACCCCAAACTCGTCGATCTTGTCAGTGAGACGAGACTGTACCAGTCTGAATCATCCAACGGCAAGGAAATCAAAGTTGGAGGTGGCAAGAATGGTATCGGCGGTGTCAAGAAACTCCTGAACCAGATCCACACATTGATGGGCCAGGACGACTATGACGAGACATTCATCCACCATGAGGACCAGTACGTCACTGTTCACCGTGTTCATCCGGAGTCGCGCAAGGGATACTTCCTTATCGCACACACCGCCTTCCCAGGATACGGGAATGGCAACGGTGCTTTTAACCCCGTACACCTTGCTGGCACCAAAGTCAGGCACCTGGGAAGCTGGATGCTCGAGGTTGACTCAAGCGAAGAGGCCAAGAAGGAAGTTCTTAAGGACAAGAAATGGCTGCGTGGTTTGCCCAGCCGCGTCATCGACCTCCCGGGTGTCCGTATTGATGTCAAGGGAGACGACACCACGATCACGGTCCGTGACAAGTTCCCTCCTGGCAGTATTGCACTCTTCGAGACCTGGATCCCCGCTGCTGAGCACTCGGCGGGTCTGGATACCTTTGTCACGTCGGGGGCAAAGGAGGCGTATGGAGAGTTGGATCTCATCGATCTCAACTTCCTGCTCTACCGCTGCGAGGCTGAAGAGCGTGATGCCAGCGGGGGGAAGGACGGTGTCTATGACATTCCAGGTCATGGAAAGCTTGTGTATGCCGGCCTGCAGGGTTGGTGGAGTATTTTGAAGGACGTGATCCGGGACAACAATCTCGCACACCCGTTGTGCCAAAACCTCCGAGATGGGCAATGGGCTCTCGATTACACCATCGGCCGCCTCGAACGTGCCTCCCAGACTGAGCTGTATTCTCGTCTAGAGAAGCCAACCGCTTGGCTCAAGGAACGATTCGATGCGATTCGCAAGATCCCAAGTTTCCTCTTGCCGCGCTACTTTGCCCTCCTGATCCGGACTGCGTATATGGCCGCTTGGGAGCGCGGTATCTCCCTGATGAATGACAATGTGCAGAAGGGACAGTGGTTCTTGCAGAGCTTGGCCATGGTCAGCGTGCAAGAGCTCGGAGTCGTCAACTCCGGCTCCCTCTACCCCAAGACCCTGGTGCCCTCTCTAGCAGCTGGTTTGCCTCATTTCGCCGTTGAATGGGCGCGCTGCTGGGGGCGTGATGTCTTCATCTCCCTTCGGGGCCTTCTGCTCGGCACAGGACGATTTGACGAGGCCAAGGAACACATCCTTGCTTTTGCCAGTGTGCTAAAGCACGGGATGATCCCCAACCTGCTCGCTTCTGGTAACACTCCCCGGTACAACTCTCGCGACTCGATTTGGTTCTTTTTGCAGAATATCCAGGATTTCACCAAACTGGCACCAAATGGTCTCGACTTGCTCAAGGCAAAGACAAAGCGCCGATTCCTTCCCTACGATGACACATGGTTTGATGTTGAGGATCCTCGTGCGTATTCACAGGAGAGTACTATCGAGGATATTATCCAGGAGGCCCTGCAGCGCCACGCGGAGGGCATGTCCTTCCGCGAAGCTAATGCTGGCCCCCAGATTGACTCACAAATGAGCGACGCGGGATTCAATATCGACATTAAGGTGGACTGGGCAAATGGCTTCATCTTTGGCGGCAACCAGTCCAACTGCGGTACTTGGATGGACAAGATGGGCGAGTCCGAACGAGCGGGTTCCAAGGGTGTCCCCGGTACTCCTCGTGATGGCGCGGCTGTCGAGATCACCGGTCTGCTGTACAGCACTCTGCGCTGGGTGCAGGACCTGAGCGCTAAGGGCAAGTTCAAGTACAGCAGCGTGACGAAGGCTGACAAGTCAACAATCGGGTTCAAAGAATGGGCGGATTTGATCAAGGCCAACTTTGAGCGATGTTACTACGTGCCTCTGTCGAAAGAGGAGGACTCCAAGTATGATGTGAACCCGAACGTCATCAACCGTCGCGGCATCTACAAGGATCTGTACAGGTCTGGGAAGGAGTACGAGGACTACCAACTGAGACCCAACTACCCTATCAGCATGACCGCTGCCCCAGACCTTTTCGACCCAGAGCATGCCTTGCACGCGCTCGTGCTCACGGACGGCGCACTCCGCGGGCCAACGGGAATGGCGACCCTCGATCCTGCTGACCTCAACTACCGGCCGTACTACATCAACTCTGAGGACTCGACCGATTTTGCGACGTCCAAGGGCAGGAACTACCATCAGGGGCCGGAATGGCTGTGGCCCACGGGCTATTTCCTGCGTGCGCTGCTCAAGTTCGACCTTCTCCGCCGGGACCCTCAGGACAAAGAGGGCCGCACCGAGGCGTTCCAGCAGGTCACGCAGAGGCTGATGGGGGCCAAGCGGATGATCAAGGAGAGCCCCTGGGCCGGGCTGGCAGAGCTGACGCAGAAGAATGGGGAGTTCTGCGGCGACTCGGTAGGTTCTCAGATGCCCATGATAACATTGCGTGAAGAGTGTGTTTAAGGAGCGAGTGCTGACAAGATCCCAACAGTGCCCTACCCAATCCTGGTCGGCTAGCTGCCTGATTGACCTCTACATGGATGCCGCCGAGTACCAGAGCGGGGACGGCGTCGGGCTGAGCAAGCTGAGCATCTCGACCTGATGGACGGGCGCATAGAGAGGTGCGCATTTGGATATTCAGGGGCTGGCTTGCCGGTCAACAGCCTGAGGAAGTAAGTATCGGGGAAAGGAGGATATGAGGATGGAACTGATGACGGGAAGGAACTACATGAGTACACGACTGAACCCCCCAGACTGGGCGAACTGGTAAAAAAAGCAAGCGATCAACAAACATTTCAAATCATAGCATAGACAGGGTACGCATTCCTACCATCATACCTATAGATATCAAATGGAATTGTGGGCAAAAAAAAGTGTGAATACTTATATATGCTGCGGCTGATATGATAGTTCTGGGTACCCGAGGGTCTGTCTCTCTGATGCAGTCGCGGGCGGGCGGGAATAGCCCAAGATGCGGCCGCTCACAGCACACGACGCGTCAGGTTCCAGAGGGCTTTCTCCATTTCATCCTCCTACTGTGCAGCTTCACTTTTTTTCCCTCTCCCACGCGCACCAAAATACTTCAAATGAAAGCCAACCGGCCGCTAAAAATCGTCTCCTGTAGGTGGGGGTGTCGCGCAGGGCAAGGCCCAGGGGGAGTCCCTGGAGACCTTTTTCATGCAAATATGGATGGGATGGATGGATGGTGGCCGCCGCCCGGCGCAGCGCAGTCCCCCAGCGGCCTTGCGGAGCTGTGATCCATGCATTTATTTCATTCATCGTGGCGCCGCTGCTGGGACATCCCAGGCAGGCCATCTGGGCTTGGGGTGCCCCATGTCGAGCGAGCGAGCGAGGGTGAGATGAATCACAACACCCGGGCTCGTCATTTCAAATCCTGGGGAGCTTAATCCATCCTGTCGTGCCGGTTTGGGATGGGATGGGATGGTGTGGGTGTGGGTGTGCAGGTGTGGTTCGTGAAACCAACTCACTCGCTTCTCTTTCCCGGGTCATACATGCGTACTCTGTAGAGGGCCCCTTCCCCCGGTATGCTATGTATGCGCTCTTCTTACCTCGTCTTGCCTTCCTAAATCAGAAAGGGACATGGCTGACATTGGGCGTGTTTCTCTCTTTCTGCCTTGGCTCACATCATGACTTAGCTCCAAGACCCCCTCCCCCCCCCACCATCCAGTTCACAAGTTGAATGTACCCAAGTATGTATCCCGCAGCCCAAAATCGAGAGCCGTCGGTCCGTAGGACAGTCACGATACGATGCAGGGGGCGGGCGCTGGATGCCCGCATATGCTGTGCAATGGACGCGTGGGGGCGATGAAGTAAGTGAGAGCTGAAATCCTCCCACCCACCACACCTCCCACCCACAGATGCGCAGGTACAGGGAGGAAGGAGTGGAGGTTGGCAGGTTCAGGTTATTGATATTGAGACTGTATATAGATGATATGATGCCTGTAGCCAGTAGAGACAAGACTAGGAGATTCGTAGTGTGAGGAGTGCTCTGGCGATGAGTGGCGTGCCGGGGGATGTTAACAAGACTTCTCTTGTACCTCTCCCCCCTCAAGCTTCACAAACAAGGCCGATAGATAACAAACCACATTGTTGAGTTTGTTAGGATAATCCCCTCCTCCACTTCTCTCGTTCCCTTGTCCCCCTTCCAAAAATCAAGACCGATAGCCGTAGCCTCAGCCCCCCACGGTAAAAACGCCTCCTGGGTGCAGTACGGACGGACGTGTCGTCGCCTACACTCTGGAAATAGCCAAAAACCAAAAGACAATAAACGCCGGCCCGCCCTTTTCTTTTTGGAGGTATCCCGACCCAGTAGTCTGGCCAGTCGGACCACACAACCTGCTCGTTGAGACCGTTTCTCGGATGCAGGCGTGTGTCCGGAATGACATGTAGAGAAAACAAATGCAGCAGCCTCTTCGAGAAGCTGTTTACCCTCCCGAGGAGCCCCTTAATAGTCGTAGATAATCGGCCGAGTCATTACTGTTTTCCTTGTTTCCTCCCTTCTTCGCTGGTCCGCTGCTTGCCAATCCACTCTAAGTCCTGACACGCCACTTGTCCTTGGTCTTGGCCGGCTTCTCCGTCTCGTAGACGTTGGCTTCGGAAATACTGGCGGGCATAAAGACGCCGGGCCGCCCGGGGTGCATGGAGCCGTCGGAGCGCGTGGGCGTCCCGCCGGGCACGCCGCCTCCGTAGGGGTTCTGGCCGGAGCTCGTCCGCTGGGCGAGGTTCTTGCCAAGGGCGTACTGGCGGTCCCTCTTGCGCAGGTAGGAGCGCCGCCAGAAGGCAGCGCCGATCCAGATGCCTGCGATGCCGAGGACCATGACGATGATGAAGACGACCCAGCGCCAGTGGCCGTCGAGCCTGTTGGGGTGGTGCATTAGTCTATTGATTCATGACGGATATTGTGCGGGGCCAGCCAGAGGAAAAATGCTTACCAAGTACCGCCACCACCGCCTGAATTTGAGCTCGATGAACTGCTGGAGCTCCCGGAGCTGCTGGACGAGGAGGAGCTGGCTACCTCGGCGATGTTGCCGCACAGGCCCTTGTACCAGTCGGTGAGGCTGGCGAGGCCCGAGGGATCTGCGGCGCAGGCGGCATCGCAGGGGCCTGCTGTTGTGGTCGAGTATGGGGCGAGGCGGGCATCGGAACAGAAACAGGCGTCATAGGCTGAGGCGTCGGCTGTTGGTGCGGCTGGGGGCACACAGGCACCGTTCACGTCGTAGAGGGGGCCACAGCTCGACACGCAGGCGGGTAGCGTCGAGAAGGGGACGATGGTCGTTTGCGCTGTGGGGAGGAGAGGCAGGTCAGTCAGGTGGACAGAGGTGGAGCAGCGAGTGCATCATCAGATTCAGGTTTGAGGTAGCCCCTCGTCTGGGGTCAAGGCTAGGGTGAAGGGGAGAAAAGTGTTGGCTGCGAGGGGCCAAGGGAGGCGAGGCAAAGCCGAGAGGAAGGGACAACATACCCATCGTGAAGGTTAAAAAAGACTAGATATTACAGATGGTGACAATATTGTCTGGTGTTGATATATTCGGTTCAATGCAGACGGCCGGTTGGATACAAGAACTCGTGGCGTGCAGCCGAACAGAATGGGTGCCGGAACCAGCGCGTGGTTGTGTCTTGCTTGGAACAATGTATGTCGCGTATGGTATGTAGTGGTATGTACGTTGGAATGCTTCGTGTCAATCGTCGCCTCTCGGTATTATCATGTACGGTGTTCGGTGGCGAGGCACCCCTAGATCGTGCGCGCCCTCTATGGAGGTGTGCCGAGTCTATGTCAACGTCGAAGTCAAAGGCGAAGTTCAAGCGTTGGTTTGTTGTCGCGTCGGGCCTCCGGTGTGGCGCTGGTGTGCAGCGGTTCGAAAGGGAGGAAGCGTTGGGTCGAGTCGAGTCAAGTCGCGGGGAGTCCGAGGGGGTTGGGGTTGGAGGAGGACTGGGACGGGAAGGCACACACACTATGGGATGACCACGATGACGAGGATGATCAAGTTGTGTCCCTGAGCTGCCTGGTTGCGTTTGAATGCAGTCTGTGCGGGAGAGGCCGTCGGATCCGTGGATTCCAAGGTTGGTATGGGATGGATGGGATGGATGGGACGGGCTGGGCGGGTTGGCTGGCTGGGTTGGAAAGCGGATTCTGGAGCTGGATTCGGAGAGCTCTGGATTGTGGATGGCTGGAGGATGTGTCGAAGGGCTACTTGGCGCAGCAGTAATGGTCGGGCAGAAGCGAGTGAAACCTGTACGTCTTCTCTTTTTCTCTTGTATTCTTCTTCTCTTGACGGCGGGATGATGATGCACCGTCTACAGTAACGAGCGTGGTGTGGTGTGTAGGGGAAGTCGTTGACGAGAGCCAGAGCCCATGAGAGGGAGGACGGAAGTGACGGACTTGGTCGGGTGGGGGGCAGAGTATCGTATGTGTGTGGTACACGAAGGGCAGGTTATTAGCGTGGCTTAAGACACGATGACAAGAAAAGGTCAAGACAAACAAGAGAGGCGCAGGTACAGGCTCGCCTTGGAAGGGAAGATGGATTAATGGCCTGGAGTCCTGCCCTCCTGCCCTCCTGCCCTCCTGCCCTTCCACACCAACACAGGCGTACTTCGTACCTGCCGCCCATTCCATGCATCCATCCAGGCATCCCAATCGTCCATCAGTCATTCCATTCCACCATCCAGAGAGGGCCCAGCCACGGCTGTCCCTGTCTCCGCCCCCTGTCAGCCCGGGGGGCGCTGGGCCACAGGCGGTCAAGTGTGGTCAAGTGTGGTCGGGTGGGTGACGACACCCCGGCTAACACGGCCTCGATTGGGCGGGAAGGAAGCAGATGGGGCCTGGGGGCCCCGACCTCCCCTGCCCCCCAGTCTTAATCAGTGGTTCGCTAAGCCTGTGCCGGATTTAGCCCGTCTTGCCTGCTTGCCAGGCTTGCCAGGCTTGCCCAGGCCTGCCCCGTCCGATTCGCCTTGTTAGCTAAGCATTTCTCTTCTTGCTCCACCACACCAACTGACTGGCAGCTCCCATGTCCGCATGCTACTCTGCAGTTTTGCGTTTGCGGCTAGCGAAAACCAATCCATCCCATCTCTCGTCTTCTCACGTCACCTGCACTCGGTCAATAATACGCCCACTACTAATGCCAATGTCCCAAGATCCCAAATACGACCAGGTACGAGAGACGAGAGACGAGAGACGAGAGACGAGAGACGAACACACGAACAGGACCCGGTTCCAGCAGTGCGGGCACGGGCACGGCTGGCTGGCACGCATTCAAGGCCGTCTTCTTTTTTCTTCTTCGACGACCCACAGAACGTTTGCCGATCACTCAAGCAGACCCTGCAGGGCACAACACAGATACGGACGGAACTCATGCAACTTTAATTCCATCCAATTCAACCTGCTCCAAGTAGACAAGCCGTGAACCCACAAATCCGCCGGCGCGGATGGGGCCTTGGCCACTTGCAAATTCGACTCAGGCAGTTGTCAGAAATCTTGATTGCATCTTGACTACTTAACGGAGTCCCGCATGGGCATTACCCCAATCCATGCTCGCATTCCAGGCCCGATCGAGGGAGACCCCGGCCGCTGGGCAGATGAAGCAACTCCACAACGTCTGTTAGAGAATTGGGGGAAATGGCTGCAAACTGGCAAGCCACCAAGTCTCACTTGAACCAGTTGACAACTCCCAACGTCGCGAACGGACCTGGACAGTCGCAAACAATCCACACAATGGGCGGTGCAACTGCTCAGCACCCTGGATGCTCCCTCTCTCCCCTGTGATCATCTGGGTACGGGTACGGCACAGGAGATCACCCCCCTGGGATCGTTGGCTCCTGTCCCCCCCCCCCCAGGCGGTCTGGGCCGCCTTGGGCAAAATCGATCTCAGGTGCCGCCTAGCCGAGCGTGCGTGCGCGTCCCCGGCTTGGTCCTGTGTGATCTTTGCCTTATTACCCGTGTTTCCCAACCTCTTGTGGTGCGGTAATGCGGCGTTCCTGGGCCAAGCACGTCAGCTTATAGTGGTCCTTTCGTCTATGGTGCTGACCTTATTATTCTTTCCGTGGCATCAGGTACATACACGCCTCCGGTCACCCTTCCTTCGCAATTGAATATCATCATCACTGTTGAGGTCACAGACTCCCCTGGACTTGTTCCTGGTGGGACTCCAAGGCGGGGCGAGGGGGTTTCTTGGTGCTGCTGCTCGGCTGCGAGAGCATCCTCCTCAGAACGGTCGTACGCGCCTTGTAGTGGTGTCAGTCCATCACCCCCGTTTCGTGGCTCAAGCCTCGCGGAGGCGTGCTCGCTTGGCGGTTTGGTTCTGTGACGCGCGAGCTAAGCTCGGCCCGGCCGATCCCTTCTCGACCGGAGCTGGTCTGCCTGCAGTGCAGATCAGGTCCTCCGTTTCTCTGCGCTGCAGGATTCGCGGATGTGGCTGTGGACTGCCGTGAGCTCCTAACTATGCTTACTCTTACTAGTAGGCTTGAGGTCTCCCATGAATTTAACGACGTGATGGCATACGCCCTAAGCTAGAGCTCGACCTCTGAATCGAGCACCTTGAGTGCGGTGTACACGTCGATGCCGATGTACGGCGCGCAATCTCAATACTGTCATGAGCCGAGCTGCCCCCGAGGCCCACAGCTGTGTTGAACGAGGGCGGTGCGAGCCGCTCTGGGAGGATGGTGTTGATCGGCGAGGGTTGGAAGACAGCATTTGCCACTCGAGGACGAAGCGGTCTCCCAAGGTCATTGGCCTGCCACTCGCTCTTGCTCTTCTATATAGCGGTCTGATTACCTGGATGTTCTTTGCCTTGAGTTGTTATAGGACCCGGCTTGAACATGAACGGAAACGCTCTGTACCAGCTTTCTGATGATAACACCGAGGCCATCAGATGTACAAGCGCCCTTCGCATGGAGATATGACCCTGTGTTGTTCGGTTCCAAATCCAAGATGCAATACAACTTCCCCACAGTCTATCATTATACCTTCCAGCATTTCGGGAGTCGCGGGCATCGCGCCCCATCTGACCTTGGATGTTGCCATCTCATGGCGCAAGACCATCTCCTCTCCTTCCGTCATGGCGTCTGATGGCAGCTGTAGCTCATCCTCGTCCGCTGCCTGCTGCTGCTCGGTGATACCCGGTGGTTGTGTCCCGAGGCCGACAGAAGATCCAAGTTGGTCAGCGGGCCCGGACGATTCAGAACCGACAGCGGTGCTTTGAGTTGAAGTTGCACCAAGAGACCCCGACACTGATATCGAACCGGTGCCCATATCCCTCGATATTACGGACACATTGCTGCCACTAGACACGTCGCTTTGTACAGTGATAGGGGCGTGGCACGCAGCGGACAGTACCAACGAGCTGGAGCCCCCACAGACCATGTCAACCGGTATCCTGCGGAGGCTGAAGAGTGCAAGAGAAATGCAAAGTACTGCAGCAACGACGAACAGGGCGAGGAATGCGGACCCAGACACGCCAACGGCTACGTAAGAGCCGTCGGAGACGCCAAAGCTGGAAGCGATCGAGTTATCCTGCTTGCGATTTGCCCAAAACCCTCGGCAGCGTCAATAGGGGTCAACTGGTGTGGCAAGCAGGTTGATTGACTGGGCTACATACCGCCTTCTATGATGTTTAGGAATATTGCGCTTGAGAGAAGCCAATGGAGGACAATGCTTATAGCTATGAGCGGGATGCTGTACTTGTAAGGCAGCTGGAGGCGATAGCTGCTGATTTGATCACCCTTCGGGTCGGATACCCGCAACGGTTTGTAACAGCGACTGTATGAGCTAAACTCTTCCTCGATTTGTATCCGCGTGATAAACGAGTTCAGGGTGTAATAACAGGTAGACAATATGGGCTGAGATATGTTTGCCATGAGTAGAGCGCCAAGGTAGGAGAATTGAATCGATATGTTTGTCGTAGAGGATTTGCCGAACGCTCCAGTCCTACGCAACTTGGATAATCAGCAACCCCATAGCTTCATATTCAAATTATCTGAAAGGTTACAAAATTTCAAAGGAAGGGTCCCGGAGTATCACTTACAGCGCAGGTGCACCGTTGCTAGTTACAATCGAGCCAAGGCCGATGGCGAGGAGAACCATTCCGCCCGTCAGAATACTGTAGGTCCACGTCCAGACCGCCTTTGGGAGAATTGATTTGAAGCGACGGGAGCGTGGTTTCCATTTCCGTGCTCTTGGGCCACTCACAATACCAGAGACCGGCAAGTTTGCTATGCTCTTATTTTCGAGACGGTCCGCGTCGGCGAAGCTCAACGTGGCCAGTCTTGCCGTATTCGGATCAGGTTGTGAGATAAAGGAGGCTATCGCGTCACCAGGAGTGACCAGGGAGTCGTGCCTGAGTTTGGAGAGAACTGCGACGCATATGCAGCCTTTCACAAAGACGCAACCAATGACGATGAGAAGCAGTGGCGGCACAAGTCCAATTTTGCAGACGTAGTCTGGGTTTGGTTCGGCCATGCAATGCTTCACGACCAACTCGTTGAACTTGGTATTGTATCCAAAAGAAGGAGGTACAGACATCCCAGGTGGTCGAAAGGAAATTGTCCAGTTGTCCTGAAGCTTTGTGGTGTTTATCCAGTCAACACCACTCGGCTCTCCCAAGGCCCCCGAGCATCCCGTAGGCGGGTTGAGACTATCATTGGCCCGGAATGGCTGAGAGGAAGTACAAATTTCGGGCATCCAGGCATCCCATGGATTACCATGTCTCCAAAGTTGGCACGAGGTCGAATACCATAGTGAGTTCAAGCGGCTCGGGGGTATTTGGGGATCCCAGAACTGCGAGAGGTTCCTAGCTGCATTCCCGCTGAAGTTGAAAACCTCGGACCGAGTCCAGCCAGCTATCTCGTCAACAATGACGACCACATCGCGGTATTCTTGCCTTGGTTTACAAAACCTGTAGCTTTCGAAGCATTCCGAGGGCGACAAAATTCTCCATGACGAAGAGTTCTGTGCTGCATTTGCGATGCCCACATCTGCCAGCGAGGTATTTTGTATTCCGTAACCCAAAGAGCCCGAGGATATAAGAGTGTCACCGTCTCGTGCACCTGCGTTGATGTAGAGATCTGAATAAGTGCAGCCCAAGTGTGATTCATTTGGTGCAGCCGGACAGCTAGAGCCAGCAGCAGCCAGGCTGGCGCCCGGCGCGAAATAATCGACAGTGTGATTCACAAATCCCGAGCTCGCGATCGTGAGATGCCAATCTGACCCTTCGTATTCTGTCGAGAAAATGGCACTGTTGAAAAACAGATGGATCGGGGTGGAGCTTAGGAATAACCCGACCCAGGCGATGACTTTGAACCAAGATAAGCAGCCGAGATTCTTGTAAGAGGACACGCCAATCTCTAAAGAGTGAAGAGACCGGTGTGCATGGTCAATTTCAGTCCGCGTGGGTGAGCTAACCACCTGCATGAAGAAATTCGACGAAGCGAGAACACAAGTCGAAAAAATATTGATGACGAGTTGAAGGAATAACTCAAGACCGTCTGAGGTGCTACAATTGCCCCGGAACAGAATTCTGACGGCCATGGGAGTACTCCCTGGTCGTGTTGTCGTCGCTACTATGAGTGCTATGAGCATGATAAGTCCGCAGGAACAGATCACCGACACGTTGAGGATGCCAAGGCGACGCCATCGTTCCTTTGGGAGCCGTTCGGAGAGGCCCATGATGAAACGTATGAAGATGTATCATTGGCTCACATCTATAGACGAGGTCTGCTCCCGACTACAGGTTGATATAATCGCTCTACTACCCCTGCCAGTGGTCTACGCATTCATCAAATTGCACCCCCGAACGCCAATTCGAGATGCATTGGCCCTGGTCGCCTCAATAACGGCTGTGGTCCTTCTCGTGCCCCGGGAGGATCGATGAACGAAAGTACAAAGTACGTCATGCTGAGGCGTAAACGGACCACCCAGGAGCCATGTGTAACTATCTTACTTCACCGGCGTGGGTAATGGTGCATACATCGGAATACTAGCATATATCACATATTGCTTTTTTTAGCCACAGTGTCTCATGGACGCCGTCCCCCCCCCCACCAACCATTTAATCGTGTGGAAGTACTTCCTTTGTAAACTGTGAAGCCGTGAACAATTATAGACAAAGACCATATGACGGATGTACCTTGACTTTTTATCTTGTTCCGCCAACTAGAGCCGCGTGGCAGGCCAGAGACTCAAGATGTCGTCACTTAGGGACCAGCATAATAATTTCGCAGGTGTTAGGCACCTTGGGGGCTGCTTCAAGTTGAAGCAACGGAACTATAAGATGATCTGAGCTTCGCATCACAGAGAGCCTCTCCTTCTACTGTTCCGGCAGCGTTTATCATTTCACCTCACTGGGATAGACAACCCATAGAACCAATCCCACAAACACATAGCCCGAAAGAGATCCTAGCTAGGTACATTTGAAATCCTCATGTTGGACACCTTACTATAGGACACCCTCCTGTGGAACACCGTCCTATTGGAAATCATCCTACAGGGTAGGCCTATTGACGGGAGCCCTCAGCATGGAATCTAGAGAATAGGTCGCTAGGTAAGTAACGCCTCCAATGAGACTCTTCGGGGTATATTCCAACATAATGAGAGACATTATGTCCGGAAATCACAAGAGCTCCACAACGACGTTGCTGAGCCGGTTGAATGTGTCTGTGTTACTGTCAGAATCTACCTGATTGCGCGCCTGTATGTCCGTTGCAGTGAGCAGTATAGTGCGAATGTGGGCAGAGCGCCACTTCCATGGGCATGGGACTTCTCGTGCATCAATGCATCTAGTCGTATTTAGTGATGACTTGATCTAGTGGCTTATGTGTCTCACACTGCCGATCCCGACAGCCAGCCAGCCACAGATAACTTGAACATCACACCCGGCGTTGCATCGCTCGTCGGACGTCCCCGGCGTACTAGACCCTATGGCTCCCTATATTTCATTATGAGGTCGCATAGGAAGAGAAATATGCTTTCCCTTACGGCTTCAAGTTGTCTTCTCCTGGCACATCTAGGGCTATTAGATACTAAACTTGCAAACTGCCCAGCTGGTCCGCTTGTCGGCTACCCTGTTCTGCCTTCAAGCTTGAAAACACTATCAAAACAAACCCCCCTTTTATGGTTTCTCATGCTAGTGGCTTTCCTTCTGAGAGATACCTCGTTGCATGTTTCGATGTTATCCCACACAATGTCTAAATGGCTTCAGAGCATCAACATTGGCAGACTTGGAACTTTTCATGCGTTTTCTATTTCTTCATCGTATCATCGTCTCTTACGAATTTCACGCATTTTCCTCTGTTTGCTTAGATTCCTCTTTGGGTTTTTCTTCGGCCTACAAGGGTTCATAGATGTCAATGGGATTCGGCTTATGAACGCAAAGATCTTCACGTACTTTGTGGTATCAGTAAGGTTGCCTCACAAAACATGACACCTGTCCAAAGCTCATTCTCCTAAATAGACGATGATTAGTGTCTCTACGGACTTCTGCGAAATATTAGGCAGCGACACGCATTGGATGCTCCCACACTTGCCTTTGGTTGGCGAGATTCTAAACGGCCTTGGCATAATCTTTCACAGCGCCATGTGTTTTTGGCTATCTGCCATTTTCTCCGCTGTCCCTTTCGGGCGAAACATTGCTCGAGCCGAGCAGATAATAAACGGGGTTATATTGCCATTTCTTATGTAAGTGAAAAAGATGACTTATCAGGCCATTCACCATGATCTCCAATCTTTGCTAAATAGAACGTTGAAGCGTTTCTAGCGGTCTGATCACTTATCACATGACGATAAAGCTTGAAGAGAAGAAGATTTTACGTCGGAACTATCGAGAAGGAATCCGACCGGTTGTTGTGTTCACCGAATCTGGTGACCCCGTTGCTTACTTCCCTCGGATCGGCTCCGAAATACCAATGATGTCTCTAGATTCTCTGTGCCAATTACAAGACCCAGATTAAGAGATGGACAAGACTTTTCAACCATAGCCTCAGTCGAGAGAGATTCATGGCCAAGATTTCTCTCTAACTTGAAGATGGTTTGGTGAGCGCCGGTTGCTCAAAGCGGCTTGTAATATGGGAAAACGTGCCTCCAGCCTGCGACTAGAAGGAGGGGGGAGAGCCGAATCGAGAGCCCGATTCGTGGTCCAATCCCTTCGTCGGCTCCCACAGCGAGCTCCACCAGAGGGGATACCCCACAAGACTAAATATACTATGCTAGGGCTGTCGTTAATGGGGTCTCATGCCAGTTTCATGGCGTCTCTTTCCTTCACTTTAGATTGTCTTTCCTTGTCTTTGAAATACGTTTTCTCCTGTGGTGACTTTCCTGCTTTGTCTCGCAGAGTAAACCTCCAGAGAGGAAGCGGGTATATGCCAACTGGATTAAGCTGTATCGAGACTACCTCACGAGGATAGGAAAATCCCACGATTACTCCGAGGCAGCTAGTCAAGAAAAGTGAGGCATTTAGGTTGGCTTTCGCCCGTGTATGGTCCGAAGAGTGGTGTATATAGAGTTCTTGGTCTCCATCTAAGCCTTCATGGAAATATATCAATTATTTTCAAGTTTATCTCTTCCACGGCCTTTTCAGTGTTCTTAGTAATAGTTTCGCACCCCCTAAAACTTCCCAAGAATTGTGGAGTCGTGAAGCACTGATGCACGGGTCGACTTTTCTCGAGACACCTGGGCAGGATTGCATGAGATTTGTAGCGCATTGTCATGTGGAACGCAAGCAAGCAGTGCCAGAGTTACTGGTACCGAGATGTCCCAGTATTCATTGAAAGGTCCTCCCCCAGCTGCGAAGTCTCCACCAATTGAGAAGATAGAAGCCACGAAGGTATATGGCACGATCACTGTGGTGGGCTTGATGAGTTGCCCGGCACTTCTCGCTGCTTGTCCGTGACGAACAGTTGCTCGAAGGCCGTACGTTGGGCCTTCCGGATGGCTGGCAATGTCCGTCTGCATCTATGTCGACTTATTTCATGGTAGACCCTGGGTCTTTTGTCTCCTAAAATTCGGGAAACTACATACCCTAGGGTATTTTGACAGGCACGCTCGTTGATAAATTGGCGAGCGACCACGCGCCTCATCGACGACAGACGTGATGCTTATGCCTCCGTGACCACGGCCTTAATCAAAATGCCGTGATGTCTGTCTTTTAATAGTCCCCCTTCTTCTCTTTTGAATTGAGCCCCGAAGATGGCCGGGATGATTTTGACAAGGAGCCAGGAATCCCACAGGACAAGGAGGGGCTTTTTTGTCGGGGGATACTGACGAGCTTGCCATGGACATCCTCCTCTGTTCGATTGAGTCGGTGCCATGCACCAACTTTTTTTTTCAGACACTAGATTCCTTCAGTCTGTCTGAAGAAAGAGCTTCAGCGACTGCTTAAGAGATGAGAACTTGAAATCTGAAATGGCATGACTTTTACAGCGGGGCCTGGCATCTCATTCGTTTGTGTGGAAACTGACACAAGTGCATGCAGCTCTTGATCGCTTTCGCGCAGGTGCATACATGTTTGAATCGCATTTCTGCTTCCAAGGTTTACGAAAATCTCTTCAAATGCCTCTGGCAATGAGGCGAAGAGGAGAAGTATCTCCATCTCAACGACAAGCCCCAACTAGTGCTCAAAAGTCCTCGCATCCTCGCCTCTTGATTGACTTGGCTGCCGAGCTGCTACACAGTAGAAAAGGGATCTTGGTAACCAATCAAACCCTTCATGGAGGCCCTGGTCGGCTCCGTCGAGGGTAAAGAGTGCCGGTGACTACTGTGCCTGACTCATTGGACCGCGACACGCGTTCCTTTGGCCGTGTTTGTTTGGACAATCGCAAGCAAGCTTCAAACGCGAAATTCTCAATGCGGCACAAGCCAGTTGAGGCTGTCCAAATGGCCTGCTCCTTGCAACATCCAACTATTCGAACGGTTCGCATCAACAGCTGATTCATACAAAAAAGTCTCGAAGAAGCAAAAGCTCTGCGTCCTGAGCGGGCGAGGTTGCAATCTCGCCCTGAAATGCAGGGTCCTTGCAAGGGTGACCGTGGTATCGGATGCCGAGAACGAATGAGGTGTACAGCTATCGACCCACACGACCGCCTCATCGAGGACGTCGGGCATCGATGTGGATCGCAAGGCTGTGGCTTCTGCTGTGTCCCGGAAAGATAGACGGTAGATTGTTCTCTCGCCTGTTACCTGCTCCTCGGCAAGTGTTGTGACTGTTGTGGCTGGCATCTTCTGACCGCCGATCGCTGAATCTTGCATATGCTGTACTTCCTTCCAGATGAATTCATGCCGCTCTTTCATCGTGATGGTTCATGTGGGCCAGCCAGTGTGAGACACTACCCCACAACTTGCACAACCTCCAGCAAGCCTGTAGCTGGGGAACACCGCCGCAGGTTCTTGTAGATATGTCGATCTCGGAAAGTTTGCGAGATGTGTGTATATATACGTGCCCATCCTTCGACCTCGTACAGACGAACCTCATGAAGTCTTGACACTCACATCTGTACAACCAACCTCTTCCACAATCGTTGCACAACTGTCTCTAAGGATGGCCCCCAACAACTTTGTTAGACAGCTTCGGCTTTATGCCGTTGAAATCTCTGGAGAGGCCGTCGGCACATTCTTGTTCCTCCTGATGGCCCTCTCGGCTGCCCAAGTCGCCAACTCCGACACTTCTCATGCTGGTGATGACCTCCACCCGGGCGACATCAACCTCACCCAGCTTCTGTATATCAGCTTGGCTTTTGGCTTCTCCCTGGCCGTCAATGTCTCCATCTTCGCCAGAGTCAGCGGAGGACTCTTCAACCCGGCTGTAAGTTCTTGGTCAACCTCTGCTACGTCTTCGCAACGTCGCCTCCCAGAAGCTAACTGGATTGGAATAAGGTTACCCTTGGAATGTGCCTCGTCGGAAAGGTGAACTGGATCAAGGGTATATTCTTGACCGGCGGCCAAATCCTCGGAGCCGTTGTGGCCTCGGCTGTCGTGAAGGGCATCTTCCCCGGCACCTACGTCGTTCAGACCAAACTTGGCCACGACGCCACCATTGCTCAGGGTCTGCTCATTGAGACCTTCCTCACCATGCAATTGATGCTCGCAATCTACTTCATGGCAGTTGAGAAGCACGAGAGCAGCCCCCTGGCTGCCCTTGTCATTGGATTCGCCCTCTTCGTGGCTGAGTGAGTGCATCTTGCAACAAGTATGCTGCAGGCACCCGAATGGACATCCACACTGACTTTAATGACACAGGCTCCCCGGTATCTACTACACTGGTGGCTCGCTGAACCCGGCTAGGACCTTCGGGCCTGACTTGATCACCCTCGACTTTGGCGCTGCGCACTGGATCTACTGGGTCGGTCCCTTCTTGGGCGCAACCATTGCCGCTGTCTTTTACAAGTTCATCAAGTTCTTGCAGGCGGAGGCTGCTGAGAACAGCAACGACACTGAGAGACAGCCGCTCCTGTCCTGAGCGAAGCTGAAGCTGAATAATGCTCCGCTGAGATATCTGCGATGTCAAGACGTACTCGACGAGACACAAAGGACACCTGGACTGCATGAGTTAGATATTTGATGAGAAAAACCACGGTTTGGTATGATTGGCGATGAGTGTGACGAATGACCATATTTAGATTGAGAACTGGATCAAGATTGGGTTGCAACTACCTAGACAAGAATTAGCTGCTTTGAAAAGTGTTTTCAATTGTGTGACAATAGACACGAACGAACCACTGATATCGCGTTCATGACCAATGTTCAAGTAAACAATCGGCTCATTTCAAATCGGAGGCAGTTTTCATTTAATGTCAACTATTGTTCTGAGGATCATTGATCGTATCCATCCGACCGCCTGTGTCATTACTTTTTTCTTTGCTCGTTCCGAAGGCTGAAGCTCATATTATGTAGACTAGCATCATTCGAAATGCCAAATATGTGGTCGGGGCAACAAGATACCTAGGTAACGAAAGACCTCGAGCTGTGGCAGTAATTAGTTCGCTCAAGGATAATTTCACACCCCTATCGAATAATTTACCCTAATGAATATCTTGTTTCTAATAGAGCCAACCTTGTACAGGTAAGTCCTCTTCCCTTGCAAAACTCTCATTTTGGATGAATGCTTTTGCGATAACCTCATATGAAATAACCACCTTAAGAAAATGCTTTTGTCGAAACAAATCGAATTGAATGCTATATTTAGGTTACCGGTCAGATGCCAGTGGTACTTGAGTCACAGGGAACCTTTGATTCGTGGCGTTTGGAGGCGTGGCGATGTTGAACCTGTAGTCATCGTACAGGATACGCGTAGATATGTGAGTCACCAAGGAGGTTCCACGACTGGTTGGATGCTATTCCCGCTGGGGAGAGGTAAGTGGAACCTCCATTCAGATGACCCAAACTCTCTACTTCTCCATGCCCTGCGAGTTGGTCAGCCTGGAAAGGATCGCAGGATTTAAAACATGGTAGCAGCCTCCAAGTTACCAAGTCATGTTTTGACAATACACGTGGAACACGTCATTCTGGTTGTTGTAGTCCTTGACTTCGATGATCTGTTTCATCCTCCACTTTGGGTCAGAGGACGGGTCCTGATACCCTATTTGGTACTGTGCCGCCCTGGATCCCCTCCAGCGCATGTGCTCATCCGTGTTGAATTGGAGGGGTGTCGGTTCCAGCTCGCAGTGCCGACGATGGCTCGACCAGGAGCAAAAGTCGTTCCAGAGGTCACGGAAGTTATTGAGCACGTCGAGTGCACGACGCACCTTTCGCGCGAGGAATCCGCCTGGCTGTGTCTTCGTCAAGCTGTCCCATAGCTCGGAGATAAAAGGTGGCGTATGGAAGCCAAAGAATTTTGTTGAAGTCAAGGCAGGTAGGGTACTGTCCCAGTCGGTATGGGGCAGAGGAGTGCTCTCCTTCCCCTGGATGAGTACACCAACGGCGTCATCGCCAGGGCCCAGGCAGACTTGCCGTCCCAGGATGTATATTCGGTGACGGGGTCGGTTCGATGGTCTCCGTCGCATCTTGAAGGTGCTGTCGCTTGGACTTGTTCTTCAATGTGGGAACTGGCTCGATTCGGTTTGCGAGGGCATCACAAAATGATGAGCTGAATAACAGAAGAGAGGTCAAGGGTGCTATACTGACCCGGGTCCAAATTGGCTGAAACGCTCCTGGACGCTCGACCTCAATTGAACTCGGTCTGTGCCGGGCTTAGATCACTCCTTTCTAGGTTCCTACCGAGGTACTTGTTAGTCATGAAGTCAGTGCGATCTAAAGAAAGCTAGTGAAGAGTGACGATCACAAGATTTGCACCCGCGGATAGTGGCAGCCGTGCCATGAATGAATTATCACGAATCTTCTCTGGGCCGCTACACGTAGCGATTGCCCGCATTACGAAACTACCGGGAATCCAGAACACAGTGCAGTGGACAGCGTAGATCGTGTAGCCGTGCCATGATGATATTAATGCCTCAGTCCGAGTACAAAGACCTTTTTCAAAATTACCCCTGATTTCTAGACTGGACAAACTGTTTGCGTACACACGTCCGACACTATACAACTACAATACATGACCTGCTGAAGATAAGCTGCATCAGCCGAAGTTAGATCTTTCTTGAGCAAACCTTCGCCATGGGGATATATCACCATGAAGTTCGCCACCACACTCGTGTTGCCTGTTTCCTCAGACTGTAGTATGCATTGGAAACTGCTACAATTTGAACGGCGATCCTCACCCGTCGAAAGTCTCTTCAGTTTCATGAGAAGTTCCTGTCGCTATCGCCATCGCCGCGGCGCAAGACTCGCCCCGCCGCGCAGCTCTACCACGGCACCGGCGAGCTCATCTACGCGGCGAAGAAGCGTATGAGGACAGCTGCGGCGTTCCGCTGCGCCAATGGCGCGCCCGGGTTGCTGGCTGAACACTCCTTGAATGAGGTCCAGAGGGGGGGGGGGTCGGCGCAGGAGCAGGCCATTTTGTCTAGCGTTATCTGCGAGCATTCCCTGGAACTCGGACGGCTGTTTTTGATTACCGCGGACGACTGAGCTGATTCGAGGGTGGTTTGAGGATGGATGTGGTGGCACTGGTCGGCAATGTTAGAAGTTGGCAGCCTCGTGGAGACTTGGGGCTGGACTTCTTCGAGGATAAGTTGCCGCGGTCGGCAGCTTGTTTCCTCAAGTTTGTCTTGCACAACTGGGATGATGAGCACTGCGTTAAGCTGCTTCGGTTAATCATGGAATCCATCGTGCTGAAGCCTGGGGTTAGCCGCGAGGTGTTTGGGGAGCACATTATCCTGGGCGGGAAGCTGGGCAGCTCTGTGAGACATGCTGATATCAGGATGCTGTCCCGTGTAAAGAACTTATGTATCCCGTTTGTGATAAAGGGTGGCTCCGAAGGTTTGTACCCAGTTCAGCTTGAAGTCTTCATCAGCGTCTGGAAGGCACAGAGTGCTGAGACAGACTCTCCGAATGAAACATCGAAGGGCCCAAGGACTTGGTTTGTGGAACCGCCTGGGAGGATGAGGAAACCCCCCATAGGATAATACCATCACATGAGACAACCTCCTATGGGGTATTCTCCTGTGAGGTGACCTACGAGACGACCTCCTACGAGACGACCTCCTACGAGACAACCTCCTATGAGACAGCCTCCTAGTGGACAGCGGAGCTGCATGTCCTCTGATGCGCTCTTGTGTCTATCGTTTTATCTAGCACTTCGGCATGAATTCATTTCTTCTCATTCGCTTCGAAGCTTACAATGTTGAAATACCCTCACACCATCTCCACAGCCGGTGCTTCCCGATAGCCTGCTGGGTTTCCAAGAAACAAGAGCACTCAAGGTAAAAGTAAATTTGTAACTGCGGTATATTGAATATGCGACTGCACCTTCTACGCTCCACAGCCGTCCCCGATTTTGTTCGCCGGCACACCCATCTATTTCGCAAACACCATGCGGCCTCCTCTTTTGCATTATCGGACCCTCCCCGCCAGATTTCTCGCTGCGTAAACCACGCCACCAGTGGCAAACTTTTGAAATGCGTAAATGTCGCTAGCGAACAGCTCCGTGATGCCCTTGTATCTGTCCAAGAAAGGGGAGACAGTCGCTCTGTCCAGATGGCTGCGGCCCTCTTCCGACACGTACTCAGGCGCCCAGAGGGACCTTCTTAGGTAGAGACGACCTCCTCGCTCTCCTCGAGCACTTCCTCGACGATCTCCTCGATGACCTCCTCCTTCTCGCCGTCGATCGCCTCCGCTGCCATCTTCTGCTTGATGAGCTCCGCACCAGGGTCGGCGGGCACACCGAGGTCCTCGCGCTCCTCGCGAACCTCGGCCTCGATCGACTCGCGGAAGTAGAACCAGTCCTCCAGCATCTGCCGCCTCCTCTCGACGACCTCCTGGTTGGCACCTGTGATGCGCTGAGCATCCTCCTCCTCGAAGACGCGCGAGTAGTCACGGAGGTTCTTGCGGATCTGCTTCTGTTCCTCCTTGGTGAGCAGGGTAGGAGGCCGTGGGCGCCATGACCACTGCTTGAACTTATCAACGGGCTCCTCTCGGAGAGTCTCTCCCCTGAAATCGTAGATATGGTAGCCGTTTTCCATCTGCGAGCCGTGTGTTAGTGACCAGAAAGTGAATACGAGATCAAAAAGTACTCCATAGGCTTACAGAATGCTTCCATGACGACGCCCACGAGGCGACGAAACGTCCAGATGGATCCCACTCGATATCAGTCACACCGTAGTGATCACCAGTGTTCATGAGCTGGAGGTTAGCCGTCAGGTCCTTGTCAGACTCTGGCTTCTCGCCCTCGAAGTCAAGGTCGAAGAACTCGAGTTCCGAGCTTTGTTGGCTGGCAACGCTAGCAACGACGACGAAACGGCCTCGTGGTGACCAGTAGATGGCGTTGCTGTTCTTCTTCTCCAGGGTGCGAAGATGCTTGAAGTTGCCAACGGCGTTACCCTTGGCCTTTTCGGGGCAGAAGAAGGACACGGAGGTCTTGGGGGCGACGGCAGTAGCTCCTGGTGCCTCTGGGGCTGTGATAATGACGAATCGGTCGCCCTTGGGCTCCCAAGCGAAGTTCACCACGGTCTCCTTGACAGTGTCGACAACCTCGACTGGCACACCTTTTTCCTTAACACGGAAGATCTCGAGGGTAGTAGCCTGAGACTTCTTGGACTTGGAGTGCCTGTCGACCTTGACGCAGATGTAGGCCGCCTCGGACTGCCAGTGCAGCTTGGCGTCGGAGACGCTGAACAGGTTCAAGGAACGAACGACCTGCTTCGAGGGAATGCTCATGAGGCCGACCTTGGCCGGGCTGCTGCCGATCTCAGGAGTCCAATAGCAGAAAAGCTGCTCGTAGTTCTTGACGCCTTCACGCTTGGGGGTGGCGGGGGCCCAGTCGAAGTCCTTGACTCCCTCAATCTTGACGGTCGTCTTATCCAAGAGACCCATGCTGGGCAGGGTGTAGACCGAGATGGACTGTCCTGGGATCAGACGAGCGACATACTTGTCGTCCGCCGACCACTTGAACGCGGGCCAGGGGAACTTCGGAGCCTTGCCGGGGCCCTCATCAGGGGTGTCAAGGTTGGCGAAGGAACGGAGGGGTTTGCCGGTAGCGATGTCCCAGATCACGTAGTTCTTGCCTTCGTCGTCGCGCGTCAGCGTCGGGTGTTCGCCGTCGCCAAGAGCGATGGGCCGTGCAGACCAGGTGACAAGGTAGTTCTCGTTAGGGGAGTAGGCCACTAGGTTGACGTAAGGATGGCCGAACCTGCGCAGCCTGGCCCAGCTGGGACCTCCCCAGAGCTGGACACCAAGCGCGTGAATCGAGGTCAGGTAAGTACCGAGGGGAGACCACTGCACGAAGGTCTCGGTCCAGAACTGTCGGTCCACGATGTTCTCGGGGGCGTCCTTGTCGTTGTTCCAGAAAATGCCGACAGTGTCGCCACGGTACATGGCGAACTGGTCACGGCCACGGCCGGAAGGGTCTGCCAGGAAGGATCGCAGATGCTCGTGCTCCTGGAAAGGCTCGATGTGGGGCTCCTTATACTCCTCCTCTATCCTTCCCTCTCGGCCGAATCGCTCGATGTCTGTCAGCTTGTTGACGCGGAGGGTGTGCTTCTTGTCGAGGGGGACCAGGTCCAGCTGTCGGACGGCTGCAGCAGCCTCGGCGGCCGAGGAGTATTCGACAAAGGCAAACCTGCAGGAGGTGGAGTCAGAATTGAACGGCCCGGCACAGGACAGCGGAATACAGCCAGCCCAGGCAGGGTGTCGACGTACCTCTCAGAGTTTCCGCTCTCGCCGATGGGCATGTAGATCTGATCCTCCCGGGTCTTGCCGACCGAGTTCAGCTTCTTGAGCAAGAATTTGACGAGCTTGGGCTTTTGGGCCTCATTGACGACGGGCAGGCCGTCGATGACGACAAAGTGGTCGTAGCCCTGGTCGAGCTGGACCTCATACTTCTCGCGCAGGTCGGAGATGTCGATTTCTTCCTCATCGTACTCGTCGTCATCGAGGTCGGCCTCGCGCAGATGCTCGAAAGTGGACGCCATGCTGGGCGGTTGAATATCGATGGTGGTTGTTTGTTACTTGCAGTAGACCTATTTGTTGGTACTGTTCTGTTATTGACGCCGTCGTGGAGGCTGTGCGGTAGAGGCAGACCGTGGTCTGGGAGGAGCTTCAAGTGCCTTGACAAAGAAGTCCTTTCGTATTCGACGCCGAAAAATGCGACGTGTTGTTGTCCAAGAGCTGGCCAAGCGATGCAGTCGGAGGCGAGCAAGGCTTCGGTGCTGACGGTGACGGGGCTGGAAGACTGGAGCAGCTGTCAAACACCAGTTGGCTTTGGGTTGTCGCAACGGCTGATGAATTTTCCCGCGATGGAGTTTTGGGGCCAGGTCGAGGTGGGGAGGGATACTGTGTAGTCTAGGTGGTGTAAAAATGGAACACGGTGTGTGCACGGCTAGCCTCTGACTCCCAGTTGCCAGGTACTCCGTAGTGCTAGTGCCCCTGTGCCTCTCTGCCTGTGGCCTGTGCTGCCTAGTGCCTACTGTGCAACAAGAAACCGACATTTCGCGAGCCCAAGCTTCCTCTTGCTGCTGCCAGTTGGATTTCAGTGGGACCTCTTTGCGTGGCCGGCGCTGGAATTTCCTGGCTCCGACTGCTGGGTATGGCTCACCGCCTGCCGCATCTGGAGCCAGCGCATCGACCCGTACCCCGCGGCTCTTTGCGGTCAAGAGTAGGGGTGCATGGGTACTTGGGTACATTCGAGACATGGGTACGCGCTAGCAGTATCGAAAAATCAGCTTTCGTCAGGGGGGAGCTGTCGCCTGTCTGTCGTTTATTATGTTGACTGCCGTCGTGTAGTGTAGCCTCCCACCATCCCCACGCCTCGAAGCTACCGAGACAAGGCGAGCGACACAGTGACACTTGCTTCCCACCCCCGGACAAGGCACCCCACGACGACCTCCCTACTTCTCATCGCCCCTCGAACGCTGCTTCTGTCGCCAATAGCTCAGGATGGTGCGTACATTTAGTTGCGCTCCCCCCTGCCCCCTCCCCCTCCGCCTGGATCTTTCAAAAAGGGTCCCTCCTTGGGCCGACTGGCTGACATCTGAGATATACAGTCTTCGTTCAGCCCAACCCAGATCTTCGAGGAGGGCACAACCGAGGAGAAGGGAGAAAATGCCCGTCTCACCGCCTTCGTAGGGGCCATTGCCGTCGGCGACCTGGTCAAGAGCACCCTCGGCCCCAAGGGGATGGACAAGATCATGCAGTCTGCGTACGTACTGGCCAGTCTGGTCCCTCGCCCGAGCTTCCTCGCCTAACCTCCTGCCGCTTCAACAGGTCAACCGGAGACATCCTGGTCACGAATGACGGTGCAACTATCCTCAAGTCTATAGCCCTCGACAACGCCGCCGCAAAGGTGCTTGTCAACATTTCGAAAGTGCAGGATGACGAGGTCGGAGACGGCACGACATCGGTCTCCGTCCTGGCCGCCGAGCTGCTGCGCGAGGCCGAGAAGCTGGTCGACAAGAAGATCCATCCCCAGACCATCATCGAGGGATACCGGTTAGCAAGTCAAGCTGCCCTCAAGGCCCTTGAGGACTCCGCTGTCGACCACAGCAAGAACCCCGAAGCCTTCCGGCAGGACCTGATCGCTATTGCAAAGACAACACTCAGCTCCAAGGTCCTCTCCCAGGACCGGGACCACTTTGCAGAGCTCGCCACCGAGGCCGTGTTGAGATTGAAGGGTTCCTCTGACCTCAGCAACATCCAGATCATCAAGAAGGCCGGTGGCAAGCTGAGCGACTCTTATCTGGACGATGGGTTCATCCTCGACAAGAAGATCGGAGTCAACCAGCCCAAGCGCTTGGAAAAGGCAAAGATCCTGGTCGCCAACACGTCCATGGACACGGACAAGGTCAAGATCTTCGGTGCCCGCGTCAAGGTTACATCTACTAGCAAGCTCGCCGACCTCGAGAAGGCCGAGAAGGAGAAGATGAAGGCCAAGGTCGACAAGATCAAGGCGCACGGCATCAACTGCTTTATCAACCGCCAGCTCATCTACAACTGGCCCGAGCAGCTCTTCACCGATGCTGGTATCATGTCCATCGAGCATGCCGACTTCGACGGTATCGAGCGATTGGCTCTGGTCACAGGCGGCGAGATCGCATCCACATTCGACCACCCTGAACAGGTGAAGCTCGGCCACTGCGATGTTATTGAGGAGGTCATTATCGGCGAGGACACCCTTATCAGGTTCTCTGGGGTTGCAGCAGGCCGAGCATGCACTATCGTCCTTCGCGGCGCCACACAACAACTCCTCGACGAGTCCGAGAGAAGTTTGCACGACGCCCTCGCCGTTCTTTCCCAGACCGTCAAGGAGCCAAGGACGACCCTAGGTGGTGGTTGCGCAGAGATGCTTATGGCCAAGGCTGTTGAGGCCCAGGCAACGCGTGTCGAGGGCAAGAAGCAGACCGCTGTCTCCTCATTCGCCGTCGCTCTGCGGCAACTACCAACTATCCTGGCCGACAACGCCGGTCTCGACTCTGGCGACCTGGTCGCACGTTTGCGCAAGGCCATCTACGACGGCATGACGACGTATGGTCTGGATCTGATGGTCCCCGGCGGTGGCATCGCTGACATGCGCGACCTGGGAGTTATTGAGAGCTACAAGCTGAAGAAGGCGGTGGTATCATCGGCAAGCGAGGCTGCTGAGGTAAGTGCGATGCGTGGCCCCCATGTCTTGTTCTTGTAATTCTGACACTTTTCTCACAGCTACTACTCCGTGTGGACAACATCATCAGAGCGGCGCCCAGGAGACGCGAGAGGCATTGATCTGGTAGACGATGACGGGTGAACCTTGTAGATGTGGACGTTCTCAACGACTGTACAATACCCGATAGAGCCACCGCAGTCAGCCGTGTAATGCCAAGACAAGAACTGAATGGTCTTATGTTGGCGCGTTGCATCAATCTTTGGACAGCGCCAAAATTCCGAGTTGATGGCCAAAGTATTAGAACCTACACGAAGCTATTCCTCGGCCAACACGACGCAACCCCCCCCCCCCTTTTGTTCCCTTTCCGCCCCTGTACCCCCGCACCCCCCAATCTCGCGACCATCCACGATATTGGATATCGCAGTTTGCCTCAAACTGGAAAAAAAAAAAAAAAAACCCATCTCGCAGCAGTCGTACCTGGTGAACGTTAGCCCGTCACCCGAAGAAAATTGACGGTTTTGCTCACTACCTCAATGACCCAGTGCGCTTCAGGAGCTCGTCCACTTTCAATTGGCCCATTCAGCACCTGGACGAGCCATTGCCGCTACAAGGGAGAATACGGCCAAGGGTTTGTCAGTTCGAGCCTTGCGCCGGCTACACGAAGACCGTGGAGGCGGCAAGGAAGTGGAAAAGGCCGATAGAGACACAGTAGTACATGTTGAAAAACGCTTTCAATTGTTTCGGGACGTGTAGAAGACAAGAGCTGAATCAATGAGTTCCCACAATGTGCATTTTAAGTAAAGGTGAGTCGTCGACCTGGTTTTAATCCCGGGGCCAAGGCAGGTGTCTCAGCCGTGGGTCATAATAGCATCATAGACCCGGTTCTTTTCCCTCCAGCAGGCCTGTGGATGAGCTACTGTAAGAATGGCGCCTGTTTACAACTTACATGCTAGAAAATAGGGCTGGGAAATGGGTGGCGTTGCTCTCAGCTCGGGCGACCGTTGGTCCTGGGCTTGTACTGCTAGGTCGAGACGGCGTTCCCTTTAAGGACCGATGTGCCGGTTGCCGATGCAAGCTCCAACAGGATTCATTTTGGCAGGTTTGAAGACTTGGCGGTAGGTTGACAAGAACTGGTCTATATTTTCCCCTGGGGGCTCGCTTTGTCATCCATGCGTGCAGTTTGACTGCATGGAACTGGACTCAAGAAGGTATCATTCAGGCAAAACAACTGTCAGCAGCGTTCCACCGACTTGGCCTACTGGAGTTGAGCACCCTGTGAACCATAGCTCCAGATCTCACCCATCACCTCCTCTTGGTGAACTGAATCATCACAGGCGGCAGCGTGGTGGTGAACGTATCCTTGGCCTCACGATCAAACACCTCACCATCCTCCCCCGGCGCGAAGCTGACATCAAACTCGCGCAGCACCCGCGAGAGCGTGATCCGCAGCGACAGGAAGCCCAGGTTCTTACCAGGACACTGGTACGCGCCCAGCTGGAACGGCAGGAACGGGGCCCTGTCGGTGCCCATCTCGGCCCTCCTCTCGCCGAACCTCTCGGGCACGAAGCGGTCCGCCTCCTGCCAGTAGCGCGGGTCCCGCTGGATGGCGTACGTGGGCACGAACACGTTGGTGTCCCCCGGGATGAAGGTGCCGTCCACGGTGATGCCCTGCGGCGGCGTGACGCGGTGGCCGCCCGAGGCCAGCGCCGGCTTGAGCCGCAGCGTCTCGTTGACGATGTCGTCGATGAAGGCCACGTTCCTGACGACCTCGTAGCTCCACGGCCCGGACCCCAGGGCCGCGTCCAGCTGTGCCTGGAGCTTCCTCTGGACCTCTGGGTGCTTGGACAGGTAGTAGAACATGCAGGCCAGCGTCGTGGCTGTGGTCTCGCTGCCTGCGACGATCACGACGCGCGAGTCCTCGTGCAGTGCTGGGACTGAGGGGGAGGCCGCTGGGTCATTGTCCATAACGGCCTTGACCAGCCAGGACACGATGTCTTGTGGGTATTCTTCGGCGTCGAAGTTCTGGGTGTCTTGTAAGTTTGACGCTCTTTTTTTCTTCTCTCAATGGCTGACCTGGGAAGGGGTGTAAGCCTGACCTTTTTCTTGGCGTCGATTTCCGAGCCGCACCACGAGAAAAACTCCTGGTATGCTGCCGCAGCCCCTGGGATCTTACCGGCCATGTTCAGTAGCCACGGGACGTGGCTCAAGATACCAAGAACCTCCATAGACGAGTGGACACCCTGAATCGCTGGGTGCTCTTCTCCCTTGGTCACTCCGTTGAACTCCTTGCCGAACCCAACCTTGCCTGTCTCCAGATTAGCTACAAGTCAAGAGGCCGTATTGGTGGGACACCTTACCCATGATGTCAAAGGATAGATACATTGACCATGCAGTTGCGTCGACCGTGCCACGATCAGAGATTTGTGCAAGGAACTGGTCAACCTTGGAGCTGATGGTAGGCTCATAAGTGTTCAGCGCTGAGTTATTACTGTCAGTCTTAAGATCCCACTGGTGCCGACCTGAGTTGCCGTACCCTTGATAGAGAATCCTCTGTCCCAGGCCCTGCGTCTTCGCTTGTGCTGCTCATGATCCCTAGTCATATGGATTGAACACTTGACAGGATCCATGTCCACCTGTCCATACCACGTTGACTTGCGACACTTAGACTCAGGGCCATAGATAAGTGGCACGGCTGACTTGCGGATAATGGCAAGCTCGCGGGGGCCTACTCTTCCACGTTAGTGACGGCGACACTGGAATCATAATTTGGATGCTGTACTCACCTGTGCGGATGAAATCCCCATATTCTTCGTTCCACTGGTTGATCAGCTTGTAGTATTTCAGGTCCCTGGATGCCTTGTAGGCTGAGTAAAAGCGAGAGATCTTTGCAGGGGCTGGCCCGGGAAATCTTCTGAGACGGTGGAAAAAGACCCTGTATATGCCGATGCTGAGGAAGACTGCCGTATTGAAGGACGTCGACAACAAAGCAACCCGTGCAAGCGCAGCCAGAGGCGCAAGCCCCGCAAATATATGCACAGCAAACAGGGCTAAAATACTGATGAACCCTAGGCCAACAAGAGTATACATGAACTGTTCCACCTCCACGGTACGTAGGATCGTGTGGTGGAAGACTAACCCCAAGACCGCGGCAGTTGAGGCGGCCTGGACACAGTCAACGCCTAAGAAAGCCCGGAGAGTCTCCGCGACTCCTGAAGATGAAGCCATGTCTGCGATGAGCCCGAGCCGAAGTGTGCTGACAACAAGCAGCAGCCACGGTGCATCAGTTGGAGAATCTCCTCACCGTTGTCGTATTTAAAGACGGGCTTCAAATACCACGCGCTAATCACCTCTATCTCATTGGCCTAGTCGGACTTTCATAGGCGCCATTCGCAAAGTAACGGCAGTGGATCAGAACGCAGTCACGGAAAGCAGTTGGCTGTTGACAAGTTCCCAACGCGGTATCATAGTGGAGATCAAACAGCACAGCAAAGCTCCCCGCCCGAGAAAATCGAAAAGGGGACTGCTGCGCGTCGGATCCGGATGCAACATCCCCGAATCTTGGTGCTCCAGCCTCAAGCCTGGAGCCCTTGAGGATATCAGGGCAGTGATGGGCCACAACCCCTGAAGCTGGATCGACCGGCACCGTTCCCCCTCTCGCACGGGTCTACAGGTCGATCCCGTGAGCGGGACTCGCGGGATGCCTTCTTGTGAAAGGTTATGAACTGCACAAAAAAAGAAAGGGCGAAAGCTACACGGTACTTCACCAGCTTAATTACTGGTACTGACCACCACGGAGATGTAATGTTTGAATTTGACTTTCTAGGCGTGGAGCCTCAAATTAGTCAAAATGGAGAAAGGACGTTGCAGCGAGCGTCCAGCCAACTTGATCACCACAACTAACTAGCGTTCAATACTTCAAAAAGGTGATATGTCGTCTAGACATGACTCAATGTCGTTCGCATTGCAATTTAGTGGATCGGTACCTCATTAGGATATCAAAATGGACACCCAAAGATACCCAGACCGAGGCCCTTGATTCGGTTCTAAAGTTCGAGCCTCAGGGGCAGTGTGGGCTGGACACATAGGCGTTTCCTGGCATTCCGGGCTTTGCAACTTACTAAGCCCGTGAGGATATTGTGCTCCCAATATGGGTAAATTCCCTAGCCTTCCTGCAGCCGACGATACCTGCAGCTTGCCTTGAAGCAGATTCATTCTTTCACTTCTTTCTTTACCGCGAGGGCTGTGGCGTGCCCGAACAGCATCATCATGGCGGTGGACAATCTTCAACCGTTGGCTTACACTATCGCCTCGGTATCATTCGCTATTGGGGCGATGTCCTTCTTTCTCAGGTTCTATTGCAGAGCAATAGTGAAAAACGCTTTCGGCTGGGATGATGTTCTCTCCGTTTTCCTGCTGGTTTGTTGCCCTCTTTCAACCCCCTCCACTGAAGACTGGCAAAGCAGACGCGCTGCAAAAACCACTTGCTGCATTTTGGCCAGCAAACTAGACGCTAACATCGGACCGTCAACAAGTTAGTAAACACTATGCAGCAAGTGGTTCTATATATGTTTCTTCATTACGGATCCGGCCTGTAAGTATCACTGTCAACTGGTCCCGAAGAAGACCCGCCTGAACTGACTTTCGTGACAACACAGTCACGCTTCCACTTTGTCACCATACCAGCTCGAGAAAATCACTCTAGTATGTCAAAAGTCGCAGAAACCCCGCAACTACCACTAACTCTTTAGTGCAGTGGCTCTTTATCGAGGAGATATGGTATATGATCACACACTGGACGATCAAAATGACCTTCCTCATTTTCTATATCCGTCTATCGCCCAACCGCACATTCCGGATCACGTGCTTTGCAACCATGGGCCTCAATACGTTATTCATGATTATCAACTGGCTCTTGGCCCTGCTTCAATGCGCACCACTGGACGCGTACTTCCACCCACAGGCTCACCCCGACGCCAAGTGCATCAACAAGGGCGTGCTCTTGCTGGGTCCATCAATACTGGTAACTGTGCCCCCACAACTTCGGAAACTATGTCAAACAAGCACCATGTTGTTCTAACGCAGCGCAGAACATCATCACAGATGTCATAATCCTCGTCCTCCCCATCCGCACAGTCTGGAATCTGAACATGTCCCGTCGGAAGAAGATCGCAGTCACCGGCGTCCTGGGCTTTGGGGCGTCTTCGGTGGTCGTGGCCGCGTGCCGGTTCATCGTCCTCGCAGAGCTGGGCTCCACCGAGGACCCCTCTTTCGTCCTGGGCAACATGGTGATCGTGGCGGCGTTCGAGATCCAGCTCGCAATACTGGCAGTGAACCTGCCCGCTATGAAGGCGCTGTACTCGGGGATGACGGGCGGCTCCAGCAATGACCAGTCTGAGCCGATCAGCGGCAGCGCTGGATACAAGCTCTCATCCATGGACGCGAGGGGGAAGAAGCTGCGGTCTGCCGCGTCTCGGAAGGGCACGGCTGGGCCTGTCGTGGACGTGAGCATCACTCGGCACATGGCTAGCGAGTCGGAAGAAGAGCTCTGGCAGCGGGAACACCAGGGGAGGGTTCAGGTCACCAAGACTGTTGAATTGGTAACGTCTTCTCAGAGTGACACGGATTCTGATGTTCTTCGCCAAGGTCGTGTAGATAATCGTTACTCCGAGAACTGGGCCTAAAGTGATGATGGTACCTAGGAAGGATATTGCACGTCATCAGAAGCTCACAAACTTCCAGTGGCACATAGCTCTACAAAATTAATTTAATACAAAACCACAGCGGACTCTAGCCTCCATCGAAAACTGGCAGAATTGCAGTGACAGGACTTTTCCAACCCAAGTTGATGCCGTACCAAGTACCCCAGTTGTGTTCGACCGTGAATAATGACGACCTGAAGTCCCTATCATACTAGTAATTGATTTACTACCAACCAAAGCGTCTTTGGCCCCAGTTCCAGTGTCTCCGTCCCACCAACCTTCAACTCACAAAAGTACCTCTCGAGGCTCTGGAGCTGACCGGCCGCAGTGCCATCCTTGCCCTGCCCGGCCTGTTCGATCAGCTCCCGCACGTCGTCAACCACGACGGCCCGGCACAGCTCCTGCGTGTCGAGGATCGACGCGATCAGCCCCCTCGAGTTCAACCAGTCCTTGTTCGCAACAACCACATACGCAGCCGCCCTCTCCCTCGGCGTCTTGGGCTTCTTCGCAACAGCCCCAATCGCGGTGATCGGCATGGCCGTGGCGGCCCCGACCGCCCCGAACACGGTGCCGAGCGTCAGAGAGATGGCGCCGCCCACCGCGCCAAACGCCGCGCCGACGACGTTGCCCCGCTTCGCCTCGTCGCGGACGTGACTGCCCACCGTCTTGGCGTTCCGCGCGACGTTCTTTCCGAACGAGGCCGGCGTCGAACCTAGGTGCTTGGCCATGTCGCCCGCGTGGGCGAGGGCCTTGGACGAGACGTTGGCGGTTAGGAAGGCGGAGACGGTCGTGACGAAGGCGTGCCATGTCTCCGGGGTGACGCCGCGGGTGAGCAGGGCTGGGGCATAGGCCGGTATGAAAGGCGCTGCTGCGTCTGGGCGGGACTGCGGGACGGCTATGGGCTTGTTGAACGGGGTGGATTCCGTGTATGAGGGGAGGCTCTCGCCCTGAGGGAAGTTGAAGGGGTCCTTGGGCGATGGTCCCTCGGGTTGCTGCTGAGAGGAGGTTGCTGATGGGCGAGACGACGGGCCTGGGGCTGAGTCGTCGTAGGCAGGCGGCGGCTCTTCGCCTCTGTCAGCGGAGCCTTCGGCGGGTGCTGATGGGATCTTGTGTTTCTCGTCTGCCATAGCTTTGCTTGTTCTCTCAGCTTTTCAACTTGGTTGCCGTGAATTTCGTAGGTTCTGATCTGAGCCAACGACTTAAGCCTGCATGAAGACGATGTTTCAAACTGGCCCGCAGCACGCTAGTTTCGATGTTCCTCAAAGCCGACCGCGGAGCCGATCACTAGGTCGAATCTAGCTCGATCAACATACTCGAGACACAAGATGAGTTTGGACGTCTGTGACTTGGCAGACATCTGGAGACTGCAAACACGCCATACGAGACGCAGGAGCTTTGATCCATGGATGAGGTCAGCTTCTCACCTGGGTAGACACTCGTCGGCTATTCCACTTTTTATCTGACATTCTCGGCGTACGTGCTGCTTTATCGGGCTTCTGCGCTACTGCTTAGCCACCCTGAATCTGACACATCGCTGAGTATTCATGACCCTCCAGGCTTCTGTTGTCGGTCACTCAGTGAAGCTGACTATGATCTTCTGGACTTGCCAATTCCACTTAATGGCGGTCTCCGGCTATTCTTGGAACCCATTCGACTTTCCGTTAATCATTTGAATCGTATCCATCTACATAACCATGTTACTAGTACTCCATGCGTGGCATATTGCCACAAGACCCCAGTGTGATCCGGCATCAATTTATGAGACAAGTCAGATTTCCAATGGTATATGTTCCGCCAGACGACCTCACCAACATACCCTACCTTTCTTGAGTTGTTTCGCTTTGAATCAACCCGCTCCGGCCTCAGGAAGATAACAAAAGCCACCTGGGTTTGCTGGATTCCAAAATACATCGCTAAACATTGCCAACAACTTGAGTTCATGGTATGACCTAGTTTACAGACGAAGAGAAAGCTACCCCGAAGATAATCCAATCTAGTGAGGGCAACATTTGTTAGCTCCACCTTTACAAATCAAGAATGGCCTATTTTGGGTGCAAGAATACAAGGCCACTCGTGGGCATACGCATTGCAGTGAGATAATCACTACTTCGCTCACGCGGTCGTCCCACTCCCGTAGCACTTGAGGTGACTTGTTGAGGAAGGCTGCTATCAGACACTGCACGGTCTGTGACTCTTCAAAATTCCTGTACAGGCCATGAAATATGGATTGCAAAACATTACACAACGACTGGAAACGTGTCAAATGTTCAGGCACAGTATTGAGTAGTGGGAAATATCACATCCCTTTGTGTTAAGTGCTACTTCGGTCTTCAAATCTGCGACAAGAATATGCTCTGTCACTGAGGTTTTTATATCTGTGCTTAATCCCAGTCTTCCTAGGTCTCAGTATACCTGAGAATTCGGGCGTTGTGATCTAGCAAGTGGAAAAAGGAATAATTCATGTTATTATGGCTACACTACTGTTGTTGAAACAGTCGATAGCTAACCTAGACAGCAAGTAAAAAATGGCTACACTAGGTACTGTTGTTGAAACAGTGTAGCTACACTCTTCGCGGCACCGTACCCCCTCTTCATGTTTTCATTCGTGGTTTTTCTTATTTTCACCTTTTTTTTGTCACTTTTCTTCAACTTAGTGAAACGATAAAAATGCACAAACCAACACACTGTGTCGTTGCCAAAGACGCCCATGATGATACCACGGGACTGACAGATTCGCCCAACCGTTACGAGTGGATTCAGTCCGCTCTCAGGCGCTTCCTCGACTCATATGGGTGAGACTTTTCCCCTTTGATGAAACCGATGACTGCACGCACGCCATGGGAGTTCTCAGCGTTGTACCATCTGTTGCTAGCCAGCGCCTGCTCGAGAAGCTCGTGGGCCTCAACCCGGTGCCCAAGAGCTGCCAAGGCATCTGTCAGTATGCAGCAGCGATTAGAAGGACTCCAATCAACGGAAACTTACAGAACGAGTCGTCACTATTTCGTCCGGGAGTGGATCGATCTGTAGGGACTTCTGCTCCTGCTCGTGCAACCACACGCGTTGTCTGGGACACGCGGACAAGTGAATGTTCATCCGCAGGTGTCGCGAGGAGAAAAAAGTATTCCTCTCCTTCTTTGAGACCAGTCTCACACAGCGTTCCTCGGCGGCGGTTAGTTCGGTGGACCCGGCAAGGTGGCCCATCGAAATCTCCTGGCTGTACCTGAGTAATACAAGCCATCGTGTCTGCCTTGACTAAGGCCCAAATGTTTCAGCAGATGCTCAGAAGGGGTACAAGGTGAGGGCTTCTTCATAAGCCTTGGAACACATACCATCTTTACCTGTCAAGAGTCTATCTCGAAGTCGGGAGCAGCGAGAGACTCGGTGACATTGGATTTCGATATTTTGAAGATCCTCTTGTTGTCCATCGTTGACTGTCCACTCCACTGTAAGACCAAGATGGCCTTTGTGCGTCGTGTCAACGATGCCCACGTGCATCATCTGATAGTTTTCCAATCGCTGATCTGCCCGTTGAACTTGCTGTTCCATGTGGTCTTCCGGTAGCTCCGAGCTGCCCTCCTGTAGGAATTTCTCACTCGGAACATTCCTGACCAAGTCGGAAAACAATTTCTTTGCCGCAAAGACAGCAGCACGAGCCTCAACCACGTTTCCAATAAGGCCGAGCTTTGCGACCGCGGTATCCATGGAAAGCCATCGCTTGTGTATTCGCACCAACCAACTTGAAGTTTCCTCCAAACTTGAAGTTTTCTCAAAAACACAGAGATTCAGGTGATTCAGGCCGGCATCGACGAACTCGAGTTCCATTCCCATAATCTGACTGTGGGAGCAAGCGCGTATGCAAGCTTCAAGGAGACGGTTCAATGATGTCGCAAAAGTAGTCTCTGGAACTGGCACTATAGGGGCTTTCATGTAGCGCCGCTGGGCCTCTTTCTCGGCAGTATTGACGAGAAGACGGTAGTTCAAGATGGCCCACAACTTGTCACTTAAGTGGAAGGGCTGCTTTCCCATGCCTTTGATGATCCGTAGGAGGCCCGGGGTCTAGAGAAAAAGTTTATTAGTTAACGATTCGGAAATTGTGGGCGGACACACTTACCCTCCTCATCTCGCCGCTAGAGTAAAACCAGCGATTTGCAAACTCTCCTCGCAGAAGGTGTTGCTTGAACAGGAGCGCTGTCCTTTCGGGCCAAGATTGTTGACTGCATTCGCCTTCTGCGTACCGATGCTCATCTGAATTGAGTAGATCACATACCCTTCCTACTTGATCTGGCCTCACTTCCAGTGCCTCGATCAATATCTTGCAAATGGCCTCCGACTCGTTATTAACAAGCGAGCGCCTGTCCCGGTTGGTTCTTCCGGATGCGAAGTTGTATCCAAAGCCAAGTGGACGTCCAGTAACGCTCGCCGAACGAGAACGCGTACTCTCAGAGAGCAAAAGCCCCTTCAGGTACAATTTGCCGCGTTGGTCCGCAGAGATGAGTAAATCGCCGTGAACAGTGGATACAATGCTTGCATCCCCGCCCTCAACCTCAGTGAAGAACAATGCGACCTTGATCCAGAACTTGAAATCTTCCTGCTGAACAGGGCTCCGCGTGACACTTTCACCAAACTCATTTCGGCCGGCTTGGGACTCTCCAATCATGAATTGAACGTCGGTATTTACGTCGACTGTCGGAGTTGGTAAGAGGAGCTTCGTAGGCTGTTGGGTCCCATCCGACTTGATGCGACTCGCCCAAATGCACAAAGATCGATCTTTGTCGAATTTGAATAATAGCTTACACCCGGCCGTGTGACCAGACACGTGATAGTTCCGATCCTTACGCATGAGGTTTATGGCGGCAACCTTTAAACCCTCGCCGTGAGCTCCCGCCTGATCTTCACGGTGCTTCTTGCTTGTCGTCCCAAGGTGGAAAGATCTCGTCTGCAGTGCAGCCCTCAGGTTCGTGATTTCAATCGTTCCCTGGCCGTCGCAGCCCTTGTACCGCACAAATCCGAGACACTCTGCGCTGTCCTTGACATCACGACGGAATGCTTTGTAAACGATCTCGGTGTCGCCACTTGGGGGTGTCGCTTCGCCATTTGCTTCGCCTATGGCTTCACGTTGGACATATAAGTCCTTTGGTGCAAGCCCGTTTGACTCGAGGATCGCATCACGCCTGTGGCTATTATTAGCCTTCGACAAATCCTGAGAAAATAAGACGAGGTGTGAAAGCAGAGAGGAAGATGTTTATACCAGTTTTGAATGAACTCGCGAAACGCTTCACGAGGATCCCAGTCCGTGTAGGTAGCATCGACGCCCAAACTGATTTTCTTTTTCGTTTTGATGGATTTGAATGAAGGAAGACGTTCCTCATCGTCGCTTTTGTTGGTGTCCAACGACGCAGAGCCCCTTTGGGCAATGCTTTGGTCTTTGAGTTGACTCATGATGCTCACGTTCCCACAGGTTGATGGATTCTAGGCGACTGGTTGAGGTGATTGAAAGGGTGATTGGAATAACAGTGAGCTGGTAGGAAGGTTCTTGATGCGTTCTAAGGACAAAAGGTGTAGACGGAGAGAGATGAAGAAAGGGAACAGGTTCTAGGCAGCATGTATCCGTGTGCCAGCATACAGGCCACCTGCATAGGTGCAGAAATTGAAGACGTTGCGTGAAAGGGGTGTGGGTTGAGACGCGTGCCAGGTGATGAGACGATGCTGAGGACAGGAGCGCCCAAGGTGTGTGGGCGCCTAGGTATACTGTCGGGCGTGGCAGCTCCCAAAGTTATGGATTGTGAACAACACGATGTAGCAGTGCTAGCAGAAGGATAGATCAACCAGGAGTACTCCAAATGGTTGGGAAGAAGATGTTGGAAGGATGAAAAAGCCATCAACAGAAACTGTTCCAAATCTTCAAGCTTGTCCCTTTTATAGTTGCTCGCGGGCCATATGAGAAGGGGGGGGGGTTGTTATGTGGTATGCAATAAACCCTATTCTTGTTACGGACGCAGAAAATATCCACTCCCCTTGGCCCCCTGTAGTCAGGTGTGAGTACCCGAACTACGCAGGCCAAACCGCCAGGGTGAGGTTGGGTAGGTACCTAGGTATGCAATTAAATTTCACTTCTGATCTATTTAAATATTGGCGCCTGGAATTCGTTCAAACGAGTATCTAGACATGCAACATCTCTGTACAGAACTCCACCTGGAGGGCCATAATCCCACCCACCAACCATGTGAGAACCAAGACCACCGGGTTTCCAAACCGCATTTCCCGACTGCTTCTTCACACGCTCAGTATACTATGCCATAGCTTTCCATTCGTCAGTTTCACTTTATATTAGTCCTGCAGCCATCCATGAATACATATGTATGTAACTTTTGCACCTAGAAGCGTTCGACTTGAAGTACATAAGTAGACAGCAAGCCACGCCACATCAGTGATTACAGTATACTAGACAGAATGGCGATGGTACTAAAGGATGTGCGGCTCACACACAGGCTTCACGTATCTCCATTCTAAGGGCAAAGGGGTATCGCGGCCTCTGGATACATACAGCTCCCTTACAGGCTGCACCATTGTGGTCGTCCTGTGTTGGCATACACTCGCGGCTGTCTGGCGTTACTGATCGTCTGACGGGGCATAAGCTGTATCTGGAATTATATTTGCACATGTAGTTCGTCACCAATGCATCCTAAGGTTGGATGTGGAACATGATGCTCGGAAGACATTGCGGTATAACAACATTAATGTAGGTGAGCAAGTGCTTACTTAATCTTGGGAGCTGACTACCGAGATTATATAAGCCGCGGGCAAGGCCCATGGAATGACATCATAATCTTCAGGCTGAAGATTCTGACGTCATTAATGGCCTCCGATGCAAGTCACATTTTGAAGCAAATTCTAAGAGAACGGATATTCACAGGGCAATAAATGGATAATTCAGGGCTGAATTCGGTTCATACAAGGCAACAACTACCTGCAGCCAATCCGAACCCTCCGTTCAACCTAACCTCACCAACTAGGCACCCACACTATACTAGGTAGGGAACTCTTACTAGGGCCTTAAGAGCTAGTTATCTTATTTTTAAAGAATTAATTTATTATTTTTAAGATTATATTTATATAAATTATTAACTATTATATATACTATAGTATATAGACTATTTATATTTTTTTAATTTTATTATTAAATTAAAAATAAATAGTTAAGGTTTTAAAAGAATAAAATATAATATATCTTTTAAAAATTAAATTAATTAAGTTTATTATATATAATTTTTTATAGTAACTTTATAATTTATATTTATAATACTATTTATTATTAAAAGATATCTTTTATATTAATATATTAAGTTATACTTAGTTTATTTAAGTTAACGTTATTAATTTATTAAAGAGTAAACTTATTATAAATTATAAGTTAATTTTAATATTATTAAATATTATATATAATATTATTATATAATTTAAGCTTTTAAATTAGTTAAAATAAGTAAAAATAAAGCTATTATTCCTTTAAAAGTTCTAACTTTATTTTATAAATAAATACCTATTAAGTAAAACTACTTAAAAGTAGTTACTTAATTAACTTATTAAATTAAAAATAACCTTTAAGTAAGATAACTATATCTATTACTATATATAATATTTAAGTTTATAGTTCTAATAACTTATAAATAGAAAAGAAATAATTATTAATAATTAAATTTATAATTATATAAAAGTAAATTTTATTTTAAAAGAAGTTATTATTATTTAAAATAATTAATATATTTTTAAAAGGTTAAAAGATTATAAATTTAATTTAAAGTAAATTAAAATTTATAAGAATTTTAAATTTAAGTTTAAAAGTTTTAATTTAAATTTAATTTATTTAAATAGAAAATATTAAATAGATTTAAGAAGAGGTTTAAATAAAGTTAGATTAAATTATAGTATAATAAAATAATTAAATAAAGATTAATTAAAATTTTATAATTATAAATTTATAAACTTTATATTTAAAAGATATTATAATATATATTATATTATCCCTCCTAAATATGAAATTTAAAGATTTATAATTATAAAATTTTAATTAATTTTTATTTAATTATTTTATTATATTATAATTTAGTTTAGTTTAATCTAAACCTCTCCTTAAGTTTCTTTAATCTTTCCTTTTAAATAAGTTAAAGCTTTATATTCTTTAAGCTTAAATTTAAGATTCTTATAAATTTTAATATACTTTAAATTAAACTTATAATCCTTTAACTTTTCTAAAATATATTAATTATTTTAAATAATAATAACTTCTTTTTAAAATAGAGGTCTACCTTTATATAATTATAAACTTAATTATTAATAACTATTTCTTCTTTTATTTATAAACTATTAGAATTATAAACTTAAATACTATATATAGTAATAGAGTATAGTTATCTTATCTAGTTATCTCTTAATTTAGTAGGCTAAGTAACTACTTTTAAGTAGCTTTACTTAATAGGTATTTACTTATAGAATAAAGTTAGAACTTTTAAAGGAATAATAGCTTTATCTTTACCTATTTCAACTAACTTATACCTAAGTTATATAATAATATTATATATAGTACTTAATAGCGTTAAGACTAGGCAGCCTATAATCTATAATAGCTTTAACCTTTAATAAACTAGTCTATATTAAGGCTGATAATGCTAACCTAAACTAATTAGGTGTAGCCTAGTGCATTAGTATAGAAAGGTGTTTTTTAATAATAGATAGTATTATAAATATAATAGATTATAAAGTTACTATAAAAAGTCCTATATAGTAAATTTAATTAAATTAATCTTTAAAAGATATATTATATTTTATTCCTTTAAAACCCTAACTATTTACTTTTAGTTTAATAATAAAATTAAAAAAAATATGAATAATTTATATATTATATTATATATTTTATTTTATTTTTAAAAATATATAATTAAATAATTTATATATAAATTTTAAAAGAATATAATATAAAATTTAAATATAATAATTATAAAGTTATAATTAATTAAAGATTTATAATAATATTTATTTATTATATATTTCTATCTTTATTTTTATACTTTTTCTTTATAAAATTATAACTTATTTATTAATTTTCAATATATATATATTAATTATTATTAATAATATATTATAAAGTATTCTTTTATATATAAGAATTATATTATTAATAAAGTTAAAAATAAAATTTAATTATAATAATATAAAAAATATAAATAGAATAAAAGAAAAGTAATATAATTATTTATTTTTTCACTTTATATTTTAAAAGAATTATAATTTCTAATATAAAAAAAGGTTTTCTTAATAATAAATAATTTCTAGTTTTTAATTTACTTTCTAATAGTAATAAAAATGAAAATAGAGTAGGAGGGAGGATAAGGAGGGTATAATGTAGGAGGGAGGAGGAAGGTATACAATAGCATCTATAACTCAGATAATTGTTGAACCCCTTGATACAGAGCACGTAGGTGGCAATGGCATGAAGCCGTTGGCGGTGAGATGATTGGACATTGTAAAGTTAATGTGGTTCTGAAATACCACCAACAACATGCTATAATGCATCATATAGCATATGACAAGGGGATATTGGAGTATGTTTAAGGCTTGTGACTGCATCTTCTGACAGGTGTTTGCCTAAAGATGCTGTCGGTCCAGAAATGTATGACAGGATCCTACGACCAACAGCCTGGGAATAATTTGAAGCCTGTAGTGCTTAAATGCCCTGACAGATTATCTATTGTCATTGCGGCAGGGACAGCAATCTGGGACTTGCTGTCGCTGTTGGCAGATAGCAACCTGAAACCTGCAGCGACACATATTTATTATCCATATCGCCAGGCTGGTCGAGCTTGGTCTTTGTATCAACAAGGAACGATCTGCTTGTCACTCGGACTGGAAACTGTTCACTGTTTTTGAACCAACCATGTGTTTTACGCTCTAATCCACACGAATATAAAATGTATGTGGCGCCTTCATACCAGTTGACAGTGGTAAACGCTCATACTACCAGGAAGTTGATGGTGCTCCAAGGGCAAATCACCAACAACTGCATCTAACGTGTAATTGATTATTCCTGGCACAGTGTGATGCATTGGGAATCACCATTGCATGAATTGAGCGTAAATAATGCTCACATTCAATGTGTTACACCTGCTGGCCACAGCAGTTCTTGGCCACATGTTCAGTCAAATGATAACATGGGAGTGATGAAAGCCAGCCCAATTTCAGATGCAAATGCTTTTGGACCCAAGTTCGACCAATTGAGAGGTACACAAAATATCAATCTTGAACCCAAACAAACTCCATGATTGCAAGTGCAGAGTCGTCCGACTCCCCCACCTTCTGGAAGATGAATCTCGGGTCCACTCCTGCGAGCAACGCCTTCCACTCATCAAGACTCCTCTCGTGAGAAGCGAAGCACCCTGTCATGACGAGGTCGAATGACCTAAATTTTCAAACAAGACTACTCAGTCCACAATTCACCAGAGAGAAACTCGCAGAGAGGACTTACCTCAGATACTTCTCTCTCCAGTGTGCGATTCCACCTGGCTCGGGCATGCAAGTCTCATTGATGATGACCCTTGCGCCTGGTTTTAGAGCTGGGATGAGTGCCTTCAAAATCAAGGCGCAGTACTTATCCGTCCAGTTATGAAAAACCCAACGCAGGAAATAGACATCAGCCTGTACAGTCTGCGGGGCGAATAAGTCCTGAACCATGAACTCGAATCTATCTTTGAGTTCCGCAGGGATGTTAGCTTCGGCCCCCTCGATCATTTTTTCCATGTCTTGCACAACAACAGAGATACGAGGAAAGGCTTTGGTCAACTCCATCGTAACGTGTCCAGTGCCTCCACCAACATCGACCAGTTTGACCGGGCCTAGGGACTCCCAGTCATAGTTGTTGACAACATGAGACGCATTGTACTCCTGCATTGACATGTACGCCTTCATACAGTTTGCAAATCGATTTGCTCGTTTGGGATTTTCCCCCAGAACCTGGTAAATGCTCTCATCGGTCCCGTTGAATAGGGCGAATGCCTGCGACCAGTGTCAATGACGTTTGGAAAGTCCAACATGAATACGATGAGAAAACAAAAAGCCTACCGTCTCGTTTGGTTCCTGTGTACCAGGCCACTTTTGTAGTGCATCAACCATCTTGTAACGCAGTTTATCAGCTTTGTTCAAATTCCCGAGTCAATGTTATGGGTGCTGGTCTTGCCCTTGTAGATGTTTGCCACATCTCTTCCGTGCCACAACCCACCCAATCATTCGCGACAGGATCCATCAGCGATTTAGACGCTTGCGTGTGTGCCACCATCCCAGGCTCAGGCTCTCGGAATACCCGCATAGTCATTGCGTGTCTTAGAGTCCGCCGCACGGCATTCTCTTGTAGACCAGTCGACTGGGCAATTTCTGCGTATGTAGTCTTGCCACCGGAGGGGACAAGACTGGCGATCTTGAAGCGAGAAATGAGTTGCAGAGACACGCAGTTGTTGAACTTTTTGGATCAGCATCATTGTGGACAGAGACAGATGTAATACGGAGTGGTTCCAGCTTCGGAGAGATATAGATAATCACTCACCGATCCATGCCTGTATATAATATCCAAAGGACCTTGAAGTAGATCCTGAACCTCGGCCGCCGCATCAACTATCAAGTCTCTGACCTTAACAGTGTCTTTGGGCAGCAGCGCCGGGGCATCTTCATCGAATGTGGGGGACGGGTATCCTTGCTTGGACAGCATCTCCTCTAGTACTGCCACGGACTCCACAATCGAAGTCGCGAGGTGGGTGAGACGGGAAATCGATACGCTCGAAGCCATTATGAGTAGTAGAGTTCAATGAAGTGGTCTTTTGTCGATACTCGACGATGGTCAAGTTAGATTGTTATGGATTATGTGAACTATATCGGGTGGAAAACAGTTGAGAGGACAAGGTTGGCAGCGGAAGAGAGGGGGAGTGCGGGCAAGAAAACCTCGCAGTAATGGGCTGAGCCGATGACAAGGAATGAAAGTACAAATATGAGCTGTTGATCTGGGGGCGCAAGCAGTGATGTCAGCGCGGACAAGCAGAGGGGGGCCAACGGTTGTTGGTTTAAGATGCTTCGATCCAAGCATCGAGCTACATATGTACCCTGCATACACTAAGGCATACGAAGTCAAAGCAGCAGGCAGCAAGATGTCTGCAGCAGGCTATGGACGATATGTTTCTCTGAGGCACAGGAAGCAATGGCACGGTGACTTGGGGCACATCAGGCAATATCGCATTTCGAAGATGCTTTCCCATTCTGATGCATCACATGTCTATTGGTATTGAAAATAAGATGTTCCTTCAAGTGAATGACTTCTTCACTCATGCTCAATTTTATGTAGCTAGACACTCCAGTCCTCACAAATCATAGCCCTGGACATGACTTAATTCAACACCAGTAACCGTTCGGGTCAACATTTTACCTCATGGCTGACCATGGTCGTGTTCAACGCGAACGGAAGCAAGATACCACTGTGGATTGTGCACCCCGGTATCGGAGAAGTGCTCGTTTTCGTCGGTCTGGCCCAGAATTTGGCTGATAATGACAGACCAGCCAGTCTACCTAGGCATGCACTTCGTGCCAGAGGCTTCGAACCAGGCCACGAGCAATTCAAGTCCATCGTGGAGGCAGTGAATGTTCACATCGAAGCCATTTGCAAGCGACAGCCGCAGGGGCCAAATACAATTGTAGAGTACAGCTACGGAACTATGCTTGCTTTCGAGACTACCAAGCGGTTCGAAGGTGCCAACGGATTCAGCGGGGTACAGTTTCTTAGGAGCCTCAACCTACCTCCACACATCAACAGGGTTGCCGCTCACTACACTACACACACTGGGCTTGTTAGTGTAGTGTAGTGGACTTCAAAATACTCTCAGTGTAAATATAGTGTAGTGTATAGGCCTTCAGTGTAAGTGTGTGTAGTGTAGTGGGTTAAAATGTAGGGGGTGGGTTAGGGGGGGTATATAAATAAATATATAAATAAATAGGTAAATAAATAGGTGAATAAATAGGTGAATAAATAGGTGAATAAATAGGTGAATAAATAGGTGAATAAATAGGTGAATAAATAGGTGAATAAATAGGTGAATAAATAGGTGAATAACTAGATGAATAAATAGGTGAATAAATAGGTGAATAAATAGGTGAATAAATAGGTGAATAAGTAGGTGAATAAGTAATCTTTTTCCTCCTTCTCCTCCTCTTCTTATCTTATCTTATCTTATCTAACTACTTAGTCAGCTTTCCTCTCCCCTTTCTACTCTTCCTCTCCCTCTATCACCCTCCTCCCCTACCCCCTATTTACACTTAAACCCACTACATTACACACACTGGGCTCCTTAGTGTAATGTAGTGGACTTAAAAATACCCTCAGTGTAATGGAGTGTAGTGGGCTTATTTACACCCACTACACTACACTACTACACTGAGTGTAGTGAACGGCAACCCTGCACATCAAGACCGGCATGAAATAAATGCACTGGAATAATTACCTGCTGCCTTTGGTATACTTCCTAGACCTAACAACTGCGGATGAGATTGAGGACAGCGACTGTCAAACCATGGAGCGCACTGCCGCGCTGACCTACATTCTTAATTTGTCTGACGCAGAACATATGGAGGAGGAGCTCGGGCTTGGCAAATTAAACGTGATCCGTTGGCGTGATGTGGCATACGACTTGCCGCGCATGGCTATCGACTATGAACCACATGGTGAAGTAGATGCTCTTAATGTCTCCTATGCCAGCCCGCTGAAGGCCGCTGCTCCTAACAAAGAAGAATGGCGCAGAACCAACCTGAGCAAATGGGAGGACTACTGCAGGTCCGATCTGCCGTTTCATGAAGTGGGAGGTGTGCACCACACCATGATCGGGTAAGATCACGACGTTGCTTTTAAATCGAATTGAGATACAAGATATGCTTTGTATGCCAGAAGAGTTGAAGCTCATGATGAATATGTTTGACATTGACGGTTTCGAGATCAAGGGGACCTTAAACGAATAATGGCTCAGAATATGATGTTTTCAGGTAGTCTTTAATACCTCTTGTCATTCAATGTTGTGATTACATATGTACGCAGACCACCAGTGGCGACTCTCATCCCCCGGTTTTGACCCTGTGCTCGGGACTCACATTTTTCCATTTGTTGGAAGCGAAACTGTCTGATAATCGTGCCATTCTGAAACAATTTATTGTCTATCCAACTGTTTGAAAAGCCATCTATGAATGAAATGTGAAATTCACTGCATAGGGAAACTTACTGTGTTTACCTTGGAAGATACTGCCTTGTGTTTCTCAGGCACTTAATGTTCCCAAGGTTTCATAGAGTAATTCAAAGAATGCAAGCAGACCTCTGATGAAAATGTCTCTGCCACCATCAACCGTCCTGACAAGGGCTGACCTTGGCTTTCACATCTGTCACAAGAATGCCCGGCACGTACGGATTCTACAATGTTCAATGACCACCACAACCCCCCCCCCTCCCAATTGGGTCATCAGCCAGAGCTCCTGATGTTATTACGACTCAAATTCCTGCTCAGTCGTTCCATCTGTCTTGTCTCTGTGTTATTACTCATTTTCGTGTACCTAGATAAGCCGCGAGTACGCCAGACAGCCAGAGTCGTCACACCCGCAAGCAGCGAGAAACCATTCGCATGACAACCGTTTCTAGATCGAAGATTCACGGTAGTGTACACGTCAGCAAACGAGCGTCACTGCCAGCTGCCGGCTCTGACCTGCACAAACCCGAGTGGACAAAAAGTTAGAAACGTTGGCACCACCTTGAGCGTCCTGACACAACCCTGAGGGCGCAGTGATGGGGCGACGTTTCCTGCTAAATACATTGTGGATGGGTGGTGAGATGCAAGGAGCGGTGAGAAGGTCCGGATGGTTTCATCGCCGTTTGCGCGCTTGTGATGCACTGCAACATATTTTCCGAGACCCTTGCGGGCGGCTACAACCTTTGGGTGGTCTGGAACTATGGATCTGCAATCGTTTTCGGACAGCACCTTCTTCTTGACCAGGTATTTACAAAAGCCAATTGTTTCCCGAAAGCTCCCCCTTTCTTTCCCGGCTGGCCATTCCCTAGTTAGGCTCTACGCTCATACAATGTGCGAGGCAAACAGGAGATCGAAGGGAAACGTTAAGCCAGCACATGAGCTCCTAACCGAGGATCAGAGTGTTGAAATAAGAAACCGCACCCCTTAATTCGAGACTTTTTCGATATAAAGGGATGTTCTTAGTAGAAGTCGTAGGTTTCAATCATGTGGAGGTGAAGCAAGTCACTAGGCCAGCGGCGCAGGGATGAATGATGTATACTGCGGAGTAAAACAACCCGGGAGAATCATGTACCCCGGGTGCACGTCCTCGGGATGGTAAGCATCTTGGCTTTCTGGAATGATCCAGATCTCTCCCGTCCATCAGTAGGGGCTCACCTGGCGGTCCATCCGACACTTCCGCGGTACACCATGGGTTAATGATTTGGCAGTCAGAGCCCGGTGCCACTTGTCACTACTTGCTGATCCTGTGTACTCGTGATGAAATGATGCAGAAAGGCACTGAGAAATTGCAGGTGATAAAAAGCTGGAATGATGAGGACCATTTATTATGATGCATACATGTAGAGACCCACAGTACCTAGGTAGGTACAGTACAATATGTTGCCTTGTCGTTGGACCATTCGTTTTCGACCGCGAATCAGCTGTCTGTTGAGAGGAGGGGATAATTTCTGAAGCAGTCTTAGTAATACCCAGATTGGTGCTTCCGATAGAAATGATATATTGTTGCAGGTGTTAATCGGGCGATCGGATGGCTCACGACAGCGGTGTGAGGCCTTGCCTTGTCCAAAAGACAGCAACAAGGCCCCTTGGGCAGTTAAGAAGTGTGGGTTCTCAAAGTCAAGGGTCTACTGTTGATGTTCCTCCTGTTGGTCAATAGTGCTTTTGCCGTCCTAAGAAGTTGTGGAATGTCTACTCTGGGCGGACCGAGCCTACGCTTCTATTATGGGATTCCATGTCGTTGATCGCTGTCGGGGCTCGTCAGAGCCCTGTGCCCTGAAAGTCTATGTTGTTCCCGAAACTGCTCGTGTGGGCCTACGAAATTGACAGATGACCATGCGCTGAATCGTATTAGATTATCGGAGCCTGCAGACTTGTCGCTTGTAACAGTGTAGGACGGAAGATCACAATCAGTCGACACGGTCACAAATCCGCGACAGGCGCAATGACGGTGAAGAACGGTGAGATGATCAGAGGTGAATCTGCGTCTGTGAATCAAGACAGCGCATACTGGCCCTATATATGCCAGGTGATATCATCTGTACGCAGGATGACTTCGTTGCGGGTACCCTGTAGTGCGCCTCTCCCTGTACGCTGTCGCGTGATGGGTGCCTGATCAACGCGCGGCTGGAGCAGGGTAGCATTCCGCCGAGCCGGCACGTACCTAGGTAGTGTATTTTAGACGGTGAACCTGGCGCCGTCGAGGCGAGCCGCAGATTCTCCGCAGGCACTTATGTAACCTCTGGCGACTTAAAAGCTACTCCGGAAGTCCCCCTGAACTTTATTGTGTGTCGATGGCTCGGTTGGCCTTAAACTATGCAATATTCACGCCCAGCTCCACTCGGCTGAACCCCTTTACTCTTCAAGTTAGTGGCCGGGAGCCTCAGGATCAGACCGCAGCATAAGGTTGATGATGTCACGCCCTGTCCAATTTCCCTCTCGCAAAGCTGGAGCACTGCCCGCAGGACGGTGCTCTCCAGGGCTCCCATGATCGAAGTGAGCCGGGCTAAATACAGAGCGCATGGCCTGGAAGGCTCTCTGACACTAGGCACGTGGTCCAGTGCGGTCAACGGCCGCTGTGCAGCATGAAATAATCGTTGATCAGGGTGCCCAATCGACGGCGCGCAGGGAAGGTGCCTGAGTCGCACTCTCGGGCTCTGGCGGCTGTCCCTAGGGCGAGGCTTGGGATATCCTGTCTAGCTGAAAACGGGAATTCTGCGACTCCCAGCAACTCCGACGTCACCAGCCTTGCCGTAGCAGTCCGACTTGTCAAAACAACGTTTCCTTGTCATGGCCGCGACGCCGGTGCGAAGTTCAGCCACCCTTCCAGGACTGGTTAAAGCCCACCTGTCTCACCCGGTGTCTCCATCGATCTTCTGGACCCTTTTATTTTTGTCTCGGGTATTTCTTCCCATCACTCATCTACCCGAAGTGCAGCATTACACCATTCCTTATTTGTCTGCATTACATGTCACCGGTACCAGCCGGATCGTCACAACACCTCATACTCTCCTTCAGCAAACGACTTCAAGATGGAGGGACTTGTGTACGGTGTGGCGGCGATGATAGTGAAGGACATGCTCAAGACACCATACCTCAAAGGCCGAGACTACGAACGCAATGTGCGTCAAGTTTACCGAGATGTCGACAACCTTCAAATCACATTGGACCAGACCAAATCCAACTGTGAGGGCCAGTCCCTGAGCAAGCCTCATGCCGACTTTGTTAAGCGAGCCGAGAAGCAAAAACGAGATTCCTATCGCATTTTGCGGAAGAACTACCCGCGTTATGCCTCCAAGTCGCAGCTCCTCGAATATGCTTCAACGCCAGGGGCCGAGATGAACCTGCTGGACATAGGGAAGGAGGCCAACCAGACAGCCAAAGGTCTGAACGACCTACTCGCGGAGATTCGCTTCGCCAAGATAGGAGGAGGTGACAAGGAGGATGACAAGGAGAAGGAGAATGAGGGTGGAGGCAAGCAGAAAGAGAAGTCACCAACACGGCCTTCTCTTGACCTGTCCAAAGTCCAGTCCGCCGACGCACCATCGAGGGGTTCGAGCAGCCCCCGGAGTATGTCGAGCCGTCATGGCAGCGTGTTCAGCCCCATCCCAATCCAGCCAATTGGAATATACAGCCCACCCAGCAGCACCTCGAGCTTTGGAGACCCCACGAGGAGGCGCTCGACGTCGTCATCCAAGCGGAGGAGCCAGAGCAGCCAAAGGCACCTCGGCCACCACAAGCAAGAACTCCTCACGCCGTCTTCATGGCCAAAGACCAACCCCTTCGAGACGATAATGGAGACAGGCCGCGAGCGCGAACAGGCCCTGGACAACCTGCAGCACGGCATCGACCAGGTCCTCGGGGCCGTCGACCAGGAGCACGAGTACGAGGCCATGACGTACCTGGAGCACGCGCTCAAGGAGGTCCTGCGGCTGCAGCGGGCACAGGGGTTCTCGGGGTCCCAGATGGGCGAGGACCTCGGCGACGCCGTCGACGAGCTCGACCTGGCCATGCGCAACCTCGTCGCCGCCAAGACGGACAAGCAGAAGGACCGCGCGCTCAAGGCGCTCAGCTTCGCGCTCGAGGGCGTCGATATCGCCCTGTACGCGCGCCGGAAGCGCAAGGAGCAGTCAGGGCGGCACCATCACGCCAGCCCCGTGCGTGTCAGCAGCAAGCGTCACGGGAAGGGCAGTTCGGAGAGGAGCAGGAGCAGGCGATATTCGATGCAGTCTGAATACCCAGAATAAACCAGATCATGAAGCGTTTGTATTATTGGAGTAAAGCATGCTGTACTGTATGTGTAGCACTATGGGATAGGATGGCATGGAAAGGCGTTCTATTACGATGATGAATATTTCTTTTATCTCATTCTACCTGTCCCATCACGTTTGTCTCAGTTACAGAGATGGGGCTTGATGAACAAGAATGAACGACCTGAGCAGATATGGTTCAAAGGTATCTCAGTCCGTCATTACAGGTTTAAAGTGTCAAGACTAGAAGTGATTGTTGGCAGGGAATTTGGCCCAATTTTACAACATCTATGGACCGGTCGAACTCATTCACGTCACATGCATGTGCGGATCACAGGGAAACCAACACGCGGCGACCTTTCAACTGCAAGGCGTTCCTCCGTTGTTCCTCGATATGTTGCATTGTATCCCCGGTCCATTATGTGCCTGCCGAAGACCTCAGGAACCACTCACGGAAAGTGAGGCTGTAGAGACCCCCTTTTGTGGTGACCCCACTCTGTCTTCTAATCCATTTTGGTGTGTTCATACCCCGGTTTCAGCCAAGATCCTCGCACCAAAACATGGACAAGGAGAGGATAGACTAGCGGTAAGGAAGCGAGCCAGGGAGGCTGGTTCTTGTTGGGCAGCCGCCCAGCGGCTTGTTTCTATTTCCTTCCCCCAAAGCCATTTATATTATTGTGATGCGCGGTTTGGAAGCAAGGCCTCATTTATCAGTTACCTGATACCGTTGTCACCCATGCAGCGACGGCCCTGGGAATCACGAAAGCAAACAGGTGTTTTCGGATAATCAAGAGCCCCCCAGAGTTACTTCGGTTTTACTTCTATTATCGATTAATTTTGTATGCTTCTATGGAATCCCAAGTCGATTCATAAGGGCCAATGCAGCAGGCAACTGCGAATGCACCTGTCACGTAATGCCATGCCGTGGATGGAGGCGATGTTTGAAGCAGACCCTGAAGGACAGTATAACCAAATAGATACGGCGCCACGGTAAATAAAATATAACAGTTGAATTTTCGCGTCATTTCAGAACATTTGTTGTCTTCGGCGGTAGGCCGTGTTAATAAATAAGATGAGGTTGTGAATGCCTATTAGTACGTCACCATCATCGTAGGCCGTCGGATGCCGTATGCAACCGCGGAACTTCGGAAGCTGACATAATCCCACCTAGCACAACGACGGCGAGAATGGTCCGAGGACCGGAAGCAATGCTCTCAGCAGCCTCGGTCATAAGCAGCAGCGATTGAGGTAGAGGTGAGTGCAGCCAGACCACCAGCGTTTGCACCAGATAAGAAATATGGCATCCGCTGCTTCCGGAGTAATTTCCCCACAGGCCGACGACTCCTTCGAGCTGTACGACCTCCGAATTGAGGTGGTGTGCCCTCCAGGAGAGAGGATCATGTGCGGTGCCAAAGAGGGTGACTACTTCTCTCTCGAGGGAGAGATGATGTACCTTCCTCCCGGTCAGGGCATCAGCATCTACAGTCTGGGTGAGTGGCATAAAACGTGTGGCGGCAACAGGAGGGGCATCTCTGTGACAGCCTCGACTGACGAACCCGTCAGCTTCTGTCCTTCCGCTTCTTGCGGCGAAACAGCGCGTCACGCACGTCAACGACTGGATGACCTCAGATGCGCTGATCGCCTGCCCGGATCCCAACTGCAAATCTCAGCTGAAGATAGTGCGGACGGGCAAGAGGAGGTTCAGCCATGCTGAGACGACGGTTGTTGGGTTGGAGGGAAACAGTTAGCGAACCAGTCGTCTTGATGCTCTTGCGAGCCTGTGATCTTGATTAGGCTATAAGTAGTGCGCTAGATCAATATGCCCTCCTCCCCCGGTATCCAATAGTGGGAAAAGGTTCAATCCGCCGAATGAGTCGTCTCCCTCAAATGCGCCACTTAGAAGTGACAGGTCAGGGGTCCGAGGCAAGCTGTTCGACATGGTCAAGAAGGCCGGGTCCAAGTCACTGAATAAAGACGGTGATGCCACACCTCCCATTCCAAAATGTGGCGTCGGGTGGCTTTGGGGCGTCGGTTCGGATTGCAGATCTCTCTGATGGCCCATCCTCACGGGGCTGGCCACCTTTCGCGAAGCCTCTGGAGATCTCCTGGTGCTCATGCTGTCCCCGTCTCGGGTCTCGTGGGGGATGAGCCCGAATAGCTGGGCAGAACTCTCTGTCCTCTGTAACCGCTCTTGCACTTCCTTCTTCTCGAGATATTCCACTGCTGTCGTGAGCAGAGATTTTGAGATCATGGAGTACTGCGCTGCGTGTGCGTCGATCTTTGCGAAGTGATCGAGTGCCGTCACAGACATGCGCGCGTACTTCTCGAGGATGCGGCCGAAGCCTCCGAGGAGACCAGCGCCTAGTACGAGCGAGCCTGCAAATAGCCACGATCTAGCACGAAACAACAGTCAGCCTCGACATCCTGTTAACCGAGTGGCATCGGATCAGCTTACACAAGCACCGGCCGTCTTCCGGAGACGAGCCCCTTCTCCACCAGATCCAAGATCTGGTCAACCATCAAGCTGGCAGCATCGATGCAAGCATCGGCTAATTTTGACTTGCCGGACATCAACCCGGCCCTCCCGTAGGCAGAGGACGTGTCAGGAGACAAGCGCCTATACAACTCGTACATCAAGAATGGCCTCGATACCAGCATCACAGCATAGTAATACGACGCAAGAACCTGACATGCTCCATTGACCTCGGCAGAATTCTGCTCGCTTGGGGGCGACACCACGCTTTTAAGCTGCTGCAGCCACCTTAGCGAGAAATCCCTTAGCTGCCGAGATATGCCTTCGGTCAGCTGCAAAGAGATTTTCCGCCTCGAGTACACTTCTACCACGACGCCCTCGAGGATCAGGAAGATCTGGACAGATGCGTTCAGGATATCAAACACCTCTTGTCCGTCGTCGTCGACCTGGCGGTAGGACACAGTGCAGTCGACATCACTCGTGCTAGGCGGCCGGCCCATGGACGTGCTGAGGAACAAGTCCACGACACGCAGGCTCTTCCACAGCCTGTCCCGCTGCCGGTGCGTCTCGGACCCGAACCGGCTATTGACCTCGGTACGGTGCACGCCGATGGAGTACGCCGCGCGGACCGCGATGCCGAAGAACAGGAACGCGCCGTTGATCTGGCACGCGCACAGCATGTACAGCGTCACCAGGATGAACGCCTGCACCGTGTCGACGCTGAGGTTGCCGTTCAGGTTGGCCAGGGCCTGGTCTCGCGCGTACTCAAAGTACAGCTGCGCCGTCTCCTCGTTGGTCTGCTGCATGCCGATGGCGACCACGAGGTAGCTCACCGCAGACGAGACGTCGTTGATGCGGTTGCCCGCCTGGTGGTTCGACGCCCAGATCGTCATGTCCTCCACCAGGCGGGCCTTGCTGACGAAGAGGTCCGCCATGCCGGACGTGACGGAGAGGTACGTCGAGATGATGGCTGGGAGGTCCTCGGTCTTGACCTCTGGGGGCGACGAGGCGCCTGATAGGAATGACGACCTTGAGACCGCGTTCTCGAGGACTGAGTAGCGGCTCGTCTGCGGCGCGAAGGCATTGTGGTCGACTCGGGTGGTGACGAGCTGGCGGACGGTCTGGAAGAACGACAGCGGGGCGCAGTCGCCAATGAAGATCAGCTTTCCCTGGGCGTCGCAGAGGAGCCTTGCTTCTCGAGGCACCTCGGCCTCCTCGTGATCGTCCGTCACGGCGGTCTCGCTGCTTCTCCGGTGTGCGCCGTGTCCGGCTGCAGAGCCGGGCTTCACCGGCGGTGTCGGCAGGACGGCATGGTTGGTCGCAGCCGTGATGCTCGTGTGCTCAAAGTCCACCGGGTGCGGTGTCCCTTGGCTGTGGTTGTTGCCGCTGACGGAGACGGATGGGGAGTGGATGCTTGGTGTTCTTGGCTGAAGCTGGTTCCGGGGCCGCGGGCGGCGGCGCTCTCGCGGAGGAGAGTACTTGCAGGCGTGCGGTCTCTGACGACGTGTACAATAACTACATGGCAGTTTGCCGTCACATTTCACTGCATTACATGCGGGATTAGCAGAGGTGGTGGCCGATAGTAGGGGACGTTGACAGCAAGGAGCTCAACATCCAGTGATTGGGTAGGAGATTCATCATCAAGTGTAAGTTTCTGAGACATGTACACGGTTGCCACCTGGCACACATGGCGGAAGCATCATCCGTCCACACAGATGCTGTGAAACCTCGACCGCAAGTGAGGAGGGACGGGCCAATGACAGGACCGGCAAGGGACTGGCAGATCGGAAGTTACCTACCTTTCCGTGCTTTGCAGCCATCACAAGCACTCTGCACTCGGGCTCGAATGTACTGAGGCTCCCCGGAAGTGGCCTGATCACCTCCGCTGGCGCCAGGAGTGCTCGACTTGTCCATCTTGGGGGTGGTCGTAAGGCGGCAAATGGAGACATTGGGTCGGGGGCAGACTCAAACTGTCGGGGTGAGAGGCGGGTTCGGGACCTGCAAACGCTGTCTAGAGTGCGGAAGCGGAAGATTTAGAGGCACTGAGTGGGCACGATGCGGAATCGGAGCTGGCCACCCTGGCAAGCGTAGACTTATTGTTACTCGGGATTGGGACTCCTTAGTGCTCGCGGCTGGCGTCGGAAGAGCAACTCGGTGAGGGTTAACCCCCGAGCCGCGCTCGGCTTTGACAGCGGGTACCATACGTGAATATATAATTAACGTCGGTTGACCAACAAACATCGGATGGGACATTGTACTAGGCTGGGCGGCGCCGCATTAGTTAAGTTATACAGTGTATCTATCCATAGAACTTTCACAAACAGCCCAGTGTGTGAAGTCTCAGAATGCAAATCGCACGAGAAGAGCAGCCGCAGCATCCGAGCATCATTGTCTAACGTTACGCCCTTCAGATTCGGCCTGAAAGCAACCGCCATCACCGAAGAAGTCGCTGTCAGCCAGGTGGTGTCATGGCTGTTGAGCCAGAGTATGAACTAGACGCTCAGGACGTCTTCCATTCCGAACTTGACACCTCTCAATCTCTAGTACCCTCTTTCCTACGGGTGTGCTCCTGACCCACCAATTTCGACAGCTCCGGTTGAGCACTTCTTTTACCAAGTGGCTGGGCACACATCCAATACCTCGAACCGACCGCTTATCAGCCTCTGCAACATCTCGGGGTCAAGTGGCCCTTGACATAAAAGTGGAAATGAGCATGAGTTATTCGTTTAGAACCCTCATTTCAAATGATTCTATGCGCGTCTGCAGCTTTTGCAGTTCTGGTCAGTCTCTCTCCAACACGATCTTCAGCGCCTTCGGCTCAAGGCCCAATGCTTTCCCATCGTCGCCCAAATGGAAAATGAACTCATCAAGAGCAAAAACTCCATAGACAGGTCGATCTATAACGCCCCAGGAAGGGCAAGCATCGAATGGTGATCCTGTGTCCGGGAGGGAAAAAGAAGATGACCTCCACGAAATCTGTTTGCTATCCTCGCTGACGATGTTCGTTGGGAACATCTGGAACCAATCTGCAGCTAGCAGTGGTCTTAGATCAGTGCCGTTACTGATATACTTCTCGATGCCAAGTCCGGGAATTCCAGGCGTTGTAGACAGTGTGACAGTGGAGTTGAGCCCGTTACTTGCTGTGTATGTTCCAGCGAACGCAGCGTCCGCCTCCGCCCTCGCTGCCTCGTCTAAAGCCGGCAGCAATGCATCAGTAATCACACCAAGAATAACATTTCCGACAGTGGACCCATCTTCACCTGCCATCATGACAGTAATTCCCACGTTAAAATCTGGTATCAGATTTAGACTCGACCCGTACCCAGGAAGATTTCCGCCCTTGGTGTAGAGGTCGATCACACGATTATTCTCCGCGTTTGTCACCGCGCGATAGATCTCCCAAGGTCGTCCGATAGCGCCGATCAGCGAAGAGGTGAATGAAGTCGGCTTCATCCATGCTCGCGTCGTAGACCCTGGCAGAAGTGAAGACGAGAGAATGGCGCGACCAATTGCAGAAAGGTCGTTAGGAGTGCTGTACAAACCGCCCATGGCTGCGCCAGGAGTTTTCATAATGTCGAGATCCCAGCCTGAGGTAGTCGCATTACCAGGGATGACTGCATTGGTTGAATTCGGTGCTGAAATTGTGGTACTGCCGAGCCCCAAGGGCCCAGTGAGCAGGTTCCGAAGAGCCTCGTCAAATGTAGACCCAGTCAACTCTTCTAGCACCAGCCCAAGCGCAGCGAAGGCAGCATTGGTGTATCCTGGAGTGGTGTTCGGTAGGTACACTGGTCGCCTCTCAATCAGCTCCTGGATGAATGCGTCTCGAGTACATCCGCCGGAACCGTAGCTGCATCTAGATGTTTCATTGGCGGACAATGGCGGGAAAACGCCCGGCAGCAGCTGGCTCAAATCGCCCCCGGGTATAGAGGTGGTGTCAAACACTACGGGGATTAGCATCGCGGCGTTCAACCTGACGGGCTTGAGGCACTTACACTCGGCGGTTATACCTGCAATATATCCGGCTAGTGATCCAATGGTAATATCATCCCAATGCGATGCACCTTCAAACTCCGGTAGGAACTTGGTCAGTTTCTCACTGAATATCGAGTCTCCTGCCTCAATCAGAAGCAGATAGACGGTGATCAGCTTGGACGTGCTACCAATTCGGTACACAGAGTCACCGTCAATTGGCCTATCGCCGAGCACGGCGGGTCCACGTCGATGATAGTCTAGGAGTGGCTCTCCAGTTGTAGTGGAGAAGATCTGAATAGAATAGGTATCATACGGGTTGACTGGTCCATGCGTAGTGTTTCCGCTTTCGAAGGCTTCGTGGATGGTGGATTCGAGGAGTTCCAGTGTCTCTTGAAAGGCTGCAGATGAATGAAGCTCGCGAGGGGGAGGAAACACGGGGCCCAGGATTGGGCAAATACTTGCAGTGGCTACGGCGGCCCAGGTTGGGTAGGCTGCCAGCGATTTGAAATGCATCGTGTACGGTATGTAATAGATGACGTGCTGGTACTCGCAAAACGCAGTTAAAGGTGTGTATGATATTTGTAGATTGTTCCCCTCTTCATATTCCCAGCCATTGTCGCCCTGACATCAGCTGATCACTTGATACCGAGTTAACCGAAGGATTTTCGGAAGACATGTTTACTGAAGAGGGCAGGTGTGTAGTACTAATCGGGCTGCTGTAAAGCCACCCGTGCAGATACGACGTAAGCTGCCAAGATTGAGCCAAGCGGCAGGATCACAACTAGCAGATAAACCTCACCGTTCTTGTCAACCATGCGTAGTTATACCGTTGTGTGAGACGCGAGGAAGAATTTCGTGCTGACTTGCTTTTCCGGATAGCACGGAGCAGGCTTAAGTTCGCGAATGATCTTGGGCAAGATCAATGAGGCGAAAGGGACCGTCTGGATGCGCAGCTGCTAGTAGCAATATGCTACTTGCCACAGCCTGAGAAGTCGAGCAGTGACTCGTTGTCGTGGGAATGAAGAAGAGCTGAACAACATTTATCCGCTTGAAATATTATGTACCTAGGTAGACTCTTTCCATAATGTACACTCCCAGGGGCTTCCAAGATTTCTGCCATGAAGTAAAAAGGCTCGACCAACTGAAGCCTACATCCTGGTAACTGTCAAACTACCTAGGTACCCTAGGGTAGATCTCATTTACTTCTCTACATTTCTCCGACTACAACTCAGGCGACAGTTTTCCCGCTACCGACCTACCTAGGTACTTGAGTACCTAGGTACCCAGGTACCCTAGTACTTGCGCCTTTCAATATTGAACCAACTCTACGCTCTGTACTCCTATTCTACCTACACTATACCAGTGGATACCATGCTACACTGGCAGTTTATGCTAGGACGGCCCTTACGGTACGGCTCTTATGCTACCCTGGGTACTGATCGTTCGTGTTGATCCATTTGTGTACATAACAGCTTCCCTGGAAGTAGAAGGAAACTGGTGTAGTCGTCAAAGAGACGGTTCCGGGGCAGCCGGTCACAGACAGGACATCGTTTCCCATGGGTTCCTTTACAAGTTGTTGTGGATCTACCCCCCTTCAGAGTGGCCAGCCACTATTGTTCGCCTTTCCAATTCACAATATCACAATTTCTTTGCCAGAGGAGCGTTTACCACTGTATGAAGGCGCCACGTACATTTTACATGTATGGGGATAAAAAACGAAACCACTCTTTGCCAGAATGCTCACATAAATCACAGCAGGCCTCGAGAATAAGCTAAGCCCAAATTTTGATCTGCCCAAGCCCGGAAACCAATTCATTTCACACGGCTGATTCCACAGACAGCTCTCCTTTTGAGCCTGTGGCTGTTCAGGATCCGCCTCTACGCTCACTCCATAAAGGGGCAGATCAACCCTGTGATTTTCTCACGAAAAAGGCATGAATCCGTAATTCACTATGCACACTCAGTTGATGGTGTCATTGAAACGTGAACCACGGCGATGCTCAGCCATGTTTGGTATGGAATTGCCCCGAAACCATGGCTCTCTCCTCGAATCATGTGCTGACATTCCCGTCGCATGCCAGTTTTTCAAACTTTCCTCAGCCAGCACCTTGATCAAAATGAATCAATGCACATCCCCTTTTCTATATTAATATCAACCTAGTGCACCAACGCACGAGAATCGATGCCCTTTCATTTCATAGCCAAAAAATCACCGAGGCGAACACACAGACATATGACATGTGAGACTGAAGAATGCGAAACGGAGACGAGGCTCACCAGCATTGCTCAGAAAATTACGAGCACCTCCGGTCTTGCGGTGCTTTCAGGGTAGTCTTATCGCTCGCTTCTTCTTACCGCCCTAAAGTTCCCAGAGTGGGAGCGGAGCTCATCGCATACCTAATTGGGCAAACTAGCAAGCTGTAGGAATAGTGGATATACGCCCCCTAAACGGACTTGACGCGGGAATATACTCCGTACTTGCGGCCTGTCAATAGCCATCTGTCCTGACATCCGACGGGTTTACACCCGGGACCGAAGGGCTGTACACCTAGGTAGGCAAGTCCGCGGAAGGAATGACCAATTTCGCTATCCATGTACATGAATCGGACTGAGAAAAAAACTATTATTGCAGCTCGGCTTCTTCCGCGCAGGAGCCAAGACATACATACAGAATATTATTGAATGACAGCTCAGCCTACTGTAAAGAAGTCAGAGATAAGCTTTCTGAGAAACGGTAGATGGGCAGAGCCTCTCTCGTCGACACATCACATGTGCGACATCGAAATTTTGACAGCTTGCATCTCCACAAAATATCCTTTGCGCCGCGCTCTGGCTTTGCCCCTGAAATGGTGTCTTCCTGCGTGACTGTCCACTTCTACCACGGTATCTACAGCCAAATCCTTGTTGACGATCCAGTTCGACCGAAGTAAACCCACTGGGACCGCACATAGTCCGTGCGACCTGTGTAATCCACCCCCTTCGTGACGCGTTGTGTTTGACGGGTAGAACGGCGGCGCCCTTATTTCTTCAGGGCTGCCTAATGCTCCCCGGTAAGACCCACATCTACCTTGCGCAATCTGTTGCCGGTTCTCGATTGCGGAAAGCAGCGCGTGCCCCGTCAGGGGGCAACCTAACCGACATTCTCGCCGGGCAGACGTGCCATCACGAAGGCTTCCAAGACATCTGGATTCATTGCTGGCCACTTTTCTCAACAAAAGTCTGATTCACAACTAACAGCCTCTCGAGACTCCATGATCTTCCAGCGTATAGTGCGCCTTCCGATCTCCGCGCGTGATAGATCGCCCAAAAGCGAACCAAGCTACTGGAAAGTCGTCGCTGCCATGACTCGCCCGGGCTGTACCGCGGCAGAGAGCCGATCTTTCAAGCCCGCCCGGCCCGCCCGTTCTCGCAGTTCTGGTTGGCGAGCCTCAAATTCGGGTTCCGCAGCAATGCACAGCCGTTTCTGGGCGCTCTGCCGGGGTTCGCAGCAGGAAGGGAGCAAAGCAGACTGGAGGGAGCGAGTCCACCCGGGCGATCAGTGATCGTGAAAATCTCATTAAAAGGGATTCCCCGACCGCCCCCCGTGGGCGCCCCGGGCTCGCACCTCTTAACGTTTTGGGGGTTGCTTGTCTTTTTATGCTTCTTTTTTTCGGGTTTCTCCATCCAATCGCCATCCTGCGTTGGGATCGTCCGATGTCAATTGTGCCATGACAATCGATGCCGCCGTCATCGAACAATTCGGCCCGCCGCCGCCCGGCATCGACCTCTCAGAGGTGCAGATGCCGGGAACGGATCTTGGGGTCATTGTCTTGGTTGCGGTCGCGACTCTCTCCGTGCTGCTCCGGCTTGGCTCACGACTCGTTCAGGAAGCAGGGCTGAGGGCCGACGATTACTTGATCATCGCCGCCCTGGTATTTTCGATTGGAACATGTGTTCTGACCATTGAGAGTTCGTATTTTCCTCTTTGGATGAGCTGATCAACAATGGCATTACTAACGAAGATACCCACGAAGTGGGCACTAAAGGTGCTGGAAGACATATCTGGGCACTGACGGTGAAAGATGTGGTAGACACATCAGTGGTTAGTTAGAACCTTGGGATGATACGCTGCCCAATGGGGTTCCATCCCGACAACGGATAACTGACAAGTCAGATGTGTAGTATCTGTTCGCAATCGGCGTTGTTTACACTATGGCCGCCATGACCATCAAGTTGTCCATCATACTGCTCTACATACGGGTCTTTTCGACGGCGCATACTATCTTCCGCCATTGTATCCACGGCGCCCTCCTCATGACCATGGCTTTAGGTGCAACCTTCACGGTTGTCATCACATCATCCTGCCGGCCACTACAGTACTTTTGGACGAGATACGATGGAGTTTCCGAGGGAACCTGTATTGATTTGGGTAGCTTCTTTGCGGCCTTCTCGGTTATGAACGTCTCCCTTGACGTATTCTTGCTGGTGTTACCTATCCCGATGGTGCTGAAGCTACAAATGTCGGCGCGGAAGAAAACGATCGTCTGTGCACTCATGTTGCTTGGGATCTTGTACGTCTTGCCGTCCTCACGTGCCACTGACCACGCAGTCTAACTAGAACTGACAATGATTGGCACAGTGCCTGTGCTGCCGGCATGGTCCGCATCTACTACGTGGTGTTGTTTGCTTTTGCGCACGACCACACGTGGGCCATGGGCCCAGTCGGACTCTGGCTGTCGGTGGAACCCGCCATCGGAGTTGTATCGACCTGCATGGCCAATGTCATGCCACTGTACTATTGGCTGATGGAGAAGGCGAGTCCGGGCGACCGCGCGGGGAGGACGAACAGGCCGCGATCGAGCGACTACCGGGGCCTTGAAAGGTCGCGCCTGCACACGATGATCGAGGGGAAGCTGGTGCTGAGGCCGAGGGAGGACGACGAGATTCGCTTGACCACGCTGGCGACGGCCGGAAGGCATGAGTCTGAGGAGGGAGGCTGTCCGAACCACGAGAGGGGCATCGTGGTCACTTCGGATGTCACTGTCACGGTCAGTGAAGGCCCTGACAAGCGATCGTCTCCATAACCCTGGATCTGCCCGATGGCGAACCTTGACCTGGATCGGTCAACGTTTTATCCGAAGAGTCTCTCCGAGTCAGTAGTGCCCAAACTGCCAGCCTGGCTGATGGTGTGTGGTCTTGTTAGCTTGTGTTAGCACCGACGATGAATCATCACATCCTACCTATCATTGCGCTCTCCTTCTCGATTTACACCGCCCATTGGCTGCAATCTCGCAGCCGCAGGCTGATACACTCCAAGGCATGACCTTATGAGCATCGTCCCACCATGGGCAGGTCCCCTGGCGAGCTGCCCGCATCTTGTTGCACGACCTCTGCCACTCATAGTCGCCATTGCACAACGCCGTACTACCCAGATAGCCGCTTTGTGTGGCCGCGTGAGCCAATGAGCGAAGGCAGCCTCGTGGAGACCGTTGTTCGTTATCGTCTTGTCGTGGTGAGATACGCGTGTGTCGTGCAGCGGCTATGCTGCCGTCCGGTACACGACCCACTGGTGCAGCTTCATGGTTCGATGGCAAAGGACACAGCAGCCCATCTAGGGGGCGTCCTTATTGGAATTTATTTGGCTGGCTCCGGTGTTCCGGACTGTCTCTGACCAGGCCCCGGCAGTGGAATTGCCAAGCGGAACGGGACGGGCCAGGCGGCATGTAACTGAATCGGGAGATGCACCCATAAAGCATGCGACTGGTCGTATGAGTCTGGACCGGCCATCGATGGCAGTCTCGACGCGGCGACGTAGCGACAGCCGGGGGTTTCTTCGCGGGTTATTGCATCGGACGCCTCTGCACAACCCTGAAATCCAGAACCTCAGGGCCATGTCATCATATGTTGCATGTGAAACAAGCATTTCGGTTGACGTATGATCCTTGGCGCACTGATCAGGCAAACTGTCGAGAACCACATGGATCGGCCCATACCTGATTCGACTTGGTGTTACAATGCATCTACGCCAGCAGCACCCCAGATGGCCCTTCAGCATCGCGCAAAGTCAATCGACACTATGGACGAGGAGGTCATCGATGGGGCCATCAACGCTCGAGCAATGACCGGGAGTTGACACAGCTTCAGGTATATCAACCATCGTGACTCCCAACCCAAGAGCTTAATTTTCTTACTCGCCATCCTCAACTCACTCTAGCCTCTCTACCACCGCCTCTCAACTCAACAACATCCTTGGCTGCGCCAACGAACAATTTAACGATTTTACGACAACACCCCTTCTGCAAAATACCATAAACACAACCCCCCGCACGAATATCAACATGTCTGCCTTCCGAGCCGGTCTCTCCCTCTGCAGCCGCCGTGTTACAGCATCCTCTGGCAGGATCGTCAGTCGGCCAGCAAACGGCGCTACTTCTGCGAAGAGATGCTACTCAGACCTGCCATTCTACGCATACACCTCCGCAGTTGGCCTCGGAGGAGTTCCACTGTACGTACCAAGAACACTCCTGACTCCCACACTGTCCTATTGGGACACATCCCTGCCGCTGCTGTCGTAATGAATTTACAACCACCGCGTGAATCCCAGTGAACTTGTCAGATTACTAATGCTCTTCCGACATGCAGAGCCTTCGGCGGTGCCGCTAGTGTCATGGGAGCAGGATTGTACGCCCTTGGAAAGGACCCCCGAGATATCAAGCATAACGATCATCAGGCACAGATGGCTCTGAACCCAAAGCGGTCATACCGGGACTCTAAGTCTACCCGTTGGACCACCATATAGTTTGAATGCAAGCACATATTGGTCCAAAGATTAGACTTTCCATGACAGCCGTGCAACTGTGATGTACTAGTGCGGCTTATTGCGCAACAAGCCCTGTGGCCCCGCAATGGTCGTAAGACTTTTGCTGGCTGTTGTCTGATGCGATGATAGTATGCTCCAGCGGAATGTACGGAAGTAAGTTGATAAAACTAGTTCTCGGCAACATGGGTGGTCTCATCTTGAGGCTTGTCGGCCTCATTGGCCTTGGCCATCTTTTACAGTTAGTACATTGGATCAATGCTAGCTTGTCACAAATTGTTCACTTACCATCTCCTCGAAGAGTTTCTGTAGACTCTAGTCAACATCATACGACTATTTCAAGACCATTGCTTTGTGTAGATACTTACGGCGGCCAAATCTCCGGCAGTGCCCTCGGCAGCCTCCTTCTTTTCGGCTTCCTAGAATTCAGTTAGGCTCGATTTATATGTCTACTGGGCAGTGGATGACAAGGCTTACCTGTGAGAGCTCTTTCTCGGCCTAAGAACAAGAGTGAAAGATTAGTAAAAGTCAGCAACAGAGAAGATGGCAATTAAGAATAACAAGTTGACTTACCACGGCGCGCTTGATGATGTCCTAGGTACATCGGAACTCAGATCAGTAGTGTCAAATTCACTGTAATACCCATGCCGATCTGGGCTCTGCCCGTCTCCCTGAGAGTATTGCTCATCTTGAAATGGGGTATAGAGTTTGATTACGTGTATAGAGTACGTAAAAGAATTGTGGCAATTGTGGATAGTGCAGTGCAAGCTGTGTTGAGTGCGTCTTGCTGTGTACTGGCTGGTTGATGACTGAACGTTGGAGGAAAAGTAGAAGGGCAGACTGTTGACTCCCGAGTTCGTGAGGGGAACTTTTGCACTGAGCTAGCCGAGCCATCACATACACAACTGGCAAGTGCGGAGTGCTGAGCCGTCAGCGGAAGCTACGGCCCCGGACACACAGGCGGAGTCAACTTTAAGAGGAGCACCTGAGCTCATTTCAAGCGTCTACGGAAAGGTCAGCTGCCCAGGTGGTATCATCCACCTTCCAGAGGCTCTCTGGGCCCCTATCGAGCTACCACAAGTAGACTTCAACATTATGGCGCTGCCCCCACCGCATTTGCTCCTTGCCCATGCCTTCCCTTCCACCCCGCCATCCTAACACATGCATAACTAACTCCAATTACACAAATGTGGTTTCGCTTCTATTCCGTATACGTCCGAGGACATATATGGCGCCTTCATACGGTGCTAGATATTTATACCTACAAGAATAGAGGGTACACTTATACTAGGTAACTTGGAGATTAAAATACTTAAGTTAGTATTAAACTAGTTATCTTAAAAAAGGTTGTCCTAGAGGAGGTTATTATATAAGAGGTTATCCTAGGAGGATATCCTATAGGAGGTTGTCCTATAGGAGGTTGTCCTATAGGAGGTTGTCCTATAGGAGGTTGTCCTATAGGAGGTTGTCCTATAGGAGGTTGTCCTATAGGAGGCTATCCTATAAGAGGTTGTTCTATAGGAGGTTATTCTCTAGGAGGTTGTCTAATAGGAGATTGTCCTATAGGAGTTTATTCCTTGGAACTGAGTGTACCCTCCATTTTTGCGGGTGCGAATATCTAGTCTTATTAGTAAAGCTGAAGAGGTCGTGGTTAGAACGCTTGCAGTGAGACGGGCCAAGAGACGAGGTAGGTCCATGAACCTCGTGGTAGGGAGGGAGATTGTATTGTTGTGAGACTACTTTGTGACGATTATAGCTCCACGGCCACGTTGCTTTGGTACAGCCTAGCAGACGGTGATTTGCTGGTCTGCTCTTGGTATTGGGATGAGGAAAAGATTTGCATTCCTTGGGATATCTTTTGGGTCGACGGTTGGTAGGTCCTTGAGGTTGGCGGCGTGCTCGCCAGTTTCATGCCCGATCCTGTACTACATCTGGCGGCTGTTGGTGGCGATGTTTGCCCACCTGGGCAGGCATTCAGCTGCTGTGCCGCTCCATGACATTGTGTGCTGCCTTATAATAAAAGCAACATTCAAGCCCCTCATTTCTCCATCCCCGCATCACCAGACGAACGCAACAGTCACAAGCCCCCATAAATCACGGCATGATGCACGAAGACACCCCGAAAAACAGACTTCCCGCATTTTTGGACCGGCAGATTGGAAACTACGAGATGCTGCTGCTGCAGCTAGTCACTCCGCTACTGCGACAAGAGCTTCACCGTGCTATCAGAATGCAGCGCAGAGCGCTCAATGATATCAAACTGCAGAAAGATCCCCAGTACCTCCAGGAGCTCGACACTGTACACCAGCGTATCCAACAACATTGGACAAATGTCTTTGGCGATCTAGCATCACACGCGTCTCTCATCGAAAACATCGGAAAGTTTCAGGGCTTTGTGGCCGGGAAACTCCTCGAAGACTACACAGGAAAGCCCCACACCGCCAAGGTTTTTGACGTTGATCAGGATTTCCTGGTGGATTGGCACGACGCTGCTGCGGAAGCCAGAGGCGGTTCTCAAGACGTGGGAGTTCACGAGGGCGATAGTTCCGAGAACAGCGCCGCTAGCCAAGTCCGAGTCGGTGATGAATGTTTTGACAGCCGCCAGAACGAGCTCCTGCTGGAAGCATATAACCTCAACGTTGTGTATCCGTTACAAGAACTGATGTTCGTTCAAGAAGCGGTTGAAAACAGACTTCGCATGGTTGAAGAGCGAGGGTATCGTCAAGGCGGTAATGTACAGCACATCATTGACCAACGTGACTGGCCGAAGCTAGCGAAAACTCTTCTTCACGATCAAAGTCTTGCTCTTGAGCTTGCCGAGCAGACCACGATCGTACCGGGAATATTCAGTTTCGAGAAGAATGTGGCAGTTTTGCGCGGTATCGACCAGACAAAATCAAAGTACTTCTCGTCTCTATGTAGTCCCGTCAATTACACACTCAGCAAGCACGCTCTGGAGTTGTCGGCCGAGAAAGTTTCACTCGACACAGAAAAGCCGACTGCAAGAGTATTACCAACTCAAACGGATCTCGCTAGGTCTTCATGGAAAAGTAGGGCTAGAAGCATCTACAACACATTCGCTGAAGGACTTCATGGTGGAAGAGCTATACCAACACTCAGGTCGCTGGCGCACCCTGCTCATAATAAGGAGAGCTTGGATGAGAAAGATCCCCTCATGGGTTTAGAGAAATCATAGTCAACATGAACTTGCTATAGTGTGAGTTTCTCGTGGGAGCAATGCAAACGTCTTAAAACGCCTGTACCAGCTGGTGTTTAGGTTCAAGGTTGCACGGCAGTTAGAGACTTTGCTGATGCTATTTACCAGTTCATCATTCTCACAATGTAAGCATATAGCATAAAAGTTGAGTCTATTTAAATTGATAGGTAGGGAAACAAGATCTTTAGTACCGTACTAGTAAATAGGGGGGATCCACAAGCGTTACAACTCTTTATAAGCGTTACACTAACTATAAGAGTTATACCTACTATAAGAGTTAACCCTTTCTATAAGAGTTAGAGAATTAAAATATAAAAGTTATATAAGAATATTTTAATAATTTAAAGGTTACTTTACTTACTTAAATATAAAGGATAGTTAAAAAGAATTTTTTTAAAGTAATTTTAAGGTTTTTTATTTTTTAACCTACTTTAAAGTATTATTTTATCTTTATCTTTATCTTTATTTTTATCTTTTTCTTTCTTTTTATAACTACCTCTTTATAACTACCTTTTTATAACTACCTCTTTATAATTACCTCTTTATAATTACCTCTTTATAACTATCTCTTCCTTTAAGTATATACTTATTTCTCTCCTTAAAAGTTTATTATATAACTTTTATACTTTAATCCTTTAAGTTATATAAAAGGGTAACCCTTATAGTTACTATAAGTCTTATACTAAGGATATATCTTAAAAACGAGGTAAGCCTTATGGGTCCCTATAACTCTTGCGGGCTGCCTGTAGGCACCGGTATGGTAGTATCTGGGTATCGAAGGTCGGGCCAAACAAATGCTGGGCAAGACAGGGTGCCGGAGCTCAGGACAATACATCTTGGACAGGAATCGTGCAATATACCCGAGATGATTGGTATAAAAGGCAGCAAGGACTAGAATGTTTCTAGATTCTCCCAGATACATCTTGTAAACCGTCCTGGGAGGAAAAGAATTCTCCTTACAATTCAACTGGTGCAAACCCGACATGCACCTTAACGAAACGGGCCTCTTTGAACGTTCGAGTGCCGCGCCATCGTCCTTCCTGCTTCGACTGCGGACTTGATTTGCTCGAGGGAATGGATGATCGAATCCTGTTGTGTGATATGTTGTTGCATGGATTCCATTCGCCCCAAAGAGGATGCAACGATGCTTCTCAACATGATACCCGGCTCCAATATCTAGTTCATCCAATCCCTCCAGTCCAGCCAAATCTTCCAGGTGATTGCCCATTTTTTCACCAAATAGGCGATGGAATTTGAGGTCGCCGGTCTTGCGAGTGGTGCAAGCTTCCGTGAGGAGGTGGATGAAGTCGGGCGGAGACCAGTTTCTGTTGACTTCGATTCTCAGTTTGGAGCAGGACAGCGTGCACAGAGGCTGGATGTCGTAGTAGTCCCCGATCGCATTGGCTCTCAAATGCCAGCCTAAAATATCCTTTTTCGTGATCGCAGCCGGGGCCCCTTCGTTGTCTAAATCGTCAAGATCGAGTAAAAAGGTCTTAAAAGTCGTACTTCAACCTATAAGTCACAGTTAGACCTTACACTATAGTTATAATTTATAGTATATTATATACTTTAGATATACTATTAAAATTCTTTTTAAATTTAGTTTAATTTAATTTATAAATATAAAAGAAAAGTTTTGTAAAAGATAGTATAATTCTTAATATATAAAAATTTTAATATTTATTAAATTATATTTATATTAAATATTTTAATTTTAATTATATTTATTTTTAATTCTTATAAATAAAAGAAATAAGTATTATTTTATATAATAATAAACTTTAAATATATTATTTATTTTAAATTTATTTTTAAATTTAATATTAAATCTTTAAAATTAAATATAAAAGATTACTTTATATATAATAAAGTTAAAATCTCTTAACTTTTTAAAATATATTAATTATCTTAAATATTAATAACTTTTTTAAAGTAAAAATTTATTTTTATATAGTTATAAACTTAATTATTAATAGTTATTTCTTCTTTTATTTATAATAAAGTTATTAGAATTATAAACTAAAAGTAATATTATATATAATAATAAAGTGTAGTTACCTTATTTAATTATATCTTAGTTTAAAGTATAATAAGTTAAGTAATTATTTTTAAGTAGTTTTATTTAATAAATATTTATTTAAATAAAGTTAAAACCTTTAAAAGAATAATAGCTTTATTTTAATTTATTTTAACTAAACTACTTAAGTTATATAATAAATTTAATACTTTTATATAATAATATTTATTAATATTAAATTAAATAACTTATAATTTATAATAACTTTAACCTTTAATATACTAACTTAAATTAATTAAATATAACTTAATCTATTAATATAAAAGGTATCTTTTAATAATAAATAATATTATAAGTAATTATAAAGTTATTATAAAAGTTTTATATAATAAACTTAATTAAATTAATCTTTAAAAATATATTAAATTTTATTTCTTTTAAAACTTTAACTATTTACTTTTAATTTCATATTAAAATTTAAAAATATAAATAATTTATATAAAATAATATCTTTTAAAAATTATAATAATAATTAAAAGTTAATATAAAGAAATTTAATATTTTATATAAAGTATTTAAATATATTATATTTCTTTAAAATAAATAAACTTTTCTTTTAAACTCTTTTTATTTTAATTATATCTTCTTATATACTTAGTACTTACTTTCTTTATTTAAAACATTTTTAAATATCTATTAAATAAATCTTTTATTATAATAAATAATAAAAATATAATAAACTTAAAATAACATTTATTTATTTAATAATTATATTTACTTACCTAGTTTTTTTTAACTACTTACTTAATATAAAAATTTATATATAGAGTTTATATAAAACTATATATCTAACTAAGATTCTTTAAATTTTTAATATTTTTAATATAAGCTTCTTTTAAACCCCTTTTAATACACCTTCTAATACACCTTTTAGTATACCTTTTAATACACCTTCTAATATACCTTCTAGACCTCCTAGCCTATATACCTTCTTAATTACTAACTAAGTATTTAAGTACTAACTAAGTATTTAGATACTAATTACATGCTAAAAGGCTAGAAGGTTAGAAGGAGGGTTAGAAGGTTAGAAATAATATAGTCTTTATTTTTACTTTCTTACCTTCTAGCCTTCTAGTAGTTAGTTAGTATTTAAACACTTAGTTAGTACTTAAATACTTAGTTAGTACTTTAAAGGTATGTTAGAAAGGGTGTTAAAAGGGGTACTAGAAGGGGTGTTAAAAGGAGTGCTAAAAGGGGTTTATATTAAAAGTATTAAAAATTAGAGAAGGAAATTATATTATAAAGTCTTTTAATACTAACTTAAAAGGTACTTTTAAATATAAGGGAGTTATTTAGAAAAATTAATATTAAGTAAATAGTTAGTAGGAATTAAATAAGTAGATATAATTATTAAGTAAGTGAATATTAGTTTATTATTATTAACTTAACTATTAATTTAATAATTAAAGATTTAATATATATTTAAAGTTATAATATAACCCTTATACTAATTATATTACTAGATAGCTCTAGTGTAGCTCTTTAGACCTTTAATTCCTAGTTTTATATGTATATAAACTTTTGTTTCCCACTATATATTAATAAGCGGAATTGCTTTTACTAGCTATGCTTCCGTATCAACTATAATTAGTCTGTTCCGACCGATAAGAGTATAAACAGTGCTCAGCTGGACCTCTTCGAGCTCAATAGCCCTATGAACGAGACTGACCATCCAAATATCGCCGGGTATTAAGGGCGTTGGATCGCCAGCGATCTTGTACAAGGGAGCGGGATCGCCTATACGGAATTTGGGATCCAGCCTTTCGACTGTTCCGTTATGAAACTCGGGGGCCTCCTAGTAGGCTATGAGGTTGCTCCAAAATGGTGGGAAGCTGCTGCGCGGGTGAATGTCTCCTGGTCTGGTAAGCGAATCCTAGTTTTCTTTTGCCCATTGTACTTGCAATCTCGGTGGTGGCAACTGCTCCACTCCAAGTAGACTCTCCACCGGTATAAAAGACTGATCTCTGACTTCAGCACACGCCGGGATAAAACTCAATGTGTGTGGAATGTGGTTGTAACCCTTCTCTTTCACCATTCCTAGACGATCCCCCAAAGACCACCAGTCAAGAGGCAAAATGGCGCTGAGAATCGCACAGCTCGCCTTCGATCTCGTCATCGACGATGTTCAGAAGAGCGCCCCCATGTTCGTGTATATCCCGTTGGAAAAGTCTAAAATTGTAACGGCCTCCATGTTCCTGATCATTCCTCTACCCAGATGGGTAGCCTCGAGCCCGTACCACGCAGCCGTGCCTGACCCACCCCAGCCTCGGGTGGTTGCTCTCGATGCTCGACTCTTGACGCCTGAGTTTCTGCTCCGCTAATAAGCGTGTCAGGAGCGCAAGAAAGAATGCTACCCGGCCACTCCAAGCCCAATCTTGTACACCTTGTCGCCACGCACCCGCCTTCCCCACCTACCCGCCTTCCCACTCGGGAAGGGTTCGCCAAGCAGACTCGAGTGACGTCGCTCTTCACGCTGCGTGCCTCCTCATTGGTTCGTCGATTGCTCCACACTGGCAACGTCTTGCCCGCCCGCGGCCAGCCAGCCAGCCAGCGATTCTGCCTACCTAGGTACCTAGGTACTTAGACACCTCGACTCAACCACGATGCAGCTGCTGCATCTCCCCCCGGAGATCCTCGTGACTATCCTGAACTTTGTCGGTCCAGACCACTTCCGTAAGCATGCCGGGTGTCTTGCCATCTCCAAAGCGTGGTACAGGTTCGCCAGGCCAGTGCTCTTAAGCTGCATCCAGCTGTCGACCTCAACACTGCGATCTGGACTGCTTCGGGCCCTTCGAGACCCAGGGACCCTGGCTGCTACTCAGCGGCACACTACAGCCGTCACCCTCTGCCTTGATCCACCGAGCCCCGACGAGTCCAGCGACGAGCAGCATGTCGGGCATGTCCTCGATCCCGGCTCTGGCCTCACGCAGGTCGCAACGGACCTCGTGGAGCTCGGGAGTGTGCTGTGTGGATTCACGCAGCTTCGGTCTCTGCGCATCCATCCAGGACAAGACGAGCTTCGGCTTGAGATTCACGTCTTGGCAGGTCTTGTCTCGCAGCTGCGGAGACTGACTTCACTTGACATCGACTTGGCAAATGTCGAGTACATGGAGACGGAGATCCCTGCCCACATGTGCACGTCAATCAGCGCCTTGATGCCGTCGCTCGTCAGTCTACGCTGCCGACTACCGTACCTGGTAAGAACGTTTCTGAAATCCCAGAACACATCACCGCTCTCAAGGTCAGCAGCAATGGGAAGGCTAACACGAGACAATCAGTGTGAGCAGATCTTGGGGCCTCCACCCGAGAATGGCCAGCCTGTCCCCCACAGCACCGGAAGAAGCAATGAGGGCTCCCTACAGCTCCCGCTCACGGAGCTCATCGTGAACACCAGTATATCGGAGTGGTCGCCCAGAGTGACGGGATACGCGTTCACACAGCACTGCGATCGGCTCTATGAGCGTTTATACCCGATCGACGGCCCCTCACGCAGCCGACTTCAGTCGCGCATGTCGTCGCTTACATCTCAGTGCCCCAACCTCACGCTGGTCAGGCTTATATCTCACCAAGTGCCATCTCTCGACTGGTGCGCGCTCGACGCCCTCAGTGGAAATAAGCTGTGGATGCCGCCAGGGTCCCCTTGGGATGCCGATGGAGAGGTGATCGACGAGGTCGATGAGCAAGATGATAGTAACTCAGAGAATGATCTATTCAACTCGGGATCAGAGTCCTCGTCCTCACTATGAGTTTCGTTGGACGGAAATACAGTGGTCCAGTAAGTGACTGAGCATGTCCTAGATTTGTATGCAATCCATTTATAGCTAAGCGAGTATTGTAACAGTGCCTGTTTCCAAAATCTACCAGCGATTCCAAAACAGCCCCATTCCCAAGTCATCCCAGCGTACTATATTTACCAATTAGCGGTATTAAGCTATAAGTTACCGTAGTGCGCCTAGCTGTCTATAAATGCTGTCATCCTGCTTCTGTCTCGTAGGGCCCGGCGGCGGCAACGGGTCCCGCCTACGTGGTAAATAATGGTCGTTAACTGTATTTATTTAAAGTTAGCGTTTTTACCACTACTATAGTTTATTCCTGACATAGCTTGTAGTTATGTGCTCCTCGTGCCAAGATAGGTGGCAAGGCTCTGCGGAAAACATAGCGACAAGGTCGGCGACCCAGCCAACAGCCCGTCACTTCGAACCAAGTCGTCGTCCAATATCACAAAAATGGCACCTGGTTGGTGGCGTTGGTGGTGATCCTGTATTGGGTTTTAAAACAGTGGATGCGTTGGGAGTGACTGTTGGTTGATGTCGACCAGTAAGAAAACGGAGGCTGGGCCGAAGGAGAGCGCTAAACTCACGGCGCTGAGAGCTGCTCCAAGCACCTGTGCAAATCCGGCAGTGACCCATGCATATGGTTCTTTTCAGGCAGACCCGACAAAATCCCCCCAAAGACTGACGGAACTCAAGAATCATCAGGGGCCGTGATTTGTGAGGACGTAGGCGTTGCAGTCGCCCATTCCCAGTGCCTCTCACCTTTGCGTTAAGCTATAAGGGGTTGTCCGCTCGGCAAGGGCTATAGGCTATAATAGAGTTCTGGGCTTTCCAAACCTTGTATCACCCCCATCCCCACAAGGCAAGCAGACACGCCCTCGACCTCCAGACGCACACTTCACCCCATGGTGCAATCCAAGCCCAGCGAGAGCTGGGGTGGCCTCGACAGTCTGAACTCCACCTCGGGCCAGCTGTACGAGCAGATCCGGCACGTGCTGGACTCGGCCGACCTCCCGCACCTGGAGCGCCTGGCCCTGGCCGCCCGCAGGCGCGCCGACGCGCACCTCGATCAAACGGTCGCCTGCTCCATAGACCCCTCCGTATTCTCCTATGGCTTCAACAGCGTGGTCTTCGAGGTCGCCTTCTCGGACGGCGTGTACTGGGTCGCAAAGGTGCAGCACGCGCCCCTGGACGACGACGACGTCGTCTACGCGCTGAGCGAGATCGCGACCGTGAGGCTGGTTAGGGAGCGGACGACTATCCCCGTCCCACGCGTGTTTGGGCACCAGATGCGGCCGTCGGGGGGGGAGGGCGAGTTCGGGTTCCCGTTCATCCTGATGGAGTTTATGCCGGGGCGGGACGTCGGGGGCCCACTCGCGCGAGACGTCCCGGTAGAGTTCCTGTCCAAGGTTGCCGGGCAGCTGGCGGACGTCCTGTCCCAGCTGGAGAGCAGGCTTTCTTTCCCGAGTATAGGTATACTGTGGTGCGGTGATGACTGTGACGCGCCGCCCGAGATTATCCCCCTGCCTTCTAAAGACTATGACGGCTCCCTCGACAATTCTAGCTCGCCACAGACGTCGCTGGAGTGGTTCTACAACCAGAGGCAAGAGGAGAATGAGGAGGTCATGCAGAATCACCCAGACGACCCGGAGTGGAATACCGCCTGCTGGGTTCTTAAAGACGCCCTGTCCCACATCATCGCCGGGGACAGGGTCCGTGGGCCATTTCCGCTCTGCCACATGGACTTCCACCACGGAAATCTCCTCTTTGACGAAGAGTTCAACCTCACGGGCGTCATAGACTGGAGCATGGCGCAGACGGTGCCCCTGGAGCGCCTGGCCGTGTCGCCAGAGTTTATAGCCGGCCCGTTCTTCCCGCAGGAGCACAAGGACGGTGTCGCCAGGCTCTTGGGCTTCATGAGGGAGTCCCTGCGGGACATGCAGCAGGACTCGAGGTCTGGAGGGGTCACGGGTGGCCACGACCGGGCGAATCCTAAGCGCCGCTGTGGTCGCGACGCTGATGAGGAAGTTGAAGAAGATGACGCGGGTGGGGATGGGGCCGGTCTGCACGGCGCTGAGCAGACCACACTTGCTGACATTTTCGGGACGGTGCAAGCTGAGATCGCAAACAGGTGTGCGCTCAGCAACCCGCGTGTGGCCTTGCCGTACGGCCGAGCGGTTCAGGAGCTTGTCTACGGTCAGCATGTCTCGTGGGAGCAAATGGTGCTAGCCTTTGGCGAAAAGAAATTGCATTGACAAGGCCTATCCTTTTTCAACTGTTCAAGACTTGGTGCCAGCCAGACCTGTAGTTTCTTTATAGAAGTATAAAAGGCCAGTCTTTATTGCCGTATCTGAGGATTCAGAAATGAAGATTTTGTCAGAAATTGACACGTCACGAAAAACAGCTGAGTCACTAAAAGATAGTATTAATGCGCATCACTTGAATTTCCTGTTGCTCGAATTATCCAAAACACAGGTTGCGGTACCACAAGTTCATGTAAAACATGGTAATGATCCCATTCCCTGGTAAATACCTTGCCCGTCTATCAGCGGGGACCATATCCTCCCGCAAGCTATGGCCTAATCTGATTCAACATGACCTCCGCTAGAGCGGGATCCCAGTGCGAGTGGAGGGGACTCCACTTGTAGTCGTCGACGCTTGTGTAGGTGTCTACCATGATGGGGTAGCCGGCCTCGTCGGTCCTAGGTCCCGGCGACCCGTCGTTGTAGAGAGGGCGGAGATCAAACTCGGAGTTTCCGCGAAACTGTCCCCACGTCATGCCCGGCCAGCGCCCCCGGATGTCTTTTCGCACCAGCGGTGACCCCAGCTTCTCGGCGTAGTCCGCATCTCTTCCTCTCTTCACGACGACAAGTAGTTCCTTCTCCTTCTCGCCGGGCGCCATTAGCGCTGCGTCCCCTTCGACGCCATACTTTTCCCCAGCCTCTGCGACCTGGCCCGCAAAGGCCTGGCAGCTGTCTAGCCCTGGAAAGAATGGAGCCGTTTTCCGCTGCGATGCTCGGCCGGTATACGGTGACGGACGCCTTGTAGCCTGACCTGTGGCTGGAGGTTGCAAAATTGCGGGCATCAGTGTCTCGCCAAGTGTCACTCTGAAGCCATGTATTCTGTCTTCTCGTGTCCTCGCCCGTGCCCGCGTCGTCACAGGACGTGCAATCATCCTTGTCCTAAGCTCTGTGGGGAGGATTGTGGACCATACGATGTCATTCTGGACGGCATTCAACTCCCGTATGGAATCAATATAGAGCCAGCGTCCACCTACCCAGTGATTTCTATAGACCTACCCAGTACTAACCCTTTATATATAGGGCCTATATAAAACTATATACCTAACTAGGATTTTCTAAATTTTTAATATTTTAAGTGTAAGCTCCTTTTAATACCCCTTCTAGCACTACTTTTAGTACGCTTTTTAACATACCTTTTAATATACCTTTTAACTTATATATATTCTAACCTATATATATTTAACTATTAACTAAGTGTTTAAATACTAATTAATTATTAGAAAGTTAGGAGGTAAGAAGGTAAAGGTGAAGATTATACTCTTTTTAACCTTTTAATACTCTTTCTATACTTTTAACCCTTTAAACTTCTAACTCTTTAAAGTTTAATTAGTATTTAAATATTTAGTTAATATTTAAATATTTAGTTTATAACTAGGAAGGTGTATAGGTTAGAACGTTTAAAAGGTATATTAAAAAGTATATTAGAAAGTATATTAGAAAGAGTGTTAGAAGGGGTTTATATTTAAAGTATTAAAAGTTTAAAGAAAGAAAGATATTATAAAGTCTTTTAATATTAATTTAAAAGTATTTATAAATATAAGGGAGTTATTAAAAGAATATTAAGTAAGTTTATAAAATTATTAAGTAGGTAGATTTTAAAATTAAGTAGGTAGATATTAATTTATTAATATACTTTTTTAAAAAAGTTAAAGAACTATAAGTTTAATTTAAAATAAATTAAAATTTATAAGAATTTTAAACTTAAGTTTAAAAACCTTTATTTTAAACTTTTAAATAGTAAAAACTAATAAAGTTTAAAAAATTAAATTAAAAACTAAGTTTAATTATAATAGAATAAATTAATTAAATAAATATTAATTATAAAATTATAATTATAAGTTTTTTAACTTTATATTTAAAAGAAAGTATGTAGATATATTTAATATTCTTTAATAATAAAGTAAAGAAACAATTAACTTATTTTATAAAGTTATTAATAGAATATAATAAGTAGGACTATTTATCATCTATAAATTAGACAATATAGACTCTTAAAAAAATCTTTAACTTATAAAAGGAAATAGATAGACATCTATATACACACCTCTATATTTAGATTCAACTAATGTGTAATACATACCGGAATTCGATAGAAGGAAATATTGGCGACATAGGGCTCCTGATAGGAATGACAGATGCTCCGCTAGCTTTAATCATCACAAGTCGCTTATATAAAAAGACTATGCTTCTTAGTATTGTCTTTAATGGCTCAACCTTTCTACACTAGTACAATCTTTTCTTAGATGTCCGCTACGCATTCCTAGCATAGATGTTCCAGTGCTTGATCTCCGATGGAACAACCTCTTATGAAAAGTTAGGAACACATACGCCTGTGAAACATCCTCCGATGTTCTACTTTCTCATTTTGGTAGGAAATCCTGGTACAGAATACTCTTCTTTGGGGCCAGAAATGATTGAGTACTAGTAGATACATAGCCAGATGTCTAGTAATCAAACCGCGGGGGGGGCACTACAGTGGCGTGCTGTCATCTTTGAAGATGTGGCGGTATGTATGGTAAAATCATGTACAGTATGTGAGTACCTAGGTACTGTGTTACACAGATTGTAAATTGGTGGTCAGCTGGGTAGATGGGTAGGCCCCCGTTTCGATCAAGTACCTAGGTACCCACTACTTAATGGGAAGATTTCTAGAACTTGGCCCTACCCCGCCAGATGCCGTATCTTCCTCCATAATGCAATCGCAGGTTAGAGCATCGTTGACCATGGTAACAGTGTCGAGATCTCAATTCGCTGATCCGTCGATCACACTTCCAACTATTGACCCTTCCACCCAGATTCGGCTGCTTCATCTATCGTCAAGCAGAGGGCATCCTATCACCTGTCATCTCTCTGTTGCTTCGATCGACAAGACTCCGCCATATGATGCCTTGTCATATGTTTGGGGGGACCTGGAGGACCTCAAAACAATCATAGTCAATGGACATACTTTCAGAGTCACGAAAAATCTTTTCGCGGCTTTGAGTGACCTCGTCCCCCTCGACGACAGCACCCGAGTGCTCTGGATTGATGGCATCTGCATCAATCAGGGCACTAAACCAGAAGCCCTCGCTGAGAGGAGCCAACAGGTTCAACTCATGTGTCGCATATTTTCAGGCGCGAACCACGTTATTGCCTACCTCGGACAGCCTCACCCATGGCTTGATCAAGCCATAGAGCTTCTTGCCGCCGCCGCTACTGGTCAGCATCGGCTAGTCATTCAACTCGTCCACCGGACGGCGGGTTTCGATGTCATATGGGCCGCCGAGGCTCTGATATCCATATTCAAGTCGGCATGGTGGGACAGGGTATGGACCGTCCAGGAGTTTATTGTAGGGGCCCAAGTTTCCTTCTACTTTGGGAGAATTGAAATCAATTCGGATCTGCTTCGCAAAGGGGTTCAGTATATTGCCAATGTCGACGGGTGGTATGCAACCCTATTCCCCACAGGCGAATGGTCCTCACACCTGCCAGCCCGAGACCTTTTGACCTCAGGCTTTATTGACCTTGCAGAGAAGCTGTCTACAGTTTCAGCACAACTGAGCGCTCTATCGACATTCGATGCCAGAACATCACTTCTCAACGCACTCGGAGGTTTCCAAAACCGCAACTCGGGGGACCCAAGAGACAAAGTCTACAGTTTGATAGGTCTCTTCCCTCGTTCTGATCATATTATCAAAGTGGACTACACGATCTCTCCTGAACAACTTTTCGAGGACTTTACCTTAGCCTGGATCCAAGAACACCACGACCTAAGAGTACTTGGATACCTACACGACCCAGAACATCGAGTCCACAAAAACATGCCGTCTTTTGCTATTGATTGGAGCTATCGGCCGTCTATGAGCACGGCTAGCACACTATCTACCCGAGTTATGGTCCAGAAACAGCTATTCGATGCATGCAGAGGGTCTAAAGCCTTGTGGCGTCGCAGGTCATCAAGACATGTTTGCGCAGATGGCTTTTTGTTTGACACCATAAAAGCTACTGGCGCCAAAGATATCTCCAGCTCATGGAGTAGCAGATACACAACACTCCAAGGCATTGTGGACATGACAGATGCAATGATGGGCATCAATGACGAAGGCCGACAAAGAGATACTCTGATGATCATTCAACATACCCTTTGCATGAGCTGCAAATCTGAGGCTGGAATATTTACGCGACTGACAGCACAGGACGTTGAGAGACCACCGAAACCATGGTGGACCTGCTTCTTCGACCTGCCTGAAGAACCCAGCGGACACAGGCTCTCCATCGAGTTGGAAGCCAAAGGCTCGGAGTCCACAGTGCGGGTCGCATCATTGGAAAGAACTGTCATCTTTACGGAAAAGGGGAGAATGGGCCTTGCCCCAGACTGGTGCAAGACTGGGGATGCTATCGCCGTGATGGCGGGAGGGGCTGTTCCAATTGTTCTTCGTCCTGTAGGCGAGGTTCAAGGTGAGGGTGTCCCTAGTTTTACGATCGTCGGTGAGGCATACGTTGATGGATGTATGGACGGACAAGCATTTTATGCATGTGGGAGAGGTCAAGGCGATTTTGATGAAATATATTTGCTATAATGGTCGGGCACCCGCTTCATAGTTAAGGTGACCCGCCCACATCCGGACCACCCCCTGATTTAGACTATCTAGCTATACTATAAGATACTTGATTATACTTACTAATTTATACTCTAATATTATAAAATTTATATTAGATTTAAGTATTATATCTATAAAATTATCTTTATATATTATATTAAAATTAAGTTTTATATATATATTTTTTAATATAAAATATTTAAAAATATAATAATATAATATAATATTTTTATAAGATATATAAATATAATATAAATTTTAAAGTATTATATTTATTATTTAATAAATTTTAAAAGTTTAATTTTAAATATAAAACTAATTTTTAAAAATATAATATTAAAAAAGACTTTAAATTTTATAAGAATATTTAAACTTTTAAATTATTTACTACTATTTATATATAATAATATTATAATAAAAACTATATTAAAATATATATAAATTATATAAAACTTTATAAAAGTTTTAAAAATATTAAAGATTTTTAATTAAATAGGTAAATTTCTTTAATATTTTATATATTAATAAAGTATAAATCTTTAAATTACGGTAAATTCTTACTTTTAAAGGAAACTAGTGTGGGGATTAATAAGTGTTTAAAAATAGTGTGTTTTAATGGAAAAAGTGGTTTAAATCGGGGGGTGGTCCGGATGTGGGCGGGTCACCTTATTAAATAAACCTGGAAACACCTAACTTATATACACCTTCTGAGACGGTCCTCGCGACCTATGGTAAAAGAAGGCTCAAATTGTCTGTGAAGAATTGTTGATTCAAAACTAGAGTTGCCTAAGGAATAGTATAGGGGAGGTAGTGAAGCTGTAATCCCGCGTTGCGAGAGGTATGGAGGCTACTTGGGCTGATAAGATAAGTAGAGTGTACGGACCCACTGGTTGGTCCTGCGGGCGTTCAGCCCATGGCCCTGACACCTTCCGTACTACCTAGGTGCACAACCTCCAATAGGTTAATTATCCATAGGTTGATATAAACTAGGTAAATAAAAGAGATTGGGTATTCACACCCGGAAAAGTGGAGGGTATACCTAAGCCTAAGGAATAAACTCCTATAGGATAATCTCCTATTAGATAACCTCCTATAGGACAACCTCCTATAGAATAGCCTCCTAGAATAACCTCCTATGGAATAACCTCCTATGGGACAAGCCTATGAGATAACTGTCCAGGTGGTTTGGTGTTAACCTGAGTACTTTTATCTCCGTGTTCCGTAGTATGGGTGTACCCTTTGTTTTTGCGGGTGTGAATACCTAGTCTTAAAATAAAAAAAATATATAATATAACTAAAGACTCCTTTTATCCCTACCTTCTCAAGATTTGTGCTCACCCGACAGGAGAATGTCACCTTGAACAAGCAAACAAAGTTTCAACCTGTGGGACCGTTATTTGGTCAAATGCCCCTGAAGGAGAATCAACTTTGGAAAGCTGCATGGACACAGCGAATTCATTAGTCAAGCGTACTTCCGAGCGCCCCGGCCAATTCCCCCACATATTCCTAAAATGCAATTTCTAAACTGGGACACACCTATACACTATCAGTTGTAGTCTCTTGAAAATTGGGATTTCCCGGCTGAGGTGTATAATGCTTTCGCGGTGCGATATCATCGCAACATCAATACAGCGAAACTAAGCACTGATATCTATGGATAACAAGTGCCTCAAGTTCTCCAGCTATGTTCTTTCCGACCGTCACTCCTGGGAAATGATCGCGACCAGATACGGGGTGAACGGCCCCCTGGTGATGCATCATGTGGACTGTGGAGTTCTTGGCTGCTTCCCCTCCTGGTTGACGTACGGATACCACCCCGGAGGAGAGCTGGTCGTTCGGCTGCCGCTATCCCGAAGCATTATTGCGGCACGATTCCCACCTCACAATGCACATGCAGATCCACTAGCGCCAGTCCACTTCTGGTGTTCTTGGCATCAAGATCCTGTCTGCCTGTCACGCTCTGTGGAGACGGTCTTGCGTGCCGAGAAGGTAGCGGGACTTGGACCGCAATAGTCAAGGCGCACCGGAAATTCGATGGCGACATGACATCGCCCTGGCAATACCTCACACCGAGGGCTGCCTGGCCGGGTGAATTGCAAGATGCAGGTACAAAATGGGCCGCGAGTGCTCGTTGAATGTAGCCTGGCGATGATGGACCTTCCTCCAACCCTTCCACTCTTTTCAAGATGAGATCCGTGCTTGGCTTATTCGGCCTGCTGAGCACCGCGGCTGCTGCCTCGGACTCAGTCAAGGTCAAGTGGCTCGAAGGCACTCCCAATTACCTCGGAGGAGTGACTTTCGGTGTGCCATGGCCCCGTGGGCAGCACCTAGCGGATGCTACGACCTTCAGTGCTTCAGGTGATGCTCAATTGCAATCATGGGTCACCGCAGTTTGGCCTGATGGGTCATTGAAATGGACGGGACACGCCCTCGGAGCAAGTGCCGCACCCGCCGACGAATATACCATCACTGCATCTGGCTCAGGAAACACAACTTCATCCCGCCTGAGACGACAGAGCGACAACACCAACCCTGGGTTACAAGTTAGCGACTCCGATGACGAGATCGTTGTGAGCACAGGCAAGGTCACCGCAACTTTCCCAAAGTCGGGCGATGTTCTTGTGTCATCCATCGAGGCGGGCGGCAAGGTCGTCGGAAACAACGGCCGTCTTGTCCTGAGGTCTCAAAGTGGAAGCCCTGACGACGACGAGGATGGCAAGCCAACTGGCATCGAATATTACAGCTTTGCCAGCAAGATCTACAACGTGACTGTCTCGGAGGACAACACTGCTCGCGCCCTTGTGACCGTTCAGGGTATCCACTCTGCGGCTGACGGGGACAGCGCGCGTGGCGACTGGCTCCCTTTCACTGTGCGATTCTATCTGTACTCCGACTCTGAGGCCATTCGCATCATTCACACTATTATCTACGACGGCGAGGCCAAGACAGACTTCATCTCGGGATTGGGTATTCGATTCGACGTGCCCCTTGCTGAGGAAGAGCAGTACAATCGCCACGTCCGCATTGCAGGTGTCGACGGCGGGCTGCTGCACGAGGCTGTCCAGGGAATCACTGGTCTCCGTCGTGACCCTGGCGCCGACGTAAGGTCTGCCCAGTACAACGGTACTGAGACGCCCGACAAGACGACCTGGGACCAGAGAGTCACCACCCGGCTGCAGTGGATTCCCACCTGGAGCGACTACAGGCTCACCCAACTGTCGCCGGATGGTTTCAACCTGAAGAAGCGCACCAAGGCTGGACAAAGCTGGGTGAAGATTCCTGGCGGTACCCGCTCCGGAGGTCTTGCCTACCTGGGTGGTTCTTCTGTCGGAGGTCTTGCTCTTGGGCTGCGTGACTTCTGGAAGAAGTACCCTACCAGTTTGGATATCTCCAACGCTGCTACTGACACTGGCACCATCACTCTTTGGTTGTACAGCCCCCAAGCTGAGCCTCTTGACCTAAGGCCGTACCACGATGGGCTTGGCCAGGACACATACGCGAAGCAGCTGGACGCACTCGAAATCACGTACGAGGACTACGAAGGCGGCTACAACACTCCGTACGGAGTTGGCCGCACCAACGAGTTGTTCTTGTACGCCTTTGACAGCACTCCGTCCGCTGACACGCTTTCGAGCCTCACAAACCACACCAACAACCCTCCGGTCCTGATCCCCGAGCCAGAGTACATCCGCGACACCAAGGCCATTGGGAGCTACTGGGATGTGCCCGGCTCGCCAGTGTCGTCGGCGCAGTCGCAGACCATCGAGAACAACATGGATTTCCTCATCAAATTCTACGAAGGTCAAGTTGAACAGCGCCGGTGGTACGGCTTCTGGGACCACGGCGACATCATCCACACCTACGACGACGATCGGCACCAGTGGCGGTACGACATCGGCGGCTACGCCTGGGACAACTCCGAGCTGTCTCCCGACCTGTTCTTCTGGGGCCACTTCCTTCGCACCGGCCGCGCAGACGCATACAAACTAGCCCATGATCAAGCACGCCACGGCGGCGAGGTCGACTCTTACCATCTCGGCAACTTCACCGGTCTCGGAACGAGGCACGGCGTCCAGCACTGGGCCGACAGCGCGAAGCAAGCCCGGATCTCCACGCCAGTCTACAGGAAGACCTTCTTCTACATCTCTGGCGGCGACGAGCGCACGGGCGACCTGGTGCGGGAGGTCCAGGAGGCCGCCAGGGCGTTTGTCCTCGTCGACGCCCGCCGCAAGGTCCGCGACCCGGGCGTCGTGTACGAGCCCGACCCGACGGCGCTGTACCTCAACTTCGGCACCGACTGGGCGGGTCTCGCGCAGGCCTACCTGATCGAGTGGGAGCGGCGCGGCCCGAACTGGGAGGACGCCCGCGATAAGATCACCGAGGCGCTGCTGACGTACCCCAAGCTCAAGAACGGCTTCGTTACCGGCGAGGCGCTGTACGACTCGTACACGGGCGCCTGGGCGCCGCCCCCGACCGACCCGGCCAACAACGGCAACGTGACCGTGTCCCACCTCTCGGGCGTCTTCGGCGTGCTCGAGACCATCGACCAGATCGTCGACCACTATGGCCCCGAGGGCCGCAACATCACGCAGCCCTTCTACGACGCCTTCCTCGACTACTGCTACTACTACGGCGCGCCCAAGGCCGAGCAGGCGGCACGCTACGGCAAGGACTTTGGCAACCTGAACCTCAAGCAGGGCCACTCCCGCTTCACCGCCTACGTCGCCAACAGGCGCCAGAACGCCACCCTCGTGCCCCGCGTCTGGTCCGAGTACCTGGGCGACGGCAGCAAGGACGGCCTCGCGCCCAATGCGCCGTGGAGGACGGAGCGGTTCGGCGGCAGCGATGTTCTTATTCCTGTCGATGAGGCCAAGTGGGTTAGCACGAACGCTGCTGCGCTTTATGGTGTTGCTGGGTTTGAGAACTTGGCGCTCGTGGGCGCGCCGGATGTCCCGAGCATTGGGAACTCGACTGCTTAAGCTCAATTGCTTGATCGATTTTAGGCTCAGAATCACAATCGGCGGCTATTTCAAAGCCTTCTTCAATATGTATATAGTTATTCCAGAACTTGTAGACCAAATATATCAGGTCATCAATCATTACATACATACAGTCTTACAAGTAGACGGGGTGGTTTCGATTCTAATCCCCTTACATATGTAGTGTGTGTGGCGCTTTTTTCTAGTGGTAAACGCCCAAGACTCAGCGTTGAAAAAAGCATAATACCAGTAACAGTACAGAGAGAATACAATACGTGGAATGAGGCCACGTGCTCACTTACACAAGAAACTGGGCGCGCATGCTAGTGCGGCCCATTTACTCGCAAGACCATTGAATGTTTCAGGTGTGCATGAACTGATCATTTCCAAAACAAATGAGGCAGTCGGCATACCGCTGTGCACATGTGGCCACGTAACCTACTTGGTTGCTGCCATCTGTTGAGTATACTAGCAATAGTCCAGACTCGGTGAACTTAAAGTACGCTTCCTCATGCTACAGATTGGTTACCTGGGTAGCTAAGTGGCATCCGCAATCCTATCCTACGCGCAAATGCGTACCTAGGTATCAAGTATTTGTTGAATCTTGTGCCCTGACACACCTCACATGTGCACTATACGCAAGGATCATCGCGCGCGAGGATCCTCCAACCGTCATGCTCTTCTTCAGACCCTCAAGAGCCCCCGCGATACCTAGGTACGCTTGAACTTGGCAGCCACCAATTTCCAAGGGCAAGCAACCGCGCAGAACCCCAGCTCGACAGAGTCCCGGACAATACTGGGCATGGCTATGTCGCTTACCTAGGTACGAACGAGCTCAGAGTGTCCAACCAACGTAAAGACCAGAAGCAAGCAAAGATGGCTCAGCAGGAGGTCTGGCAGCGTTACAGGCCCAAGCCCTTGGCCAAGCTGTTGTTCCTGTGCCAGGAGCCATTGTCGTCGAGGCTTGGCTGCAAGTCAGTGATACCGAGAGCGGAAGCCATGAAGTCACGTCTGCAAACACGTCGGAAAGGTCGTTTGCGAGCGCGGACAAGACTGAGACGCATTCTTGATTGCCTTGGGCCCAGCTCACTAAGTTAGTGATGACTACATCTGACGTCTCCAGGGCTTGTTCCCACCTCAGGCCATTCCGCGCCCGCTGCTCCGCAGCGGCCGCTATATTCGGATAATCGAGTATTTCAGATTGTCTCTCTCTGGCTGGGAGGAGAAAACGTATGGAGAGTTTGTAGATCTGCTCTCATTATATGTTCCCCCCTTGAAGCCACCCCAGACTGACTGAGCTCATCGGCAACGGCCAAGACAAACAGACTTCCACGACCTCCTTAAATTGGATTATCAGAACACGTAGGTCTACGCCAGCTCCCTCAACCTCCAAGCTGTAGGTAGTCCGGCGCACCCTGGCCGGCTCAGAAGGGAACCCGGCTGCGGGCCAGATCAAGACCAGCCAGACATCATCCAGGCTGTCGTCGACGGCTGCCTGGAGGCGAGACCCTGAAGATCGCATCTTTCCCCGCCGAGAGGAACAACCTGAGGTACAGCACCATTCGGAAAGTTCCTACTGATCACCACGGCCTCCGTATGCCTGCTGAAAGTACTTGCCGTGCCGCGAGCGTTCAGCGATGCGCGGCAGCGCGCCCGACGACATGCATCTCTGCGGACGGTGTGCCATGCTACTCGAGACAAGCGACGACCGCCTCGGCGATAGATTCATTTCCTCGTCGCGTCCCCGAGCTTTGCCACGCGCCCCCGCCATCTGCTGAGAGGAGGGGGTGCCACAGCACCGGCGTCTGGTGCGGCAGCCGCGGAGGACTCTGGCGGCGGCGGCGTGGCCTTCGAGGGCGAGATGGGTCAGCTGCCTGGACTGGACTGTGAGGCTATGGAACATCATATGCCGCTCATTCAGTTCCAGCGCCCGACAAGCATCACAGACAGATGCTGGGCAAGCGGGAGGCTGCACGTGGTGTCCACTTTCACGCGAACAGACGGCGACGGGTGAAAACACTGGATTGTCAGCAGGCCAACAATTATGTTGGTGGTCCGGAGGTGGAAGACCTCAGACAGGTCTCAGGCCACATGCGCAGGTCCACGTCAGCTTGTGCTGTTACGAAAAAAGCAGCGTTGGGGTCCTGAAACGGGGGGAAGAAAGCTTGATCGACATCAAGAGCCGAGCCGCCTCAGCAGGTAAGCAGGGCCCATCCCTAGGTAGTCACCCTGGGGCCTGGGCACAGTCGTCTGATTGTTTGGACGATCTCGGATCTCAAGGGATCGGGGTGTTGACAGGTGAGGTGCCATGTTGACATTGACACTCAAACTTTGGTGAGATTGGAACGCAAGAGGCGCAGCAGCCAAAAGCTCAGCAGCCGAGATAAAGGTTCACAAGTCGAGTTTGTGTGCATGTACGGAGTCGGTGGAAACAGGGACTGGTTGAAGTTAATGAATTGTGTTGGGTAATGATCATTGTTCGCAGGCCCACCCGTTTTGGAGGTGTGCAGGCCCACAGGAGAGCATGTGGGCCATTCATGGACCCAAGAATGCAAAGAAGGGGGCCCGGCGACTCGAGTGGATGTGCGATGACGCCATCGGATTCATGAGGATGTGCTGTCCATCGCCTGGCATTCGCGCACGCACTCGATGCAGGAGGGTAAAGGGGCTGCGAGCTGCTCCATGCATCCACCCTGCCATTCAAGGTTGGGACTCGAGAGATGAGAGCATTAAAGTTGGACGGGGAGGTCGGCTGAGCAGTCAAGTTCATGTGCATTTTGGCCCTGAAATAGCTGGACTGTAAACACGGCACGCCAACCAAGCTAACTTCCAGATTGGGGAGCTCGACCGGGGGGCCAGGGTCTCGAGTCTCGACCCTCGATGCGCAATGTGCCGTACGGCACTGCACTGCTGGGAGGGCTGGAAGGGCTGGAAGGGCTGGAAGGCACTGCAGATTCCAAGATTAGTGTCGCCGAGCCGCGCCTGCCCTGCAAGCGAACCCCCACCCTGCGTTTCCCTGCCTTTCCGTTCCGAGCTTAGGCGGGGCCTCTGTCAACGGTGGGCAACGGTCACCAACGGTCCAGGTCCAGGTCCTGGTCGCCGCCATGGCTCAAACGCGCTGTTGGATCGGTCTTGGGGGCAGGCCAGAAGACAGCCAGACGGCTGCTACTAGATGCTCGCATTCCGAAGGATTGGAGCCATGGTCCAGGCCAGGCCAGTCCATCGAGCACTATCCTGCCCCAATACCACCCAACCGATGCAAGATGCAGCATCCTGACAGGGCAGATTGCATGTGCAGCAGCCACTCATTTGGTCCATCGCCTGCAGAGCTCTTTCTTTGGGTTGCCCACATGCTCTAGTTCGGTTCGACCTCCAAGCTGCTTGTTGGTCCTGCCCGTCAATCATTGGACGTGGAGAGGGGCAGCTGGGGGGACTAACCCAGGAACGGTGGAGAAACGGAACGGTCAAGATCTGGTGTGGGAGGGACAGGCCAGCAGGCACGGCATCTCGTAGACTCTGCCACTCGAACTCTAATGACGGCGGACCGATAGCACGCTCCAAGCACCTCGCCGGCGCATTGCCTGCACATCATTACTCTAATCACTGGCCTACACTACATTAATCAACCGGCGCTGTCCAATCTCTCCTGTTCCCTCTCGTCATTTGTCCTTCTCTTTTTACCTCTCCTGCAGCGGCCCGAAGTCTGGCGTCGGCTTCCCACGTTTCGTCCTGCATTTGCACGCACTCACTCGTTCCAGTACCGAGTAATTACGCCTTGCGCCTCGTCCTCGTTATTTCCGCCCAGACCAAGAGCTAGCTAAAGGTGCCACAGACCCCCCAGCAGTCGCAGCAAGGAAGGAAAGACCAGCCGAAACCCCCAAATTCACGTCGTGCGACAATCCTGCTCCAGCAATTCCAGCATTGTCGAATTGCGGAACGAGGCTGGGGCCTAGAAGGGTGAAAAGAAGCGGAAAAGAAAACGACGAAAATCCAAAAAGGAAATCAAATTCCAACGACCACCAAATCGCAGTGAAGGACCGTTGCTTTTCTGTCTTCAACACCCCTCCAAAGCTCCCCCGCAGTGTGCGCCATCGCCAACGCCAACGCCGACCGAACGCCACGCCAGCTGCGCAACGGTTCCCCACCACGACTTTGCTTTGTTGGGCGTCCGACATGAGAAGGTAGCGCCATGCTCATACCACAGCGCTTCCAGCGAGTCGTGCCAGTCCTCGTCGTCCTCGTACTCTGCGTATTCATCCTCTCCTCCAGCAGGTTCCGGGATGCCGCCATCGTCGACTCGCTATCCCACCAGATCGCCGGCGTGCACAAGTCCGACCCCCCACCAAAGTCCGACGCCGTCCTGGAGGAGGAGGCCAAGCTCGGCACACCACCCAACACGACGCCACGCCCCGTCCTCGAGCCCGGCCAGTGCATCCCCGAGATCGAGTTCCTGAGGCGCGAGGAGCTGCAGCTGAGTGACAACATTGTCTACTCGAGACGATGTATCAAGCCCAAGTTCTCCGATGATGTCGACCGGGAGACCATCTCCAAGCTCGAGGGGCCCGTCATCACCCAGAAGGCCAACATCAACCTCACCTCGTGCGCTCACCTCGATGCCATGCCTTGCGACGAGTTGTCCATCACCGTGACCCCGCCTCCTCCCCAGCAAAAGTACAACCACCTGGTCTTTGGCGTGGCGACGTCCTACGACCGCATGATCCAGGGGTTGCCTGCCTTCAAGCACTGGCTGGCAGGCACAGATGCGCTGCTCGTCGCAGTCATCGTGGACCACGCCGGCAAGGACCTGGGCGCCCTCCAGCAACTCTTTGCGCAGCACGGCATGAAGATAGCCACCGCCAACGGCGATCCGAATCTCACCATCGACCAGAACCACTTTGTCATGTTGCGACCAACAGTGCAGAACATCACCCCCGAGACGAAATGGGTCGTAGTCATTGACGACGATACCTTCTTCCCTTCGCTGCACTCGCTCAGCAAGACGCTCGAGCAACACGACCACACCAAGGAGCTGTGGCTCGGCCAGCTGTCGGAGGATTTCTACTCGGTGCGCTCGTGGGGGTTCATGGCCTTTGGCGGCGCAGGCGTCTTCCTATCGGTGCCGCTGGCCAAGAAGCTGGAGCCCTTCATGGAGCAGTGCCTCGAGGAGGCGGCCCTCCCGTCGGGCGACGGCATGCTGCGCGACTGCGTGTACTACCACTCCAAGACCAAGCTGACCCTGGTGCCGGGGCTGTACCAGCAGGACATGCGGGGCGACCTCTCGGGCTTCTTCGAGGCCGGGTTCCGCACCCTGTCGCTGCACCACTGGAAGAGCTGGTACGAGGAGCCCGTCGACAAGATGGCGCAGGTCACCAAGGTGTGCGGCGACTGCTTCCTGCAGCGCTACCAGTTCGGCGAGGACACCCTCTTCTCCAACGGCTACTCGATCGCCATGTACCGCAAGGGCGTGCAGGGCCTCAAGCTCGACTGGGTCGAGGCGACCTGGAACCAGCACGGGCCCGAGTTCGACTTCAGCATCGGCCCGCTCAGGCCCGCCCTCAAGAAGGACGAGAAGAGGAGCTACCGCCTCAAGGACGCCGAGTGGCTCGCCGACGGCAGCCTCAGGCAGATCTACGTGTACAAGGCGGACTGGAAGAGCGGCGAGACCATGGACGAGGTGATTGAGTTCCTGTGGGACCCCAAGGCTGCCCAGGCTCAGGCTCAGGCTCAGGCCCAATAAGGACTCTCTCTCTTTCTGTGTGTGTGTGTGTGTGTACGAGCCGAGGTTTTTGCTTTTCAAGGCGGGTTTTCAAATTCACTTTCACATTGGCATGGTGCATGGGTGGCATGGCATCGAGAGTTGTCTGGTTTCGGGGCGTTTGGGGCGAAAGCAGGAGTTGGCTGGCGTCTTTATATGTATGTGTCCCGATCCACCCGCCCTGCACCTTCGGACACGAAAAATTCATCCGGTGCTTTCGGAGTCGAGGCGGAGGGGGTGATCTGGAAGGGTGCATGTATGCTTCAAGTTGGGCTGAATGGGGTAGGCATTTTCCACCTGCATTGAAGAGACTGCGGAACGGCCTGCGTAGCGGGAGATCCCGCTTTATGTGTATACCAGCATACCAGCGCATGTGTATATGGGAGGGGGTTGGGCGCTGTCATATCAGACCTGATCATGGTTGTACGAGACGGGTTCGTCTCGCAGCGGTAATGGGAATTCGAAAGCCTCGAGCGTTCTTTTCTGTTGACGACTTGGTCGCCCTCGTTGGATGCTGTCGCGGTGTGCGTGTGCGTGTGTCTCTGGAGCCGACCAACTCTTGCATGCCGCTCTGCCGGGCATGTGATTGATGACTGTGAAGTGAAGAACCGGCTGCTGGCTTGTGGCGTCACGGAGGGTTTGACTGATATTTGACAGCATTGCGACGACAAGTCCTGTTCGTCCTAGGACTAGCCACCAGGTGCCGCTTAATTCAACTCATCAAAAGGAAAGAAAGTCTACTTTCCATCGGGGAAGGGGGGGGGAGATGGGGTCTGCCGTCAGGCAACCCGACAGATGCAAACACGCCTCGTCGCGTATCTGTAGTACAAGCGCGTATGTACGAGGAGCAACCGAGGGCACAGCATTGCGCAGCTCCGACCGCGATGCCATCACGGCCCGCCCCATCGCGGATCGCGTCGGCATAAAATTCTGTTTTTCTTAAATTGGGCCTTGCCTTTTCTTTTTTTTTTTCTCTTTTTTTTTTCTGGTAGGGACCGCGATCAGAATTTGATTTTCGGATACCGGGACCTTGGGCCACGGCGCGCCTCACGGACTCGTGCCGCTGCGCGAGCACACGGGATCTTGTCGAGACGGACCCGGGACGGGTGGGTAGCCCGTCGGGGTGAAACTGATGGTGCGCTGGAAGGTTATGTTGGTCTTGCCACGTCAGTGTGTGGTGGTGGTGGTGGTGGTGGCAGCAATGGCGACGCTGACTAGATCGATAGGCAGGTGTGAGAATGGTGGAATACACGGTGACCTCGGGATGGGGTGAGGTTTATTTGACTTTACTTGAGCGGGCGGGCTGCGCTTGAGAGTGTTGTTATCCCACCGCGCTTGATGGATATGGGTGTGTAAGAGGACGTGACTATATGTCGAGGAGGATAGAGAGACGCATCATGTCACAGAGCAGATATCGCCGGCGCCGAAGTATGCCCGCCTACAGGCCTTTGAACGTTGACTACGGTGTGAAGGGACCGTACAGACTCAACTCTCCCAATCGGTATCATGACGGACGGCCCCGGGGGCAATCATACCGAATTCGGCATTTCGATGCCCCTATCGTCCATTCACTCATCCGGACGAACACATACATGACGACACCTTTGCGCTCACTCAAGTGGCAGGCCGTGCGGGTTATAGCGCACAGCACGTCCCACGAGTTCCTCCTTCAACTTTCACTCGATAGGAAGAACGAAAGTCCTCCGCACAGACACGGCGCAACGGCAGCCCGCGGACCCGGCCTTGTGCAAGCCACATCTCTTGGTTCTGGGGTAGATAGAGAGGCGTGCCACGGGACCGCTCTTCGCACTCGGACTGACTGACCCAGACGCCCGTCTCCACTGTATCTTTAGTGTTCGCGTCGTCTTCTCCGCCTTGGGTTCTTCATCCTCCCCCTTCGTGATGGCGGGAGTGGCTGCCCTCATGTGCTTGATATGAATCCAGCCGGGCTGGCGCCAGAAGCCATGCAGCCAGCCCAGAGGCGACCACATGATCAATCTCCCTCCCTCTCTTTCTCTCACGCGCTTGCTTGAAGCCACGCCTGTCGGCCACAGAGTTGCTTCTTCGGGGGCATACTTTGCTTCCTTTGTGGCTTCTCGCTGGTGGAACGTGGCGCGGGTCAGGCATGCGTCCCCGGGGCTTGCTGGGCCAGGTTTTCTGAGACACGGGCTTTTAGTAGCCATGTGTCTTTACTTTTTTATGGCCCTTTGTTGGGATTCTCGTGGCTAGATGGGCCTGAGACATCGATCGATCGCGCACGTCTTATAGGGCTAAACATCACGGGCGCCGTGGCTGGTAACTTTCCCTTTTTTTGCCTTTTTTTTTCTCCTTCTGCCCTCTGGTTCAATGTCGCTTCTGTCGCTGGGGATCATCGTGCAGGACAATTGATATCCGTGCCCTCGTGCCCAGCCACGTGTGGAGCCCCTGTCCCATCTGCTCGGGTGCTTCCATGGTGGATGCGGGATTGCTGATCGCCGTCCACGGACGGACCGGTATGCGGGAGCAAAGCTTCAATGTCTGTTCATGTGCGATGATACGTCCAAGATTGCGGGCGAGGACTGAGACATCCATGGGGGAGTAATATTGGACACAGGCATATTTATTGGATAAGCTTCTTCAAATCTTGGGCGAGCACAAAGTGAATTATAGGATCACATCTCAGCCCAGGTTGGGACGCACGTCACATCGCCTGCCACGGCCGGCGGTACTCTGGCGCAAATGACATCCGCGGGCAGTGCCAATATCAACGTGCATGTGCATTGTGCTGTGTAACCAGCCCTCACATGTGCAGAGACGCTTCGATTTATTTGTGCTACACATACAAAATATTCAAACCCCCACCTTTTAATCTACGCAATGCGAGATCAGAGGCGCTGATACGCCGTGCTATCTTTTCCAAGGCGGCCGCAATGATCTGTTTTAATTTTTTCAACACACCCTTTTCCCACCGCGCTGTCTGTCTGTCTGTCCTTCCCGTTCCATTCACCCACTCACTGATAACGATAAAACACGGACGGAACAGCCTCGGCGGCGGATAGCCGCCACCCGACGACCCTTGGGGTATTGGAGCGCCAAGCGAGCCGCCTTCTGCGCACACGAACGAACGGACCGACCGTTGGGTGGCTTGGGTTTGCCCAGGTGGGTTAATTAGTTCCTCCCCACCACCCGCGGACGAATAGAGACGCACAGACTCGCAAAAGGCCTTGCGTTATCAGAGTGTGCCCGAGGATTCGCCCAGTATCAGCGTGCGCGGGAGCGAATAGTATCGCGGCAATTACACGTATTGTACTACACGACACAACTGCAACATTGGTGGTGGTGGTAGCTCGGGCGCCAATGCGTCACTGCCAGTAGCAGCAGACCGGGGAATGAAGATCGCGGGAAAAGAAAAAGTATATCGACAGTGAAATTGCGGGGGCGGGAGTGAAGGGGCGGGGCGGCACTTGGTTGTGACAGTTCAATGTTGGGTTGCCTTGCCGGGCGGTTGGTGGACCAAGAAGAGAAAAAGGAGTCCGCTATTGCTGCTATACCCTTGGCGATCAAAATACTTTTTTGGGTGACTTCGGGGGATTTTATGACACATGTCCAAGCCGACCTATTCCCACTCGAGGGGGGGTGAGATCACGTCGTGTCGGGTGCTACGCCACGGTCAAAGTAACGTCGTGTCGGTAGCGACCCCGAGGTCAAAGCTAGTCTGAGGTTAAATTGTCTCCGGGCTTCTGGGTTCAAGGACTCGCTCGGCCAGCGCTTCTGCGACCCTGGGATATATGCATTACTCGCGGTGCGCGATGCGCGGGAGCTACTTTGCATACAAGTTTTTCACTGGGTTGAGGCAGATAGATGGAACAATTTCACTAGATGATTATCATCACTGCTGTTTATTCGTCGCTACCCAGGTATTGGTATCTCTGCAACCGCCTGGGACTCTTCCCAATCCCCGACCCCACCCGTACTACCTCTCTTGGCCGGCCTTGAATCGGCTTGTCGTATGTAGTAGGGAGCGGCCTTTTCATTCTCATCCTGCGCCGGGTTGTTTGCTCGGGTGTCTTCGACATGACATGAACATCCCGCCGCAATGGATTCGACCCGCCTATTGGATCCGCATCATCTTCTTCCCTGGTCCTTCGCCAGCCACATCGGATTGGGACATCATGCGACGACAGTGATAGACGGTGTGGAACCAGAGGCCTCATCCTCTGTCAATCGTAAATAGCGTGAACATCATAGGCGTAACATGTCGCATAATTCGTCACGTTGACAGCGCATTGCCATTGCTGGTCTTTCTCGAGTCGACTCAATTTTTCCACCCCAAGTAGTAGTATACCGCACTCATCCATTCACGACTTAGACAACCACAGCAATGACGCACACTGCTCCTAGCACCAGCATGCGCAAGTTCTCGGCAGCCGTGGCCGCAGCGGCCGACGTGGCAGATCCTGACTGAGATGATCCGGAGGAGGATGAGGAGCCCGTCGACGGCGATGAGTCGGATCCCGAGCCCGACGATCCGGATCCGGATCCGGAGGATGAGGTGCCGGTGGCCGACGAGCCTGATGTCCCAGTTGGGGTGGCAGTCGAGAAGCCAGAGGAAGCAGTGTTCGACGCGCCGAGCTGTCCTCCTGGGGCGCCAGCACTACCGGGCAGTGCGGCCGTGGCCGAGACGGCTTGGGCGGTCGGGGCGCTTCCCGAGTCGCCGCCATCGCCGCCGCCGCCGCCGCCGCTTCCGCCGTTACCTCCTCCACTGCCGCCGCTGCTGCCCCCATCTCCAGGAGTGGGTGAGGGCGAGGCAGGTGGCGTTGCAGCGGCGCCGCCAGCCGCCGGCGCGGTCGTCGGGGGCAGGACAGTGGTGAAGCTGGAGGTTGCCTTGACGTCCACGCAGTTGCGGTCGTAGAACAGGTACGGGCTGTTAGACTGCTCGCGGAAGTTGGAGTCTCTGATGGAAGAGGTCAGCATGTTGTCCTTTGCGATGTGGTGATGCCTGGGTTCCACTTACAGTGGCGAGGCGTAGAGGAGGCATTGGGAGCTGCCGAAGGCGAAGCTTTGGCATTTTGAGTCTGACTGGCACTTGGACGAGCAGGCGTCGAAGTTGGAAAGACTGCCGTCACCACTGAAGAAGTAGGCCTTCTCGCCCCGGTCGTAGCCGCTGGCAAGGCCGCAGGTGATCTCGCATGTGGCAGTAGAAGCCAGGGCCAGGTATGTCAATGTCGAGGTCTTCATGTTGACAAGTCGGGTGGTGGGGTGATTATCAATGCGTAGTTGAAGGGAGGTGAGGAAATTATTAGAAAGTGGATGAGCGACGAATCGGGAATTATTTGCAGTAGCGAGCGACTAGAGATAGCGAGTGAATATTCGAGGCTTCCGAGCAGGAATGATAAGAATCAACCCGGCGGAGGGAGGAGGGCAGGAAGAGCACGCGAGGAGAACATCATGGGCCTGTTCGGGTTATATCAAGGGGGCATGGAAAAGAAGGTTAAGCGCAAATGAGACGAATAGGGCCAGGCCAGACATGGCTCGCTGGCATGGTTACCCAAGATACGAGGGTTTGGATGTACTGAGTATCACACTAGATCCATGGGTCGACTCCAAGACTTCCAAGGGCAGAGACAGAAGGAAAAAAAGACGGGCATGTCCCTCATGGAGGGTGACTGCAACGACTGATACGAGTGCCACGCCTTGGGGCCAATCACTGGTACCTAAGGTTTGGGTTGCAATCTCCGCTGGGGCCTGGGTCGTGTGTCCCACGATCCTTGGCCGCCTGGGGTAGGAAGACCAACTCGGGACTAGCGGTGCGGATAGGCACGCGCCTCATATCGAAAGGTTGGTCACGCTTCATGCACGAGACCCTTCATCATAAGCTTAACGGCGCAATAATGGCATGGTTCACTCCAGAGGATTTTTTTTCCTGTCTCGCACTTTGTCATCGGCCTTGGCTCCGACCCCACTACACGTATATCGCATTGTGCATGTTTTATTGCCGCAGGCAGCTTACACATTGTGCGATGTGAGCAGTGAGATGATAATTGTGTCTCTACTAGTATCGCGTTATATCCCTCATCCGCTCGCTCGCACAGCAGACAATAGGAAGCGAGCAGGAACCGACTATCCGGATGGACTACACAGTACCTAGGTAGTTAGATCTTCGGGTCCCGTACTAAAACGCGGCCGACTAGTCGTGACTAGAAAAAAGAACCAACCACTGGCACGGTGCAAGACCTCTCCCCAGGCATCGTCATGATGATCTCGGGCGGCGACCTTATTCTAGCCCGGTCGAAAAACTAAAATCCTGTTACTCAAGCGCCAGTTGTGATCTTTGTGTTCGGTGTGCTGGGGGTTTCGGCTATTAGCCTCACGAGACGGAGGGATTTCAGGAGGATGACAGCAAGCATCCGCGGCCCCGTGGTTGCTCAGGGGTTAGCCGTGTCCTGCCGCGTCCTCCCGGTGCAGATTCCCGTCTTGCGAGTGACCCCACGAGCCCCGATTTCCTCCAAGCGTTGGTGCCGCCTCCTCACTCGGCTCATCAACATGGAACCGCCAACCTGCTTTTTTGATGAACGCCCCCTGCCTCTTCCCCGTCGGCGTGGCTTTTCTCCCCCGGATCGGCCTTTTGTCTCGAACATCACAGCATCACAAGGCATGCGCCGCAGCAAAAGCAATGAGTCGGGGGGACGAAGCATGCCAGCATGCAGCAGCGAGATAACACGCCATGCATCACCTTCCTGATGCTTGCCAACAAATCTTGGTGCATCTAGACGCACCTGTTCCTGCATGCATACACGCCGTGCCCCCCCCCCCCAAGGCCCTCAACGACCTTATGATTCTAGACAGCTGCAGCCGTCATTGCGAGACCCAGAAGAGTCTTTCAGAGCCCCGTATCGCACTGCCCACTCCGCCCACCTCCTGGCCTGCAGAGACTGCAAAGTCAGCCAGAAACTGCAAAGTCAGCTGTTGCTATCTCGCCAAGAGGGGGTTGCATAAGCCTGCAGGTGGCTGCATAGTTGACAGTTGATAACACCCCTAAATGGACACCCTGCTGTCGGTGAAGGCCTGGGTGTGGGATAGGTCCAACCAGTCTTCGAAAGGGCTGGGCGCTATCTCACAAGTGGGCAAGTCAGCACACACGCTCGGCACAGACAGGCCACACACCAGCAGACCAGGCGACTAGTCCTTCCCAAATGCAGAACCAACTCACCCCTTTTGGGGAAGTCTGGTTCGCCTAGCTCACATGCGCATCGCGTGTGTGGTGCAGCTCGGCTTTCCTTGGGGGTGTAGTACGGGCGGCTATCGTGGGACTGGCTACTAGTAGACTAAAATCCTCAACGGTGTGTGTTCTGTGCACGCGGGATTGCAACTCTGACTCGGGCCTTCACACCTTCGCTGCGCCCCCCGCGCAACACGAGGGTGGCGATGATACACTCACTCTTGTGCTGCCCGGGGCGGCATTCAATAGTGCCCATGCTTGCCATGTCACGGCAGCGGGATCAGGAGCCTCGGGTGATCGAGAGCCGCATGTGGGTGTGTTCTGAGCTTCCGGCCGGGCTGGCCGGGCTGGCCGCGCCGAGGAATCATGCGAGAGATCGTTGGGGCCTAGTAGGTTCTAATAATACACCGCTCTTTGTTCACGACCTTCGCATCTATATGGCTCCCGGATCACGCACTCTGCTGTTCCTAGACCGGGACGTGGACCTATTTATGTCCTTCAAACCAGCGGAAAGGTGACATAGACACTGATGTCGCTCGTGGCCAGCGAAAAAGACTATTGTTTTCTAGTTCAGATGTCAGCAGCGTCGTCCAGCCTCAAAGGAGCTATCCCATAAGCGTTTTGCCGGATATCTCATGTTCCGTAGCACTGAGAAGATGCGTCTGCACTGGAACATTGAAGCCATGCGAAAGTGAACACTGCACATACAGTTAATCAGTAAGCGTGATGCATGCACGAGGTCTCGATAATTCAAACACCATGTTGAGAGGGAAAAGTGCGAAATGCTCGAGCTGTTCTGCGGTATCCGCAAGGAAGCAACCTTTTGCCTTCAGCGTATGAGCTGGCAGTGCGCCGAGTGAGGCAGAGGGCTAGGTCGGTGCTCGGTTTTATTAGACAGCCTAGTTCGAACGCTGCATGAGGATTTCTCTCGTCTCGTCCCCTCAAATCCCATCTCACGCCATGGGAATCCTGCCGCTAGAGTCCAGATGTCGTCTTCGAAGGCGACTCGCGCAACTGACAAAGGCTCAGGGCAGCCAGCACATCCAGATGGTAACCGTAGATCATGGACCGAGAGGTATAGGCTACCGGTATTTCATTCCATCTCCACCAATCGCATTGGGCTGCCGTCGATCGTTTCTTGGCTTTTTTCACGACGGTCATCATTTGGGCAAGGTTGAGACTATTTGGACCAGGCGTTCAGATCGCCTTCCCTCATTTCCTCTTTTGGACAGGTCCCAAAGAGAGGGTGTCACCAGCAGCTGCTCTTCTTGCGTAGAGCATGACACAGAATTCGCCTGGTCGCTAGAATGTATCTGCCTGCCTGGCTTCGTTTCTATGCCGTATACGCCCGAATTCATACACTGCGACTTCATAGGGTGGCCTTTATACAGTGGCAAACGCTCAAAGACAGACGATATACCCGGACAACTTGGAGCCCCTCAGAGACTTCTTCGCAGATACTTAGGTATCCAGCGTTGAGGAATACTGCTTGGCAACTGAATGTTCCCACGGCGACAATAGAATCAGCACTTGCGAGCCGTCAGCATTCAATAGCACCCGGAGGGGTCAGCCGCTGTGGAGACAACGCGCATATCATAGTCGGGCGTTCGGCCATGCCGTGCATCCCATCGGCGGTACAGGGCCAACGCTCTGCTATCGCATTTTGACCGGGGTGGGGGGGGGGGGGCAAGGTCACCGATCTACTCCTGTAGCGTCCGCCAGGCAAGCATTCTCCACCTAGGGTCGATGTGAGTTTAGTCTCGAGGTACTTCTATATTGTTCTTCTCCCCTCGTCCAGCCTGGCTAGACCTTCCTGGGACGACCTCTTCGGAATAACTTGAGAGACCGGATATTCTCACACGCAAAAACGGATGGAAGGCAACTTGGAGATTCAAGTACTTAGGTGGGCACTAGACTAGTTATCTCATAATCTTATCCTATATGATATTATCCTAAAGAAGGTTATCCTAGAGGATGTTATTTTATAGAAGGTTGTCCTAGGAGGTTGTCTTAGGAGGTTGTCCTATAGGAGGTTGTCCTATAGGAAGTTGTCTAATAGGAGATTGTCTGATAGGAGATTGTCCTATAGGAGTTTATTCCTTGGGGCTTGGGTATACCCTCTATTTTTGCGGGTGTGAATATCCGATCTCTTAACTTGAACTCATGCATAGCGGGAGGGAGCCTGACTGCCATATTCCATGCCGTAATCCCGCTCCAGAAACTCAACTATGATATTCTTGGGCCGCTCTTTAAGCGTGGCAATTCTGTGTTTGACACCATGTTCTCGGAATGCAGAGCACACGATATCTCTGACCTAGAGGTGTTGTTCTATGTGTTGTATGAATCTATACTGATACAGTGAACTTGCCAAGTCCATTCCGAATGGTCGATTTCATCCGATCGAAGGGGGTCAGAGCGATGGCACCTGGAGGCCTTTTTTGCCGGTCGTTCCAGCTTGCTGCAATTTGTAGACAGATTAAGACAACAAATGGACAGGGGACTGTCTTCACCTTTGAAATGTGAGTTTTATGGGGAGGAAAGTACTAGGCTGTTGGGGAAGACGTGAGTCTTTAAGAGTCGCGGTTTCGTTCCTAGTGGTTTTATTTCTAATACGGCTTTAGCTATATTATATTTTTTATTTAACTATTTATCTATTCATTATCTTCTTAACTTTTAGACTAGCTATTGGCTTGTACTTTAAGTATAAAGTTAATAATTACTTAATATATACCCTTAAACTTATCTATATATAAAGTTACTAACCTCCCCTATAGGGCTTCCTCTTCCACTACATTCCTTATATATTATATAAAAGTAGATAAATCCTTAATAATAAAGTAGTATATTTAGAGAAGGAAGATTTAGTTCTTAGGTACCTAGACTTCTACTTTCCTTATATAATATTTATTTAATATATAGTAAATAAACTTTACTTAACTTTCTAAAAGAGTTTTAATTTTTTTATAGAATTTATATAAAAAGGTTTTTTTAAATAGGTTTATTATTATAATATTATTATTCTATTAATTATATACTTAGAATAAAGACTATAATATATTTAATTTATTTAATAAAGATAGATCTAAATAGTTATATAATAAGTATATTAATAAGGAAAAACTAGCTTACTAGGTCTTATATTATAGAATTCTTCTTCTTATAGGGGCTATTTTAAGATTATTCTAATCTTACTATATAACTACTTTATTAGCTATTAGCCCTTAGGCTATTTATATTAATAATTTTAATATAGCACTATTAGAAGTAATGTCTTTTAGCTTTATCTATATAGTATAAAGCTTAACTATATATCTATATATTATATTCTCTTTCTACTATTATTAGTACTATATTTCTTTAGATATTAGGTTTTAAGTATTTACTATTATATAAAGGTATTATATATATTTTATATGTATAGAGATTAAAAACGAAACTACTTGTTTCTAATGCCTATAATACATTTCGATTGTATATAGCGCTTTCATACAGTGGCAAACATTCAAGGCCGAGTGACTTGGACTGAGTATTTGAGAAAGGTCTTATATCTTATAGAGATGGGCGTACCAGGTGATCGGACGGGAACTTGCTCCGTCGCAGCTTGGGACGCTCCCTCTTTTCGACCCACCATCAGGATGTGTACGGACTAACAACATTGGACGAAACCAATCAGAAAATAGAACCTGTCTGTGGCCACTTCTCAATCAGCGTCTCCTGTATTCATCACTCTATGTTACCGATCATCAGTCTCAAAATAGCGTCAGACGTCACTTAGGCTTTACGGCACAAGGGATCGAATTTTGCACCAAACGGTGTAGATTTTACGAGTAGGTCTGCCTAAAGAGGAAAAGAAAGCAAGGAAGGTTGCTCCTTCAGCGTTCGGGGAAAGTGTAGATGTGGCAGCCTTGTCGATAAGTGGTTATCCGTGTGGTTCAAAACTTTTTGCTGGGAGCCATGACTTCACCAAAAATACTAGGTCAATTCCCGCTGTTTGCCTTGATAGTCTTCCTCATGTATGGCTGTCTCAGAAAGCCATCAATCATCTAGCTCATTCCCACATAGAAAATATCATGATCTGGTCCTTGCAGAGTGGTCACAAATAGGTGCCAGGTTCTGCCAAAATTCCGAAGACCGAGCTGATCCGCTTGTGTCTCAATTCCTCCCATCGCGGTGTCTGCCCGACAATGGTAGGCAAATTAAGAGCAAAAATTTGTGATTCGGTGAAGATATTTCCGGGCTGGGTCCAAAGTTTTCCTCCTGTCCAAAACTCAATCGGTGTGCGAATCCGTGTGATTGTAAGCCGTATCATTTGCCTGTGGCGCAGTAATGGCTGCCTTCTCAAATAGTGGTCTGAATCAGTTGGCCTTCATCAAGGTGGAACCAGTATGCGACCTTTCTCTGGTCATCATGCCAGTAGCCAAGCTTGCCTTCAACTCCACAGCCCGCAAATCGCTCAAGACAGGCCTTGGCAGCCTCTTCTTGAGGCTTGGTTTTGAGAACGATTGTCAAGGATTCCAGACCAGGCACCATAGGTCCATTCACAAGAAAGTGACTGACATCACGTTCCGTCCCATCCCTTTCCCAGCGGAAAAATGCCCAAAGTGGTATTGGCACCGTTACTCTGGGGCCCTCTTTCAACGTCAGAGACTTCAGCTGCCATGGGTGGATATGAGTGCGCTGGCTGCGCCACCGCATCCACTTAAGAATGATAGTAAAGAGCTTGATGGAGCTCTTACGTGGTCGGTCTTTATCATGGATCGTGATTGTGAGGCTACTGATGAAGGGAAGTACGTAGCGTTTGAAGGACTCCCATCTTTCGCTGGAGGTCCAGTCGCCAGCCTCAGCCCACTCGAATTGGTATCTCGAAAGCAGTTGAGGGAATATTTCGGCACGGATGTCCTTGACTTTTAAAAGAGACTTGACGCTGGAGGACAGCATGTTGTGGGAGTCAGACAGACCAACAGTACCAGCCGGCACACCCCATTTGTAGCTCATAGCAGTCTGCTCTCTAATGAGAAAATCGTAAACCATGAGTCGGATTTCAGGAGGGAGAGACATGAAGGGAAAAGGGTTTCCTGGGTCCAGAGGAACAAACGCCTTGCGAGATCGGCGTTTCTTCTTCGACGAGGCCATGCTGCAGAGTTGGTGAGTCTTTCTGTCAGGTCTACCTCCGTTACAAGGAATGAGTAAGGTAATCCTTCAGCACACAAGTTCAGAAATAGACGGAGTTTCAGGATTTAAGTGTATGGGAAAATACTGTGCTGCCTGGAACCCCCACCTCGAGCTTGGAGCCTTGGAGCCTTGGAGCCTCGGGATAGACTTGATCGATGCCTGCCAATGTGCCTGGGCTGTTTGTTCAGGACTCGGCTTTGTAATGTATCCATTGTGTCCCCTCAACGATATTTCATGCTTGAAAACTTTGTGCACACTTCATATGCTCAGCCCCCAGCTTGTGCTGCCTCACCAACTTATGTGATCTGAATGTGGGCGGGTCACCTTGCGGCACGCCTTTTTGGCAACACAAGAAACCGACTTCGGAGTCCTAGAATCATATCAGCGAGGGTGTTTCCCAGATATCAATTCCATGGACAGAATCAACTGATATGAGTCATCAAACATCCGGGCATGCCACCCCTCTCAACCTTTGTCAGAGTTCATATAGGATGAATTTCCATACTTGGTAGGAGAATAGTCTCCCATTAGACAGCCTTCCATAGAAAGACCTCTTATAAGACAAGTTCCTAAAGAATAAATACCCATGAGATAACATCCCATAGGATAGCTTTCTATGTGATTACCTCCCACCTACAGAATAAGCTCTCATAGAATACCTGCTATAGGATGGCTTGCTATAGGATGGCCTCCTATGAATACACCCCACTTGAGCACATTAGCTATAGCATGTCATCTTTTTGCAGTGTGAGCAGTAATGTATCACATTTGATGATTGCACCTAACTGCTAATCTGGTAGGTATCTGCACTCAACCGAAGCCCTAGTTCTGCTCCGAGTCATCACCTACATCAAAGTCCGAGTCCTGGTCGAACTCGCTGTCTGATTCGGAGGTATCGGTGGACTCGGAAGGCTGGTAGTCATCATCCTCATCATCTCCGTCGCCACCGGCTGGTGCTTCTTTGTCCGCAAGGACTGCACAGTAGTCCATTCCCTCAGGTACATCAGCAAACCTTGGGTTTGCCCAGTCACAGATGCAGGCGTCCTCCTTGGCGTCACCCTCCTCTCCTATGGTCAAGGCGACCATACGCTCCTCGAGCGGGACTCGCCAGAACTTGCCATTACGGTTCACGGACCCAACCAGATCAGCCTCGAGGATGGTGAATCCCCTCTCAAACTCACTGTTGTCGACCTTGAAGCTGTCCAGCTCCATCTGATTGCTCATCCCCAGCCGCAACATCGTGTTCGTGGTAACAGCCCACCTCTCAAAGCGCAGATGGCGCAGCTGAGGGCCGTACCGCACCAGGAACTGGTCGAGCAGGATCTCCAGGAACCGGAAGCGCCGCATGGGGCCCTCGCGGAGGGTCAGGCTCTTGAGACCCGGCAGCCGGACCTTCTCGTTGAAGAGGACATCCTGGAAGGCGCGGGCCAGGGCGAGGACTCCAATCTTGGGGTTGGCCATCTCGAAGCAGAGGCTGATGTGCGACAGCTTCTTGGTCCTGTGGAGGCACTCACCTAGTGTGGTCCAGCAGGTGATGCGCTGTGGCGTGTACGGAGTGCCCAAGGGCATGGGGATGGATGTCCTCAGGGGGAGGCACAGGCACAGGTCGAGAGAGTGCAGGTACTTGAAACATAGCTTGTGTCTGTAGCGCAGCCTGGTGACGCTGGAGGAGGTGCCGTGGGTCTCATCTGCCCAGTGGAGGTGTCTGATTGTGTTCCCGAGGTAAATGATTGCGGGCAGGAGGATGCTGAAGAGGCCATCGTTTCTCTGGTAGCCCTGGATGTCTCCGCGCACATCCATCTGGAAGTGGTAGGCGGTGAACTCGTAACTGCACGAAGGCCCGGACAGGACGTGGTGAGAAGGCATCGGCCGGGAAGTGAAGGTGTCGAGTTTGGGCATGGACTCGAGCGCTTGGTAGAAATGGGGGATCCACTGATTTATGATCTGAGTGCGAGATGCCTCAATCTGGGCTCTCTGAGGGTCATCGTGCTTAGGGACGGAAGGCAGCCAGAACAGTTGTGTGGCTATATTTGCGAGGTCTGGAAGAGTGTAAATGTTGTCATGCTGGATAGCGTTGCGCAGCCCATCATGTGGGTAGCGTCCCACGCGGTCGCGGGCGGTCTCAAGAAAGACGTTGTGATCCTCAGCCAGCTCATACCAGACCAACTCCTTCACGTGTGTGGTGATCTTTGGGCTTGCCTTGATCTCCCAGAAAGCCAGTCTGTCCTTTCTCGCCTTGGACATGTGTATGCGCCTGAAAACAATCGGGTTGAGAATCTCCTCGAATTTGGCGCAGGTGATGCGGAGGGACTTGTGATCTCTTTGGGACAACTTGATGATTATTTTGTCCAGAATCTCTCGAGGCATGTAGAGTATGTATGCAGGGCGGATTGTGAGCGTGTTGACCAAAGTCTCTGAATCATCGCAATTGTTTGTGTCTTCAAGTTCCTTCCAGGGCGCCTTCATTCCCACCGTGAAAGCGGTGATGTTTGACTCTGAAGTCATGGTTGGTATTCTCTAGAGAAGACTGAAATACTCTTTGGCGGTTTGATTCACGGGTTGACTGGAGTTGCTTGTCGGTAAACAAAGGTCGGGTTGTGTGTGGCTGCTGCACAACTCAATCATCGCAACTGGGTTTACCTAGGTAGTCCGAAGCCAGCCTTGTGCACCAGCTTCCCCCAGTCGCGTCAACAAGTCGCGTCAAGGCGCGTCCATGTCGAGTTCAATTCAGCAAAAAGCTACTTGCTTGCTTCATGTTGAATAGACCAAGGAATTGCACAGGCACCCTGGCCTGGACAATAATTGAGCCCCTTCTTTGCCAATTCCATAGTCTTGGTATACTTTCAACATTGTGGAAAGGATCATATATCCATCCACACAATTTGCTGGGCACTCCTATATGTGTGGTGTTCTTGTAGCTCAAGAGAGCACAGCACTTACTATGTCGGAGTTATTAGTTGGGAGCATAAACTCTTAGGCATGGGCTCGACTTACACAGACGTACCGCCTTGCCCAATCAGGACGCACATGGGTTGCGAGACCAGCCCATACCGGATTCTGCCGTTTCTTCCCGGCATTACAGACGCTCACCTGCCGTTTATTAGCCTCACCAGCTGTTAGCGTGCAACTGACACATGCTAGCAAACGTTAGATAGAACGGCAGCTGAACGGGTGTCCGGCAGGGTGAGAATGACGTCAGGCGGAATTCGGCACCAACAGACATCGCGAGTGACCCGAAAATCGACCCCTTCTGCCCCTCTGCCCCTGCTGCCCCTGCCGGCCCTTGCTTCTTCTCCAGCACAGCCGGCGTCTTGACAGGCCCAGATCAAAAGTCGGCCTCTGCACAGCCCTCCCTACACCCACTTTGTTAGCAAACTCGACCTATCTTGACTCATTTTTTCCCTGCTCCTACCGACCCATACACGATGCCACCTGCAAGGACGATATAACTTACTCTTGACCCCGCTGGTTCGTTTGGGAAAAAGTTGCCGTCATCTGTCTCGTTCAAGCCGTTGCCGTTTGTGTCCTGATGCAAGTTGAATGCGACCAACTGCACTCCTTGCCGTCGTCGTCGCCGAGAACGGGCGCAGAAATCTGAAGCCGCAGAAGCAACAAGGGTCGAGACACTCAGAGGACCCAGTTCTTCCACCGCCAAGCCAGCCTGTCTTTGGGAGCCACTCGGTTGGACGCACACACAACTTCTGGTTGGGGCGTGCACGTCCAGACCACTCTGTTCCGGTTGCTGATACGAAACATCTCGACAAGGAAACAATCCAAAGTCAGTCGGCTCTCGAGTCTGAGCGAGGACAAATCTGAGAGGGGACAAACTGGTCGTCGATCTTCCGGCCTTGGCGATCGAACCGTCGCACAGCACTTGCTCGTACCAAGACAAGTGACAGGTCTTGGCTCCAACACTGTGCCCTGCCAGCGACACAGCAGTACCCCAACCAGACCACAGGGATCCTCCGCCCCTCAGCTGGCTTATCGATTGCCGGACAGGCCTGTTTTGCTGTCGACTGTCGTCATCGTGCTGTGGGTTGTGACCCTGTGCCGGGCCCAAGTCAAGTCGAGCGACAAGCGTCAAGCCACACGTGCTCCGTACTGCACAGTACACCCGCCAGTACACGAACAGGGCGTGGCGATAATCTGCCTTCAACCACACTAAGCCTTACCTGCAATCTTAGATCTCAGATCGCGGGACGAACAATGTCTGGCCCCGCCCCTCCTAAGGCTGACGCCCCCCTGGACGGTAATGGCCAACAACATCCCGATGCGCAGGCCGCCCCCCCAACTCCACCTTCCGCGGATGAGGGTGAAGACCACGAGAAGGGGGTCCACGGCCTGAAGCACAAGGTCACCGGGAAGAAGGACGAGCTTAAGGACAAGGCCCACCCGCCAGGAGGCTATGACCCTACTCCTCTACCCGACTTCCCCTCCGGCTGGACCGTCAGGTTCACCTTCCACCGCGCCGAGAATCTGCCAGCCGCCGATCTCTCAACTCAGCGATGTGACCCTTATATCCACGCTACCCTGACCGCACCCATCCCGAGGAGGCACAAGGAGGACCCCCCACTTACCTGGAGGACCAAGACAATCCGGACGACATGCGATCCGGTGTGGGAGGAAGAATGGGTCGTCGCAAATGTGCCCTCTAGCGGCTTCAAGCTCAAGTGCCGCCTGTACGACGAGGACTATCCCGACCATGATGACCGCCTGGGCAATGTCACGTTTGAGACCAACTCACTCGTCGAGGGCTGGAGCCTGGGCCCGGATGGTCAGTGGTTCGACATCAAGAAGCGCATGGCTAGCAAGCGTGCGTATTTCTTCAAGGCCATTACTAGTGCTGCCGATAAAGCAACAAGCATGACTGGCCGTCTCAACCTGAAGATTGATGTCCTCGGACCATCCGAGCCTGGCGTTAAGGGCTCCCAGATGTACACCGTCGGGCCATCGATATTCTTCAAGCACTACAGTCCGCTGCTGGGCAGATTGATAGGTATCAAGGTAAACAAGGACGAAGCACAGGACGAAGTTGAGTATGACGCCCAGTCGGGGGAGAAGAAGATTCAGAAATATGAGTAAGTCTAACCACAGCCACAACAACCCATATTTACACTCGATGCATATCAAGCTGACTGCTGCCCCAGCTTCCAAGCGAACGAGCTCCAGCTTGCAGGCCCCGTTCCAGAGCACCTATACCATCGTTATGTTGAATTTAGCTCTTGGGTCGGGAGCATGTTCACATCCACCGGCCTCCGAGGAAAGGTCTTGCACAAAGCCCTGCACAAGCAGCACAACCGGATCTACAGCTTCAGCCAGTCGACACAGTGGGGTCAGTTCCAGCCGTGCACCGAGGAAGCCTCTCTCCAGTTCCTGCGCATGGCCCATTTCGACGAGGGCGGCCGTGTCTTCACCTACGTCCTCACTCTGGACGGTCTGCTGAGATTCACCGAGACGGGCAAGGAATTCGGGATCGACTTCTTGTCCAAGCATACCATGCACTCGGACGTGGCCGTCTACATTGCTTGCTCGGGTGAATTCTTCGTCCGCCGCCTCGCCAAGCCCGACGCCCCTGAGCACTCGGGCGAAGCCGACCCCGGCGAGCCTACCCATCCGTCTGAAGACCTCCCAGGCGGCCCGCCACACGCTCAGCCGCCAGCCGACCCACGCCACTACCAACTCGTCATCGACAACGACAGCGGGACCTACCGCCCAGACAAGAGCGTCCTGCCTCTGCTGCGCGAGTTCCTCGAGCGCAACTTCCCCGGCCTCGGCGTGGTGGTCATGCACTGGGAGGACCAGGAGTGCCAGGACCTCAAGCAGAAGCAGCGAGATTTCAAGAAGAAGGAGGGCGGCGCGGTGCAGATGGTGCAGAACCGGAGCCCGGACTCGAGCAGCATCAGCAGCAGCGACGAGAGCCGCCTGGACAGCGACGGCGAGTACGGCGGCCACAAGCACTGGAAGAGCAAGAAGGAGGCCGCGTGGGACATTGTCGAGGACCCGCAGAAGCTCAAGTCGCTGAGCCTGGGCGGCAAGAAGCATGACAAGGACGCGGCTGAGCCCCCGGCCGATGCCTAGACGGCGGAGGCGGCGGCGGCGGCGGGGTGAGAGGGTCGCACGACGAGATGGTTAGAAGATACCTGTCTTTATGAGGTTGTTCATGAAGTTATACCCGCGACTAATGTCTTTGCATGTCTAATTGTCAATTCTTTCGGGGGAAGGAGTGGGATGTCCGTTTTGGTCTTCTCCTGTTCTCTTGCAGCTCGGCCTCGGCTGCCTGTGACGAGGCTTGTTTCCCAGCATCATGGGCTTTTGGATACCTTTTAAGCATTACTTCCTATTACAATATTACCTAAGTTCCTGACTGCGCTGTGTTGTTGAAGCGACTATCGACTTGAACTATGTGACCCCCGAGCTTGAGAGTCTGACAAATATGGCACATGCCTTTCAGACTGACTGATGTCTGGTTCCCCCCCCCCCCCTTGTGTCCCTCACCAGCCCCCGAGAGGGTACAACAGAGATTTACAGCGGCCCATTCTCCTTACCTTTGTTTGGGCTCGGCGCTGATATGATTGAACACTCTTTCCGGCTCCCGCGTGCCAACATGACAACTCGATAAGCAGAAATAGACAAAGGAATACGGCACTCGACCCGAGCCGTCCCGGACGCTCACATCTCAGGTATATAAGGAGTAATTCCTTGGCATTCGTCTCTAATTCTCCCCTTCCTTCTCCATACTTACATAGCCTGACAACGGGAGATCACGAAGTCCGCAGTTGTGTGACGGCTGAGGCACCCCATTGCACGGCGAGGGGCCCTCCGTCATGTGTCTACTTCCTTCGGGGAGCCAACACGAGGCAAAATTTTTGGTTTTCATCTTCTCCTTCTGGAGATTCACTGTCATTTTCGTTTTGTGCGTCACCTTGGGGCGATGCCACGACGAAGACGATGCGCAGTCAAAGCCTTGGGCCACTTGTATTGTACCGTCCCGGCCCGAATCCCACCGTAGATAGGACTCTGACATATTGTTTCTTAGCAGATCTCAGCCAAGTTGTTGCACATCCCACACCTAGTTACACCTCCGAAACACGCTCACCAACCCCCTTGCCCTCACTCGTCTCCCCCTCAGCCCCAGTCATCTCCCACCCCCGCCCGCGGTACCTCGCGCCCCAGATCCCACACCTGCCGGGCGCAAGTATCCCGTTCGGGTCGAGGCAGTCCTTGACCCTCTCGTTGAACCTCCCCAGCGCGCCGCCGCCCCACCCGTACGTGCCCGCCACCTGGTCCATCAGCGCCAGGTGCGTGCGGTACTCGCCGTAGCCCAGCGCCGCGGCGTCGTCGACCATGGCGCGGAGGCACGCCAGCGCGCGGGCGCGGGCGCCCGCCGAGTGCCGGTCGTACACGAGCTCCACGATCAGGTGCATCTCGCGCAGGCCGACGATGAAGGCCGGGAACAGGTCGATGCCGAACTGGGCGTGGCGCGAGCGCGCGAGCGTGTACAGGGCCGTGGCGTCGGCGCCGCGGATGGGCGCTATCGGGCTGAAGGCTATGTGGGCGCCGTTGGGGACCCAGTTCACCCAGGCCAGCTCCTGGATGTCGGGGACTATGGTGACGATGGTATGGGCTCAGTCCGGTTCCCTTGCTGGCTGGCGGGTGGGACACAGTGTATGTAGTAGGAAAGTGGGAATAGACTCACCGCCCGCCGCGACCCTGTCTCTCGCCCAAAAGTACTCGCCCGCCGGCAGCGTGGCCGGGTCGACCCTGCGGCACCCCGGCACCTTCTTGAACTCCTTGTCGACCACGTCCAGCTTGTACCTGCGGATCGCCTCGGGCCCGTAGCTCATGCCGTAGTAGATCCACGTGCAGTCGCCGAGGGGCGACTCGGACGCGGCCTTGTGGATGATCTCAGGCGGGATGAGGCCCTCCCCGGAGTAGTACCTGGTCCGCGGGTGGCCCCGGCCGGCTATGGTCTGGGTGACGTGCCGGAGCTGGGCGGCGTTTTCTAGGATCATGGAGATGCGGAGGGGCCGGATTATCTCGATCTGTTTTGGTATGAGTGGGCTTGCTGGTATCACAATGAGGCCCCGAGGACTTTGGCTTACGAGTTGCGTGAGATCTTCTTCTTTTGGGAATGTGTACATCTGAGATTGGGAGAGTCAGCAATTATTTTCACTTACGAATCTGGACAAGTAGTAGTCTGTAATTACTTACAAAGCTTTCATGCCCTCCTGGGTTCGGCATGAGTGTCATGCCCATCTTGGTGACGATACCGAAATTAGACTGCGAGAAAAGTCCACTGTATATCCATCAGCCTCACCCATGCCAATTCATCTTGTCAGTCGGATGTAGACGAGACAATTTGAACTCACTCTGAAAAAGGTCCATAACCATAGGGAAAAGCCTGCCAGGTATTGCTCCCCTCGAGCGCCCCCATCCCCGTGCGGAAGACCTCCCCCGTGGGCAGCACGACCTCCAGCCCGGAGTGGCATGCCCAGTGGTCCCCGTACGGCGTGTACCCGACGCCGCGGTCGACCGTGTTCCCGATGATGCTGCCGCCCCCGAGGTCCGGCGTGTCCACCCACATGTGCCCGTCCAGCCCGCGGTCCCGCAGCGCCTGGTGCAGCGCGTAGAAGCTCACACCTGGCTCCACCAGGCAGGTGTAGTCCTCGGCGCTGATGTCGAGGATCCTGCTCATCCGCCGGCCGAGGTCGACGGTCACGGAGCCGCGCACGCGGGGGGCCGCGCCGCCGTAGCCCACTTTTTGTTTTTTTGCTGGTTAGTTGTTTTCGGGTTGTGGGTGGCGCAGGGCCCAGGAGGGCGTCGAGAAGGGGGAAGACGTACGATTTCGGCCCATTGAGATGGGGAAGATGGGGATGAGGTGTTTGTTTGCCCAGCGGACGACCCTCTGGACCTCCTCCGTGCTTCCCGGATAGACCAGGGCCGAGGCCACGAGCTCTTCCTCGTCGAGGATGGTCATCATGTCGTGCGTGTTGGGATCTGGGGCCAGTTTCTGGTCAGCTCCCACCCAACGCATCGGCTCGTGGAGGCCACGTAACGTCACTCACGCTCCATATACCTGGGCTTCCGTCAGTCTCATCACATTCGGGCTTGAGGACAGTTCAAACTCACCATCCATCCTTCAACGGCTTGTCGTTCACCTCGACGTGCTCCGCCCCCAAGTCATTGCGTAGCTCATCGAGAGCCTCGAGAAATTTATCACTGTCAATACCCTGGGGTATGACCGGGAGTCTCTGCCTCTCGTTGAGCGGCTTCGTCCGTGTTTCAAAAATGGTCTTCTTTGCATCGCGGGCTTTGTCTAGGAGGAACGGCGGTATGCCAGAGTGAGCATCTGGAAGAACGGGCACGTCCGACTTGGCTTCTTCGAGATACGGTGTCATGGCTGTGTTTGTGTAACTGCGTTGCAAGCTTCTGCTACACCATGTAGACTTCAACGATGTATCATATGTAAAATGCCTAGCTACGATTCAAGGTGGTATAAATGTATGCTGCACGGATAGACGACACTACTTTTACCCCGCGAGGAGTTACGACTCCAATGCGGCAGACATGGTATCGGTCACTGCGGTCGCCAAATCTATTCCCCGCAGATGTGACGATTACTATTGCCAGTGGCGTTAATGTGGTGCGCCCCATTCCGGGAATAATGCTGTTCCCTCGAAGAAGAGTTGAAGCATACGCAGTCGAAGGTGTTACATTTGCGGTTCGGATCGTACTGCGGGGATCTATAATGCGCCGGGTAGAATTATACTCTTGTGCTGGAGGACTCGGTCAAATATGAATCAGCGCCACTTGGCAGATCCGTGGGCTAACCATTCGAGATTTAGAAAAGGAACCTTCATCAACCCGAGTTGATCTGTCAGTGATACGGGAATCCGCGTATCACCCTGCAGCCCAGCTTTGCGTGGTGATCTGTCAAAAGAGGCTTGTCCCGCTCGCGACTTACTGTACCAAGCTGGCATTATAATGGCAGCACTCCCCGGCGTCCACTGGCTGTAAAAGATGACTGGCCTATACTATTGCAGGTGTCCTCGCATCAGCGTGCATATTCGCATGAACCCTGATGACCAGGCGAGGGGGCCTTGATGTCCAGGACGGTGTCTTTGAAAGGAGGCCGCAGCCTTCCCCACAGACGCCGCTTCCGGGAAGACGGGTCCGCACGCCATGATTGTCTTGTTGATTTCATCCCTCGTCCTTGTGCTCGGTTTCAGCCTTGACAGCGGTCCGTCGTCCACTGGCGGGCAAGGAGGTGAGATGGCTGAGCACAACGAGAAGTCGCGGCGGGAAACCCTCGCTGCAATCCCTGAAGAGGACGCAGACGAGGAGTATTACAACGTCGAAGACGTCCACCCGGGCCCTGTCGAGCATGAGGATGGTAAAGATATGCTTGGTGACCTGGCCCGCTTCCCGGCCGAGCTGCGGGTCTTAATATACCAACAGTACTTCTTCGGCGATGGACTTTCGTGCGATATCCGCCGGTCTACAAAAGACATTATTCGTGATTCAAGCGGTGACAGGGAGGACAATCTGACAACCAAGCCATGCACGGTGGCCCACTCACTGTCGAGCAACATCAGTGGCGTCTCCCTACTCCAGACGAACAAGCGGATGTAAGCTCACCAACCAGCCAGCCTACCCCCAGCCCGCCGGCCACCATTGACACCATCCTGTCCCCCGCCCGGCAGATACGCAGAGTCGCTCCCAGAGCTCTACGCGCAGGCGCGCTTCCGCTTCGACAGGCTGTGCCCGCTGCAGCACTTCCTGAGCGCGACGCCGCCGTCCAGCCTGCGGCACGTGCGGGCGGTGCGGTTCGAGTGGGTGACGTACACGTTCATCTACGGCTCGGACTACGTGGCGACGTACGTGGAGCGGATCTGGGGCCCCGTGTGGGCGAGGCTGGTCGGGCTGGAGGGCCTGCGCGAGCTGACCGTGACGGTGAGGCCTGGCTGGGCGGGCGGGTGGACGGTGCTGGGGGCCGCGAGGGAGAGGTGTGAGGAGCTGCTCTTTGGGCCGGTCAGGAGGCTTGAGGGTGGGGGTGTTGTGTTGAGGTGTGAGGCGTGTTGATGGTGGTGAGGCGGGTGGCGATGTTTTGTTGGCGAGGACGGTGTGGAGTGGGTTAAAGACGGAGCAGTATGGATGGGCCGACTCCAGAGCTGGGTAAAATTAGTTGTCAGACGTTTTGGTGGGTGCAGTTGAAGCTATCACGAGAGATGCAACTTTCCAATAAGAATCATTGACGGTTATGACTACTTCTTAGTAGGCTGGCCAGGATGCAGCAAGAAGCAAGTCTGCCCACAAGTCGGACGAGTGCTCTGTTTTAGGCTGTTTTCTCTCAGGGGCCGAGCCCCTGCAATCGACGACACACAGCACATCAGGCGAGGAATGCTCCCTGGTTATCTTGTGCAGGTGCTTAGCCGGGGATGTACGAAGCATGTAGGACTGGAATGCAGCCAAGCTGGAACCTAAATAACGATGGACTTCAGTCCTCTCGTCTTCTGGCCTGTCCACCAAAATTCACATCTCCAGAGGACCCTTGATATTCGAGCACCAGTAACCCAGTACCCAGTACCCAGTACTTATCACAGGCATCACATTACTGCAGAGACCAGCTAGCCGGTACCTGCAGAAACAAAACCCCACACCTCGGCAGCATCCGAGCTAGGCCCTAGCACTCGGCCGGTTTCAGTGGGTGATCCTCCACCTTCGCAGCCCCCGACCGACGGCCCGCCTATTTTCGCCAGTTCTCGCCTCGACGACCTACCCATCTGCCCACCAACCCACGCACCCCTTCATTCATCTTCTTGCAGTACATTCTTTCTTGGCCCCGCGCTTGAACAGTATTCCTTTTACTTCTTCTTCTTCTTCTTCTCCCGTCCTACTTGCTCCGGTCCAGCGCAGGCGGCACCAGAACGTAACCGAAATGGCACGCCGCCAACATCTGACCTTGACGGTCCTCCTCGTCTTCTTCGGCTTCCTCACCTTCACGTACTACATTTCCTCGAGCCGCGAGTCCGCCGCCGACAACTATGCCGCCGCAAACTTCCCCAAAGACTCGACAGAGAGCCTGAAGCAGCAGGCGAGCTCGGGCTGGTCCCCTGGCGAGGTGGACTTTGGGCTGGGCGACAACATCCTGAAAGGTGGCGCCATCGCGCCCAAGCTGGGCAACGAGACGGCCAAGTAGGTCGCAGCTATCTTGCAGTGCGCGCCGTCCATACGTGACTTGACTGACATGTTCTTCTCCTCTGCAACAGGCGCGAGCTCGGCCATGCCACGTGGAAGTTCCTCCACACCATGATGGCGCGGTTCCCCGAGAAGCCGACCCCGGACGACCAGGTCGCCCTCAAGACCTTCATCACCCTCTTTTCGCGCCTGTACCCCTGCGGCGAGTGCGCCGGCCACTTCCAGAAGCTTATCGCAAAGTACCCGCCCCAGGTGTCGAGCCGCAACGCCGCCGCCGGGTGGCTGTGCTTCGCCCACAACATCGTCAACGAGCGGCTCAAGAAGCCCATCTTCGACTGCAACAAGATCGGCGACTTTTATGACTGCGGCTGTGCCGACGACCCGGGCAAGGCCGCCCCCGAGGGCGAGGGGGCCAAGAAGGCTGGCGGGGCCGAGGCGGAGCTCAAGGAGAGGGAGGCTGCTGCGCCGGCTGCGTAGATGGCCGTGTTGTATGACTTCTGCATAGATCGGTGTCAGAATGTAGTAATTTCTACAGGTGTCGACATTTTATGGTTATTTAGGCGTTCCGGGCGTGTCTACAGGCACTGGTGGTCGCTGGGGGCCGGCATTGCATAGCCACAGTTCAGCACATTGCACATCTTGAAGACGTTGAATCTTATGCCATGAAAATCTGGTTGATAAACTCAAGATCAGCCCATATTTCGCAAGAAATCTATCCCTTTTGCAATGCTCGAGAGTTGGCTGTTTCATCTCGGCCACCCATAGCGAATGTCAGGAGATTTTCGCAGACGAACGAAGCAAATGCGCTCTTCGAGAAGGTTGGAATCAGGCACCAGATAGATTGTCCTGACAGGGACTAAAACACTCTTCATTACGATGCAGGCAGCTTGAGACATGTCCTCACTCTCGAGCCGTGAGATAGGGGTGACCCTGGGGGTTGTCACGTGGGGCAATGACGGCCGGCGTCTTGCCTGCCGGGAGGCCGCGGCAAGCCAACGCGTCGGAGCTGCCTTGAGCTTCCTGCTGCAACAAGAGCTCTCTAAACGGCCACCAGCCCAGCCCATCCCAACTCCAGCTTCACCCACGCACCCACTACCTTTGCGCTTCGACGTCGAATCTCCACCACGAACCCGACTCTACAGATACCCAGGAACTCACCCTTCTCCAGAAAACCCCAAAGTCTGAACAAACACCGCAAGCATGGAGTTCGGCACCTCAGGAAACCTGTCCGAAGGTACGTACCTGCTCGACGACCAGGCGTGATGTATGGCTTCGGTGCTGACGCCCCCTTGCTTGTAGATGGCATCCACATCGACATGAACAGGCTGAAGGCAGGTGAGGTCAAGTAGGTCAACCCTCACCCCACAGGAACGCTCTATGCTAACCATTTCCGCAGCCTGGGTACCTCGATGTAAGCAATCCGAACCGACGTCAGATGCTCCGGATCGATCGACCTAACAAGCACACAACAGTATGGCAGTCACCTTCAAGGACGGTGTGATACTCGGTGCGTTATCTCCTCGACTGCCCCTGTCACCGCAGGCAGCCCCCGGACATACTCGCAGCAGCCCAATGCTGACCCCTCCGTTCTGCCATCAGGCGCCGACTCCCGAACCACGACCGGCGCATACATCGCCAACCGAGTGACAGACAAGCTGACCCGCGTCCACGACACCATCTGGTGCTGCCGGTCCGGATCAGCCGCCGACACACAAGCCGTCGCCGACATCGTCCAGTACCAGCTGGGCCAGTTCCACATGATGAACGGCAAGACACCCACGACCCAGACCGCGGCGGCCATGTTTCAGGAGCTCTGCTATGCGAACAAGGACATGTTGACGTGAGTCAGAACAGCTGCGAAGCCAAGCCGGGGCTTGCAGCCCCTCCAAACCACCACCATGTGCCCATGACGGCGTTGTTCGCTAACCACATGATTCGACCATCACACAGAGCCGGCCTCATCATCGCAGGCTGGGACGAGCGGCACGGCGGCCAGGTCTACAGCATCCCCCTCGGCGGGTCCCTGCACAAGCAGGCCTACTCGATCGGCGGCTCCGGGTCCACCTACATCTACGGCTACTGCGACGCGAACTGGAGGGAGGGCATGGACGAGGAGGAGGCCGTCGGCTTCGTCAAGGAGGCGCTCAAGGAGGCCATCCGGTGGGACGGCAGCTCGGGCGGCGTCATCCGCATGGTCGTCCTGACGGCCAAGGGCGCCGACAGGCACCTGTACCTGCCGGACACCGGGTACAAGGTGAGGCAGCAGTGAGCGGGTGGGGAGGGCCGGCAAGAAAGAGACTTGAGGGTTTCGGGGGACACGACACATTGTGCGGGAGGGAGGAAGAGCATCTGCCGAGGGCGCGCGCCCTGGGTGAGCTGACGGGGCGGATTCATTGACGGGGAACTGCGTGCTCGCGCAGCTACGGAAGGGGCCCGTTTCTCTTTTCGGTGATTCGAGGCCTCGAAGCGGCGGATATGTACGATATCACGAAAAGACACACAAGACAAGACAAATACAGCTTATTACGATGACCGATGATCGATGACTGGGAAGCGCTGCGGTGGATGGACTTTGCAAAAGGAACTGTGCTGGGGCTCGGCATAGACAAGACTCAAGGGGATCCCATAAGAGAATGGGCTCGAGGGCAGAGCAGGCAGGATATCAGCGGCAAGTTATAGATATGTGGAGGGAGAGTGGGCATTTCAGATCAGAAGCGGCATATACTACCGCAGTAAGTCGATTCTCGTGTGCCTGTTTGCTTCTATCACCAGCTTCCCCTTGCGCAACCCTCGCCGTCGGGCTCCGTTCTCCAAGGGGGCAGGGCAAGTCTGGAGCAGTCCGTCTCGCCTATAGGAAGGATATTCATTGGCGCTGGTGATCGAGCGACCCTTGGTCTTGGGCGGGCGCGCTCACCAGCTGAGCGGGAGTCCGCGGCCCTGTCCACCCGACCTGAGGTCAATCCGGGCCCAGGCGTGCATGCTAACACGCGATCTAGGTTGGACGACGGGGCTTCATTGTTCGTCTCACGAGACCGTCCGGTGTAATCAGGGGTATGTGTATGTATAGCACTTGCTTGTGGCAGTCAATGGCTTGCAGCTGCCCGGCCAACCCGAGAGATATCAGCCACGGCGCTCCAAAACCCACCCATCTTTCCATCTGCGTCGGGTCGGCAACAAGACAGGCCTCTCGATGGGGCTCGGCGCAGACATGACGGCGGCTACTCCCGGGAGCCGCTCACAGCAGCGTGATAGACGAGCATCCGCGCGCGCACGAGCACATGTACATTGTCATTTTTATTATTCTTCTCTTCTTCACCCAGCTCGACGACAGACGGCTGCGCCGATGCCGCCGAGGGGTCCCCACTCCCAGTGCCAGGCAGAAGGAAGGAGGCCGGGGGAGGGTAGGGGGTGACGTAGAGATGAGGTCGACCGGCGCCGAAAGAGATGCTCATATTTGTGAGCTGTTGCAGATCTCACCCGTGGTTTCTTGAGAGATCTGCGCGGATAATTGGACTCGTTTATGGTGAGCGAGTGTGGCGTCATGTTTCTTGACGTGAGGCTGTCACTGCTGTGTTCCTGGCGAAACGACGTTCTGCGGCGTTCAATTGGGACTGATCGAGTATCCACGCCCAGTGTATCTAAGGTGAGGAGTCATATCGAGCATCCGGGCCAGACTTTCTCGTCACACCCGTAACATCAGATCTCTGTCACATAATTTCCCACTGGCTGGAAATGTGCTCGTCATCAATCCATCCGTCTTGTTAGTAACACCAGTGGTGTGCGACCTTCATAAATTAGATGACAAGCTCGAAGGTTGACATTTCTTGGACAGCAGTCCGTATTTACAAATAGAGTGACACGACGAGTAATTATTTGTTAACGTTTCTTGAATGTGGCCCGAAAGTCGTCTCGTCAAGGCGGGACAGCCAAGGCTCGTCGTTTACCAGTGCTTGGCATCATCATCATCATCACAACAGCCATGCAGCAGCCCTACATACTTGAAACAAACCACATCAACAGCGACGCGCGCAAACGGTGCACCAAAATCACCCTCAAACGCACCGGCCACAACGCCCACACGCGTAATCGAACAACACATACACACATGACACAAAAAAAAAACCAGGTCCGTCCCCGAACGTGCGACACCATATCTCCAGCAGGCCTGCTTGGTCGTGTGAACAACACACCGAGTGACACCAAGCCAGGGTCCTGACGTCAGACCACCAACCAGCGTGGATGGACCTTCCACGAACAATCTAGAAAAACTCTGGGACCCCAGGGTTTGGGGTGTGTCTGGGATGATGGACGAGGGCAACACTAGATTAGACGGGAGAGGCAATCAGTAATGCGCTGAAGCCGCCCTGGTTTGTCCTGGGCGGGTACCCACTTGGTTCATCTGATCGCCAGCAAGTCGGTCCCGTACGAGTGATCCTTGCCTCGCTCGCTCGCTCGCAATGCGTGCGTGCGTGGCCCAGCCAGCCAGCCAGCCAGCCAGCCCTGGCAACCAACTACCTAGCTGGCTTCTGCCCCGGTGAGGAAAAAGGACGAGATTCATGCGCCGTGCCGCGCCCCGCCCGCCCTGGTTCCCTATGCCTTATACGGAGGTAGAAGCCGTTGGCGGGCAGTAGTAGCATGATGCCAAACTCAGCCACAGCCGCGCAGCCGCTTTACCATTGCGACCCTTTAATAATTTCAACGGTTGAGGTGCGTGCGTGCGGCTCATCTCAGTGAGGCTACTACACTACATACGTACAACGTGCTGATGTGGCGTTGGCGTATTCATGCCATTGTACACACTGGTGTCGAAGGCACGTGTCTATCAATCTGCCCGCCAAAACAGCCAGCCCCAATTAGGCCAATGAGCCCGACGAGAGCCGGGGAACCGGGCAGAGGCATGAAGGGTCCTGGCTCTGGGGCCCCATGTCGTGAATCCCCCGATGTGACCCCTAAAGCTATGTACATACGGGAATATTTGTGTGGTTACGTCAGGACTCCTACTCGAGGCTGAGACAGGGCGGCCGCACGCAGGCAGGGTGACACTGTGCGATAGGGGGTCTGGTGAGTGGATGGGCATCTGGTTTACTACATGGGATTCGTCCAAGGGGCGGCAGGCGGGAAAGGGGACAGATAGATGTAGGAAGCGCGCTTGTCCCGTCTATAAAAGTAAAGTACACCCGGATGGACGTATGTCACGCATATGATGCTGATCCCGTGGGCGGTGAGAAAGAGAAGCGTGGGGGAGGGAGGATACCCGCCTCCGATGGAGGGCGCATCCCGGCATGTTAGGTCCTCAGGCTCCCCTGTGGTTGCCTCCGGAGCGGCAAGGGGGGCGAGGAAGTGTATTAGCCGGTGCGGGCGGAGGCGTCTGACGGCGAACAGCTGGACAGCGCGGCGCGGGCGGGTTGGCCGGTCTGGTCGGGTGTGGTGGACGGATGGGTTAGTTAGATGGGCGATGGTACAGTGAAGTACTTAAG